TGGTAATCAGAATTTTGTTCAATTCACTCTTCAACGATTGTTCTATGTTTATGCCGTGATGAAATTTGAAAAACTTGAAAATGTTTTTCATTTGGAAAATGATAATCTCATTTACGTCAAGTTAGAACAAGTATTGAAAGCCTTACAGGAATGCAGCGTAAAATTTGGGGTGCCCTTTGCTGAACCTCATCAAGCAGTGGTTTCGTTCATGTTTGTTCAGAATCAAGAGGCCATGTTGGATCTCATTGATTACATTTTACAAGTGTTCGCAATGGGTTCTGAAAAAGCCTCTGAAGAGGTGGGTGCGCTTGGCTCAATGACATGACCATTGTGTATGCCTATGTTGCCAAAAAACACCACTCGAGTCGAGAAGTTGTGGAGCTACCTTCAATATTCTTTGAAAAGGGACAAAATTGCATCTACGATCGAGCAGGAATGTTGTTTGATGCCTGTGTGCTGGGTCAATGGTTTGCAGGAACGCATGTTCATCCAGACATTCCATTTTATCAGAATTCAAGATTAATAGATCCAAGAAACCATCGATTAGAGTGGCGAAAATCAAGGGATGCATCACTTCGATTCAAAGAGTTGTTTTTGGTTCCATCAGCCAATAAGGGATCACTTTCTGCACCTCAAGTTGTGAATTTACATATTCACTCGAAACGACTTGAAAAGTATATCTCTCCATCAGTCACGAAGATAGATGATTGGGAAGAATTAGCAAGGTGGTAAATCCATTAAATATTTGAATAGAATAATCCATCAAACAGGAGATGCTTACTCAAAACACGTTACATCAAAGAAATGTTGTTTCTTTAAACTTCAAAAATCAAATGGTGCAATCTTTGAACACCATAAAAGTTTCTCGAAATTTCAGTACCTTGTTAGGAAGTGTCAAATTAAAAAACTCAAAAAAATGATTGGAATGCGATTCATCTACATGTTTCTTCCAGCTTCTCTCAAAAAGTACTCATCATCCATGATGAGGACGCACACCCATCCTCAACTTTTCCTAAACAACAGCACCAACATCATGCGATGTTTTTCCTCCTCTCAACTCTCTCTTCAATATTCCTTCATCAAGAAGGACGAAATACAACAATTACTCAACGACCAAATTCCCGATCAAGACTTTGTCCTCATTGATGTTCGAGAGAATCAAGAATTTACATCGGTCGATCTTCCAGCCATTCATAACAGTGCTCATAACATTCCGATCAATGATTTGGGTCCAGCTCTATTGACCATGGATGCCAAACAATTCAAACATGTGTATGGATTTGATAAGCCAATGGCGGATGCTCATTCTGATTTGGCCACGAGTGGATATGGAGGAACGAGTGATGTAACTTCAATTTCTCAAAAACGTTCCGTACTCGATTCGTCATCATCTTCTGCTGCAAATAAGAAGAAGATTATTGTGTATTGTAAATTGGGAGGAAGAGCCGAGAAGGCTGCACAATTATTGGATGACTTGGGATTTAAAAATGTGTTTTGTTATAAGGGAAGTGCCAATGAATGGTGGTCCAAGTAAATTTTTAAAATTTGACTTCTTTGTGGATTCAATCAAATAGGCAGTGAAGGTGTCAAATATATTGGTTGTAATATTACATCTAAATTATTTAATAAATTATATGAATTCAAAAAACAACAGTTCGGATTCATTATTGACGAAAATGGAACTTCAAAAAAAATGAACTTGAAAGACCGAATTGCTAATTTTTTAAAAGCAACAACAACAAGTCATTCCGATGAGGATACGAGCAAGCAGCATCATGATGAAAAAACAAATCGTATTGAAAACAATGAAAATAACCATGAAGGAAAGAAACGTAAAAAAGCTCAACAAGAGGAATCATCCGAACCATCATCATCCAATTTGAATACAGAAGATTCCAAGAATTTAGAAAATTCAAAGAAACGGAAAATACAAACCAATAATGATTCATCAACCAAAGGTGAAAATTCTTCATCTTCCTCTACCGTACTCCAACATGCTCCTCCACTCACTCCGCTACAAAAGAAACTTTCAAGAATTGAAAAACAACGTTCACTCTTTGGAAGCGACACCAAAGCTGTTCTCACCTTCAAATTGAAAGAATTGAAAAAACGATTTCTAACGGTGAATGATATTCAAAATCTCATGTTGTGGTCTCTTATGGGACATTCATGCACAACGCTTCAAAAAAAGGACCAACACGATCATCATGAAACATACGATGCTTTATTATTCACTCCCAGATGGTTACATATTATGAATATGGGTCTCATTGATAAGGTCATCATTTTGCATTTTGATTCTTTGAGTAAGGAAGTTTTTGAAAAATACAAATCTCATCTACCAAATATTGGGAAAATTATGGACAAGTATGTGATACCAGACGGAATACCTTCAAAAAGACAACCCTACTTACAAATCAATCCTCCTTGGTCAGCTGAACAAGGAAATTTATCCATGATCACCGAGAAGCGAACGGCCAATTATTGGCGTAAAACATTTCTACACAGATTATTTAAGCGAAGTATTTCCTTCTTTAAAGAAAAGAATACCAAAAAAACTGTCAGTACGAGCAGTACCAGTCATCAAGAAAATACTCGAAAATCGTACAGTTTCAGTACCATGAGCGGTACACTAAATGTGATTGAACGAGTGTCATCTCAATCGACAACAACAGTTTCATCATCCTCAAGTCATCATTTACCGACAACTGAAGTTACTTCTGTATTCGCAGAAAAAGAAATTTCAACCAAATTGCAAGATCCTTCTGAAAATGACCAACAAGCTGAAACCAATTCAGAAGTGGCAGATAATGAAATGGAAAATGTTGAACACGACGAAAACAAAACAAAATTGGAAGATTTATTATTATCCAGTGACGAGCTTTCCGAGAATAATTATCCAATTTTTACAAGCGAAGAGGAATTGACTAGTTCTGGTTATATTGCAACCTTCAACTGGAAGAGTGCTGTAAAGAAGCATCAAATTCTTGCGCTCGACTGTGAAATGTGTCTCACCAAAAATGGAGACGAGCTTACTCGAGTTACCTTTGTAGACGAAAATGGTCAAGTAGTTTATGACAAACTAGTGAAGCCAAAAGACCCAATAATTGACTACAGAACCATGTTCAGCGGAATTACCAAAGAAATGTTAGAAAATGTACAAACAACTCTCGCAGATGTTCAGAAAGAAATTATGGAATTTATTTCACATGATACAATTTTACTCGGCCATTCTCTTGAAAATGACTTGATTTGTTTGAAAATTTGTCACAAGCGAGTGATTGACACTTCAGTAATATTTCTCAGCTCGTCAAATTTTGGAACCAAATACAAGCAATCACTGAAACAACTTGCTATGAAATATCTCTCACGAGAAATTCAACATAACAATGCCGAGAAAATTGGTCACGACAGTATTGAAGACGCCTTAGCAGCTTTAGATTTAGTCAAATTTGTTCTTAAACACGGTATTGAACATGTTCACAAAAGAGAGAAGCGAACCAAAGATTTTTACGCACAGGAAAATGTGTTTGAGTTTTTGAGTAACGGTGAGAAGCGATCAGTCATGCTCGATCGAGCCAATAATTTGAATGGAATTCTTTCTGGCTCTCTTTCTGATGCCATTCCTTGCACCACCGACGAGGAAGTATGTCAAAAATCAAAAAAGTTTGTTTCCAACTCGGAATATGACTTGGTATTTAGCCATTTCGCAGAACTTGGTTATTTTTATGAAAAGAATGAATACGATCCGATTGGATCTCCTGGAAGTGGTCACGAAGCAAAAAATGTCAACAAATTATTTCAGCTCATTCAAGAAACAGGAAATGAACAAGACACAACAACCATTCAAAAATTTGAAAATGAACTATTGAGAATATTAGGAAACTTTGATCGATATTATTCCGAACTATATGAGGAAGCTTCCGAAAATTCACTATTCATTGTCACGACTGGACATGGTAACATTTCGCAAATAGAGAGAGCATTTAAAAAGCAAAAAGATTGGAAGGCATTGAAAGAAAATTCAAAAGAATTGTTGTATCTCATTCAAAATTGTTGTGGTATTGGTTTTATTGATATTAAATAGCTTTGGTGGTAGGAGAATCCAAAAACCTTCTATTCGTAATCAGCCGCGTCAACTGTCAAAAAAGTCGTTAACAAACAAAAAAAATTTGAAACACCTGTGGCCTACTTTTGCTTCTTCACAAAATACAGACCTCTCCAAAAACCGATTATTCATCAACAATAACAACAACCAATTTCCCAACATAACCACTTGTCTTGAAAATGTCTGAATCCGATTTTCATCATTCCACCATGTTCGAAGAGAACAACCACCACTCATGGACAACACCTCCGAATCAAATGATGGACGAACGACATCATCACGACCTTGACACTGTCACTACTACCACACTCGACGATGAATATCGAGATTCTTTTGCCTCTCTCGACGATCATCCTCACTATCTTCATGAAGAGGAAAATGAAATTCAAAATCCAAAAAACTCTTTTCATGATGATGAGCATGATGATGATGACATCAACGATGAAAAGAATGAATTACATTATGGAATGACAAGTATGGGAAATTTTGTAAAATCAAATATCCCAACGACAGAATTGGTTCAAAATAACAACATGTCCACACTTTCATCATTGCATCATGAATCCAATTTGGTTTCACCCACTCTTTCAAAATTCCGAAAAGGTTTTGACGATTCCTCTGGACAAGACACTCCCACAGATTTATCCGAAGTCATGTTACAAGACGTTGACTTGGGAATTCCAAGTGTGAAAATCATGTCACATTCCCATCCATTGAATGAATTGAAAATGTTAGATGACGATGGTCCTTCGAATCAAGATTCATTACAACAACAACAACATGATTCTTCTTCTGATAAACACAAATCGGTTTGGAGCGATTTGGCATTACAATTTCTAGGACGACAAGTCACAGATACGTTTTTAACCTTTGAAGATTCTCAACAAATTTCTGTGGAAATGATGCAAGTGTTAAAAGAAAATTCATTTCTCGTTCAAACGAGAATTTGGTTATGGAGATTGAGTGGAGGATTGTTATTTTCATTGTTTTATGGTTTTAGTGCTTGTTTGATTTTTGTGATTTATGGATTTTGTTTTTCGCTGCCATGTGTCATACAATTATTTCGAATTGCAAAATTTATGTCATTTCCATTTACGAAATTGGAAACTTTTGAATATGTGTTATCGAGATTGAATGAGAGTAATAGTGAGTTATTGGCGAGTGCTAGTACGAGTACTGTGAGTCAGGCCATGATGCAACATTTGAGTTCCAAACATCGACTGTCATCTGTCAGTTCGCCCATTCCTCAATCGACGTTGGAAAAATCAAATAGTGTTAAAAGTATTAAGGAACATCGAGAATTAATGTTCAACTCTCGAGAAAAGCACGGTACCATGTTATGGATTGCAAATATTGTGTGGCTCTTACTTTTTGGATGGCTCTTGGCATTACTACATTTAATTTTCGGTGGAATTTTAATATTAAGCGTTGTGGGCTCAGAATTTGGTAGAAGACATTTGGCACTTGTGACCTTATCCTTAATGCCCTTTGGTTTGTCCATTAAAAAGTAATGAATGGTTCTTCATGAAACAATCAGTATTCTCTTTTTTAGTCATGATAACAATCATTGCTGTATATAACAGTGGCGCGCGCCGAAGGATAGATTGTCGTTGGACCATTGAATCAACCATGATCACATGAGCTTTGTAATGGACACACTTGCAGAGGGTACTTTTAATGTAAGTACAAAATAATGCATCCAAAAAAACGGTGTGGAAGAGTCTCTATCAAACAAGAATGCAGTAAGGATTGATGAAGACAGTCGCGAGTCGTATCGTATGGTGATGCTGCTTCTCAGATACTTTGTGCACTCGATGATTTATTTACAATTCGTTCATCTTGTAGCAAACGATAAAGTTTTCAAGGCCTCCTTTGTGCTTACGAATAAGTGCCAAACATTGATCGTAGCAAACTCGAAATGTATTTTGATCAATTACAACCTCTACACTGCAACCCATGTGAAATAACAAATCAAATACTTTCTCTTCCATTTCTGGAGTAAAAACTGCAAGGCATTGGATTATGAAATCCTCTGTGTGCGTAATATCATTACGGTCCAGTTTGCGCAGAACGGTGAGCAGACGATAGATCTTGTAAAATACTAGCCAAATTCATTCTCAGAGAGATTATGTTTCTCCATAAACTCTCTCTCCTTGCTTCAAACCTTCAGTTAGCTTGGAAAAAAGAGTTTGAGAAAGAATTTTAGTTGTGACCACACTTGCAGAGGTTGTTACAGAAAAACACTTTAAATACTCGTCATGTTCCTCATTTGCGCTCGTTGTTACTCCACTTCATCATTCACAATTGTTGACCTCTTTATATAGAAGGATTTCATTAAAAACTTTTGGGAACCATATTAATATCCACTAATAGAATGCTTTCAAATTGTGCAACATGGGCTGGATGGAATAATATTCGACCTCTGCGTTCAAGGAACAGCTGCAACCTTAATCATATTTATCAATCACCTCAGCTATCTTTGAGAGAATAGCCGAATCCACAAAATGTGCCCATTCAATTAAACAAAATATGTTTGTATGCCATTATGTGTAATCCCAAAGTTATGCCAAAAGGGTTAACCGAAGTAGGAAAAAGATATAAACCCGATCTACAAGTTCCTTGCTTTTCTGCAAGACATTCGTAAATTCTGTACCTCATGGAAACTCAAAAACTGAAGAATATAAACAAGGACATGATGAGAAAGGCTTAGTCGATGATGGAAGAATGGGAATTGCAAGTACTCGCTCAGCGCTTGGTAGAGGTCCAGTGTTGTTTTTCATTTTTTTTTTGAGCTCAGTTTTCTAAGAAGCCTTGCATTAGGGAGTCTCTAAAGCTTCAAAACATCTTGTTAGCCAAAGGATCAGTTGATGTTTTGGAATTTGGAGCACATGTCTTCTTCCAACAACCTCTGATTGGGTTTTCTTGGTCATCTTTCGTTCAACCAAAAAACTCAAGAAAAAAAATGCACAAATTCAATAACAAGAAATTTTCAAGTTTCGGAATGAGGATGTTTTGTGATTTGCAGCATCATCATCAAAATTATTTGATAAATTTGCAAACAAGAACAACCACAGTATTCCATCCACAACATCATTTACACAATTATTTATCAACATGTTTCAATCATTCAAGAAACTTTTCCCTCTCGCTCCACTCATTCCGAAAGAAGAGTTTAACTGAACGCAATGAAACCACAGTCATTAAAATCAAATATGATCCTAGGAAAGAACCAACTCCCAAAAAGCATCAAATTGAACATAAATTTCATCAAGAACATTCCGAACAAACACAACATTCCATTCAACAATTCAATCAAATCATTTCTCAAGTCGATGTAAACAAGACGACCAAACAACTCTTACAACAACTCATTGAGAAACGGTTTGCTCCATTCAAAAAGGCAAAAGAAGAACTCTCCGAAGAAGAACACTTCTTCTTTTCCAATTTGATGGACTCGGAATATATGAAGAAGGCTCAATCCTTGTTAGAGAGACTTGGTATTGAACAAACACCTTTGGATCAATTTGTAAAGGCAATGACTCATATTAGTTTTATTCCTCCATCCATCTATTCATCTACCTCATCCTTCGAGTCTACAAATTCTCAAAATATTAATAATTCTCAGAGCAGTAGCAGTAGTACTCTTCAGGATCCATCAAGTGTTCTTTCTCAATGTAATGACGAATATCAACCGATGGGTGGGCAACTCTTCACGACCTTGTGCAACAAATTCATGTATCTCTTTTTAAAGTACAGAGAACAACGACAGAATACCTCGGAGAAGAATTTGAGATGGTTTTTAGAGGATGCTTTGAATATTGAGAAGAGAGGTTCCGAGTTTGAAATTCAATTTAATTATTTCAATCGATTGAGGAATGATATTTTGCAACATATTGCTAAAGAGATTGGATTGAGTGAATTTGTATTGTTTGACACTTCAAGATTATTGGCCGAAGCTCCAATGAATATGTTGAAAAACTCTACGACGACAACTGTGAATGAAGAGGGTTCTGTTTCTGCTTCTATCCCAAACTCTGAAACAACAACAGCTCAAAACAATGACTCGAGTAGTACCACTAATTCAAGCGCTAATATGGAGCCATTGATGAAACAAGAACCATTTATTCCCATTGAAAAGCAATTGGAAACGATTGCAAATGCCAACGCTGTGAGGGCTGTGCTGTATCTTGTCGAGTCACAGTACGATTTTAATAAGGTCTCTCAACTCTTTGAAAATATCATGATTCCTAAAATTGCTCAATATATTCAAGCAGAAACCACAGTATTGAGAGAGGATGTTCATTATCCTCAGTTATTACATCACTTGTTACAGCAACAACCTGAAATGAAAGACAAATTCTACATTGAATATCGATTTTTAACACAATATTTTGATGAAGATGGTAAAAAGAAGGTCAAAGTTGGACTTTTCATCAACGATAAGGAATGGGAGCAAGAATTGGCTCCAAACTTTACAGAGGCCAAGTTTCTCCTTGCAAAAACATTTTATGAAAATTTACGAAAGAATCCAGTGCTCATGAGAAAGGTACAAGAGCAATTGGCCAATGTGGATTATATTTATTCATTGCACAAGTTGACAGGTGAGAGAAAGTAGTAAAATTTTCCTAAACAATTCAATTGAAAATGTTTGTAGATTTCAAAGCTTGTTGGTGTCAATTGTACTTAATTGAAGAATTTCCAAATGCATTCCAAATTCACAAATTAAAAAAAATAGTAATCACAAAAGTGTCAAGCCGCTGTTGCATCATTCATCACTTTCATTATTTTTATTTCATTATCAAATAATAATTATTCGTTGATCTTCAAAATTACTTTCGGAACACATTTCGTTCTAAACAAGGAAACTGAATCATCATACTTTTATCAACCAAAGTCTACTACTACGCTTCTCTCGGACCGCCCGATCATCATGTTCACCACTCGTTCCTTCTCACCCCAACAACAACGTGTTCTTTCATTATACCGACAAATTCTCAAACTCGGTCATTCCTGGGAAAAACTCTCCTACCATCACACCATCACTGCCTTCCATAAGAAAATCTATGAAGCACAATTCATTTCCAAAGAAAAAGATCATAACGATTTTACCAAGGATGAAGCAGAAGTGCTCCGAGAAAAGGAATACATTATCAGTGAAGCAAAGAAATTATTTAGAGAAAACAAAAACTTGACCAATCCTCAAGACATTCAAGATAAGATTAATGAAGCTGAAAAGAGACTTTTAATAACTCAACATTATGGAATTCCATTTGAAAGACCTGAACATGTCAATCTCTATGATCATTATTGGAAAGGAGCACTGGATGAAAATGCTGCTGAAGAATTGGCATCCAAGGAAGACGGAGAGGAACATATTTACTATGCCAATGTCGAGAATCCAAATGAAGTGCATGATTGGCATTCATTGAATCCAAAACTGCCCAAAATTGAACGAAAGAAACCTGCTCATTCGTCTGCCACGAATAGTGCTGCGACTTCTCAAAACTTTCAACGTGCCAGTGATTCACATGTCACATCGAAGGTAGCTGCAGGTGGAGACACTGAATTTAATCTTGAAGAGGAGAATTGGAAATAGTGTGTTCAAATCATGATGGAATGAATAACTCATTTTGACTTGGATCAATTCTTCTATTCTTCGCAATGCATCCATGATCGGATTTGCATTTCTCACTGCTGCTCTCTCTGTCAAATTGCCAAACTCATCTCCACGAAGAGAGTTCATTGTGACATTAATTGAGATGATTTTCATTATGGCCATAACACCATTATTATTCCTTTGCTTCTACTTTCATAGCATTGACCATGTATTCAACGTCTTGTATTCTGTGTTGTATGGCTTGTAATTGTCTAAATTCCTCTGGTACATTCTTTTCAATTCTACTAGCTGTCACAAATTTGGGTTGTTGGGTTGGCTTAAATTTTCGTGTTTCTACACATCGTTGATGTAAGTTATTAATGCTCATCACCACTTGTGAATACAATTGAGAAAATTTTCTATTGGCTAAATCTTGTTGAAAGTATGCTGATTCAAGACTATAGGTTTTTGCTTTTAGTTTTTCTAAGAGTTGTCTCTTTTGCTGCAATTCGACGTTGAGCTCGTAGAGTTTGTTTTGTGCTTGTTTTTGGAAGTTTTTCAAATCATTTGTTTCATGCTTGATGAGTTGCTTCTTGGTTTCAATTTGATGCTCCAAATCTGTTGAAGAGTTGTGCAAAATTTCATGTCTTTTCAAAATCTTATCCATATCATCCTCGAAGGTGTTGTTGTCATATCGAGCAACCATATTAAGGTAATTTTGGTAGAGATGAATTTTTTTGAGCTCACTCTCTTTCTTTTTCTTTTGTTTGGTGAGATGAATGATTGAGGCTTGAAGATCTTGAATTTGCTGCCGTTTTGATTCATTTTGTTTTTGTTCTTCCATTGCCTTTCGATAGTACTTGTCAATTTTTGATTCATTAATTTGATTGAATTGTTTCATTTCCTTGTGACCAGAATCGAGCTCATTTCTCTTTTTCGTCAGCTCCAGCTCTTTTTCCTTCCATTGTATGTCATTGGCTTCATATTCTTTTCGTTTTTGCTCGAGTAATTGCTGAATTTTCTGTAACTCTGCTTTTTTGTTTTCCAACGCCGTGTCCACTTCGGAGGGTGCTACATTCTTTTCTGATCCTCCTTGTTTCTTTACTGCTGGAAATTGAATTTGTGGTCCTCGTGTGATGAAGAATGAATCATCTCCATTCATCATGGTGTTGAGGGATGAATCTTGAATATTGGAGAGAGTTGAATTGGACATGATTTGAGAAGACTCTAATTTTTTCTTTTGCCTTGCACTATTCTTCTTTTTTGAGCCTTGATCATTTCGGGATGATTTTGCTTCATCTTCCTCTTGAGGTGGTTTCGTTTTAATCAATATTGCTTGATGATGAGATATCCGAGGAGATGGGACTGGATTTGAGGTGGGAATGAATTGAATCGGAGGCGTTTTTCTACTACTCATTTCCAATAACATGATGATGATGATACTAATGAAATGACAAACAAAATATTATCGCTAGAAGAAAGGTCTTTCAACGATCGTTGAACGTTATTTTTTTAAAACTGTAAGAATGAAGAATTTTGGCGCCAACCCAATTTCCATAGAACTGACAGTGTCAAGGGAGTGATTTAAATCTAATGTTGATTTCGTTAATCATGTAATGGACGGCTGTGTAATGTCATCAAACTTGACCTTGACGACCGCAAGCGTTGTTATTCAACTGTCCTTAAAAGCCTATTTCCTTTTTAATAGGCTTTTAAGGACAGTTGTAAGCTTTGCAAAAACAATGAGCAACAAGTGGTGTGTTTGGTTCATCCTTTTCCAATGTCTTCTTCTTCTCCTTAATCCTCAACAATCGTCCTTGATAACGGTCATCCATTCTCAAAGCCTCTCTTCTTCCATATTTGCTTCACCATGTCCCATCAATTATTACAATTCGTTACAAACCAATACAACAACCTCTTCCTCCTCATTATCATCCATACGATGCGTTCCAATCTCTTCTCATCCTCTTTACATGAAATCATGTGAGCTCTCCTTAGACTTTTCTGAAAACTCCATCATGGTGAAAGATCCTTGTCAAGCCTTAGATCCTCCTTCCGTACCATTATTACAGTGTTATGTGCATCGTTGTGTGCCATGTATTCCCAATTCCATGGAGGCTACTTCGGGTTTATATTGTAAAGCGAATCTATGGAATACGAATGATGATGAAAAGGATGACCTCATTGAATTTAAACAAATTTCGTATTACATGGGTTGGGAATATTTAGATCGGATCTTGTTGTTGTGGATAATCTTTTTGGGATTGCTGGTCTTGTATTTTGTCGTGTATATGGTTGTAAATTATAACAAGTATAGTCATCGAGAGTTTAAGAGACAATATGAATTGTATATCTATGATTTCATTGTGAAAAAGATTCATGAATATTGAGAGAGAGTGATCACATTGTGGACGCTTTCATGAATCTGATCGTTCTGAATCGTTCCACAATTTTTATTGTTATCATTATTGAATATTATTAAATTTGAAAATTAAAAATGGTTTTCACATCATCTTGTTGTTGAAAGATTCCTCTTCTTACCTTCTCTGAAATGCTTAGAATTAATAATGATTCCATTGTAATTTCTTGAAATATTATAAAAAACACAATGTCTCTATCCACGAATAGGAATGAATTTATCCAATGTTCTTCTTCTAAATTTTCTCATTACTTTCCGTAGTTGTGGAAGATGGATGATCTGTTGATTTTTGTTCGTACAGCTCTGGTGCATATAATCTCTTATCAAACAAAGTATAAGCCTCTTCAGGTAATTCTGTAAATTTTCGGAGCAATGGTAAATCATGTTTGGAAACATTATTTAATAATTGTCGTTGCTCTTGCTCGGATCCGAACAAGGTTACCACAGAAAATGACTCTTTAACATTATGAACATATTTATTCCTCATAGGAAGAGGAAATTTATATTTGAGAGAAAGTAATTGTCGTAACAGTGTATACGCTTCACGGGTTTGAGAAGGCAATGACCCGAACGATGTGTGTTTGTAGAGAAATTGTTTTTGAAACATGGCAATATTTTTTTTGAATTTTTGAATTGAAAATAATAAACCGAACGAAGGAACATTTATTGATTGAACTACTAATTTCTTCGTGTGAATCTAATACACTCAACACACACGAACTACTGCTTTCTGTTGAAATTTACATTATTTTTCTTAATTTGTTTATTTATTATTTAGCATCGTTTGAAAATTTGATTGGTTTAAAAATCGAATTTGGATAATTCCAATCGAATAAAAAAAATTCATCATCATCTGCATCATCATCATTGCTCACAAAGATGACCAAAAAGACCAATAACAAGAACAAGAATACACCAACTCAAAAGAAGAAAACTACTACTCCCTCTTCTCATTCCGCAACCCATCATAAATCCACGGAGCAGCCAAAACCTGTGATTGAGGCTCATCATGATGAAGAAGTGGAACAACAACAACCATCAGAAGTTCAAACACCACCATCATCCGATGAGATGATCCAAATTTCAGAAACAACACATACAACTACTACTACTGAAAAGACTGATACAACACCAATTTCATCACCCGTGGATCAAGAAGAGTCTTCAACCACTCAGGAATCAACCACTGAAAGTAGCGTTACGGAACCAGTTGAAGTAAAGGAAGAGGTGATTGTAGCATCGTCCGATGATGCTTTGTCCTCCACTGTTGTTCCTGAATCAACACATGAGCCTGTTTCTGATGAAGCTTCTAAACAAGAGGAACAACAACCTGCAACTCAAGTTGAGGAAACTCAAGAGTCATCATCTCAAGAACCACAGGTCATGACAGAAACAACCACTCCAGAAGAATCATCACCTTCAACAGCACAAGACAGTGAAGCTGACAATCTCATTCAATCCACAATCTCAACCTCGGACTATGTCATGGTCAATAGTGTGCAAGCTTTGAGCGAGAGCATGATGCAAAATTTGAATGAAGACGCTTCAAGCCCACCATCTTCATTGACAAACTCTCTCATGAATACATCAACGACAGTTGAATTAAATTCCGATGCTATTCAAGTGAAGGAGGATCATTTTGAATTGAACGAAGATTTGGGTAAAAGTGTTGAGTTTGGAAATAAGGATGAGGAAAAACCTACCAATGAAGCCATTCAGAACGTTGATGCAACCTCGACTGTTGAAGAATCTCAACCTGTCACTCAAAATGTGGAAGATTTAATTGAATCATCACCCGTAGTGGTTGTGGAAGAAATTAAAGTTGCTGCTGAACCAATTCCTGAAACAGCTGCATTAGAAGCCACAACATCTACTCCAGAAGACATTTTACAAAAAGTATTGTCAAGCACTGAAATTTCACCAGAAACTTCTCAGCAAGAAGCACCTAAAGACGCCAATGATGACGTGACTCCTTCATCAACAGCCACTCCTACACCAAATGAAACAAAACCAGTGAACAGTGCAACTACTTCCACAGCTTCCGTAATTGATGAACAGTTATTGGAAAAGTTATCGAATGAATTCTTTGGGGAAAAATCAGAAATTAGAAGTGTAGTTCATGATAAGGCTGAAACAGTTGATTTGTATCATCAATACAGAGAACAAGATGAAAAGACAAAGAAGAAGAAATTAGCAAGTACTGCCACAACAACGACGGCCACCACTACTGCTACTACTTCAAGCACTACAACAACCACTCCTAAGAAAACTGTAACTACTGTAACCAAACCAAAACAAAGTGGATCATCCTATGGATGGTTATTAGGAGTTGGAGCTTTGGCTGCCAGTGCTGTCATTGGAATTTTTGCTGCCAGAAAATTGAAATTCTTCTAATTTGACAACCAAACTTTCAACAATGAAGTTATCATTTGGTTTCCCATAGTCCCTTCCACATAATTCGTTAGGTTATTCAATAAGGCTTGCTTGTATTTGACAATTTAATTTTAATTAAAGAAAGGAAAAGAGATTTCCATCTCTCACTTTTTCAACTTCTTTTTGATCGCCAGTTTAGATTCTGTGCTGACATGATCGGACTGCAAGATCAAATCACACGCTTCTGTGTTCTTGCAAATATATTCAATGACTTCCCTTTCCAAAGCTTGATCCTTGTAAACTTGTGCAATTTCTAAAATTGCAGCGCAATTATGTGGCGTCAAGTTTGCACGAATCATATTTCTGCAATTTGATGCCAATTGAGATAAACCAAACATTTGCGAATAAACCAATATTCCAATACAGTTTGCAGGAGTAATCTCTGTCGAGCGATCTGTATAAATATAATGCAATACTTGTATCAATGCATTCTTATCGAGCACATTCGACTTGAATCGAATAGTATTGGTCAGAGATTCAGTAAATCCATGTTCGAACATTTTTGCAAAGAAAGGTGAACGAATAATCATGCACTTGTGAACTTGAACCATTTCATAATGACATTGATGAGGCACAGGTAGTTCAATAATGTTTTCCATTTCTTGTTCACCCTCCTCGTCATACGTTTCCTCTTGTGAATTCATATTCTTTAAATGTTCTGTCAATAATTTCATCTCATCTTCTTCTCCTTCAATATAATCTTCATCCTCCAATATTATTTTCACATCTGCAAATGATTCGTTACTATTCACCATACTTGCAATATCCCTTTCAAAATCTGAAATAATTCTCGTATAGACGTCCAAATGAATGGATTGATCAAATTGACACAAACTCTCAAAGAATTCACTCTTGAAATTCCATTTCTTACAAATTGAAAGAAATCGATTCACAATTGTGAATTTTTCTGCTTCTTTCTGAATATTATCATTCATCGCTGTATCGTTTAACATGGATGCAGAATCGTCTTCATGTAAATGCACTTCTCCCAAGTAAATAAAATCTAAAATGGCCTTAAATAGATCAGAGGTGGCATCTTCAATTTTAACAATGAGCATTCGAGTGTTACTGTTATTGCTACTCTGATAGTAATAGTTCTTATTGGAGTCATTATCTTCTTCATAGTAATTCGATTGTTGTATTAATTCTTTCAAATATGAGCATCGGCAAGAAATGATTGATTTGTGGCCTGTGAAATATTCGTATTCATCTAGATGATTCTCATTCCCATTGCCACTATTGCAACCACCTGATGAATCATTCTTTTTGAACTTTTTGACAACAAATTTCACGTCAACATATTCTTGAGAGCGATAAATAGATGAAATATGACTCAAAATATTAATGTCGTTCGTATTCACAATAGGATTTGTAAGAATTTGAATAGGGAAGAAATGTTTACATGAGTATAAACTATTTCTACCACTAGTATTGCCACTATTTTCAGTACCACTCATAGTGCTAGTTGTTGTATTTAAAATATACAACTTTTCACCCACTCTCAATACTTGATAATAGGATTGAGGCATTGTTTGATAAGGTTGTGACACAATATTTTGAGTAGGTAATATTCGTGAGCAATTAATATAATCTGTATGACTTTGAATTCCTAATGGATGAATGACACTCCATGCAGATTGTTTACCTGATGAAGATTGTGAAAAGGAATAGCAATAAATACTGCCATCTATACGATCAAATAGCAGCATAGACTTGGAGTCATAATTGACAGTCATGGTAGGAACAATTCTTCTCGGATTCGGTGTGAGTTGAGGGATTTTTGTGTGTGTCGTGCTGTCAGTAGCAGCGCTGTGAATATTCATCAACGAGGTAGAGATTGGTGACTCAATATCCAAATAGGAATAATTCATATCCATCATACTCCATCGATTCAATTCAGTATTGAAACAATACATTTCATTTCTCCATTGATTTTGCTCATGACCTCCATAAAAATAAATTTCATGAGTGGAGGGAACAAAACATGTACTCATGTGTTTACGATGAGAGAGAAGCGAAGCAATGGTTGTGCTTGTGACTGGAATTGCTCCTAAGGAAGTGGTAGTATGGTTATTGGCTTCGTCACTATCACTACATTTCATACATATCAATGAATTGGATTGAAATGAGCATCGGTTATGGGGAAAATTTAGAATCTTTGATGAATAACTTTGATATTTGTGTGATGGAATGAGAATACTCAACTGAAATGCCACAGGAAAGTGTTGGTTACCAATCACAAGAGCATTGGTTTGAGGTACAATTTCAATTTTGAAAATGAGATGACTTTCATCAAGCTCTCGATGGTGTGAACGCTTAAATTTGCCACCAAATAAATACAGGGTGAGAGTGGAGGGATCTAGTACATGCTGAAAATTACAATATTCTGAAAAGTCGAATGATGCTTGATTGAGGAATGGAATGACTGACTGGGAATAAAAAAATTTTTGAGCATATTGGTCGTACTGCTTGATACCCCATTTGAGATGATGAATCATTTCATCAAATGAATTGGTGGCAACAGCATTACTACTACTCGTGGAATGACTACTGCTCAGCCCACTACCATTTCTCTGAGAAGATAACGAAAGTACTTTCTTAAAAGTCAATGCTTTCACCGTTCCACCTCCAAATATTAAAATGCAATCCTTTTGGGCAACATATATCATAAAATGTTTAGACATTCCTTGGTAATAACATGAATGATATCGCCGATTATTAGTTTGATTCAAGAAATCCAATATATGAAAACTATTTTGATGAATATTATAAATATAAACGTCGTTACTTTGAGCATTGGTGCTTTGGTTAGTACCACCATGAATGAAAATGGAATTTAGTTTTGGAATGTAACATGTGGCATATCCTAACAATTTTGAAAAGTTCAATTCTCTCATCTCCTTTCGATCCACTTGATATTTCATTTGTTTGTAATCTGGATAGAGTGTCTTAAGGAATGCCTTGGGTTTGACTTGAGGTGGCCGATCATTGAGAGCACGTTTACACGCTTGGACGTATCGGTCCGATATGCCATGTGAATAAATTTTGAGAGTGTTGGCATGTTCATTAAAGAGAGAAATGGAGCACTTATTGGAAGTTGCAGTCTGAGAGAGTGGAGATTGTAATGAAAAGTGATGAAGAGAGAAATTGAGAGCTGGATGCTTTTCATCATCTTCATGATGATCTTTCTTAATGATTTTCAATTGTTCATAGAATAATTCAATTTCTTTAGGATCGGTCATGGGAATGATTTGAGAAGGAGAGGCCTTCTTTTTGGACGGTTGAGTAGATTTGAGAAATTGTTTTAAAGAATGATGCTTGGAATTGGATGGATCAAGTTTTTGAGAAGAGGCTAATTTCAATATATCAACGCCTTGAGTATCCCATAATGAACTTGATTCTTCATCGTGTGGTTGTTGCTGATTCTCCTTATTCTGATTACTACCCACCGATGGGGCATACCATTCATCATCCACCAATTGCTCATCATCAACCTCCTCCTCATGACTAGAATATGGTTCATCCTCTTCCTCCTCTTCACTGTATTCATCCTCTCCTGTCAAATGAAGAAGAAGAGTACTCGCAGATGTATTCCTAGAAGACGACATTCTTTTTGATGATCTCTCCAATAAGATCGGATCAACGTTATTTCAATATTTTTTCAATATTTGAAAAATTCAAATTCAAAATGCAAGTTCAGCACTGTTTTACAAATTCATTATATTCAATCCAAACTCCATCACTATTCATGTATGACGATCATTGATGAATTCGGAATCAAAATTTTTCATCATCATTATCAAAAAAAAATATTCGTCTGATTGTCTTTCACGGAGCCATCGTCATCATTTTTTGTGTCATCTTTGTTCATTCCGAGATCTATATTTATTACACTCTTTGAAAGAACATACAAGATGGGGTTTTTCACTGAAATGATTGGGTTGTTGGCTGTGTCCAATTGGGGAAAGTAAGTGTCTTGGAATATGTGATGATTGGTTTTTAAATCATTGTTCAATGAAATGATCATCAACTATAGTTTATTCCGAACATTTGGTGGTAGTGCTTTCAGTTTCCATTCCACTAAAATGTTTGTCTACGGAAAATATGTAAGGTATGTAAAAGAAGAACTAAAAAATATTGAATATTTATCGTGAATGGTTGTCATTGTTCAATTTGATATTGGAAAAATAATTTATTATTAATAATCATTATTAATAATCATTATTAATATAATGACGATAACATTATTGATTGAATATATTTATTCGTACAAATATTTTTCAAAATACATGACGATCGAACACTTGATAAAATTCAACGGAAATGTGAAATTGATTGAATCAAACTTGAAATCCTTTCTCTTCCGATAGAGTTATTGAATATCCGTTTGGAGACATGCGAACCATTCGTCTAAACATCAACTCGTATGAACATTTAAAAAAACGAATTGCAGATGCTCACGGCTTGGACACTAGCTCCATTCAACAAGTTCATCGATACGAAGAAAATTGGTGGACAGAAAAAATCAATGACAATGAAGATGTACGATCTCTGAAAGAATATCACATTCTATTATGGAGTAGAAGTACAGGACATATTCCAACACGTAATGTCAATCTCAAAGAAATTCCCGATGAAGTCAACCAGGAAGCTGAAGCTTTGGCTGAAGGAACTGGAGCTGTGGTTGGAATAGGAACTGGCGAAGGAGTTTCCACTTCAGATCACAAACATCATGACGGAAGTGGTTATTCCACACATGACAAGACTGTGACTGCCCTCTCTTTCGTTCATCATTTGAAAAAGAAGGATCTTTTCACAGATGAAGAGTATCAAATTTTGACAGAATTAATTTTACAACATGACCCTTATATTTTGAGTTTACATTCGAATTTTAAGGATGATGAAAATAGTTTTGTAATTTATGCCAAGCGTAAAGTCATTGATCATACTGTTGGATTCCACGCCATATCATTACCTCAGAACTTGAGACAAAAGAAGACTGTTGTGAAAGAGGAAAAGGATAAAGATGAAGAGAATGATTTGAATGCTGTCTATTGAAAAGTCTAAGGAGAATTAAAAGAATTTTGATTTCAAATGAATTATTTCATTTACAAGTTCTAAATTTTCAAATGCATGGGTGGTGGATAGGAATAAGAATCCAGAATATGGAAAAATGTTTTGGAGGATGGAATTCATGAGAGATACAAGTCTCACCAAACGAGTGAAGGAATTTCATGATGAGAAAAATTATGGAGTTACATTGTTCGATTCCTCGACTTGAGAAATTGCGGTCAGGGCAGTTTTGTATTCAGGTGTTTCAAGCAAAGTTTGGTCATCTTTCACTTCTTCTAAAAACTTCTTCAAATCAGAGTAGGCTTGTTGTAATCGGGATTGAGAATTTGGAATCATTTGCTTGGTTTCCTCAATCACATTTTGTTGTTGTCTCAATTTAGTTTCCTCTTCTCCTTTATTTTGCATGGTGGTGAGTCGTTCCAATTCCTTTTGAAGCTCAACTTTATACAAGTTGTATTCTTTGAAGCATCGGTTGCAACTTCCGGTTTTAATTTTCAATTTTTGAATCGTTTGCTTGGACATGATAATCGTCGAGTTGGTGTTTTTGTTTTTTTGAGGTGTATAATTTCACTTTGGGCGCCACAAGATTAATACAACAATTTGAATTGGCGCTTTCTTACTAAACCTTACAAATATCGTCGACATGACCTTGATCAACAACATCGTCATGTAAAAAACAACTGTTGTCAACATCTAGATGAAACTCGGCTCAATTTATTGTGAGAAGAACCACTTTGAGTAAATTTAAGCATCAATTTGGCTGAAATCTGGCTTCTCAGGATAGGTACAACCCTCATATTGAATAATAGTGGAAGAAGTATAAATACCAGCCTTCACACATTCATCAATGGATTTACCTTGAGCCAAAAACGACAAAAATCCACCAACAAATGAATCACCAGCACCATTGGTGTCAACAATCTTTTCCTTTGGAATCTTCTTCACTGGTACCTTGTGAGAAGTTCCATTCACACCAATGCAAACAGCTTCTGGACCTTGTGTGAAAATGACGTGACGTGGTCTGTTGGAATTCTTCTTTTCCAAAAGAGATACCTTTGCAGCAATATCAGCAACATCAGTTTCATCCCAATTCAAAGATTTAGCAAATGCTCTTGCTTCTTCTTCGTTACCAAATAAATAATCAGTGTATGGCAAAATTTGCATGAGTTTGTCATGGAAAAATTGAATCAAGAAAAGTGCAGACAAATTGAAAGAGAAAATCTTGTTGTTATCACAAGCGTGTTTGGCAGTCTCCAACACACTTTCAAATGAAACAGTGACAAAGAATCCAGAAATGTAAAACATGGAAGCCTTTTGAACAGCTTGTTGAACCTCCTCACTCTTGTAATGATCATACGAGTACTTTTCAGCAGCACCTAAATTTGCAATAAGAGCTCTTTCATTATCGCAAACAAGAGCAGCACAAGTACCCGTAGGTCTTTCCTTTGTAATTTGATAAATAACTTTCAAACCATCTTTTGTAACGCTTTCCTTCATAATTCTACCATATTCATCATCACCTACACATCCGACAAAGACAGCAGTTGGATAAGAGACTTGATTCATCCATTGGAAAACTCTCATCACATTTTGAGTAGCACCACCAGCAATATACCGTACTGGAAAGTTTTGAACAAGTTCAGCATAGAGAGGAAGGTGTTTCTCTTCAGCCAAAATAGCACCACCCACTGGAGCGTTGTACTTTTCAATGAGAGTATGAGGAACCACAGCGGAGATGTCCAACAATGGGTTGCACATACCGAGGAGGCATCCTTCAGGGACAGTTGTTGTAGATGATGGAGTGGACATGTTGTTATAGAGATTTCTCTTGCAAGAATAATGATAGCGATGATGGTTCAACAAGTAGTGCTTGATAAAGCAGGCTGATGGTAAGTCAAGCTGGAGATTATTTTTTCTTCCAATATTCAATAAAAAATTTAAATTCAAAAGATTCAATCGTTTGATCATTGCGTGTTGATGATGATAGTGTTTTCTTGGAACAACAAGCTTTTGCGAACGTTTATATCAAATACCAATATTCTCGATCCTCAACCATGATTTAAAATTCCAAATATCACGGAATTCATCACACGGATGGCTTTAGCAATTTGTTTTTTATGAGTTGAATTTTGAAACTTAAATTCTTAATATGAAAAGTTCCTTAAAAGTAGAAAAGTGTGTATGGCATGAATTCATGGCAACAGGCAGTGGGAAACGAGTCTTCATCATCTTCCAACATGACTCTATGATCAAAACAACCATCTCGAATCCATTTCTAAAAAATGTCCAACTTCTCATCGGAAGCCTCTCTTGCAGAATCTAGAGTGATTGAATTAGCAGATCCAAAGAATCCAACTCAGAAAGCATGGCAACAAATTGATGAAAAGGATGGAGCTGTTGTTGTAGGTTGAATTATTGAAATTGGTTTTTCAAGGATTGATGATCGTTGACATTTTCCTGGTCATTGACCTTTAATAATGTTTATTGTGATATTGTTGTTCTATTAAAAGGAATTTGCTGAACCACCTCCACATACTGGATCCTATCGGGTGACCTACTTGATGAAAGGTATTGTATGAATTATTGTGATCTTTTATGATTTTTCTATTTTTGAAATTTCATTCATACACAAATTTCATAATATTGAACCATCGGCAACGAACTCTACTAAAATATAACAATGGTGTTAGGTGTTACTGTCGAGCAAGTAGCACAAATTTTATGGAACAACGATCACATTCTTGCACTCAGCACTTCCCTTTCTGAGATTAAATCTTTGAAAAAATTGAGTGACAATGAGGAAATTGTTGCTCACATGCACAAATCACCAGGTACGTGATGGGAATGCTGTTTGAGCAATGATTTAATATTTTTGTCAAATCGAGTCGAGGTATAACCCTCTCACTTTGTGTCTTCCATGTTCGAAAATTGTGAATTATGCTTGTTGTTGCATGTCACCACCGAAAATATGATTGAATCACCTCTTTGAACTATTTCTCGATATGGATGCAATTCAATGTCGCCTCCGATAGCATTTGGAGTTTCAAAAAGAGATTATTTAATTGCAAGAAAAATTGACAAGAGAGAGGATGGTTCTGTAGTCATTGCTCAAAAAAGCATTGTTGACAATTCATTGTTCCCTGAACAATCAGGCTTTGTGAGAGGAGATTTGTTATGCTCTGGATATGTCGTCAAGCCTGTGAAGAAGCCAAATGAAACCACTGCATCAAGTTGTCATGTGACCTATGTGATTCAAACAGATGTCAAAGGTAAGGTGTGATTTTGTGTTTTTGGAAATCCAATAATAATTGATTGAACGAATCATGTGCTCAACATGTTTGTGGAACGCATCATCAACATTTGGATGCAATGAACGAATCAAAATTAATGTTGGAAATTATATCAATATCCAGGATGGATACCTGATTTTGTCAAGAAAATGGCCAATTCCCAGCTTACTACACAACTCTTGAACTTGTATACCTATGTTAAAAAGATATTTGGAATTAACTAAACAAACGTAACCTTCCTGCAAGGCTTGCAAAGTTGACCGTTACAAAATTAAAAAAAAACGTTAAAATTTTTGGCTGGCGGTTGATATTTTTGAGCTGCTCAAATTTTTTGAATATTTGTTGCACCTCCACAAATATTCACAAACAACAAGGACAACAGAAGAGTTTCATCATCAACAAGACTTTTAGTGCCGAATCAATTCCTTTACATACAAGTATATATACAATTCCGTACATTGTATACACTCAGAAAGCCTTCTAGCTTTGGTGGTCTCAGAGAAAATGAAAAAGAAGACACACCAACAACAACATCACGGCACGAACAGTGGTGGTAGTAATGGTTCAGCAGTGCATCATCATCATAGAAAACCACCGACTCATCCCCACAGCAACAATACCGTTAACAGCACCAACAACAACAACAACACTCATCGCAATGGCACCAACAACACGCAGCATCATGGAAGAACCAAACCGCACAGCCATAACAACGCCCAAAAAGCGTTTTCAAAACAGCAACCAAACACCTCAACAACAGTAGCACCATCCATCGTTGCTAGTGTTGCTTCAACTACTACTGCAACAACAACAACAATGAATGGTTCCACTCCCTCGAACATAACGTCAGGCTCTTCATCATCCAATGTCCTTATAGGGGACAAACCGCTCGAACCCTATCTCAACGACTTGTTCTCAGCTCTAGTGAATGGTACCAAAGCTTCTAACAACTTGCCTTCCAATCAAGACTTTGAATTCTTGTCGAGCCATTTTCCTGAATTCAGAGGAGCCATGGATGAGAGTGCCTCTTCGCTACGTACCACGTTGTCCTCTTTTTTTGGGTCGGGTCAAAGGATGATCAATTCAGCCATGCTCGAGGAGGATCCAGAAATCATGTTCGAGTCGACTGTTGATTTATTGGATCAATATTTTGAAAATGTAGATATTGCTCTTGATGAGATGGAGTTGAATGCAACAGAAAGTGTTGGAGTGAATCCTTCACTTGCGAATGGATCGTTGAATTCACACTCGTCCTCCACTCTTCAAGATCCACACACTTCCCTCAAATCCATGAGTCGGCCACAATTGAAATGGAACGATATTGATAACTCGAATCAACCATTTGTTCCCAAATTGAAGACAAAACCCAATGCTTTTGTTGCAACACTAGAGCAATCTCTAAGCATTGGATCTTTGGATGAACAAGATGAAAAGACACGTTCTTTCCAAACATTTGAACAATCGACCTTGCCTCCCTTCCCATTTCGTCTTGGAGTCGGAAATGGTGTTGGTGGAGAGCCAGTTCGTGAAAGTCGTCCACATCCCTATCTTCCTGAATTGCTGAGTCTCGAGTTTATGCCCTCTCAATACAAACCACCTGAAGGTATTGCTCCATTTTCAAAATTAGATGATTCATCTTGTACTTGGATCAGTACTGTAGATGATCTCCATCGATTGGCCAGCTTATTAGAGGCCCAAGATGCATTTGCCATTGATTTGGAACAACATAGTTATCGCTCCTTCCAAGGATTTGTTTGTCTCATGCAAATTTCAACGAGAAATGAAGACTTTCTCATTGATACCATTGAATTGAGACAACATATGCACATTTTGAATTCATCCTTTACTCATCCAAAGATTGTAAAAGTGATGCACGGTTCAGATTGTGACATTGTGTGGTTACAACGTGATTTTGGTATTTACGTTGTCAACTTATTCGACACTGGTCAAGCATGCAGAGTGTTAACACATCCAGGTTGTTCTTTGGCCTATCTTCTCAAACATTATTGTGGCATTGAGGCAGATAAGAAGTATCAATTGGCAGATTGGAGAGTGAGACCTTTACCGAGCGAAATGGTGAAATATGCACGTGAGGATACTCATTATTTGCTTTACATTTACGATCGATTGAGACATGACATGTTTTTTAAACCAAATTTATCTTCGAGCGTCTCTGGTGTTGAAAGAATGGAAGAGGTGTTAGTGAGATCGAGAGAATTGTGTATGAGAAGATATGAAAAGGAACTTTTCACTGAAACCTCCTATCTTGGACTCATCAACAAATTCACACGAAGCATTAGGAACATTAACGAAAAGGTCATTCGCGTGCTCTACAAGTGGAGAGATACTGTTGCAAGAAAGGATGACGAAAGCGTTCGTTATGTGCTGCCCGATCACATGATACTCTCCATTGCCGAACAGACACCAACGGAGGTGAGCAAATTGTTGACTTGTTGTAATCCTGTTCCAAAGCTAGTACGTCGTGACGCTAAGGTAATTGTCAATCTCATTAGTAAGGCGTTGAACGATGGTGACTCGACGGTAGAGCCAACTTTCTCAACTCCCAGTAAGATTCCTGAAGATCACTACATTAATCAACATGCAAAGCCATCCTTTGAATTGGAATCGCCCATTTTTAATCCTCATTACAAGACTCCTTCTCGAATGAGCCCTGTCATGAACAGTGATGAGTTATATAATATTGCTGGATGGGTTGAATCTAAAAACTTTTATCCATCGTCATCGATATCCAAACTTTCATTTTCTGAAGAGGACCATGAAGCTTTGGATTCATTACCTTTTGAACCTCCACAATTGACACAGCAACATCGATCCGTGAATGTGACACCCAGTAAGAGTTCACTCTTCTTCCCATCATCGATGAGTTTCCCAACATCCACCATGGCATCTCACAATCAAGAAAAGATCTCCAAAATCATGTCATCATTCTCACTAGGTCAACAACCTTCTTCATTCAAGAATGATACATCCATGATGAGTCTTGTGGATGATGACGACGACATGCAGTTTTTGTCCAAAGGTCAGCCACAAGATCAAATGGACACCACTTCGAGCTTCCTTCTCAATCAAGCGGATCAAGCAAGCACACCCAATCATTCCTCTAAGAAGCCACCAGCATCTGTACGTATCACTCCTGAAGAGGAGAGAGTCCCATCGAGTCTTAATGAAATTTACATGCTCTCTCAAAAGAATCGAAAGAAGAACAAGCAATGTAAAAAGAAGAAACTCAAACAGGACTCTGTTTCAGATCCTTCTCCTGCATTTATTGGAAGTGAAGGAGGAGGTGATGGCACGGATGATGCTCCACACCAGCCATCTTCAGTGAATACAACAACAACCACTGGTATGGACTTGACTCAAAAACCAGTGGATTTTATGAAGAAGATTGGATGGTTGGGAGCTGAGGAGGAATTGTCAGCTTCTGAAGAAGAAAAGGAAGAAGAACAAGAAGTGAATGCATCTGTACAAGTGAAGGTTCCTAGTTTTAGCAAGCCAAACATGAATGTGAGAAAGAAACCCTCGAAAAACTATATATTCTCTAAGCAAAACAAGTATTAATCATCAACACCACCAAACCTAGGTTTTAATATAAAAGGCAAATGCCTAATTTATCATTTTATAGAGTTGGTGTTGTTTCTATTGGTTCATTTCAAAAAATGTTTGTAAAGATCAAGCAGAACTTGGAGAATCGATCGTTATGGAAGAAGAGATGGATATGGTCCATAGGAATTGTCATGGTAGCGATGTCGTTGATGATGAGCTGGTTGGTATTAAGGAAAAATCGAATCCAATACATTGTTTCGCTTACTCAATGGAACAACCTGACCAGTGTAACATCATCCTCTTCCAACACTCCAACTTGTGAAGATTATCAAGTTGCCTTCTATCCCGACGATGACCAAACTCAACCCATTCAATGTGGCCAATGCATTCCTGGAACTTCAGGTTTAGACACTCGAGAGTATTGTGCCATTCATGAATATTGCACCGACGACGGTCAATGCCAACCCATTACATCACATCCTCTCTATCATGCAGCATGTCCACGAGAATTGGGTCGCCCTGAAACCAAAGACGGATGGTGTGGTGCAGGACTTCGTTGTTTACAACATCAATGTCGACCCTGTGTCACTGGCATGATGGATTATGCCGATGGTAAAATTTGTGTGAATGACGTGTGGACCTATGATACCTTACAAATTGGTTTTTATCATCCCACTGTGATTTTTCTGACAGCGTTTGTGGTCTTGGTGGCATCGAATATGTGTCTCGATGGTTGCATGGAAGCCGTGTTTGCATGTCAAAAGAAACGACAACGACGCATTGAGGAAAATTTGAAAATCTTTTATCAATACATGATCTCAACGAGAGAGGACAAGCATCAGCAGCAATGATACATGTATGGATTAGATCTCTTCCTAATCAATCGATTAGACCATGATCAATTTAAAGAATAACTACTATTTTACATTTTAATATTTACAACATGATCTGATCAATATCATCGGATAAATCATCCACAGATAAATGTTCAGCGGTTCCTGATTTTTAAATTCTACACGACTTTGAAGACATTGTAAATGCGCCAATCGTTCATGGATCAACTCCACTCTCCGTTTAAATTTCACCAAAATTTCCTCATTTTCCGAGATGGCCAATACCAAATCCTCATCTTGTCCACTTTCATCATAATTTCTTTCATTTCATGATTGGATCGTTCCAAATGAAAGATTTTAGTATTTAATTCTTTCAGTTCGTATTGAGTAGTGGCCAATAAATTTTCATATTCTTCCATCATGGTATAGGGAGAATGTTCTTCTCCTCCGTTTGTTGTTGCTATTGTTGGAGGCTTCTTCCGAAAATCCGTCATGTAAATTCCATCACTGATTTTTTCTTCGGGATAGGAATGAATGCTTGGCTTCATTTTTTTTTCTTTTTTCTATTTTTGGAATGATTTCTTCAACAAAAACAAACTTGAAGAACTTTTTACAAATTGAAAATTTAATTTTTAAATTGTGAAATTCAAAAAACCTTTCATCATGTCTCTCTCCAATTTTCACACACACACACTTCTCAAAATACTTCATTTGTAATCATTTGTTCCTCTTCTCGATCATTTCATTCAAAATTTATATTTCTTCATGTGAATCACCACTACCACCATTGATCATTGCCGTCGTGGTCGGCGATGACACACAATTCGAATGATTCAATGAAGTAGTACTAGATGTAGTATTATTATTCTTTGAAGAAGCTCCCATTGTCGTAGAAGTCGATGTAGTCGAATTGTTTCCATTGTTTCCATTGTTTAACATCAATAATGGTTCTCGTCCACTTTCTGATTCTGATCCTGCCATCGATGAAAAGTTAAAAAGTGATGCAAAGGTTGATTTTTCTCCATTTCCATACGAGACGAGTCCAGAATTGGAAGGAACGTTCAACATGCTAGGTTTTTCATCTTTGGGACGTTTGAAAATTCTCTCATCCGTGTTGGCATCGAAATATTCGACTCGATTTCGAGTTTTTGGAGGTGTCAATTCAGCATGTTGAAATAATTCCTTATCCAATAATTTTAACTCTCGATAGAATTTGTCATTGGGTTTGATAATGTCTCTCTTTTCATAGACTTCTCGATAGGCAATATTCAATCGTTTCTTCTCGGTCAACATGATGTGTGAAATGACAATGGCACTCGATCGACTCACTCCAGCCATACAATGAACCATACAGGCGCCTCCCGTAGAAATAGCTTCTTGAATGAATTTTGATGCTTCTTCAAAATGAGGTTTCAGTGTCGCTTCGGTCGTATCGTCTGCAAAAATAATCATGTATTTGAAATCATTCTTGTATCTCGGTGGAATGTCTTTGGCAACGGTTAGAATGTGTGTCACACCGAGAGATTTGAGTAGTCGTCGTGATCCTGCAGGCGGTGCCGAGCTTAGGAATAGAGAATCCTTAATTTTGCTTGGTTCTTCATAGGCATATTCAAATGTAATGTTCTTATTGTGCATGTGTGTTTTGACTTGTTCGGATGGGTTTAGTTGATAATTATTGATGATTGAAAATTGTTTTAGAGATTTTAGGTTCATGACTGAATCTGGTATGGAAATGATTTCATTGTTGTCCAAATTCAAAATTTCAAGTGACGTTAATTGGCTGATTTTTGGATCAATACTCTCAATAGAGTTATGTTTCAATTTACAAAAAGAGAGAGATTCCAATTCATAAAAGTAGTCAGGTATGTTACCACTCATTCTATTCATGGTCAGGTCCAAATATTTGAGTTTTTTGCAATTTCCAATTTTAGGAAATGATTCCAAGTAGTTGTAAGTTGCTTCTAATTTCTCCAAATTTTTCACTTTAGAGAAATCAAAGAGATTTTTCAAATCATTTTCGCTTAAATCTAATTCAATTAAACTTTCAAGTTCTGACATTTCTGGAGGCAGCTCTGAAATTCGATTCGACTTTAACTTTAAAATTTCTAACTTTTTCAAATCACCAAATGCAGGATCCACATCTTCAATGTTATTGTCACTCAAATCTAGATAAACCAAATTTACAAAATGACTAAAGTGTTCAGGTATATGTGTGATATAATTCTTGGAGAGAATAAGTTCTTGCAACATTTGCAGAGTCCGTACTTCAGTAGGCACTCCACGAATGCTATTATTGGACAAGTGTAAAATTTCAAGTTTTGCTTGACAAAAGAGTTGTGCCCATCCATGGAGTCCACATCCATTTGCATACAACTCTTTCAGTTGACACAATTGTGACATGAGACCTTGAGTCTGAGGAAACCATTCGAATTTGTTACCACTCACATTCAAAATTCGTAAATTGAGTAACGAGCAAATAGTGACTGGAAATGATGTAAAATTACAATTCTCAACTGAAAGTTCTTTCAAACTATCCGCTAACTTGCTAATATCAGGCAAAGTTTCCAAATCATTTTTCGTCAGATCCAATCGCTCCAAATTTGAAAATTTGAGTAAATCTTGTGGAAAGGTCGTCAAATAGTTATAACTCAAATTCAAGTCTCTCAGTGTCGATTGTAATTGTTGTGGACGATCAAAGCCAAATAATCCAGCAATTCCCGTTGTTGAAATTTGTATTCTACTTAAACGATTAAAACTCATGTCGAGTTTTTGGAGATTCATCTTGTTGAGTTGTGAAGGCCATTCTTTAAAAGAGTTGAGTCGAAATTGAAGATCCAGTAATGAATGTTCAAGAAGTTCCATGTTTTTCGGGAGGGTGGTGAGATCGCTCTTATTCATGATGAGTGTGTGAAGAGAATTGAGTTGAGAAATATTTGGAGGAAGAGATTGAATGCAGTGACCACTCAAATCCAAGTACGTCAGATTGGTTAATTGACAAATCTGTGAGTGTGGATGAGTGAGTGACACATTTGTGTGTGGAATTGTGAATTTGTGTGGAATGGAATTTGAATGGTATTTGTGTGGAATTGTGAATTTGAGTGTGGAATTTGAAAATGTTGTTTGTAATAGTCGAAGAAGAGTAGTTGTTGTGCATACGAAGAATCAATATGGAATGTCATGTGATGGTCGTCCACCCATATTTATAAATGTGAGTAAATATGTATGGACAAGGATGTATCATTGATTCCAATAGTTACATAGTGTTTGTTACATGAATTTATAGTCATGTCATTATCATATGAAATATTTCATCAAACGTTTGACATTTCATCATGAAATCCATCGACAAAAATGTAGATTGGTGTCAACAATCATCATTGAAAACCACATGATCATCATCATATTGAACCAAGTCATACATCCACATATGATCTCATAACAACCCCAAAACAACAACAACATACCTTCAATAATTCTCTATCCGTAAAACGTCGACTGGTATGATCTTTCTGAACCGCAGCATGCAATGTCGTTGAATTTGGAATATCTTGAAGAAGTTCGTTGAGAATGTCTTTGGGATCTTTATCTAATGTATTGTTATTATTATTATTGTTGTTGGTTGTTGATGAAGATGATCCTTCTTGAGAACCCGTTGTTGTTGATGATGATCCGTTTTTGGTTGATTCATCAGAAGAGGCTTTTTTGTTGATATAGATGGATGCCATATGAATTTGTTGTTATAATTGTTATAATTGTTATAATTGTTATTATTGTTGTTGTTTTGGATGAAATAGATGATGTTGATGATGATATTGAAAAGGAAAATCCTCTACATAGGTTTGAAAATCTCTAACTTTTGTCGTTCTTTTGTTATTTTACTTCTCTTGTGTTGAATGTTGTGTGTTATATTCTCTATAACAAATAATTTTCAAAGATGATGATGATGATGATACAACAACAACACGATTCTTCTTACTACTCGTCCCTCAACAAGTTCAAAACAGAATTCTTCCTACTACTACTATTTCTCTCAATATATTATGATGATTGTTGATTCAATGAACGATCGTTGAATGTTCTCCGAAGATTGATGAAACGTTTTCAAAGAACAAAGGCTTGTTGAAATGCTTGAATTCGCTCCAAGTGTTCAATTCCTTGATGTTGATGTTGTTATTTCTCTAACTCGAAAAGATGATGATGATTGATTCTCTTCGAGAGAGAAAGGAGGAAATACAAGTGATTTCAGTGAGAGAGAGCGAGTGACCCTTGTTGTTGTCTGAATGAATCAGGGATGGCGCTGGAGAGAGAGGATGATGGCTTTGCGAAGAGTTTTTAATAATTTTTGAGAGAACAAAAGTACCAATGACACTTGACATGTTGAAAAAAATATATTAGGAAACAGTATACAGCAGCAGTGAATAAGCGAAGTCATTCAGTGATGAGAGGAAGCAATGGTCGATCATTGTACATTTGAAAAAAGGATTCGTTTCATTTGGAAGCCATTCTCAACCTAATTCCTTTGAATGTAAATTCAAGTTCGTTTTGAATTTTCGAATAAAATCCGAAAACTCGTTATTGTTGAACAATGGGGAATTTAACAACTACTAGCACCATTGAATTCCATTTCCAACAAGAAATTCTGTTTTCTTTCCATGAATTGGAGGAATAACGAAAAATTCTGTTACACCATTCAAATCAAGAAAAATATTTATTTCAAAAAAATGCCTCCGCAACTACAACAATCATCATCACCAAACATGTTTCCTCTGCTTCAAGCCAATGCTGATCCCGTGAGCTTGCAATATCCTTTCCCGTTGCTTTGTGTTAAGAGAAATACGAGTACAACAACGAAGGGAAATCAAACTTTTTTTAAAATAGAGGTGAAGGATCCGATGCAGCCAAATGGTCCATCACTCTCCATGATCATAATGGAGAAACCGGAAAATGCTGCCGCTCGTGAATCATTGGTTGAAGGATCCATTATTAATGTGTCCAAGATTGTAAGAAGCAGTTCAAAGTTGTATATTTTAACTAATTTTACCGTAGAGAATTCACGTTCAACATCATCCACAAGTAGTAATCATAGTAGTACATCCACGACAGCAACCACACAACGACACATTTCTAACCCATCAGCAACTACTACTCCTGCTACTAGTAATAATAATTCTAGACCTGGTGGAGCCTTTGGGAACAACCCTTCTGCAAATTCTGCCACACCATCAAGCTTTCAACGACCTGTAAATCAACAAGCGTCTAATGCTCAGCCACAAAATAATTCTAGACCTCCGTTGAATTCTTCCAGACCAAGCGGCCAGCAACAAGTTGCAGGAATGAATAATGTTCAACAACGACCCTCCTCACTAATTCCTCAACAACAAAAAGCAATTCCTCCTAGTAATAGCCAAACTATTGATCTCAAAACAAAACCCATCGTACCTTTAGTAGCCTTAACGCCTTGGCTATCAGATTGGGTAATCAAAGCTAGAGTTACTAGAAAACAAGATATGAAGTGTTGGGAAAAGGAAGGAAGAAAAGGAAACATTCTTTCTATCACGTTGATTGATCAAGATTCTACAGAAATTAGAGCTACATTTTTCAATGAAGGAGCCATAAAAGCCGATTCAAAATTGCGTGAGCAAGGTGTCTACTATTTCAAAGGAGGAGGTCTTAAAGAAGCAGATCGCAAGTATAACTCAAGAATTGCCCACAAGTATGAGATTTCATTTAAAGATAATTGCATTATCCAAGAAGCCATTGACAATGAAGCTATGTCTATTCCTCAAGGTCGTTTCTCGTTAACGCCTCTAGATCAAGTTAAAGATAGCCCAAGCCAAGACAAATTCGATATAATAGGACTTGTCAAGACGATTGGAGATCCAACAGAGTTCAAGTCAAAGAACGAAAATTCAAACACAACATCGAAAAGAGACATCACTATCCTTAGCAAAGATGCTTACGGACAAATTATTGAAGCAGTCATTACTTTATGGGGAGATAACATCAAATTTGAAGAAAAATCTATTGTGATTTTTACAGGGTAGGAAGAAAATTATCAGATAATGGCATGAGTCTTAGTTGTAACTGCTCTCAAGTTATTGTGAATGTTGATATTCCAGAAGCTACTGAGCTTCATCAATTCTTTTCTCAGCAAAACGTGCCAATCGAAGCAATTTCAGGTCAACTCATTACAGCAGTATTCACAAAATCATCAACCTTTAGAAAGGTAACGATTCAAGATGTTGCTAACACCACTGTTGAGGAGTTGGATAGAATTCCGCAAAAAGAAAAGGAGCCTGCCAAAACAAAGATGTTCTTTGTTAGGTCTCATGTTCTGAGCTCTCCCAATCAAGGAGATTTTTTCTATCCAGCTTGTAGTAATCCTGATTGCAAAGGAAAGAAAATGAAAAAGGACGCGGATCAAATGGATCCAACTTTGAGATGTCCTTCATGTGGTGGAACTGAGATGACTTACAGATACATGGCTTCGCTTATATTAGCTGATTATTCAAGCTCTCTCTTCGTGACTGCCTTTGATAGTGCCATGACTGCATTACTTGACAAAAGTGCTTACGATTTTGCAACTTTGGACGAGAATTCAAGACGTGAATCGATCAGTGAGATGACATTCGAATGTGCCACTTACAGGATAAGAGCTTCCGTTCCTCAACAAGGTGACAAAGTGAGATTTACCTTGATGGGAATGAAGAGGATTGAGAACTGGGAGAAAGAAGCAGGATCTTCTCTTCGTGCTATCAAGTCTTACATGAATGCATTTGGTCTCAAGTAGTTCCAGAGTACAATTGTAAATAAATTATTTATATGCAATAGTTATTGTTCTTGGCGTAAATTATTTCTTGTTTGGACATTGGTAAGATTTGATCCTGTCAATATTTGCTAGCTTGACAGCAGCTCTGTTTTGAAATATTGTTTTCCCAATTTTTTCATAAGGATTTGAACTGAATCGAGCATCAACGTTCTGGTAGGCCGTCAAATTCTGCCTTCGTTTTAAATATTGATGATTCATAATGCTGATCTATGCCTTTAGAGGAGACTTGTTTTACTAATGTTCCCATTTAATACTTTTTCCTTCAAACACTCAATATTAGCCATATATTCTACACCTTCATCACCAATTCGATTGCTTTCCAGATTCAAATAAGTTAAATTCTTCAAATATGCGCTGTTAGCAATATATTTGACACCTTCATTACTAATTCCATTGGTGTTCAGATCCAAAGACGTCAAATTCTTCAACCACTCACTATGGGCGATATATTTGACACCTTCATTGTCAATTCCATTGTTGTACAGATCCAAATAGGTTAAATTCTTCAAATATTCACTAGTGGCAATGCATTTAACACCTTCATTGTCAATTAGAGTTTCAGACAGATCCAAAGAATTTAAATTCTTCAAACATTCACTGTCAGCAATATATTTAACACCTTCACTGTCAATTCCAGAGTCAACCAGATTCAAAGAAGTCAAATTCTTCAAACACTCACAACTAGCTAAAAGTTTGATTGGTTCACGAACTTGTTTGGAGAAGCCAAATTCGAATGATAATGAGAGTGGAATTTGAAATGATACTAGTCTCCATTGTTTTGAAATTTTCATACAAATTTGAATAATAAACAATGAATCCAGGAAATGAAGAATTTCAAAAATAATGTCATCAATAAATGGTCCGTTGATATTGTCGGAATTTGTGAATGGAGAGGAGAAACCACCTCTTGTTTCTTCAGTCTGATCCGTGATCCTTGTTGCTGATGAATTGGTTTCTGCAAAAGTTTCAACCGACGACGACGATGGTGAGATTGTTCTCTTCTTCTTCTTGTTGGTGGTCGGATGCATGATGATGAAATTTTTTTGAATTGATTTTCAATTTTTGTGATTAGGATTTGGAATTAAGGTTTGTGTGTGAGAAAACGTGTGATTTTTTTTAGTTCAATTTAAAGTCTGAAACTTTGAGGAGTGCTGTAACATTGGTGATACACTTTTCCAAACAACTTTCAACACTGAGTGTTGATGGCTGGCCAAGCTTAGATCTCCCAGAATAAAAATTCGTACCAAGAGACAGCATGTGGATGCTTTAAGGTGAATTGTTTCACAACTTTCAGCATGTGAAATGTATTGACAAGACCATGATGAATTTGTTTCGAAGAGTCAACCATCACTTCCTTGTCATTAATACATCGTTGAATTAACAGTAGATCGCTTGCTATTTGAATGGGTTCGTACGGATACACTGTTGTAGTATTATAAAAAATTATTTGAGGCAGTTCAACTACTATTGATTTGCTCATTCATACTTACGATCAATGGAAGAATGTCTAAATTGTTCTGTTGAGATTTCTATTACATGTTGAATTGTGTTCTTCAGAGACGTGTCATCAAAGTATTTTTCGAACAGATCATTGTTTTCTAATAGGAAAATCCATAAAAATCTTCTAAACACCCAAAGCGATTCATGCCCTGGAAAAAGACAATCAAATACTGGCTATAATAGAATAATTTGAGTAAATAAATAAGAAAATATGAAGTCTCCTTGTCATCATTGTACTGTAAAAGAGCTTGTTTGTAATGACGCAAGAGTATGATTATATGGTTCACACATGAATGATCGCTGACATTTCTTTTCAGCCAGTTCAGTAAATCATCAAGTTTTTCTTTCAATACAACTCGTCTTGTGTCATATAATTCGCTGTTGCTTGATAAAAAATTACTTGACATGATAAGATTCATTAATTGTTGTCGATATGACCATGAATAATAATTTCTGGGATAAATAGTTACGGTTTTGGTACAATTCTCAATTTCACTATTTAAAAATCCTACAAAAGACTCAGAAACAGTATTTAAGAACACCTAAAACCTACTCACAAATTGTTCTCTTCCACTGAAGTATTTAGAATTGTCATTAAAAATTAAATTTCTAATAATCCAATTGCGATGATCCCATGACTCACAACTCTTTGGATGTTTGGTTGCCACAAGATTTAAAAACTGTAATTCTTTGGAGACCTTTTCCACGCTGGAGCGATGTTTAGATAAATATTCCTTTCTTACATTCCATGCTGTAACACAATCGGCATTGATTAATAAAATTCCACGAGTGATGGCCAACAACTCGGATTCGGAAACGTTTTCTTTTTCTCGTTCAACCTCTAACAGCCGTGAGTAGGCATACTTGTACACGAGTGGAAGGCACCAAAAGGATAATCCAATTCTACTGTCTTTATAGAGAAATGGACAAATGGTGTCCACATGTCTTGAAGGCTCTTGATCCTCTTGATTGCTCCGTAATATTTTCTCTAATTCCGAAATTGATTTTGGAGGTTCTTGTTTACTCAACATCAAACCCAGCTCCATGATATGTTCATCCCTTTCAAAGAATGTATTTAATTGATCAAAAAGTAATTTTCCAGCTTGCTTTTCATCAAGGAGCGTGGGACTTGTTGGATTTGTGATCATTTTTTTTTGCATTTGCATTACATTAGTCATGAAAACATGATGAACTTCAGCTGATTGAAGGCGTCCTTGGATTCAGGTTGGAATGAACATCGTGATTTGAAAAAAATATTTAAGGCAACAATAATTTCCCTCATCAAAAAAAAACGTTGAAAACGCCAACATAACGCTTGGAAGCTTCCCTCAATTCATTTCTGTTATAAGGGAAGATGAAAGACCCGAGTGAGGTTTTGAATAATGAATTTGAGTTTTTAGAGTGGTTTACCAAGGATTCCTTCTCCCGAGTGGTCCAAGAATTTAATAAGGAGTTTGATGATTTGTTGAGAGTGGTCCAGCAACGGGAAGATACAGCTGGCTCGTTGTTATTGAGAAGGGATGATCAGGTGCTGCGATCCGAAAGAAAAATAGACGAATTGCAAGCAGAAAATAATGAACTGAAACAACAATTGGATGATGAAATTATTTCTTCCGTTCGGAAGGAGGAATCTTTCAAAGAGAGCAATCAATCCAACAAAAATCTAATTGCTTCTCTGCAATCGGAAGTAAAGGCTCTCTCTGCAGAAGTAACCGAAAAAGAGCAACAAATTCAACGATTGAAAAAAGCAGTTGAATTGAAAACGAAAGAGAACAATGAAACAATCACCAAGCTGGAAAATGTAACTCAACAATTCACGCAATTACAAAATACTCACAACAAAATGAAACAAGACTCGGGAACGACAAGTGAGAAATATAGAACGTTGTATTGGGAGTCGGATTTGAAGAGAATTAATTTGGAGCAGGAGATGTTGGAACTGAAGAAAAAACTCAACGAGAATCAGCAGCAACTGGTTCCACAAATGCAACATGCCAACACAGGGGAACTGGAAGGAAAGATTGTTCTTCTTCAATCAAAGCTAAAGTCTTCTGAAAGAAAAAAAGAACACTACAAGTCGCTCTCAAGAGGAACAGGAAAGAAACTATTGGAAATATCCAACAAGCTCAAGGAAAGCGAGGAAAAGAGAGTGAAGAATTTGAATGATCTTTTGAAAAAATCATCTGAAAATATGGCTTATGTTTCAAAGATAAAAGAGCTCGAGTCCAAATTAATGGCGACACAACAAAAAGTTTCAGAGCTTGAGGAAGTGTGTCAATTAAGTATCTTGTCGAAAGAATCCAATGAACCTTCCAAGAAGTTACAATTGTACAAGCTCAAGAAAAACCTCCAAAATTCCGAGCCAAGTCACGATGCTTTACTGAATTTAAGAGTGTTAGAAAAGGAGCATGAGCTTTTCATGATTTCCTATGAAGAAATGAAAAGCCAATTAGCACAACTGAAGGAATTTAACGAATTTCTTCAAAGTAAGGAAAAAGCTCAAACTGACACAAATGCTGAGGACATTGATTTCTCCTTTGTCAGCCAAACACACAAAGAACTGGTTGACAGGATTAAGGTGCTTGAAGGAGAGATTAATGTTCTGGAAGAGCGATCTGCCACATCTGAAAATGAAGCAATTCATTTCAAACATCTCAAGGAAAATGCTGAAGGAGCACTCGCAAGTTTAACTCAACAGTATGAAGAAACGCGAAACCAACTCTTGGAGCAAAAGCAACACAAAACGGAAATAGAAAGGGCCCTTATTGAAAAAGATAAAGAAAATCAAACTTTGAGAGAACAATGTGCAGCACAGGAACAAGCTATTCGTGAAATTGAAAATACGTTAGGTGAGAAAGAGTTAGGTAATTTGAAACTGAACGAGGAAATTCACACGATGATAAATTTGATGGAATCAGCCAAGAAAGAGAGGATTTCAAGAAAAGTTGACCAAAAAACATCTCATTCACAGACTGATGAAGAGTTAGAAGAGACATATAATGCCTGGAGAGAAAAACTGTCAACAGATATTCATAAGCTAAAACAACAATTCTTTGAGCTTAGCTCACTAAAGCAACAAGAAGAACAGATCTACAATAATCATGTGTATAAACACAAAGAGAAGATTAAGGAAATACTTGAAGAAAAAAAGAAACTCGTAAATGAGATCAAAGACTTGAAGAAGATGTTGAAGAAAATGAAAAGTGTAAAGAAGGGGCTTGAAAAGAGTAATACACTAAATGCAAGCGAGCACAAGCCTGTCACACAACATGAAACGTTACCTGTGTCTCAAAAGACGTCAAGCAATCACCTTTTGCAAATGTCGCCTATAACAGAGCACCAGTCAGCCACGCCAAGCATGATTTCAGAATTGGAGAAAGAACCCATTTCCATGAAAGAAATAGTGGATGATACAATAATTGACGACACACATTGTGAACCTTTGAATACAGAGGAAGATGGTAATATCATGATCATGACACCCAACACAATCATTGAGAGTGTTCATGACCTTACTGAATTGGACGTTACCAACTCATCTTCTGCAAATGTATCTCCTTACGAGGGACTTTCCGAACCCGTGTTGGAATCATACTCTGAGGTTACTGCAGAGAGAGTACTCTCTAATGATCAATCTATTGAGAGCAACCAACAATCGCTTGAGACAGCATCAAATCAACAGCCTTTTATTGATCCTCAAACGATTGACTTTGATAACATTCCCGTCTTGAACTGTAACAATTCTTCCAATGTTGAGCAACAACCGCCTATCAGAGAAGCATCATCTGAGGATATTCATGATTCATCATCCGAAGAGATGTCTGTATATCAGGAAGAGGATGACTCAAGCCTTACTCATCCACGATCGGATAACACCATTCCATGTGAAAACACTACTAACGCAAACGTTGAGGACGTAGTAAATTCAATAGAGAATTCTTCATTTGACGCTGACAACACAGCGTTTACTGAGAGTTCAGTTATTGAAAATAGAGAACCTAAATTCGTAGATCTTACACAAGAATTAGGCACAAATGAAGAAGATATCGTCGAATTTAGAGATAAGGAACACAACGAAAACTATGGTTCTGTATTAGACATGCTTCCGACCAATGAGAATATAGAACATAGGGAGGAGGATTCCGATGACACTTCACAAAATTCCTCGAGCTCAAGTGCAAAATATTTGGATTCGACTGTTTCCAAAGATCAAGACCTTCCAAACATTGAACAAGACAAAGAGTCAACCAATACTAATTTGTATGTATTGAACGATACCATGCTTCCATCATCACAACTTGAAGAAGCAGTAGAGCCTTTGGAAGAATTCGCCGATGAAAACGTTCTTGAAGTTTCAGAAACACCTTATCAACACATCATGGATGAACGTATAGACTCAGTTGAGACTTGCTCTTCTCAAGAAGTGAGCGGTCAATCTGAGGATCAAGAGACCTCGAATACATATCAAGGCACTACCAACCAAGAAGTGTCTCTTGATACAATGGGTCAAACAACTGATACCGAGACCGAAGTCACGTCTAGTTCTGAAAACGTTGGCCTTAAGGAAAATTCATCGTCGACTCTTTTAATCCATGAAGAAGTAATCCAAACAGAGACTAGTATTAGAGAAGATGAAGACCTTCGAAATAGTGATGACGAGGAAAACATCATTCAGTCTGTTATCAATAAGGAGGAAATCAATTGTTCTTTACCAGAGATACCATCCCAAACAAATGAAACTCAAGAAGAAACTACCGATCTGTCACATGAATCGTACAACACTTCAGAAAATCCCTTGTGTACCACAGGTGAAAATCATTTATCTTTGAGCATTACCAAATATCAAGACCTTCCAAATATTTACCAAGAACATACAAACGAGTCTGACAATACAAGCCCACAAATCAATGCACAACTCGAAGAACATTCACATGAAAATGTAAACACCTTAGAAGAGATCCTATTAGAAGAACCCCAACACCATGACAGCCCTACACAGCATTCTGCAACTCCTCAAAATATAGACCAAGCAACAAGTGCTCTGGAAGCTGTAAACACTTGGCAAGACGACAGCCAGGAAGAAATGTCTCTTAAGCATGTGCCCCATATGGAAGACAACGCCTTAGAAATCAGATCTAGGCCCGAAAATGCAGAACTTATTGATACTGATTCATTGGAGCACATGACCCACGAAGAGACATTTCATCCTACTGAAAATATTCAAGAATTTGCAGATGATGAGAATTCGTCTGTATTCATTGACGACTCGTTTGCGAATACTTTGAGCGTGGGATACCAATCTACCAATGAAGGGGAAATAGGAGATGATGAATCTGAAGTTGATAGCGAATATGTATTTTCACCTATCCAGTCGTCCCATAGAGATACCCGAGACGACGAAGACGATTTCTTACATGCAATTCAACACTTGGAAAATATGTCTACTCGTATTGCTAAAGAGACTATTTCACTTAAAGAGGATATCGAACAGAAAAATGACAAGAACTATGAGACACATAAGGTTGAAGAGGGCGAATCGATAGATACCAACGTGGCTGTGCTAGAGAATGGGCAATCGTTTGAAAACTCTTTGGATGGTGGTAATACGAAAGACGTGCTAGTGAATGAGCTTAACAGAGCCATTACTATTTTAAATTCAGCTCAAGAAAATGTCATGCCAACAAACACTATTAATAACGATTCGGTAAAGATGACATTCCTGTCGACTTGTTGGGAGAGGAAAATAAGGAACAGTTGCAAGAGGTTTCTCTACCTAACCATCAGGTACTACCTTGCTCCCAACATGATCGTTTTGCAAGTACATCTGAATTATTGCAACTAGAGGAAGATTCCGTAGTGGTTGAACCAACGACAACCTATCAAAACGAAGAGCATAGAGAACAAATAATGGACTTGTCATCACTCTCATTGAACAATGACTCTTTAAACGTGTCATCGAGCTCCACTATTATTTTCAACACACCCACAAAAGTTGTGCTTCAAGATACGTGTGTAGGCACTCAAATTTCTGATATGAAGGAAGTTGGAGTGGAAACTGACGAGCAATACCCTCTAACACCTCCTAATGTTGTCAAGTTTGAAAATCGCTTGCATGAAAGAATTAAGGAATATGAGGATGATGAGAGTGACTACTTTTTGAACATTCCATTGCCAAAAACTGCTACCAGACAAGTGTATTACTATGAACGAAAATATTTATATCTCAAAATGAGGTACAGACAAATGCTTGAGGAACTTGTTAAATTTGAAATTGGATGTAGGCATTACAAACACAACGTTGCTGTGTTGAAAGGAGATTTGGAGAGAGCTAAGAAAACATTAGTTTCCTTAAACAAAGACAGGCATGTTAAAGAACAAGCCTTACTAGAAAAGATTTCATTACTCTCCACGAAACTGAAAAGAACAAGGCAACTACTTGATAAATATGTGCATGGTGGAGGGCAAGTATTGTAATAAATCTGACAGACGTCAAGATATCTCAAAATTTTGAAACGCTCAACAATACATTTTTATTCAGAAACACACCTATTTTTGTTTGAAATACACATACTCAACAATACATTTTTATTATACTGTCAGCTCCACAAGTTGCAAGCAGTGACTTGGTTGGATGATAAGAAACCTCATGAATGGCCTCATCATACTTCTTTCTGTGTGCTGGTAATTCTTGGATGCAATGTTTAGAGGCAATATCCCAAATTCTCAGCGAAGAATCATGCCCAACAGAAGCAAAATATAAACCATTGGAATCAACAGAGACAGAAGTGACTGCTTCCTTATGACCAACCATTTCATTAATTACTTTTCCACTCGAAGAGTCATAGTATCTGATCTTCTTGTCCTCATGAGCTGTAATGATCATTGGTACCTTTCCATGACATTCAAATTGATAAATAAGGTGCTGGCTAGATTTACTCTCATCTCCTAACGAGTCAGAAACCCAAATAGGTCTACCCATTTCTGTATCAAAAAGTCCTAATTTTGAATTACTAAAAGATACCACAAATTTGGAATTATCATTGGGTAAGAATGAAACATATGTTGGTGTTCCAATCTTGGAGAGAGAAAATGTTTTCAGGAGTGGTGATGTCGAAGATTCATAATCCCAAACCATGACAGTTTCATCAGCACTAGCTGACAACAGTAAATGACTCGTCTCATGTAAAGATAATGACCAGATTGCATCTGAATGGCCCGTTAATGAAGTATGTAAGAATGGTGTGGCATATCCATAGTTTGTATATGGATTGTGATCTAATGGAGGAATGTTCCAAACAATAATAGTATCATCTTGTCCAGCGCTAAATACTTGACCAGATCCACACAAAACAGTGTATACAGCTCCAGTATGCCCTCGCAACGTTTGTATCGGTTCATTTGCTCTGTTTCATAATGATATGTCAGTAATGGTTAATATTTCATAAATACATACTTTGACTTGTTAAGTTTGGTCACGTTCCAAACTTTTACTGTACAATCCTCCGAACCGCTGATTAAATAATTTTCTGTTGGATGGAAGGCAATGGATCTGACGCTATCCAAGTGATGTTTCAAAGTATATTTTGGTTTCCATGAAATTGGTTTTGAGGACAGAGATTGGGAATTAAAGGATGATCCTGATTCAAAATCAGATTTCGTACTGAGTTCAGAAGTATAGTCATTTTTCACAACGATATCTTCCAATTTCCATGAAGGCTTCTTTTTACCAAGAAGTGACAGTCCATCGGATGATAATTGAGAATCTTCATCTTTCCAAGGCTTCACTTCCTCTAGCATGTCTTCTGGAATTTTTTCTCCAATCGTTTTTTCAATTGTTTTGTCAGAATATCCTCGTTGTCTTAATTGCGTAATAAATTTTTTCATGTCTTCTGCTTCTGCAGTGTTTTCTTCATTTCTGCTCTTTTCAAGATTTTTAGATTTATGACTATCACTGTTTTGAGTTGGTAAAGTATCAGTTGTTGACGAAATAGTGCTTTCATATTCTGAATAACCTGTGTGATTGGTCATGGAAATTGATGATGTCGTAGCTGTAGTGTGATCACTTTCCGAAGCGACTGATAATTCTTGAGTTGCTAATCCTATTGATTTTGGATCTGTGCTTGATAACACATATTGTGCATTCATCATGTTTGATGGTGTATTTTCTGGAATGTCTGCAATGAGAGACCACAAATCAGAAGATTCAATTTCCTTCAAATAGCTGTCCAAGATTGTTAAATGGCTACTAGCCTCACTGTCAATATACTTACTTTCGCATAATTTCCAAACTCTTTGGCTTTGCAAGAGGAGTTGATGTAGTGTTACTACTGCCATTCTGTTGGAGATTCGTGTTCGCTGTGGTGGCAGGAGAAGAAGAAGGATTGTTTTGTTGAGATGATGATGATACAACTGGTTTTGCTGTTGTTACAAGAGACTCACAAAAAGATAATAAATTCTTCTTGTAGGACTCGTCCGATGATTCTGTTTTTCTGATGTGATCTACAAGTGTTGAGAATTTTGATCTTTCTGTTCGCAGAGCAAACTCCAACATTTTAATTCTTCTCAAAAGATCGTACTGAATCTTCTCCTGGCTTTTACGGAATGATTCCAAATGTGCTATCGTAGTTGATAACTCTCCTCTCTCTAATTCCCATAACTCTCGTTCATTCTCAAATTTACGAAACTCTCGCTGAAGAAAATTGATCGTTGTTGGAAAATTTAAATTTTGTAAAACAGCATTATTAACTGTATTCATACTATAGAATCCTCCACTATTACTTGATCCTTCCATGAGGAGTGATGATGAAACGGGCGGAGTTTGAAATGGGTTGTTGTTACTGCTGCTGCCGTTGCTGAAGGGCTGCGAGGCACTACTGAACCCGCTCATTTTTTGAAAAGGCTAAGATAAGATGAAAGCGTAATCGTTCATCATTTCGAATGAGAGACTCACGTCATCAGAGAATAAATTTATTATTTATTTCATCATAGTAGTGTTATGATTTTATAGTTGCTAATGCTGAATTATTCTTGTTGTTAAGAAGAGTAGCCATATTGGTGTGGTGTAAGGAGTTCCTTCTTTTCTACAGGTAAATATCAGAATGTTTTAGAGTGTTTTCACTCTGTTATTCTCTCCAATCTTCTTTCCTGACTTGTTACTGCTTGGCCAATGAATTGATGAGCACACGGAAGAAATTCAAATTTTCAACAATCCAAGTAATTACTAGCGAGTAACAATTCGATGACGATTTGTCGATGATCCGGGTTTTGTGGATCCAAATCTTGTAGTGGATTGAATGTGCTCATAAAATTGCCCTTGATGGATTTGTCCACTCTTCATTGTTGTTGGTCCATGTTTTTCATTATAATTAATATCAAATAATTAATATTCAATAATAATTAATATTAAATGTTAAAAGTGAATATTATAAATGTCCGTAATGCTAAGCGAGATACATTCATAAAATACCTACAAGAATTGGCATAATAATTCTAGAACATCTGTGGAAATATCATGCAAAGTAATTCTATTGGATGTTTGAAAAACATCATCGGTTATTAATTGATGAAGATATTTCGATTGAGCAGCAGCTTTTTTAGACAAGATAAATTCAAATTTCTCGGCACTGATTAGTGTGATATATTCTTTATCGGAAAAGTTAGAAGATGGTGATATGTTTGTGTTTGGATCAACAACATTTGTGGTACGGGCACTCTCGGATGAGGCTTCCATGATGGCTCCTCAATTTTTAGAATTGAACAAAAATGCATAATGATGATTCTGGGGAGATGCTTTCATCAAACAATGAAAAGCCTCCGAACGAGCATCATCACGATCAACGATTAATCTTTGAAAATAATCTTATACATGACATTTGGATGGAAATTGTTTCATTCATGGATGATGGTGAAATCCTCAGAATGAGATGTGTCTGTAAACAATGGAACGAATGGATTATTGACATGGACCACTCGTGTCCGTATTGGAGTGATTGTTTTACCAAGATTTTGAAATATAGTGTTCGAAAACGAAAGAAATTACTATATGAGAAAAATTTGGTTTTGAATAATAGAGCTAGTTTTCTCTATTTATTATTACTAAGAAAAATAGTCGATGAATGGAAATATGTAACACGAAGTTCAAAGATATCGAGTGGAGTTGATTATAGTTATTTTATTACCAACATTGAAAATGAGTCATCAAAAGTGACCGAAATGAGAAATCAAATCATTCCCTATTCGTTCATAACAAAAATTCAAACAACACCAATCATGGAAAGAAAAACACAGTTGGGGTATTCTCATCATTTTGAAATTTATGTCTTTGACGTAAAAGGGCTTGGTAATGTTTTGAAACTGGCTATAACATGCTCAGTTTACCAGAATAGATTTGAAATGGTACCAAAAACTTGTCGATATCAATTCTACATTTCTTATTCCAAGGTAATGCAAGAGGGCAACATTATGGCTAAATCATCCAGCAAGAATCATTGCTTATTGAAGTATGATCAGTCTCAATATCAACCCTTCAAAGACACAATTGTGGAGTTGATGAATTTTATTGGACTTGATGACTCGTACACTCAAAATGTTGATTGTCTGAGAGAGTTCATGTTGGTACTTTGTGTTGATACTACCATAACCACCAAGTCCATCAAACATCCTTTGACCATCGATCGAAGAAACTTTTCATCATACGTATGATGAGCGAGTTTGAAATGGTTCATAACAGTAAATTTTACAAAAAAATAAGGCATTGATTCGTGGTACACACCGTCGATTCGGAACTGTTGTTACTTTTTCTGTGTTGTTGTGCTGAGCTCAGTTCCAATGATTGTTCCGATTGAATTATTGAATTCTGTATTTATATATTATGTGGATAAGAACAAACATCCACACAAGGAGAAACAAGATGATGACGACACTTCTTCGTCGAGTCCATCACTAGAAACAAGCTCCGATGATCAACCAAGACTTTCAATCACACCTCCATTTAATTTAAATGATGCTATGAATACTTCTTTTCATTACTTCCATAATTCAAAATTCAAAATTGGATCTTCTGTCATGGCTCATACTTTTAATGCATTTCCGCTCGGAGTTTCGATATCAAAGATTGAAGAGTCAAGATTTGGAAATTCATTATTTGTGGTTTTATTTGGTAAGTGAAGAGACCACATGATGTAATAATAATAATTAATGGCTCCAAAGAAAACGGGACATGTTTTATGGTGGAGAAAAGCAACATTCACAAAATTGCTGTCGGAGAGAAAATAATTGATATTTCTACCACTGAGAATCACTTTATTTGCTGTTCGAAAAAGAAGGTATTTCACATCAAAACATTCGAGACCTATAATGAAATTAAAGGATTAACTTTGGGCGATGGAGAAGTCATCAAAAAGCTTGAAACAGGAAGAAAATTTTTCATAATTTTAACAAACTTGGGACGAATATTTGGTTTTGGTCACAACAAGTAAGTGTCGTCTCATAGTGAAGAAATGTAAATCTGTTATATGATTTCTCGCCAAAAATTCAAACATTTGTCAACTTTTGGAATCATTAGGCAAAAGAATTTTGGAAATATGGATGAACAATTGAAAGCATTAACTCCTATCAATTTTACAGATGACAAGCTTCAAGTGAGTGACATTCGTGCTGATTATGATCATGTAGTTCTATTGACCAGTGACAAGAGATTGTGGATGTCTGGCATTAGCACTGAGAATCCAAAATGGAAATATAATTTTGAAGTGTTCACTGAGGTGGACAACAATGTAGATTGGATTTTTTTCAGAGGAAATACTCTTGTCTATCACAGAATGAATCGCTATTTTTCAATAGGTCAAGAATTATTCAACCCTAATTTTATCTATTACCCAACAGCTCTCTTTTTCAAGTTTAAGATTGACAACTTTTTCGGATACAAGAATCAATTCCTTTTCCAAGATCAACGAACCTTAGATTGCTATTACTTTTCTACAACCTTTGGATTAATCAAACTCGACGACATCAATCGAATTTTGAAAGAGATACCGTTTGTGAAACCACGATTCTATTGTTCCGATCCCTCCACAGCAATCATCTATTTCAACATTGGAAATAACATTAGTTATTTGACTCTGGGTCTGTATTCGATATTGAAAGAGAGGAATGGTTCTTTTCTATCAGACATTGCTATTAAATTTTGATACATGACTTGTTAACACTGAAAATGATTATTGATTTTTTTCACTTCTAAGAGTTATGTTTCCTTTCAACATTTCATCAAAAGCGATTACTTGTGAAATTCATGAAGATTGAAAAGATGATGATTCCATTCATTCACCTGCACCACCAAATTCAAACATTTGCGTGAATAAAATGGCCCGAGGATCTTCGAGTAAATCTTCCTCATCAAAAACCAAGGAATCGTCATCATCAAGTGCAACCAAGACAGATGTTCCTCTCTCGTGGAATCCTCTTCGTTTGGATCAAGTGATCATACCTAGTCAAACGAAACCAGAGCCTTCCGAAGGAGCAGATGTTCAAGTCCTGGTTAAATCAAGACAAGTCAAAGGATTAACGACATGCCCGAGCGATTGCCTCTTCCGAACTCATCAATATGAATTTGTAATTACACCATCTATTGAGTTACTTCAATGGGCTGGTTGTAAATTTGGATATTATGCCATGATTAAATTATTTACAAATGAAAGGAATTCAGTAAGTCATGGGGATGGTGCCAATTCAGAACCACCTCACGATCATGATGACCATTGGGTTGAATGTTTTTCCGATGATAACACACCTGTAGTTTTACAATCCTTTATGGAAGATTACGATCAAGAAACGGTTTGGAAAATTACCATGTACTGGCCTACGAGTAGTAACTACAAATTCAATTCAAAAGCCTTATTCCGATTTGAGATTGATGTGTTCCGAGCCAATGCTGCCAGTAGAGATGAAATGAAAAAGGTAGCCACGAAAATTTCATCTTCATTCCGAGTGTTATCCAAACCAGAAGTCTATTTGAAAGGTATTGCAAAACCCAAAAAGTCGAAATCCAGCAAAACAACCAATAGTACTGTTACGAACAGACAGAAAAAGAACTCGTCTAAAAGGAAAAAGACCTCACAAAAAGAAGAAGAAGAAGAAGGTATTACCAGCAATGTCGAAGACTTGGACGAAAACAACAACAATAGTAACAGCAACCACAATGATGATGAGCCTCCTCACACAAAACTGAAAACAGAACCTCCTCCAGACCTTGTTTTAGAATCGGGTGAAGCCTTCTTCTCATTTCCTGCAAGTCCTCCTTTATTCTCGAGTGTTCTTCGTGGTAGTGTTGCTACGGGGACCGGCAATACCACTCCTCAATCACCAATTCTTTCACTTCGTAGTAGTTCAGCAACAGCAACTGGCCATCCAACAACAACTTCCAATTCCTCAGATCTCAATATTAGCTCACTATCTACTTGTTCGGATTTTCTTGTTCCTCCATCACAACAACAACAACCTTCTTCCTCGTCACAAGAGTTTTTCAATCTTTTCCTGACACCTCCACTCTCACAACAACAACTTCAAACAGAGGAGATGGGAGGTGATTCTTTTTTCAATGCAGAACTGCCAAGTCTTTCACAAAGTAGTAATAACATTCCCTCTCAATAAGTTGCAAGAAAGGAATTGAGTTTGATGAAAGTAAAAATCCGCCAAACTGTCGTTTGTCAATCTTAAGGGTCGCTCACGCTCGTTGTTGAAAAAAATTGACTCGAAATATCAGACATACACACACACACAAACATCATCATCATGTTTCAAACCATTTCACACTCTCAAGATGAAAATCAACCACAATTCGTGGAGATGGAAGAAGAACACGAAGACCTTTCCTTTACGGACATTGGAATTCAACCATACAAATTCATTGAAATTCATGTGACTTCGCACACGATGGATGGTGTCGGAATGCACGCAAAAACTCTGTACCAAATCGAAACACGTGTGAAATCAACAAAAATTGAATTTAGAGCCTCTCGTCGATATCGGGTAAGTTGTTGTGAAGTCAACAAAAATCATTTTATCACACAAATATTATTATTCATAATATAATTATCCGTATGTACTACTGCTCATTCATGTGATGGAATATTAATGCAATATTTAACTGTGTGTACTACTGCACAACACTGGGGTATCATCAATTCTATAAAAGGAATTTTTGAGTTTGTACACACAATGTAAAAAACTACCCTCTTTGATTTCGCTCTCAGACATGCCTGAAAAGAAACCATTCAGTAAGTTTGAGCGCTCAATTGTACAACCAATTACGAGCTAATGTATTCATAATCATTATTGAACATTTAACAATTCATCAAATCATTGTTTTTTTGAAATAATAATATGAATGAATTTTTACACTTAAAGATCGTTTTGACGAAAAGGTCATTCTCGAAAGACAAAGTCAATTTCAAGTCATTCTCAGAGAATTGTTACGATGTGGAGAAATTTTTGTTCAATCGATTTTCAGAGATTTTCTTGGAATTCCACAACAATTTTCACTAATGAATGTTTTAGCATTTCACAAACATCTCTTATACTCAATTTCAGAAATTTCCATGTCGGAAAGACAATTTGAATATGACATTCCCATAGAAGCATGGTATCATGAAGAAGTGAAATTGTGGCTCGCTTCAAAGAAAATGTTAGAATTTGTCGACGTTTTTGATAGGCATCCAGAATGGGACGGAAAAACCATTTGGCAATTTTGTACAAAAGGAGAGGGCGAACGTCTCATTGGTAAGTGTTTCATTCAGTGATGATTTGATTTATTTCAATGTTCCTTGAAATTCTTTTACCATCAATATAGTTGAAACGACAGAAGCATCCACAGAAAAAATTTCTCTTTTCCATCAATTAAGGCAATTAAACACTTTACAAAACCTTCTTCTAGAGAAGAAGAAACATCATCAAAATGGTGATTTCACATTTGACACCACTACTGGGCTTTTTTCGAATGCAAGACCTCAAAAATCTAACAATAATGAACACATTCTATTGGATGAATTTTTCGATACGAGAGACTTGAATTCCACTTCTTACGATCCTGCCAATGGAGATGCATATTTGGAAAATAATTATGAATTTTTGCCTCTCATTGAAAAACAACATTTAACAGAATTGGAAACTAGGAGAGTGAAATGTTGTATGGACAAGTTGAAAAAACTCGAAAGTGAGCTCAACGAAAATTCTTACATGATTCTCTCTCAAAATCTTGTCATTGAGTAAGTATTGAAAAATATCACACTATCATCAATTTAAATCATAACATTTATTAATATTTATTATACATATTTTAATATTATAATTTCAATGTATTAACTCGAAAACTTGAATCAATTTAGAGATCGATTGTTATATTTAAAGTTGAATCCACTGGTTGCCTCTCATTCCGTTTTATATGACACGTCATGTTCAACCATTCAACAACCATTAAGGAAATCATTGAAAAAACAAAAAAACGATACTCCCTTTGTCAATTTAAAACTCGTAATTACTGAACTTTCTGAAAATGCCATTCACCGATTACAACGAACTTTGGCTCACAAATTTGGAAAGGTCAATCAACAATATGGTTTTTTCCACACTGCTCTCGTTTTTGGACCTTTCTACTTGGAGGTACGTTTTGTTAAATTTCAAAATTATTCTTCATGCATTCAACATTTTTTAATTTTTTCAAACTCACTTACTGCGCACTACTTGTATTTAATTTTTTTACAATTTTTAAACAATTACTGAACATATAATTTCCAATCATGTTGATCAATCAACATTTTTAAAAAACCATCTTCCAGTGGGGAGATAGCTCCTAGTGACCATTCGTTCCAAAAGTTCCAGTAAGGCCGTCCTCGCTCATCACATTCACACGTTCCAAGGTCCTCTCGAAATTCAACAAGCCATGTCAATTTGGCTCAAGTCATTGCTCACTGGAATGGTGAAATGCATTACTCGACCGAAAAGTGCAATTGTCAACATTTCGTTCTCGACGTTTTCAAAACATTGGGAATTTCCCACCTGCCACCTGCCACTTCTTCTCTGAAACTCTATTTGGAACGTTTAAAAAACGAAGGTTGTTGTAAAATGGAGCTCTCATTCTCAGAACCCTTAAGAAAATTATTTACTGGAAATCAACAACATCATTATACCATTCAAAAATCGGGCAATCCTCAATGCATGACCATCTCGTTTAAAACACATCAAGAATTGGATCAATTTTATTGGACCATTCATGAAAAACTTCCTTCGTATTTCCAAAGTGAGGAAGGACAAAGTGATTTGGAATTGTTACGAGCGTTCGATCGAGCGTTTTGGTTACGAGTGGCATCGAGTGAGAAACGACGTGACGAATCGTGTCTACCTCTGAGAAGAAAAGAAATCATTCTTTAATGAGTTCGAGTAGTAGTAATAGTAGTAGTAGCACGATCATGTTGTCATCGACTACTCATCCTCTCGATCGAAATGGAGAATATGAGATTTTGTGTCCATTTCACATGTCTTCTTTGAGAAATGGATCTACATTTGTGGAGCATGAGCGAGACCATGTGGTTGAGAATGAGTTGATGATACATCATGGTGGAGTGGATGCTTCAACATCTCATTCGGCTTCTACCATGAGTTCATCAACGAATCATTCATGGCTTGCAGTATTTGAGGAAGAGGATTATCATTTTGGAGAACATTATGTGGTCAAGAGACCCTTAGATCGAGAGGAATTATTGGGATTGGGCGGAGAAAATCAAGATCCTTCTTCAGAATTTGTCGATATTGTCATGTAATGTTGAGTGGCACCTTTGAAGACTTTTGAATTCATGAACCTACTACGAGAGAACATGATTAGAATATAAAAACCTGTCACTTAGAAATAATTGTTTGGAAACATTCAATGGAAGACATTGAACAAAGTAACATGATGACATTCATGTATAGAATACATTGTATTTGATACACTATTACTGCTTTCTTTTCTTTTGAGCTGGACATTGTGACTCAAACTCTTCCAGTTGCTTTAACAATTGTAATAACTGTTCTCGGTTTTGTGCGGTGCTTTTGTGCGATCTCAAGTTCTTAGTTATAACAAGTGTATGGGGAGAACCTCTCCTATCAGTCGAAAAATCAACATCTCTTGTGGCAGCTGACACATTTGACTGAACATGCTTCCGGTTACGCTCTTGACTGGAAAAGCGAAGAACCATTTCGTTGCTATTCAGGAATGATTGTACCTCAGCACACCTGTACATGTACAATTAAGTTTCACATTGAGACTGTAGGAGGCCTGAGGAACGGAGGGAGAGGTTTCTGCTTTGAGATCGTCAATACACATGTTCAACAAATGCACCAACTTGTCATTTTCAAAGAATTTCGTGTTAAAGCTCTGGCCAAGTTTCAATAACGTGGATCCAAGATCACTTAATTGTTTTTTGTTTTGTTGATAGCTATTCTCTACATTTTGTGCGACTATTTCAATCCCCTTATTGTGATCAATTGTCAAGAACATGTGAAATAGTGCCTGTGCTTCTTTGATCCATGTCTTTTTTTCAGCCACATAGTTCAATCGATTGGACATGAATTTGTCGAATAAATATTGTGCAGCTGGATTCCCTTCTTCCTTAATGGAGTGAACAAGTCCACCCAAAGATTCCATGTCGGCAGGTAATTTCATTTCATTCACATAGCGTTTCACCTTCTCCAACCCAAAATATGTACAACATCTCATAATAAATAAAATTTTCTCCTTTGATAATTCTTGTTGATACCGGTAACCGTGCGTTAACATTTTACAAGAGGTTTTCACTAGACGAACATCATTTAGAGACTGAATCATGTAAAATAATTCGTTCATGTCCACATCCCTTCCTTTTTTGGCGATTAACCGGTTCAATAGTGAAATATATTTTGGCCTCAATTCTTCTTTCGTTGTCGATTGCTCCACTTCCCATTTCTTAATTAGGTTTAACATTTGATGAAACGCCTCACGATTATCCATATCCAGTATCATATTGAAAGCAGCCTTCTCTGGCCACAGAATGATCACTGCTTGATGATACCTTCGTTCCATTGTTGCTCCTTCATTGCCTGTTTCATAAAAAGGTAATGCCAAAGGTAATGTCAACGTTCAATGATTGCCAATTCTTAAATTGTCACATTCACTTACCTGTTGCTTCTTCCACACTTTCACCATCAGCCTCTAACTCTTTCCATACATCCCTTGGAAATATTTCTTTATCAGCAATTCCAACAGATCTCAGATTCGTATTCACCTTGTTGTCCATTCCCACACAATGCGTCAATGATAGAGTCACATCGTACACTTCATCCATTTCGAAATCTCCACCACCATAATAGCTGTAACCACTACAAGAAGCAGAGCCAGACTCTACTTTCTTTACAATACCAAGTGCACAACCGACCAGTTGCCCGTCTCTGTTGGCATTGGTGATTGCAGAAACAATAGCTTCATCGCTTCCCTTTAAGACATCAAAAGAGAGTCCTGCTTGTGTGTATTCATGTTCCAACATGTACAAGATTTTTGATTCTCTAAATTCTCCATTATTCCATTTCGTAAATAACTCTTGCAATTGAGGCACAACTTTTCCCTGTTGAGAGGCAGACAAGTGACGATTTCTTTGTAGGCTCAATACATTGTAGACGAGACACAATCGATAGCCAGAGGTGATGGCTTAATACTGTGCTTACAATCTGCATAAAAAGAAGCATAGAATGCACCGAATTGTGAATTGGTTTGAAAATCATAGAGTTGTTCTCGCCCATTGTGTTGAACGACCAATTCTCCTCCTGTATAGATGCAAGGAAATTGAATCACCAGTGTGGCAAACATTCCTTCTTCCTTCTCCGTATCTTTATGGAAATTGAAATGGCCATCCTTTTCATAGAATAATAATTTGTAGAGAGAGGCTTTAATGTCCACTTCGGGAGGTATGCCTAGACCTTTTTTGACCTTACTATTCACCAAATCTTGAACCAATTGTGTCCATTTGGGATTTGTCAATTGAAATTGTGATGGATCTAATTGCCATGTATTTCTAACTTGATCATCATACAGTGTTTGTTCTCCGAGACCATAGGGAGCCTTCCTACACACTTGGATCAAGGTATTGGCTTGTTCATGAGTACAGATCGGCAAAGAAATTGGAATGAATTGATCATCCTTTTTAATCGTTAAGCCAGGAATGACATAGTTCGCTGCCAATTCTCCTCCACAAGAAAAATCACCAACGGTTTCCAGGTTAGAAAAGATGGATACTAATTCACCTCCTATGGAACGTTCTTCTGATGTTGTTGTTGCCGTTTGCGGTTTTTCTTCTTTGGTGCTGCTGCTGTTACTTCCATCGTCATCGGAAATATTAATGACTTCTCGATTTGAAAGCATTTTTTTGTTTGATTTGAACGAATAGCGGTTCATGATTTGGTAGTAGAGGAAAAAGGAAAAATCACGCATAAGGAACAATTATTTTGTCTTTGAAGCTGATCACGAAGTGAAAACAAAAAATATTTGGTGATAGTCGGGATTGAACCGACGACCAATGGCTTATTAGACCAACGCTCTACCGACTGAGCTATATCACCTTCACATTAATATTTTACATGTTGTTTACATATTCATAATGGTTGTGATTGTGATTGTGCTCGAAAGCTTTGATCACTCTTTGGATTTAGTATCACTCCACGTTCAAAAAATGAAGCAATCAAGCAAGATGATTTTTGTGCCCAAACCGACGGCAACCAAGACAGATCCGAGTGCATCACGTGCTACGGCTGCTACTACGGAGGAAGAACCAACCATACCAGTGGATAGTAGAGATGTTATTAAATTAATGATGCAATTTTGTATGGAAAATAATTTAATGGAGACTTTCCGAGCACTAAGCCAAGAAACCGGAATTTCCTGTAATACCATGTTGCCTCATGCACGAAGGAAATTCATTTCATTTATTGAGAAGGGAATGTGGTCCCAAGTATTAGAATTTTTACAACAACCCTATTTAACCTTTTCCAAATCTCTGTTATTTAAATTATATGAACAAATTATTTTGGAATTGATTGAATTAAATGAAGACCAAGTGGCAAGATATTTATTTACAAATGTGAAAATAATTTCTCATGACCTTAGCGTAGAGGAACCATCAAGGTATAAGAAATTGGAACATGTGATTTCTACTTCAAAACATTTTGATGCATTGATTGCTTATGACGGTAAAAGGAAAGAAGATATCCGAATGGAAATTTCTTCATTGTTTCAACAAGAAATTGCTGATGTACCAGCCAGCTCTCTTTTAAACATTATCGGAAATGCCATAGAATTTCAACGTGCACGACAAGGAGAAGATTTTGATCCTAACACATTTGCCTTGTTAGATCATACTATGAAGAAAATTAAAAAGACAGCACGAGTTGCTAAAAAAGAGGAAGCAGTACCATTGGAAGAAAATACACAAGTTTCGCAAGATACTTCTGGAAATGACTTAATATTGCTTGAGAAGCCATACAAAATGATCAAATTTGGAAAAACCACCAAAGTTAATTGTTGTCATTTCATTACAGATTATTTCATTGTTGGAACCACTGATGGATTTGTTGAAATCTATGATTACCTGACTGGAAAGTTGAACAAGGAACTGGCTTTTCAAGCTAGTAATGATCTCATTGTTCATGAAGACTCTGTCACATGCTTCAACACCAAGTTACAACCTAGTGGAATTTTGCTGGCATCTGCATCGTTGGACAAGACCATCCGAATATGGAACATGTTGACAGGAAAGTGCTTATTGAAAATTCCAACAGCGACTGCTGCAACATGTATTTGTTTCTCAGATTATGACAACACCATCATCTCGGGTTATCCAAACGGCTCCATTAAGGTACATGGATTGACTTCTGGAGGAGTTGAATTGAAAGATTTAGGAGGTCATAGATCATTTATCAATTCAATTCTTCAACTGAGTAGTGAAAAGTTATTGTCATGCAGTAGTGATGGATCCATTCGGCTGTGGAATTTAAAATCTCAAGTGTGTGAACGGGTTTACACCATTCACTCCATGAAACGAGGATTGGATGATTCAGAAACTCATACCAATGTGGACCTTCCCATTCATAGCATTGCATTCTACCCAACCTCTCAGGATCACTTGATTGTGTGTTATCAATCTCATTACTTGATTGTGTTGGATTTGAAATCTGGAAAGGAAACATTTAAATTTGTAGCGCCGAAAGAAGGGGATGCCTTTGTGAGTGTCAGGGTGCACGGTCAGTATCTGTACGGAGTGACGGTGACCAATAAGTATTGTCTCTATCAAATACCAGCACAACCATCTGAAACGATTGAAGAAGTGACAGCTCTACGAGTGGACACCATTCAACAACACAAGAAACCAGTGAATGGAATTTTAAAACATCCCTCTGAATCGATTCTTGCAACCTATTCATCGGATGTGGTGTGTCTGTGGAAATAAACTGCTTTAACATTAAGAAATGTCATAAAATGTAATCTGAAATTTCTCATTGTTAGGAGAGATTCCTACAGATTACATAAAACGTATGACAATGTCATTGAGGAAAAAGAAATATGTGAATGCGTCAAAATATTGACTGGCCTTTACTTGGATCCAAAAACAGATATCAGCCATTCTGCAAGATCTTTAATTTCTTGCAAACTCGAGCTATGTCCCATTCCAGTATACGTCTTGAATGTATAATGACTCTCATTACCCTCCAACAAGGACTCGACCACAAACTTTTTACTGCTGGCGCCCCACTCATATTTCACAACGTTATCAGAAGTGCCATGTGCTTGGAAAATGGGTGTTGTTTTGTTCGGCAAATCCTTGCCAACAAAGGTCAAAATTTTCTTTCTATTGGGCATCCATGTGGACAATGCAATAACACCTCCAAGTTTGTACTTGTTTGTAAGTCCATGATACAATGCCACAGAACCTCCTTGAGAGAAGCCTCCAATGATAATACGTGATGGATCCAATCCAAATTCCTGAACTTCTCTCTCGATCAATATATCCACATTCGCAAAACACTTCTCCATACCTGCAATATCTTCAGGTCCGTCCATCGAGAGAGACATTAAATCATACCATGCTGGCATGACATAACCCATATTGAGAGAAACACTCATGGCTGAAGCATTGGGTAATATAAATTTACATGACGCCAGTTCGGGATATGTTTTTTTAATTTTCTGAAAAACGTCGAGCCATCCGGAACCTTGATCGCCCAATCCATGTAAAAAGATGATTGTGGAATCGTGTTTGGCATGAGGTGAAACCTCTACTTGAGTGTACGGAAGTTGGAATTCAACCAATTTTTCAACGTGTTGAGAGTAATACTTTTTCTTGTATTTGAATACAAGTTCATTCTTTTTATGATCATTTAAATTTTCGGGAAAGGTTAAATTATCGAGATAGGATTTCCATTTCTCATCCGAATCGAAATTATGAGAGTGAAAATTTTTCCACGATGATGATGGTGAGGACATTTTTTTTGTAATATTTTTGTAATCCAAGAAAAATTCACAATTCATTGACTCTGATCATTTCTCAAGTTGATGATGTTGAATGAATAAAAACTCATTATTTACCACGATTATCATCAATGATTGTATTTCAACCAAACTATCAAGCAAGTCGAAAAAACAATGCACTGTTTCCAAATATCGAAAAAAAAGTGCTGGGACCATTGCAAGGTTCAAAAACAGATCTGTTTTCGGCCCGAATGAACGAGAGATATCGCGACATTGGTACCCAACCGTCCCTTAACCAATTTCTAAATAAGGAAAAAAAACAAGCAAGAGTTCGTTGCTTGGTTTCCAACCTTAACCACGTTCCAACAAAAATGTCTCAAATTCATCCTGAACTTTTGAATTCCAACCATCCTCCCTCTCATTCACCTCTCCACAACAACAATAACAATAACCCTTCTTCAATAGCCACTCTTCATGATGGAAACTCCCAAACACCTCTCATCCCATCTTCTTCCAAAACGCAAGAACAGAAATTCTGTTCCCAATTCTTACTCGTAAGGCTCATTGAAAAACTTCCATTTTCTGTAAAATTACTCGGTCCTTCCCTTGTACTTGTATTCATTGTTCTTGTATTCTCATGGATCATTGTATCGTTGATAGCGAGAGAGGTTCATTCTTCAGCAACCTTAACTGCTCGTTCCAAATGGACGTTCTTCATATCGGAGCTTGTGTATTGTACATTGCAAGAACGAACGCTCATGACATTTCTAGTGGCCTCCTCTGTTTCTGGGTCCACACTACCTGATGATATGTTCAATCAGTTATTCAATGTAAGAAATCAGACAGATGAGGCTCTAAGAACATTGTTATCATTAACAAATAATGATGTCATACCTTCTTCTCAATACATTGAAACCTTTCCAATCGCATTGAGCAGGGCACGACAGAATTGGACCTCAATGTCGCCCTCTTCTGTCTATGAAAGTATAGCCTTCTTTAACGAATGGAATTCAATGATGATTTCCTCAGTGATTGCATTGAATGCATATATTCAAGATCCATCATATTCTTTGCTACATGGCTCCTTGTATCATTTACTTTACATGAAAGAATTGACAGGTAGGTAACAGTGTTCCTTTCAATGGCTTTTTAACTTTTTGAATTCAGGACAACAACATGCGATTGGAAATATTCGTGTCATGAGGAATTTAACTGAACGACTGCAAGACGAACAAGTCATGATTCAGAATCAAGCGAAATTTTCTTTATTGCAAAGCCAATGGATGGCCTCCAACAATCTGGAGATTTGGAATACGTTCAAGCAAAGTGTCCTTGTTAATAGTTCTTTATTGCTGTCTGAATGGAACAATAATCTAACACAACAAGTGTTAAATATTCAAAATGTTGAAACGCTGACCAAACAACTGACAGAAGCATATATTTCTTCAGTACATCAACGAAATATTGGCCTTTTAGTTCTCTGGATGGTTATGGATCTTTTGATTGTGGTATTTTGCATTTGGATTTCCCTTCAATTTTCTCATTCCATTCAACTGTCATGGAACAATTTACAAGAAATCGTTCGTCGACAAGAGCTATACAAAAGCTTTATTCCTTCTCATGTTCTACTACAATTGGAAGGTAATAATGAGGAGGAGAATGTCGTTGAGGAGACCGAAGTACGTGCCTCAAAAGATGATGTCAAATCGAAAGCTTCCAATACCGAAAGCAGTACCATTGACTCCATTGACATGAAACATCACAACAACAAACCAAATTTAGCAGCTAGATTTGAATTATATCTGGATCGAAAACGAATTTCCATGCTTCAACTCAAATTCAAAGGTATAGAAGAAATTTTAGATTTTATTGGACCCAACGAAATTGTGGAAATACTCAAAGACGTGTTCGAGAGAATTCAATACGCTTCAAAAGCATCTCATGGTCTTCTCGAGTTGTGGAAAGATGACAGTGTCACAATCGTTTTCAATGCCTCCAAAGACCAAGCTCGACATGAACAACGAGCCCTCAAAACATGTATGGAATTGAAATATCGATTGACAGACATGAAAAAATCGAAATGGTTAAGCAATATCAAAGCTCAGTATTTAATTTTAGCCAGTTCTCATTTAGAATTTCAATTCGCTGTTCATTCTCAAGAGTGCTTGTGTGGAAATATTGGATCTGCTGATTTGAGATCTTTCAAAATTTTAGGTTCCATCTATGAAAATCTTTCTCGATTAATTTCTTTTGCAGATCGAATGGAAGTCAAAGTTGTTTGTGAAGAATCCATCAGCAAATTAGCGAGAACTTTTTTTCACACAAGATACATTGGTGAAACTGAATTAATGGAAGAAGGAAATATTGAACAAACGAGTCAAGTATTTGAATTGGGTGCTCCTCTTGATGTCTCTGAAGATGAATGGTTGTATGAATTGGCAAACAAACAAAAGAATGATGAATGGAAGGATTACAATGAAGCGTGTAAGGAATTTTTTGCTCGTAACTACACAGTGGCACTGTCCAAGTTTTTGGAACATTCCATCAAGCATAGAAATGACCTTGCAACTGAAAATATGATTGCTCTATGTCGAAAACATTCCAGATAAACTGTTTGGGGACTTGATTCTTTCTCGGTATTATTGGATATTAATGAATTACGAAGATCTCATTTTTGTTTTAAAAAAATTAAATTAAAATTAAATTGCAATTAAATTAATATTACAAAAAAATGCCTCCCCGTTCCCTAGCTAGGGAAAAGTCATCATCATCGATGAAAGAAGAGGGAACTGCTTCCTCTTCCGATAGCGCTGTTATTATTGAAAAGCAGCAAGAATATATTGAACTGTTAGAACAGGAATTGAAATCATTGAAACAACATTTTGATCGAACGATGGAGAAAATTTTCTCAAATCCAGTGTTTGCTTCTTTAAGGATGAATGGTGGATCGTCATCATCATCCACAACAAGAGGAACAACAAACGAGAAAAAAAAGAGAACAAGGGATAAAAGTCGTGAAGAGGAATCGGAAGTATCTGGAAGTGATGAAAGTAGTGGAGAGGAGCAACAACAAGAAACTTCACTCCGAAAACCTAGGCAGAAAAAATCCTCATTGATGGATTTGGAGAGCGATGAGGAAACCACAGTTGATAATATTTTTCAAATGGTACGCAAGAATGATTTGATCATAATTATTTCATAATCATCATGACTTTTTATTTTTGAATTGTGGATGAACGGCTGAAATTCAAATACTTTTTAGGATTTTTGGAATCAACAAGTCTCGCGAATGATCAAGACGAAAAAATCCAAATTACCAAAGGTACCAACTCCTAAAGAAGGATCTAAATTTACGATTGGCATTGTGGAAGCCAAGAAAACTAAGAAAGCAGCTGTGAAAAAACCATCTGAAACGGAGAATGAGCAAGAGGAAATGATCGAAGCTCTTCCATTACCATATTTCCAAGCACCTGTTACGGTCAGTGAGTCACTTGCAAAACTTTTAGGAGATTCCAAACAGAGAAACTTCAAAAAAGATGAGGTTTACAAATTAGTGTGGCAGTATATGCACAAAAATAATAGATTTGACGAACAACACCATGTACTTTTAAATGATGACCTAAAACTGGCACTTCACATTGAAGACTCTAAGAAAGCCCCACTATCCATTGATGATTTAAATTACTTTGTGATGAGGCAAATTGTTAACGATTCCATCTCAAAAAATACAATAGCATCTTTCCAAATAAAAAATTAAGCAGGTTGATGCTTTGGTCTAATTGAATGTTGAGTTGCTCAACAACATTTTATAATATTCACTGAATTGAGATGTAATTATGTTCCTATCATCATTGCCAATTCCTTCTTTGAAAATATGACATCAGATTCAATGACGTTAAATTCTTCAAGCATTCACTGGGAGCAACATATTTGACCTTTATCGCCAATTTGATTGAGAGACAAATCCAAAGTCAAATTCTTAGAACATTCACAAATTTTTTCTGAAGCCACACCATCATTTCCTTCGGAGAAATGGAGGCTTAAATTCTTGTGATAGGTCCCATTGATAGAAATATTTGCAGTTCATTGTGGAAAAGGATTATTCCAAAGCACTTTCTGGGAGAGAATTGCATTTTGAGTAGCTCAACTACATGTGTGTTTCAAATCATGTGACATGGTAATCAGGATAGATTGATCTCACAAATTTGACGAATTCTCCTCTTCATAATGAGTGTCACTATTGTTTGTAGAATATGAAATTGTAGAAAGTAGGCACCTATTAAGGGTACTGCTTGATGAGTTACTGCCTCCGCTTAGAGTGCTTTCGCTTAGAGTGGGACTTATGGGTCCTGACGTTTTGCTCACAGTGTTGATTAGAAAGGGATAATTTTCTGGCTGAATTTCAATGTCGGCTCGTTCTACTTTTTCTATTCCTGTTTTTACAATGGACAAACTCTCCCACAGTACTGTATTGTTAAACAATATTTCACTTTCTGCTACGCTCAGTGAGCCCTCGACTTTCACAATTTTGTGGTTATCTGTCAAATCCATTTCAGTTGAGTATTGTGTCAAATCCTTCGACAAGTGAATAGTTACTGATCGATCTTTGGCAAATCTAACCACGAGTGAGTTTTTCCTCCGCTGATACACCATTCGGATGCCACTGGAAAAAATAGCTGTCTCATAATCCGGAAATGGATCGTTTTCCATTTGAATGCATTTAAACTCGCTTGATAAATAGATAATTTTTGGTGTTTTGCTCTTGATAGTCTCAATTACATTTCTTGCGTATTCATAGTATTTCTCAACCGATGGAGGCATGTCAATAAATCGAAACTCCTTTCGTTTTGAGGCTTTCTTTTCATACCATATTGTGCTTCCATCTTTTGAAACTATAAACCGCCGTTCTCCATTACAAAATGTTAGATACACAAATCCTGATTCATCAATTTCAATGTTTACGTCATTCTTCTTATGTACGAACGGTTTAATTCGTAGAGTGTTGAATGGAGCTTTTGCTTTATGATCCAAAAGTTGTGAATTCCTAGGCTCGTCATAGAGTGAAGTCGAAGGCGAAGAAATTGCTTTAGGAATTAATTCTCTAAGGAAAGGATGGGATTTCGCCTCAATCAATGAAATTCGCTTGGTTGGGTCTGGATGAAGTAGTAGTCTGATCAAATCTTTGGCGTCTTTCGATACATAATCCGGAATGTCATAATCGAGTGTTCGAATTCTCTCAAATGTTTGAGTTCGTGATTTTTCATCAAAGGGTGTTTCTCCTACAAGAAATGAGTATAATATACATCCTAGTGACCAGTTATCGGCCTTCATACCGTATTTCTTATTATTTACAATCTCACTATTTCCAAAATATGTATCCAACCGAAATGTTTGTTGCATGTACTTACAAAGCCATAAAGTTGGGAGTTCCAAGAATGGTGCTTTGTTCTTCATCTGCACTATCCAGCTTTGTGGAAAGCCCAAAATCTGAAAGTTTGAGAGTTTTATAATCGTTAGTTAGTAGCATGTTAGAAAGCTGCAAATATGGTCGAAAATGATGCTAATATTTCACTGTACATACTTTTAAATCTCTATGAAGTACTCCAAATGATTGCAAGTAAATGAGAGCATTGATAATTTGAATAAAATAGTGCTTTGTCTGTGCTTCGTTGAATCGTGTGTTTTTTCGTAAGAATTTGTACATGTCTCCATTTTCACACCATTCCATCACTAAATAATAGGCATTATAATCTTCAAAATAAAGAAAGAGCTCTACAATATTTTCATGTTTCATATTCATGTGAATCATGACCTCACTATTTAAACGTTCAATATTATACTCGGTCAACAACAATTCCTTGTCTACTTTTTTGATTGCAACTTTTGGTTTGTTGCCATGAATTGAATATCCTAGAAAAACAACACCAAAGGAGCCTTTTCCAAGAACATTGAGTAATTCATAGTCTTTTCTTGTTGCTCCCAAACGCAATTTGTTAGAGTCCAGTCTCATAACGACTGGATCCTTAGAGTCACTTGATGGTGTGTTGTTGTCATCGGAAGATGATGACATTTTGTAATTAGGGTGGTTAGTGATGTTACTATTTGTTTGTTTTAAAACAATATCGTCTGGCATGATTGTTTTGTGATGATGATGATGAATTGCATGTTGTGTTCCGATTCTTGTCTCGCGTGTTCTTGAATGAAAATTCAGTTTGTAATTTTGCAACTGAATTTCTGTAAGTACGGTTATGTACCAAATAAATAAATGATTCCAAGGTCGTTCAGAATATTATCAATATTCTCTTCTTGTTGATTTTGGAATACAAAAGCCTTCTCGATTCCGTAGCTCGAAGAACACGCAAGTGCCAGCAAAGCAAATTTTTTAAAGAGTCGTTGCGTGGCCATGATCAAGCAAGGCTTCTTTGCAAAAAAATATGTCCTTTTCCAGTGGTGGTATTGTTGGCTCTAGCGCCTACGGAGGAGGTGAATTACGAGAACGACAACACGTTACTAGTGTGTTAGGAAGCAGTGGTAGCAGCTCCACTGGAATAGCACCTCATTTACAGAATAGTCGATTTGATGATGTTCAACTGTTTGATGATCGCAGCAATACGGCATCATCAGCTCCTCATCTTCAATCTTATCATCATCAAGGTGGTGGAGTTCATACACAAGCACACTATGATCCTTCACATACCAACACGAATTATAATCAATATTCTAACGTGGTGATGAATGAAAAATTTCAAACCGGATCTTCGTTTCTTTACAACAAGAGAATTGTTCCTATTTTGATTGTGAGCATGATCCCCGTATTAACACTTGCTGGAAAATATAGTTTGTTCGTACTACTCATGGGATTGTTGGGCATGTACACCTTGGACTTTCTTCACCAAAAAGCTTACGCCTTTATAATGTTTTGGGTCTCTCTGTGTTTGTTTTGGGCCAGCATTTACACAACAAGCGCATCTCTACTCTGGATTTCCATCTTTAACATTTTTGTGTTGCTGAATGGAAGCTTATTTGTGATGCTAACGGGATTTTGGGCATCGCTTCAATCTGAGTGGTTCAAAACATTTTCACCAGAATTGGTGTTTGTCACAGAAAGAATGGTCTTTGCAATGCTTCCAGTGGTTACCATTCCTTTAGTAATTTCTGTTGTTGTGGGTCTTGTCGGAATTACAAATGCACCATTTTACTTGGTTGGTGTGTTGTGTTTGTATGCATTCTTGGTTGGAAGAAGAGAGGTATCATCATTCTCAAAGAATAGATATATACAGCATCCGCTCGAATCTAGAATTCTGATTTCAATGATTTTTTTGCTTCCACCAGTTTTTCACATTTTTATTTACCACAACACATTCATGGATAATTTTGCCACTCATCTCTATACTTTGAACGCATTGGTTGCTTTGGCATTGTTATTCATTTCCTCTGATCCAGCAGCATATTTGTGGGCATTTAATGATTCTGCTTATGATATGGTTATTAATCCAGCAAAGGCAAGCAGAGGAGTGAATTTGAAGATTGAAAGCCACAACACTATGAGATATTTTGTTCAGCTTGTTTCTTTGGCGTTGCTCAATCTCTGGATAGAATTTAGAGTCATCTTACCAAGATATCACTATTTAATTCCACTTGGAAGTCCATGGGACAAGATTATTGTCTTTGGAGCATTGAACGCATTGGCCAGCTTTTTGCTATTGGCTATCTACAATCAAAACTACACTGGCCCAAATAAGAGTTCCATGACCAAATCCTTATTGACTATATTCATGGTAGCATCATCATTTTTCGGTGGAATCTTAATTGGTCTTCCTTTCTACTTGATTCCATTTCCAATAGTTGCCATGTTCTTTGGTGTCAGTTATACTTTCGAAAAGAAGATTTACAAATTTTTAATTTTCATTGGATGCGCCATGATTTGTGCTCTTTGGTTTGTTGCTCACCATTTCTGGTTTTTGAATTTCGAATTTGAGCTATCATTCTTGCCATTTACTTGGTCTTTAAGAATGACACACAGTACTATTTTGATCCTATTCCTGCTCGCTGTGTCCATGTTGGCTATTCCATACACTCTACCCACTGATGATGAGACAACTCCAAAAGCGATCGGAACAAAAGAATACTTCTCAGCAGCCCGAAACACAATTTTAATTGTGCAAGTTCTACTATTAGCTCTTTTGGAACAATTATTATATGAGCAATCTGAAGGTTTTTACTCGCCAACTCTTATTATAATTACTACTGGTTTTGGTGTCGCGTTTTGCAAGAGACTCTTCCAACTTAAATTAATCTCAATTGACACCGTTTCTCTGTTGACCTCACTTTACATTTCCAAACTAGCTATTATGCTTTCTCAACAAGGCGTGTACGGAACATATATTAGTGCTGTCTTCTCTACAGTTTCATTTAGTAGAATGTACTATGCTACCATCACTAACGACGGAGACAAAACTTTCAGTGCCAGTCCAGCAACATGTGTTTTCTATATTTTTGCAAGTGGAATTACCTTATTTTTAACACGCAACATTTTGCTTAAAACAGTCATGTCTGTGCTCCTAGATACCAGATTCTATGACATGAATCAAGCACACTTGTTTGGTTTCTTCTGTATTGCTTGGGGAATTGCTATTTTACCACTGTCTGTTAATTACATGAAACATAACTCACTTGTGAAGAGATTTAACGTATTTTTGATATTGATTGGATTGGTTGTTGCTGTTTTGCAGCCAAGTCTTGCCTTCTTCTCATTCAGTGATATTAGCAGCTCTTCTCTATCAGGTACAGCAGGATTTGCAGGTGATTTCAACTCACTTGAAAAAACTTCTGAATCGCTCTCTGATTTTATTCCTTGGATTGTTATTATTACCTTGGTTGTTCTCTTCAGTCTAGACATTATTTCTTTGGGAGAAAGATCTAACATTGTGATCAGAATTGCATTCTTTGTGTTGGTGGCTATTGGATTTTCGATTAGCTTCTCAGGCCTCTATCTCTATTACACTAGAATTTGGACTCACTTGACAGTTTTAATTACCATGGTGATTGCTGCGCTAGTGATTTATACGACTCACTTCCCTCTCAATCACTCCTATCAACCATCCTTATTTTTATTTGCTGCTTTTGTTATTACTCTTCCAGTCACCTATTTGTCCATTTACATTGACGAAGAGTCTCTCAAACAAAAGAACAGCTTCCTTAAGGCTGAGTCACTACATCCAAATACTTATTCATTTGTTTTGACAGAGCTCACAAAGAGCGCTAGAATTGCAATCCTGGGCTTGTATTGCGCCTTGTCAGCTCTTATTGCAATTCTGATCAAATTCAAGCTCATTGGATATCCTCTAATCAGAATTAGAAAATCCAACAAGGTACTGAATGTGAGGAATGACAATGAAAGCGCCTCTCAAACAATTGATCCTTATCTATCAGTTCCAGGATCTGACGAGTTATCAGTTGTCAACAATGGTGCTACAGTGGCTTGCTTTGTGTTGTGTATTGCATTGACTACTTGGTTAAATCCAGACCGATATGAAGCTTACTTGCTATTCTGCTGCATTTTCTTACTTCTCAACAGAGACAGCCAACTATTGTCTGAATTCAAAGATAGTTTGAGATTTATTGTTGTGTTGCTTGCAATGGAAGTTTGCATGGCCATGTTCTTCATGATTGACTCTATTCTTTTCTTCAGCACATCAGCAACTTCTCCAAGCTATACATTTGATGGAATGATTTCACAGTATGCACTCAAATTCCTTCTCTTGATCCTAACATTACCAAGTCATATTCTATTCATTAGATTCCTTATGAGGTTGAACAAACCAAACACTAGACCAATTTTAATATCACTTCCATTCAGTCTTCTCTCTGCCATTCTCACCATTGCCTTCTCTCTCTACTTGGATAACTTCTACAGCTTGATTTACATTACTGTCAGTGCCGTTGGTGCCTCCATTTTGCAAGCCATGATTTCTGCTCAATACGTGAGAGAACAAGTCATTCTTCTCTAAACATTTAGAAAAACTGTTTGTCAATAAACAGGCAACCTGTCACCTTAATTTCCATCCATGAATCGTGGTCCAACTTTCGTTGTTTCTCAGCTTGTGAATGTTGTGTTGGTCGAGCTGTGAATAAAAATGTCTTCAACGAAGGAAGTACTACTGCAATGGAAGGCTTATCTTTCTCATCAGCTGAACGCTGCATGGACACAAGTGAAAACACATCCTGCCTATGATTATATGGATCGGAGGATCTATCGAGAACATGTGCTGCCGTTCTATTCCGAACACATTGAAAGCCATCTATCTCCGACTTGGATTCATAACGCAACCATTGCAGCATCCACTTTGTTAATCTATGGAATAGGAAGAAGAATTTACAAGACAGGAGTATGTTTGAAGTAGTGTATTGATCATGATTTTATCAACAAGATCGTGATTCCAAAATGAAAATTTGAATAATTAATTATTTACTTGATTTGGAAAATTATGAAAATTCATGATGAACTCATTTAATAATAATAATTGAATCAATTCCCGTGCCAAATAGTTCATGAGAATTAAATCCAATGCCCAACTCACAGAAAAAGATTTCTCCTCTCACAGAAAGCTTATTGGACGCGTGCCTCATGTTGGCGATAGCGACAATTTCCGAATCATTCATTTTCCACCCTTGTTGAGTCCAATTTATTCGTTACTTCCCATGAAAAAGAAGAAATCTCTGAGTGAGGAAACCATTCATGTTCGGTTGGCTGGTATTGATGCTCCTGAATGTGCTCACTTTGGAATGCCAGGTAGGTGGTTCTCATGTTTCACATAATAGAGACCAACATGAATGTCTTTTTAACATAACATTAACTTACCTATGATCATGGATGAAACAAATTTGAATTTCCTAAATTATGAAATTTAAAAGGTCAACCCTATGGAGAGCATGTGAAAGAATGGCTCACCAAATTTCTCCTTAATTCCAAAGTCCAAGTGTATTTATTGAAAAAAGATCAATATGGAAGAGCTGTAGGTTCGGTGTATGTCAGAAAATGGTGGTACTATTTGTGGATGAGACGACTCAATGTGAGTGAATACATGTTAAAAAAAGGATATGCCGTATGTTATGAAGGAGAAGGAGAAGTCTATATTGAGGGTTCAATCGATAAGAACAAAAAGTATAAAATGTATTACAAGGCATTGGAGGAACGAGCGAAACGATCCAAGAAGGGAATGTGGGCCAAAGCCAGCACAAGTGAATCTCCCAAAGACTACAAACGAAGAATGAAAAAGGAGCAGTGAGAGTTGAAGATTGAGGCATGGAAATGTGAATGGGAATTATGAGTCATATATAATAACTATTTATTGTTTCAAGGATATACAAATTTCACACAAACTATTTTGGTGATGCAACTCTAGAGATTAGTGTAAACCGGTTTCTGATTCAATGAATTTTTTGTAAGTGAAATCATGAAGGCCAATTACTTGTAAATTTGGATTCTACCATGTCCATAGTCAGCGACCAATAATTCACCAGCCCACTCATTCACACACATGCCATATGGGAAATTTTGTTGATCTCCTTCGAAAGTGCTCAACAATTTTCCATCCGAGCTGAAGGTCTTGATTTTGTGAGTACTATATTCGCTAACAATGACATTTCCAGACGTTCTATCAACGGTGACACCTCTTGGATGAAACACTTCATGATTCCCATTCACAAATGTAACATGTGATCCATCATTTCTCGACACGACCTGAATTCGATTATTCCAACATTCAGCAACGACTAAATTCCCATTCGAATCGACATCGATATCGTGTGGACCATAAAATTGACCCTTATTCTGACCATATCTTCCCAACTGCGCTTTGAACACTCCATTCGCAGCATCTAGAACTTGAATTCTATTATTTTCAAAATCACACACATAGATCAATCCATGATTCACAGCAACTCCTAGAGGAATATCAAATTGATTCACAGCTCTACCCTTAGTTCCACAAGTCCAAACACATGTTGCAATTTCATCGTCACTCTTTCTATTCTTCTTTTTAATATTCTCAATATTCAATTGATATTTACGAACGGTGTCATCACTGAGTGAAATGACCACAAATGTTTTTCCACTACAGGAGTTACTTGCACTTCTAGGAGAAGAGACTTGTTCCATCATTCCAGAATCTACAACATTGGCTAGATCATAACACACGGCAATATAACGAGGAGTGCTTGGTGTTTCAAAAAACGCCTTAAATTCCTTACTTTCCAAATCATAAATGGTAATTCGATTATGTTCATAATCTGTGACGAGAATGAGTTGATTTTTGTAATCGATGCGGACATCACTGACGCCTAAACCAACTTCAATAAAGGAATGGAAGGAAAAGTTTGGAGCGACGGAATGTGATTGTTTTTTCTTGGAAATGAATGTTCTTGGAGATTTGAGAGAGGTGTTCGTGGTCAAGGCAGACTCATCCAACATGGTGTTCTATTTTGTGAAATGTAGAGTTGTTGTAAGATGTTTGTTAACAACAACAACATATTCGACATTTGAAAAAATTACAAAATGACACAACCATCATTGATATCACAACCCCATCATTATCAGGATATAACTTACTTTTCGAGCTGCTGTTGGAGACATGACTTTCCAAAAATTAGAAACATAGGTCATGACAATTCTCTCATCAATTGCCAATCCGTTCAATAAATCATTGGCATTTAACAATTTTGGAATGTTTAAACATTTTTCAGCAATTTCAAAACTCGTTTCCAATGATTGTTTTGGATCTTTCAATTCAGTTTGAGCTTTGAAATCAATCAATTGTGGATTATAGGAATGAATGAGAGCACAAAATGCAAGACCGTCCTGAAATGACTTTCCAAAATCCACAATATTCACCAATGGAGAATAATTTTTAGTTTGTTTTTGACACCAATAGAGAAGAGCATCTTCACCACTTCTTCCTAAAGTGTCAGATGTCAAGGGGAGTAGGAACATAACGATAGGAATTCAAAAAGGGAATCGGAGTGGTATTCATGATGATCGCCAATGATGATCAAGATGTGAAATATTTCACACACAACAAAATTGATCAATTTTTCAATCATGACAAATTTAACACTTACCATCTTCAGAAATTTCTTTAATATCAAATCTCAAAATAAATTGCCAAAGTAATCCCAACACGTGTGTTTCCGATTTATGAAACACAGTCTCTGCAGAATATTTAATACAATTTGCATTTTGTTTTTCTAAATAATCATTCATTTGATTGATGACTTTTTGTAAATTATCCATCATGTGAAAATCGGTTTTTGGTGTCGGATTGTAGGTGAATGAAGAATCTTGTGAAAGAATTTTGTAGAGATTGCACAAAATGACACCACTTTTCACATCTTCGAAAAGATCAGAAACGGAGAGATCTTTGGTTTGAGGATTTTCTTTCAATCGGGAATTGATCCATTGAGAGAAGGTGGCGGCATCTTTGGAGACGTCGTTGGTGGTGTGTTGTTTGAGAAGATGGGGTGGTTGTTGATGTTGTGAAGACATTTTTTTTTTGGAGAGTTTGTAATGTCAGTTGTCATTACACCCAACTGATTTGGGAACCTCAAATCCAGCAATCGTCAAAGATACAGCATGGTTATTGCAAACAGCAGAACAGAAATTCATTTACATCTCAAATCTCTTCATCGTTTCTACAGTGATTTTTTCAAATAATTAAAATGATCCTCGATATATGTCGTCAAGTCTGTAAATTGTGTATTGAGGCTACATGAGTTGTGATCGAGTCGCTTTCGGACAAAACAAACACGATGAGACTATTGAATTCTAATTTACATTGTTTTACATTCTAAACATTACATGGCACCATCACAGGGCAACATCAAAACTTCAAGCTTTGAAAGCATCATCAGGAATAAGGAAGTCCTTGGAGCTCATCATGTCATACTTTTTAAGGAATCGCTGAAAACGCTCTGCAAGATGGGTCTTCTTTTCAAATGCAATGAATTCTTCTGGATGTACATAGAATGAGAAGGCAAAAATTCTATAAACTCTTCGACAAAGTGTCTTGATTTCTTTCATGGCCTTCTTAGAGATGCTTGTTCTTGATGGAAATAATTTGGGATCATTCAAAACACTTGTTGATTGTGTATGAATGTGGACCATATAATCAATGGCTGGAACAGATTCTGGTGGAGAAAAAACAGGACATAAATACATGAGTTCTTCATTGCTGTTCGGATTGTTCAGCATGCTCGATGATATTTTCATTTCGGGTTGTGTTTCTTTTGTACAGACATCCTTGTGGGCGAGAATGAACAAATTGATCTCCAACATGAATTGTCTCATGTGTTCATAAATCCAAACGTCCTTATCCACAGCAGGTTCTCCTGAGCTCGATGTGTTTTCATCTCCATCACCCTCCTCACCCTTTCCACCAACTTTCGGAATGGATATAATTCTCTTCACCTTTTTACTGCTCTTTCTGATTTGTTTTTGAATAATTTCTTGTACCACCAATGGATTATCAAAATCATCATTGGTATCCTCATTTTCTGTTTTATCGCTACTACTACTAGATTTACTTGGAGAAGATGGGATCAATACACCCGATGTTGTTGTTGATGATGATGATGATTCATTCTTCTCCCAGACAAATAATTCCTTCTTTTTCGTTCCGGGTCGGTTACGTCTCAACACGAGTGTTTCCGTCATTTTTTTTTTCAATTTTTTTAAAATAGTTGATTTTAATTTTCATTAACACAAAGTCATAAAGTTCCAGTCCTGGTGCATACACAAAGGAATGAATTTATTTTCTAACCAATGGAATGGATTTCTTTGGAATTTCCAAAGGTCTCAACATCTTTTTAGGTTTCTGAATTTTTTTCTGTTTGCAACTAGACAACCATGGAAAGAGTTCTCTTCTTTGAGAGCGATCAACGTTTGACAATTGAGGTGAGAGGATTCCAAGTTCAGGTTCTTTGTCTTTTTCCTTTGATCCAATCAAAGGATTTTCAAGAAGAGAACTTGTTTCATTGTGTAAAATTTGAGATTGGTCTGGACTTGGAGTCGTCTCTTGTTGTTGTGTTGCTGATGGAATTGAAACATCCAATGAATCAACCTCAACATGCTTTCCAAAATTGGTAATAATAAAATTATTTTCACAATCAGATAAATTACAAGTAGTTGGTACATGTGGAAGAATTGGATTCCAGATGTAGATACTTCCTTTCTCTCCTTCATGGACCGATCTTCTCCACTCTTCTTCTTGATGAAACGATTGAATATTCGTTGAAGTTGAAAGAGTTGAAATTCTCGTCAGTGGTTTCCATTCATCATCTTGAGAAGAATATTGTCCACTGTTACAACGACATGTTGAATGGTGATTTCGACACGATGGACAACCACACATGACATGCTCCAGAGTTTGTAATGAAATTTCTGGAAACCATTGTTGGTCATCCCATTCATCCAGATTTTCATGCTGCTTTGAGGCTGGTTTTTCTGGAGGTTGATTGGTAGTTTTGGGTGCTTCTTTTGAGAAGGTGATTGAACGAGACTTGTATCTTTGACTACAACCTCTGATGGACTTCATGAATGAATTATTCTTAATGGTGGTCTTCATCGAAAAGTATTTGGAAGAAGGAGTGTCTTCATCCTTATGGACATGGGGTTCCATAGGTTTACGTTTCATGGAAGAAAGCTAAAGACTCCAGGACATGTCTTTCAATGGTTCCAAAACGTTTTTCAAACTTGTTCCAGTTGTGGTCGAGTTAGTTGTAATTGTTCTTGTTGCAGTGGACATGGATGTCGTGGTTTTGGTGTGTCTAGATACTGTTGAATAGATCAATGTATACAAATATTGAATTGTTTTTTAAATGGTGAATGTGGATATGAGAAGGCTCTGAAATGTTATATCCACGTTCTATGGAGTGAACCTAAATGTAAAAAGTGAGAGACACCCAACTCTTTGAGCATGCTGCAGAAATTAAATAAGGAAAGTTGTATTGGCTGTTTCAGCAATTTGTCATGATATCAACACAGTGATCAATGTCAACTTGACAATTGTCAAGGAACCATCTCAGATGGACAGTTGGAAAGATGGTGTGTCCAATATACACAAGATTAGAATGGAATTTCAAATTCTCGATTGGTGTTGCATCTGCTGAGAGTTTAAATATTTACAATTTTGGCCAACATTTTTATTTCTTTAATTGTTCTTCAAAAATGTAAAAGGAACACCAGAGATTCAGGTATCAGATGATGATCTTTGGAATATCTCTGATTGGAGTCGTCACTCTGTTGATTTCGATTGATTGATGATTGGATCTGAATCAAGGCAATTTGTCTTTTGAACAACAATCTTCTGATAATTGAGATGCATCAACTTCATGACAGTCATGAGTCTGTCTTTTCCATCAAAGATTTCAAGAGAGATTGTGAATTGAATGTCTGACTTGGTTGTGTTGCTGATGAGTGAAATCAATAACCTCAGCTTTCAATGATTAATCAAGTTTCATTCACAGCATAACTTGCTGGAACGTGTGGAAGAATAGGATTCAAGAAGGAGGTACATCCTTCTTCTTCACGAACTTGATCCGATCTTCTTAAATCAAGTTCTTGTTGAATATTGGTCGACGTCGAAAGTGATGAAATTCTCGTGAGTGGTTTCCAATCACTACCAAGATGATGATCCTCCTGACAAACATAATGTCCACTATAGCTACAACTATTACCACAAGTTGTTGCTTGGGGATATCGACATGAGGAACAACCACACCTCACTTGCTCCAGAGTTTTCCATGAAATTTCTGGAAACCAATAAAGATCATCATCTTCATTGCTGAGATTCAAAGCCTTTGATGAAGACTCATGATCTCGTGGATTCAGATCATGGATCGACAAATGGGTCGTAGTGGTGGTCATGAACGAAAAGTATTTGGAAGGAAGGGAATGAGAATTGGAAGAACAAGCCTCACTCCATGCAAAGGCTTCATCCTCTTGGAAATTGGGCTCGACAGGTTTTCGTTTCATGGAGGAAAGTAAAAGACTCCAGGACATGTCTTTCAATGGTTCCATGTGGTCCATATATTTTCGAGTCGAAGAAGTGGTCGAGTTGGTTGTTGTTGTTGTTGTTAAGGAAATGGATGACATGTTGTTCAAAGGAAAAGGAGAGACTGTGGAAATGGTCAACTCGATTGAGTGTTGGATTGTTTTTTAAATTGTGTGGAGTAGCACCTTTGAGAAAGCTCTGTTTGGCCTTTTATAACCAAGTTTTCATGGACTTTACTCTTTTGAAATGAGTCAGTTGTCATGAGGAACAACTCTGGTGCGCATGGGGAAACTCTTTTGTGTGGATACGAAAAGAAAAAAGTTCTGAAGCATAAATGAGGAAATATGACTTGTCTATTTCAGATCTGACAAGATTTAAATGACCAATGTCAGGTCAAGTTTTGTGTATACATATCCCAAATGCGCAGATATTCATTACATGTGCGGAGAGTGTTAATATTTACAAATTTAGGCCTCAACAGTGATTGAACTGTCGCTATTATATACTGCGTTTTTTCTCGCCAGTCCACGCAGGTAACGCACAACGACATTTTCCAGTATTCATGCATCTTGTCTAATACTATCATGTTCGCTGAAATTTCCCTTTTCCAAATCCAGTTTAGTACGACGAGGAGTACTGGAAACGTTCTACAATTGAAATCCTGATCTACAGTTTTAAATTTTTTTGAAAGTCATTGAGGGTGCAATTAGGAGAAAGGATTACAAGTAATGAGGCGACGACACTTCTCCAAAGAGACGCGCGTGCAATATACATAATGAACACATGTTAACTATGTTCTGAAATTCTACAGAGAATACTTTTCCACTCGTTGCAGCAATGTGACATTTGAATCAAATTCAAATTTCTTGACTTGTTCGAATTGGTCAATTCTGGACATGACTCGTGCTACATGTTCCTCAAGAATTTGCTCAATCAATTGTACATGAGTTGGCAATGATAATTCTTTTTCGGAATTCTTCGAAGATTGTAATGGTTGACCCTGCATCATGGATTGATTGACTTTTGAAACGAGTAAATCACCACTCATTCGTTCTTCCATAAATAAAGTTGTAATTTTACATAATTTTTGAACAACCTCTAACAATTGATAAAATTGTTTTTCAATATCACCTCCTCGATAAATACTAAGATTTGAGAAAAATTGTCTCGTTTTCATTTCCAATTGTAAAAATTGATTTTCTAATTTTTTCACACAATAATCCCAATCCGAAATTGCAATTTTAAAATCCAGAGAACATGTCTTTTCCAATTCTTTCACCCATTCACAATAATCATCCAATAACATGCCATATTCTAATTTTTGTTTCTTTTTAAATTTTGGTAATTGATCCCAATGAATTTCCGAAATGGTCCACGGTCGTTGAAGAGAGCTCGACTCGATGGTTTTCATTTCCACCACACGCTCAGAGATGGAATAATTACTTCCGAGACAAGAAAACTCGATTCGGGTCGGACTTGTTTCTAGAGAGGATGTAATGGCGTTTTCGTTCGATTCAGACATTTTTTTTATGGAATTTCTTAAAGAGGAGGGAATCGTTTCCTTTCTGGTTGGGGTGTATTCCACATTTTCAGGCTGCTCACTTTGTTTGGTAATTTGTAACGTGTTGTAAAACCTTGTTGTATTCATTACTGTTCTTCAAAAATATCCTTTTTGAGAAACGAATCATTGTCATTAACTCATTGTTTGCCCTTAATTGAGCACACATTACTGAAACAACAATTAAAGTATTATCTCCCTTCACTACAACACTCACCTCGTTTACAGTATTTTATTTTACATTTTCTGTTTACAACTTTCATTTTCCTTTTTTGAATAAAAAGTTAGTACCAACAAATAAGAACATACAATGACATTTCTAATTTTCAACAACATTTTAAAATGAATTCATTACGAGAGAACACTCCTTCAAGTCAAACTTCTCTTTCCAGTTCTTCTTCAACAACATCATCCACAGCTACGAATACAAATTTCTCAAAGACAAGAGAAATGAGAACGATTCAAACGCCAAACATCATTCAATTGTCAAACACTCAACATCCTTATCATCATGAACAGAATCATTTGGAGTGTATGAGAAAAATACATTCAACTTCTGATGTTGAACTTTGCTCTCAATATTGCGAGCATCATCCCATTCCATATATGGATGAAGAACATGGCAATGATGAGGAATGGGAAGCACAACGTTTGGGTCATTTCAATTTTATGAACAGGCATCCACATGGACAAGAATTTGAAATTCCATCCTTCAACAAGAAAGAAGCCAGGAACAAGCAACACACGCCAGTTGTCACTACATCAATTGCCACTTCGATGCAGTCACAAGACAAACTATTGAGCTCGAAGCCGTCATCCTTTGAAGATCAAGTCATGATCGAATACGAAAAAGCAGAAAATATGAAAACTCCAGACTCAAACTCTCATGTAATTCTCAATGTTCCTTCCACATTGACACCTGACAGCTGCCCATGTGGTGAGCATGCAGACGCAAACCACCATTCAAATGCATCCTCCACCGCAACGTCCAGCGAAAATTCAAGCATTTTCTCTCGATTTCAACCTCTTCAGTCATTCATTCACAGATATCATGAATTTGAACAACATTTATTAAGACGCTCTGAAACGAAACGCGAAAACAAATTTCGATCTCAACTCGAACTCGTCACTGCCATCAATGATCATTGCGATCAGGTCCTCCACACATATCCCTTTTACCGTATTTTCATTTTGTCAGTCATTGGAGGATTTTATCTTTCCATTGGAACCATTTTGAGTGGTTTATTGAGTAGCGACTTGTCCAGTAAGGCCATGCAAAAATTAATGATTGGCATTTCATTCATTTGTTCCTTCACCATGATTGTGTTGAGCAAGAGTATTTTGTTTACGGAGGTGAATATTTCAGTTTCAGTTTATTTGTTCAAGCATGATTTGATTGGAATTTTTAGAAGAAGTATTTTCAAAGTGTTGAAAACAGTGTTGTGTTGCTTTTTCAATTCACGAAACGAAAATTCTCATTCTCAAGACATTGAAAGTCATGGTCGTGAAAAGCATTTTCCCCATTTACCAAATCCAAGAAAAAACATACAACTCATGACTCTGGTGAATTCAGTCTTGTATTGGCTCGTGTGCATTGCTGGAAACTTATTGGGTACCATGTTGATGAGCTCTATTTTGAATGGTTGTCTCATTTGGTATCAAAACACGTCCTTGATTCAATTTTTAAGTAACACTACATTGCACAAGATTGAACCTTTCCAAGAACGAGGTGTCAATGGATGGTTCTTGTGTGTGGTCTCAGGAATGGTTGCAAACTTCATGATTGGTGTGGCATCCCAGTTGTGTTCGAGTGCAGTGACATTGGTTGGAAAGATTGCTGGTTTGGCCATTCCAGTCATTGCTTTTGCTGCGTTAGGACCTCAACACGCCCCAGCGAATTTTGGATACTTTTCACATATTTTGGTTTGGAGAGATGTCTTTGGAGAATCGTTTTTGGCTCAAAATGCAACCACTTCCCTCTTGACTCCAGAAATCAAGTACGTCATGGAATTGAGTTGGGCCGACGCTTTTGCTTGGAATATTGTTCCAGCAGCTGTGGGAAATGCTCTTGGAGGTTTCCTTCTTGCTTTTGCATTTGTTTTCACATTTATCAAATAAACATTCCACTGATCTTGTTTAAATCAATCTCAAATTTTGTCTTTACAGCTTCCTTAGAGTTTTTAGGTGAGAATAAGTTAATAAATAATATATTATTGCCATCATTAATGTACTTTAAAACTCTTCGAGATCATAATTTTCTTCAGGAAAATCTCCAATCGTGATCATGTCTGGCCTTATGAAAATTCCATGCTTTGGAGGGCATGTGAAATATCGCTTATTATTGGTCGAGCCATCATTTGTACCCATGGGTTCATCTAATTGAATTCCCACCCAATATCCTTTAGCAAATTGAACTTTTCCAACAAACTTCACTTGACCTCTCATTTTAGATTCGTTCAATTCACAACGACTCTCTTTCGTGATTCCCTCAATAATTTTTGCGTCGTTATACTTTTCTTCTTCTGCAGAGAGTGGTTTGGCTGTCTTACTCACGAATGGATCAATATTCTTCTTTTTCCACTTTCTAAATGTATCTTCTCTCTTATCATAATCTTCCTCACTAATAACATACTTTTCAACTTCTTCCTCTCCTTCGCCAATAAATTTGGTACTTGGATCTTGATCAATGACATGAATTCGCATACAATCCGATGAATGCCATAACTCGCCAAAGTTCGGGAATCATCCAATCCACTCAACACTGGTTGATCATCCTTTTCATTAGAGTATAATTGTAAATTCATATATTGTGGTTCCGTTCCTACGATTGGATACAATTTCCTCTTCAATTCCTCAACCGTCATGGTTTCATCAAATTGTTTCTCTGCTCTCAAACTCTCCAATACGGAGTGAGTAATCACTAACCAGACCATCCTTTTTTTGCTTTTAATCAATTGGAAGTTGATATTGATGGTGGTGCAAGAATACAAGCGTCTTCCGATGATACAACAAGTGGTTGTATTTTTTTTGTAGAATTCATTGGCGCGCAAATTTATCTATTTTCACAAATCAGGATTTGAACAATAAAAGGAACAATAAAAGAATTTTTGAATGTCCTGAAGTTAACTTTATTTCAAAGTTCCATTATTATTACTATTTACTATTGGCCATCAAACTACCTCCCACACTCGTCAACATTTTGTATCTCGAATAGGTATCTGAGGCAAGATTATTCTTCACAGTTTGATACAACTTGTCAAATAAATCCAATTGTCCAACTCCCTTCTCAATTAAGGTTAATTCTTTTTTCACAACAGCTCCACTCACATTGACAGCTAGTGGAGATTCTTCTCCTTTCAAGAATGTTCGAATAATGGCTTCTTGTTTGATCATTCTTTCATGTGTATGTTTCAGAGATTTGTATTCAAGAACGGCATCCATGAAGAGCATATTTTCTTCGGATTTTTCATTTCGACAGAAGAGTTTGAATTTTTCCTTTTCTTCAGGATTGAGTAAGAGACGATCGAATTCTCCTTCCATGCCTAGGAGAGATCCAGATTTTGGTATGGTTCCTAATAATTGAGAGGAAACTCTTCCGACAAAGACGAACATGTGTTGTCCATTGGTGCTGTTGCCTTGTTTGGCTTTTGTGACATAGGCATCAAAGTCAATATTCTTTCTCTTTTTGGTTAAGCCAGTAAATGGATGTGTCATTTGATCATCGTACGAGGAAATAACTTGTCCGAGAGAATCCCCAGTCTTGGCAACATCTTTTAACTGAGGGAATAACTTGTCGAGAGTAATTTTACCACTACCCTCCACATCTACTGCACTATATCCAAATCGGTCATAAAAGGCAGTATTTGCATGTGTCACGACACCTTCTGCAGTGACTGTTAACACAATATCTTTGATACTGTTCATGATGGAGCTTGTTCTTTCTTCTGCCTCTGAAATTCTTTCAAGAAGTTTTTTGAGTAATTCTTGTTCTTGTAATTGCTGTTCGACGAGCATGTCCAATGAATTTAACATGTAATTGATATTCTTTGAGACTTTTCCAAGTTCATCAGTTTGTCCATCTCGTACTGCAATTCTTTGTTTGGTGTCGTTCGATGCAGTAATTTCTTGAATTCTACTTGTCAAGTGTAAAATTCGAGACAAGACTCTCTTTTCGACGAAAAGAATCACAACAACGGATGCCAATAAACACACCAACAGTAAGAGACCAATCGCTAACAGTATCGATTGAATTCCTAGGAAATAAACATCACGTGCAATATCAGTTCTTACAATCATTAATGGTTGTCCATAAATGTCATTCAATAAAACATAGGAAGCAAATCTCTGCTCAGAGAGTGTAGATCCATCTGTTCGATAGCATTGTCTTTTTGAAAGTGTCATGGTAGTTTCCAATGGATCAAATGCAAAAACTGCCAAATTTGGCCAATCAAAGGATGTTTGCAGAACAAAAGTTCCATTCAATGATGTCACACGTTTCGAAAACTTTTCAACAACCTTGTCACTCGTATCATCGAGTAAATGCATGGAGAGACATAATTGAGCACTGTTTGCAATACTATTAATGAAGGTTGAACTCATAATTCTACCAAATACTAAAACACCATTCGTGTCAGAATTATTATTCCAATCAGAAATGGTAATTGGTGCAGCGGATAACATGATCAATTGTGATTTGTAATTCACAAAACCTCCGTTTCTTGTATAAGATTTATCCATATTATACATGAGTGGATTTGACAGAGATAATTGTTTCAAAATATCTGGAATATTGTCTGATGAAGAAGTGACAGTATCCGTGTCAAAACTATAGCTTCTCGAAATGATTCTAGTTCCATTCTTAAAGTAATAAATGACCCAATTCACTTTCGAAGATGCCATAATTGCTCTCGGAAAATTTGAACTCATATAATCATCAAAATTAGTATAGGCGTTGGGTGTTCCCGAAAGTACATTGTTGATGTGGTTATAGGGCTCAGTCCAAGCAGAGAAGGGTAATAAATTCTGATGTATGATGAGTGAATATATATGATTTAAAATCATAACATGTTGAACCATCATGCCAAATGTCAAAATAAAGTTACAAATTTCACACAAGCACACACTTACACCCAAATTCGTACGTAAATCATCATAGAGTGCCTTCATCGATCTCTTCGAAGCATTACTACTATCATTTTTCTCCAACTCTCCAAAGTTCACAGGCAAGATGGTTCCGATAATAATCACAAACGCCAAAATCATGACTGTAAACAAGACAATCAAAGTGGCCAACGTGGACACTCTCAAACTAAAACAACACGAAAGAATTCTCTCCTTCACAGAAGATTCATTCTCCAAATTTTGTGTCGAAAGAGCATTTCCTGGTGTTGTTGTGGTTGTTATTCCTTTCAAAGGTTGTAGTCCAAATAATTGATGATCCTTGTTCTTATCGACCAATTTTTGAACTTCGGCTTTGAGTGGATCTTGTAAAGCGGTGGTAGCGAATTGATTGGTCGATAGAGATTGAGATAAACGACCACCGCTGGTTGTTGGTGAAGCAGTGGAAGAGGAGGCGAGAGAACCAATGACAAACGGTTGTTGTTGTTGTTGTTGTAGGTTGGAAGGACTTGAACCAGCCGAGTTGTTGTTGTTGATGGGTGGTTGTTGTAGATGGTTTTGATTGGGTGATGAAGAATTGAGAGTGGTGGAAGTAGTAGTAGAAGGAGGGACATGGACACCATCCAAGATGTCGAGTTCGACTTCCGTGTTCATTGTTTGGGGTGGATGGTGTTTGTTGGATTTTCTTTTTGGTTGTAATTATGTGCTTTTGCAAAGTGTCAACGTCAGGATGTTGGCAACTGACAGCTCACTTAAAAGATATGAGCAGGTGCAAACAAGGACATATTTGCAATACTTGGAGATATGAAATTTCATCATGCCGTCTCGTTTCAAATGAGAACAATCAAGCAAGGGTGAATCAAAAAAGGCTTTTTGGATCATCAAACTCTTTGAAAATCATGATCTAAATCTGAGCGACATCAAGCAATTCATTGATGGTCTGTATAAGGCACTTTCATCACGTTTTTACCTATTAGTAATCAATTCTTAATGAGCGAATTGGAAATCTTTCTTTCGTCGTTCGGTTCATCATATTTCGGAATTAAAATTTCTCTCAAAGAAAAAAATGAACAAACAACAACAAGCCTTACTCGCCAAATGCATGAGAACAACTCTTGCCTCTTGTTGGAGCCAACAGAAAACAATTTCTAACAAGACTTGGCTATTATCAAGAATGGATCAGAAAAATTCCAGTATTCTATTCAATAATTATCGGGATTGGAATGAAACTCTCGGAAGATGTTTTTCAACCAGTGGATGGATGAACGGAAGACCAAGAAAGAAGGATGTTGTTACTACCAGTGTAGCAGAACAAGAATCATCATCGGAAGAAAAGAATGTTGAATCATTAACCACGAATGTAGAGAGTATTACATCATCATCAGAACCAAAGCAACACCTCGGGGAAGAAAATCCAAAACAACCATCACGGATGCTGAACAAGTGATTGATAAAACATTTTCACAAGAAAAGCAACACGAAATTCTTGTACAATCCATGGATAAGCTCACCAAGAAGTATGACAAGTTGGAGAAGGCAATTGCTGCTCAACAGGAATTGTTGGGAATGATGTCCACCACTTTACATGTAAGTTTCAATATTCATTCAAAATATCGATAAATTTTGATGGAAAAATTCTTTCAATAATAATTTTGAAATTATTGCCATCGCAATATGGACAACAATAGGTCATCGGAGAACAACAAGTACAAAACAGAGTATTGCAATTGCTAAAGACCTACAAGGTAATTCATGCAAACACACCACAAAATGCAAATCCTTTTATTAGAATTAACTCGAGAGAGAAATTGGAAACACTAGTCACAGGTTTCATTAATTCACAACATTTACCAACAGCTATTCAAAGTATCAAAAAGTATGTGTTTCAATATTAATGTTTTAAATTGTTAAAGGTTTACTTTAACATTTCAATATTCCTCATCACAGAGCAATTCCACATCAATTATTTGTCAGTGGCTTAGATGGCTCCATTCAATCCTACCTCGATATTACCAATCCCAATTGGGTTCATGCTCAATCGGGTGGATCATTGCAACATTTAGTGAGTGGTGATGTTTGCATGGTTGGTACGTTGGAAAATGTCACTCACGCTCTCCATCGTGCCCTTCGTTATCCAATCATGGTCCGAAGATTTACCTCAAGAGTTAATAATTTATTATTCCAACATGCTGAACAAAGATTGTCAATAACACAAGGAATGGAAAAGGTCACACTGTTTGTCGTGGTTGGAACTCCAAAATCGTACTTTGAGGAAACGATTCCTGCTCGATTTTTCAACAGAACTTTCACCGATCGAGATTTTGACGATTTAGAAGCTTACATTTTGGAGTCTTTTGAAGGAACAGTAGTGATTCCAGAAGACTCGGAATTGGAAAATTTGATCATTAAGAGTGATCCAATTAAGGACCCATTAGGTATTTGGAAATTGTTACTAAGCATTGAATATAATGACGAGCGAGTGTTAGCAAAGAAAGCCACGGTGAGAAGAGGAAGTTGACACGGAAATTGTAACCAAGGTTCTGTTGTTAGCGTTGATCAAACTCACCAGAATTCACAACTTTGAGTTGTTCTTGGGAAGTGTTGTCAATCCTCTCAACTAAGTCAATAATAATCCAAGTTGTTGACGATTTCTGAATTTAAATAATTGAATATTCTGAAATCACACTCATTGTGTGTGCAATCAATCTTTAATACATGATCATGACGCATTTACATTCAATTTCACAAATTTCATTATTACAATTTTACAATCCAAGTAATTGTTTCTTCTTTTGAGTGAATTCTTCCTCTGAAAGAATTCCTTTTTGTTTGAGTTCAGCTAATTTTTCAATTTGAGACAAGACGTCCTCTGAAGACGATGAGGAATGAACATTGACAGTTGCTGAAGTGGTTGGCTTCTTATTTTCAATCACGACGGATGAAGCTACCACCACTGGTTTTTGAGGTGATGATGTTGTTGTGCTTGTTGAGGATGATGTTGACTCGGCAGCTTTGGTTTCTTGACCAACGACTCGAGCACATTCTTTCGTTGTACGTGGGAGCAATTGGTTTCTCTTCTGTTGAAACGACAATATCCAAGCCCTTGGATGGAGAGCTGGAAGTGCCAAGTGGCTTCTTTTTGAATTCCTTGTCCATATGCTCTTTGGCCAATTTCTCTTGATTGATGAGAGAAATATCGCCTTTGAGAATGACTGGATCCATGAATGCGAATGAAAGGCTACTCCAACCAGTTTTTTCATCGTATGTGACTGGATCATCGGTTTCGACTAGTCGAATTTGTTGTAACGAACGAATTGAATATTCATACAGTTGATTGACGATAAAAAATCAATTATTCAAAAATCATCATCGTTTTGAATCATCATCAAGAGACGATGAAACCCAAACTTACCCCAAACGACATTTCTCAAATTCCATTCCTTACAAATATCACGGAGAGGAATTCTACCATTCTTTGTCTTGACATGTTCTTTCCGTTTCAATTCTTGTGTCTTGTTAAACTTGTTGACGAGAATGACAGTCACACCTTCTGGTGCATCGACATCATCTAGAACCATGTTGTTGTGAAGAGGAGTTGTATTTTTTTTTTTTGAAAATGAGCTGTCAGCAATCAAACAGCAACGACGTGTGAAGAGCAATGTGAGATGAATAAGGTTCGAATTGGATTGAGGGGAATATAATTTTTACAAAAGCTATGGTTGAATCAAATCCCATTCATAGATCTGGCAATAAACCTTATCCATGGCACCTCTAAAGGACTTGCGTTCTGTTTTTTGTCGCTTGTTATTAAAATATTCAAAATTAATCACAAATCGAACATGTTTGTAGAGCTCCACAAACCAAGTAATTCGAATCAATGTAATGTTATAGAGTTGTTTGTGGCTCTTCTTTTCCAAGAATCGATTTTTACAAGCTGTAGTAATTGTGTTAAATGTTGGATAATACAACCAATTTTTGAATGTTAGAGTGGATTCATAAGTGGGTATAAAAGGATTAGAGTCAAATTCGACACGTTCTAATTTTTTCATCAACTTCAATACTGTCATGTCCATTTTGGTAATTTTGTTTTTTGAAATATCTAAAAATTCTAAATTTTCCATATAAGCAATATGTTTGGAAATCTTTTTCAAATTATTTTGAGAAAGGTCAAGATGTTTGAGATTTTTGAGTTTGTAAATGCTTGCAGGAATGGTCTCAAATCCAATGGATATCAATACAAGCTTTTCTAAAATCTTAAGTTTTGAAATGTTGTCTGTGAGTGAGCCATTGGGTTGTGGATTACCATTCACTACCAATTCTTTCAATGAGTCTTTCCAAAAGGAAGTATCAATGGCATGCACAATGGCAGGTTGATGACCATTAATGGTGAATGAAAATTTTTGAAGTTTGATGTGAGTGGGTAGTTGTGAAATGGTTCCTTCCAAATACAGCTCAGTAAGTGTTTTTGGAAGTGCAGAAATGATGCTTTTTGTGTAATTTACAGAGAATCCACTCAGATTCAACGTTCTAAAATTATTCTTTAGAAAGCTCGTAATATAGGTCAAATCTTCAGAGGTTGTTGGTCGTGAAAACGAGTGTATAAAACAGCTGTGTACGTTTTTAAGAGACGGTAGCTCTTTTGGAATAGGATATTCAATTCCAATATCTGGATCAATGGTTAAATGTTTCAATGTACTTGCACATGCCCTTAGTAAATTGTCAATTTGTTCCCTATTGGCTTTCGCTCCTGTTATTGCGAGCTTTTCTAAATGTTTGAGTTTGATCTTTGGAGGTATTGTATTTGATGCCCTTTCGAAACAGATCGAGAGCTCTTTAAGGGAACTTGGAAAATATTGAATGTCGTCGTTGGATCGAATCGTGATGGTTAGAGACTGTAACGTGTTGGAACAGTCAGTCAAGAAAGTCAGAGGTTCGGTGAATTTCAAACTTTCAAGAATATGTAATTGCTTGAGTTTGGCGAGATGGTTTTCCTTTTTTGTTTGGCCAGAATAGAGTCGAGTCATTACCGCATCATAAAATACTTTGGTAATCTCGCTATGTGGTAATAAAACTAGATTTGCAATATTTGGTAAGGTAATTAAGCTTTCACAAATCCAGTCACAATATTTTTCATAGAGCTTAATTTCAATTTTTGTCAAATTTGGGCAATGTTGGTAGAGATTGAGTTGATCCCAATCAAATCGAATATCTAATGAAAAATGACAATCGTTGATACTGAGAGAGCGAAGTTCAGGAGAGAATACATGATTCATGAAAAGAGTCCAACTGTTTTGAGGAGGATGATCATAAATGTCCTCTGTAAATCCATACGTATTGACTTCATCGTCGACCATTTCAGCTAAATTTCTTCGAGACATTAATATTGAAACATTGTTGCCAGATATTCGCATGTCCATCAAGCTTAAATATCTTGGTTTTGCCACCATATCCGCATGCTCAATATCCAATTGCCCCCAACATACTGCCAATAAATTTCGTTGTCTCAAATCTTGCAACAATTCAGTCCTTCTGTTGAAGAATCTTTTTCTGACACGTGTTGCAGTATCATTACTTTTTTCATGAGTTTGCAGATATGGCATTGGTTGAGGAAACTGCTGACGAGACTTGTCTGTAATCACCACTCCATAATCTCTGAAAGCATCAAATAAAAACTTTTCCAGCAAGTAATTATATCCCATCCTAGAATATCGACTCACAATATCTGATGAAGCGTTAAATTGAGATCGGTAAGCAATTAAAACCCGAAAGAAGAATTTAGAGCTCGTTACTAGTACATATAACACACGTACGGGAAGAAACGAGCAAATATGAAGCCACACATCTGCGGGAATATTACGAGCATCACATACAAAGACAGGACTCGGTTTGTTGGAGAAGATTTGTGGTTCTTCAAAGGGATCAAAATGATCCAAATCAAAGGGATAGCTTGATGATGCATCAAGATTTTCGAATCCATCGAGTGCAGCCCTGATGAAGTTGTTGGTCTTGATTGATCCAAACCCATTTCCGAATTGTTGAGAGATGATTTCAATAGTATTTATGGAGTTGTAATAATAATATTTTGCTATTTTGATTATTGAAGAACAGCTGTTGTTATTGTTGATTGAATGTTTCTTCCAAGTTTTCATACCAGATCCGCGGCTGATTATAACGCCTTCGGAATGACGTAGGGCACGTTTTTACAACTCACGAACTCAGCTAGTAATTCCTACCTGTATGAATTGTTGTTATTAGAATGCAATAGTTTTTGTTGTTGGTGAATCCTCAAACGCGGCGGCTGCAAATCGGAGAAGGTTGGTTGCAGCCGTTTCTTTTTCGCCCTCAAAGAGCATAAATGAACTTGCTTCTTGATTGGGGCAAGAAACTTTAATTGTGTGGAGAGGAGCTCACTATGGCGAGATAAATTCAAGACCATGAACGTTCCTCCTGTACAAGAGCCTGTGTATTCAAACAACAATGATTAGAAAATATCAATTTAATTTTCAGTGTTTGTATCCATTACAATTTTGATACCATAAATTGTCCTTATTATTGACCTTGTTGAAATTTCACATTTCCAAATGAATTTGATACAAGGATGGAAAACATTCATGTTCGAGTTGGTCCAATTTTTTGGAAATTCCTTGTTCCTTCATGGACTGGATAGCTTTTGAAAATTTCAATGGATTTTCCCATAACGCATAATTCATGTATTGAAAGTGAGCTTTTTCAGGTGCAATGGCTTTATGGAGTGCTGTTTTCAGAAAACCATCTTGTGTTTGGAGGAAACGAGCACAATCGAGCCATCCCTCTTCGAATTCCTTTTCATCTTGAATGTTGATATGGAATGGATTCATCAAGACAAAGGGTTCTTGTTTTGGGACAATATCTTGTTCATGATTGGAAGTTGTTGTGGTTGTTGTAGACATTTTTCACTACAATTCAATCGGTGGAGGATTTCATCTCACCTCGTGATCATTTGTTTTTATAGGAAGGACATGTTGCAATGTTGAAATCTCGAGAATGTAAAATTGTCCTCTGTATGCGCTCTATATTCTTCTTCAGTTTTTCAAAAATCCTCAATCTGTGACTCTGAGAACATTTTTATTGTCCTTCGTCTCCTTGTCGAACACATATTCATGTCAAACTGGTCGAAAAAGTCCTCAATCTTATCCAATCGTGATGGACACAGAAATAAATTTACCATGAGTGTGCACATCTTGTTCATTCGAATGAGCAATCAATCTCACTTTTAAAGGCATGGGTCTTGGATGAATGAACTGATTCGAAAAGAGGACTGCCGGTGAAAGTGTTTGTTCAAGTGTTGGATTTGTTTCAAGTGCCTTCTCGAGTCGTACATGATCTTTCACGTAACGATGATACGAAAGTGCATAATCTTTGGAATATATAAAGGCAAAGTGATTCATGGTTGTGCAAGTGGATGGGAGGGAAAATAATTCTGATTTTTTGAGCTTGTGTGAAATGGGTGAGAGGATTGAATCGAAGGAGTAGAGAGAGGGTTCTGACAAGTGATTCTTCTTGTTCGTAGTGTCATTGTTTGAAATCTCCCTAAACAAAATTTCAACTCTAAAATCTTGACTCACAATGTCCTTTCGGTGCACTCCATCAATTTCCAATTTTGAAAGTTTCACAAGATTTTGTGGAAGGAAGGCACTATGAAGTCCAATTCTTCCAATTTCTTTTCTCTTTTGAGTGTGTGGATTTTTAATTCCAAATATTATGATCATATCACCTGAAAGTCGAATGTTCTCTGAAAAGGTAAAGCTTGCAGAATTTTCTTCTTTACACAATTCACAATGTGATCTTCCTACCACAGAGTCGGTTATTTTTGTAACTTCACAGTCATTAACACTCAATTGTGATCTCATGGAGTTTTCAACAGTTGGATTTAAGATTTTTTGAATAGATAAATGACCAATTTCCAATTCAAATAAATCTTGTTCAATACTTTGCACTATTGAAGGTGACAGGCAGTACATGGTGAACTTTTCGATGGTCACTTCTCGGTCATGCGGTGTGTAATCATGTTTTCTTAAAAACACATTTTCCCAAAAACAGTTTCGTTATATAATAGAGAAGTTGGAGCAGTTGTTGAATGAAATGCCTTACTTCTAGCCTCCTCAAATCTCGCTTCTTTCAAGTGTTGAATATAAGAAATGTATCGAACTTGTGACGGCGAATTAATTCCTCCATTTTGACAAGACGAAAATGGCTGACAGGTTTTTCAAATCTTTGCAATGCAAAATAATTCAATGAGTCGATGGAATCATTAAACATGGAGCTATTCCATTGCAGAATATTATACAATGTTGAGTAAAATTATTAGCAATAATTATGACAGTACAATAATTTGTAAAATAATTATGATATTACAACAATTAAAAAAATAATTAAATATGAAATTTCACACATATTCGTTTCACATTTCCAATTAAAACCTACCAGTACAATAAATAGGCACAAATTAACGTTCCACTTCTTCCCTTTCCTCCCGCACAATGAATCACTGCAACATTTTTCTCATCTCGTTCCAACCATTCATGAATACAACGACATCCACTCATCATCATGTCCAATGGTGGATTGTAATGGTCTGGAAAATTCCAATCAATCACATTTCCATAAAACACTTTTTTATCATAACGAAATTCCGATAAATTGAAAATCATGTAATGATCTCTTCCATGCATGTCTTCCAAAAATTGATGAACAAGATTCGCATCATTTCGGAAATAGCCAATGAACCAATCTTCTGTTGGAATGGACATGACAATAATTCTTGATGTAATGTACGTAATATCGAGATTATAATTTAGTCCTTTAAATAATTTTCGACCTCCTGCTCGTTTCTTTCTAAATTCTGCTCGTACACTTTCGAGTATATGTTGTAGAGGAGAATTGAATGAAGAGGACTGCTCCAATGATGAATTTGTCATGTGAATGACATGAGTTTGAGTTGTCATTTTTTTTGTATTTCTTTCTTCTTTCACAACGGAAATCATTCATGTCCTCAGGTGTGTTAAGATTCCATATGGTCCCTTAAATGTATTTATTTGGTCCAGTCGAAGAGGACATGACTGTTCCATTGCTTCCATCTAAAATTCCAATCACTTTTTCTTTCAACTCATCATAGCTCAATGAAGGTCCTTCCTCCGTTCCTTCGTAGAATCCAAAGGTTTTATGTAAATTACCTGGATAGTATCCGTCTAAATGATAAACTCTTCGATCATCCGCATATTGATGTAACTCTTTCATAAATGAATTGGTTATGGCATAACTTCCCAATGAAATTCGCAACAGCACTTGTTGTTGTGACGAATCTGTGCATTGAAAGACAAATTTCACAGCATTGTTTCCAATGAGCTCGAAATGTTCATAAACAAACACATGGATATTCTTTCCTTCAGCTTCTGGAGATGATGAGATTTCAAACTGATCTCGACAGAATCGTTTCAAGTCCTCTGAAAATTCCTTATTCTTGTACTTGGTATAAATTTCTTTCACTTTTTCATCTCGTTGATCTTTTTGACCGATTTTTTCATAGAGTTGAACAATTTTCCCATGAATTTGTAAATCATTGGGTTGTAAATCGATGGCTTCTTGGAAGGATTCCAGAGCATGTGCAAAATCCTTTACCAAACTCAATTTCATTCCCAAATTATAGAAAGAATTTGTGAGATCGAACTGAATGGCTTGCTCCCGATCAATACTTTTCATCTTCTTGTAACATTCAAGACCGTTCACAAGTAATAAAGACGATGAACTAGCTGATGCCATTGCAATGAAACATCTTCCTTTCTCATACCAAAAGGCAGCCTTTTCAGGTTCCACACGGTTGCTTGTTCAAAAGCAGCCAGAGCATCTTCCAAACGTCCCAACACACTCAACACAAGACCCTTGAAGAAGTGAGATCTTCCTCTTGTTGCATCGTTGGAAATACTCTTTTCAAAACTGGATAAGGCTTGCTCGTCCATGGTTTCTGATCCGAATTGTAATTCTCCTAATGCGAGCCATAATTTGGCAATTTCCTTGATCGAGTCAAAGGAGTCTTCGGTTGGATTGGAAGATGATGAACTTGATTGTGATTCTTCATTCTTTTCTAACTCCATGATGGCTTGAGTGTGAGCCTCTATCTGACCATAACGTTGTGAGGCGGCATCTTCTTGAATTTTGGTGAGAAGATCGACAAAGGGTTTCGTGTCGTGTAAAGACATTTTTTTTGGAACTATGAAAAGAAACTTTCACAACTTTACAATGAACGATTACAATGGTTTTGATCCAACCTTTTTGCAAGATACAAAAATATCTGTTGTTATTGAGTACTTTTAGGAGGAGTATATTTCACAATGGTGAAGGATGACTTGTTTTTCTTGTTGGTTGGGAATGACAAATCAGAAAAGTAATATTTGGTTGGAAGAGTGCAATTTTTGAAAGCTTTTTGAAGAACGAGAAGACATTCTTGTGACAATGCTTTTTCATTTTCATCTTCATCGTTGATGTAAAACCATAATGATCTCTTTTTTTCATAAAGTGACATCTTTGACACGATTTTGCATTTGAAAACAATACACCAATAAATTACATACTTTTGAGTAAGGCCATCTTTCCCCTTTACTGACATCCTTATATCTTCTTTTCAAGGTGAAACACTCACGCCAAGCATTCGTGCTGCAATCATTTGTGATGCTTTAAAATATTTCGACTAGTCATGATGAAACCAAATTTAGTATTAAACTCTTTTTTGACAATAAGAACATCCAACTTACCATGTCTTGAAGAGTCTAGTTGTTTAAACAACACGATCAATATTAATGTCAAACACATGTGCATGAATGATCGTGTTGCATCCAAAGTCATTGACAGGATCGTAATGACACATCTTGTATCTACATACGGAATAAGCCATGCTCGTACTTACCACCTCCAATCTGGCATGATGGCTTGGGGTTGTAGTATTGATTGTTAATGAGGAAGAGGAAGCAAGATTCGTACATGCACATTTCTCTGATTTTCTTTGAGCGCAAACAGCAAGTGCTTGTTGTTTTGATATGATTTGATCTTTTGACTGGGACGCATGGATTTGATGTTGTGGTGGTGGCACCGAGGTCGATGATAACGATGAAGAAAGAGGATCCATTTTGTTTGATGGTTTTGTCAAGGAGACTTTCATAGGTGAGACTTTCATAGGTTGGAGCTATAGAAGTAGCGTTATTTATTTGCAATGGTTCATCATCTCAAATACAATTGCGTTTCTTTACAATCTAAACAAAGACTTTCCATGATCCGTATAAACAATTTAGAGTTCACTCTGGTTTTTCCGTCCAGCAGCAGTTTTCGTGCACCAACCCCTAAATATGGAGTTTAGGATGCACAAGCGTTTGGGGCCTAATATAACAAAATGCCACATCATGGTGGGTGTGGAGTGCAAATCTTGTTTAAGCTTCATCAAGGAGCGTTGATCCTTGGGTTGAACAAACATTCATTTCAGAATTAACCATTTCTCATTGTACATTTTAGAAGAAGGGTCATTTCCGTCGTATGGATCAAACGATTCTTTTCCAACATGTCTTCACAGTTGAGAAAGATAAGAACGACTTTTTTGAGTAGGTGGAACCTCCCTGCAGTGGACGCGCACTAACGGAGCTTGTGTGCCAAAATACTTTACCAAGATGCAATTTACATCACAATGAACTGACGATGTGTTTCGCACAGACCGTTCTTCTAAAAAACATCCTGCTTGTTGCTGCATGCTCACACGACAACAAATGACATCACGGAGGAACACGATCGTCTTCTTCTGCTGCTCTACATCCTCAGCTTCTTCATTACAATCTTTGTATCCACAACAAGGTCAAGCGTTTCAAGCTCCGAATGTGGAGGAACCACATGTAGAACCCTCTTCTTCTTCATCAACCTCTCAATTATTACTTCAACATGTACCAATGATTTCAAATCCTTCTCAAAACAAATTAACCAATCAGGAACAACTCAGTGGACAATTCAAAAGGAATAATCAGCTCGTACATACATGTGGGGAAGCAACAAACTCATCACGGACGTCTACAACGCCAAGTCAGCACCATCAGGCTCGGTTGCCAGTGGTAAGTACATGTAGTCTTACATCTCTACTATGTACGTGGGTGATTCGAATATTCAATGACTTTGGATGCAACACGATCGTTCCTGCACATGTGTTTGAAATTAATATTCATACTGTTGTATAAACAACTAGACTCTTCAAGACATGGTAAGTAGATCATTCTTCAAGTTAGAGCAGAAGAATTAATGAGTTCTGTTATTTCCATATTTGGTTCTAATGACCACGATCTTTCGCCAAGTCGAAATATTTTAAAGCATCACAAATGATTGCAGCACGCATGCTTGGCGTGAGTGTTTCAACCTTGAAAAGGAGATATAAGGATGTTAGTAAAGGGGAAAGATGGCCTTATTCAAAAGTATGTAATTTCATTTTCATCCTTTGTTCAACCTAGCTTTTCTAACTTCCAAGATGTCAACTAATGAAAAAAAGAGGTCTTTGTGGTTTTACATCAATGATGAAGATGAAGACGAAAAAGCATTGTCACAAGAATGTCTTCTCGTTCTTCAAAAAGCTTTCAAAAATTGCACCCACTCAACCAAATACTACTTTTCTGATTTGTCATTTCCCACCAACAAGAAAAACAAGTCTTCCATCACCATTGTGAAATATACTCCTCCAAACAGCACTCAATAACCACGGAGAAACACCAATGATAGAAGAATTAAAGAGCTTCTGATGAGAACTCTGAATGAAAATATTGTGAACCCTCTGTTGAAATTTTGACAATATTCATTATGCATGTTCCACATGTGCACTGACATGCACAATGAGTATATCAAAATTTCAACAGAGGCACTAACACATCAAATTCTGGATAATCAAATTATGTAAAATTCATATTTGATTATCAAAATGACCTGCATGTAGCTCAATACGCTTCTGTATCAGGCATGAGGAGTATGTCCATTAATAAACTTGTTATATGCCTCGACATGTGTTTCCAAAAATTAATGCTAACTAGGACTATTTCAAATGATTAGCATCAATTTTTGAATCGTATCGCCAAAAAATTCAAAAATTGATCAATAGACATCGCTTCCGCAATGAACTGGCAATTATCAAAATGGTGAAATCAATTGATTGAACAAAAAACTTATTCCACATTGTGTAAATACAAAATGTCAGACACCACATGCCTTGATAGTGCAGATACGAGTGGAGCGACATGCTATATTCGCATGCATCTACTGCGTTTGGTTCTTCGAACATGTTTAATACATGTATTGAAAACATGTCTGATTTTGGTGAATTTAGTTCAAGAAGCATGCGAGGATTCATTCCTCATGTGAGTAAGAAGGATTCTCTCCGATTAGAAGGTTTTGAAGAATTATTGGAACAACATGGAAGGTATTTGCGAAGGAATCAGTAAGAACATGAGTTCATGCATCTGCAACATCCGATAAAGCATCATCAATCCTTCCGTGTTTTATCAATAATTCTAATCCTCTGTCTGTAACAGAAATTCAACTCCATGAATTATTAAACTGAATCACAATGGATCTTTCCAAAGATTGAATATACATTTCTCTCGAATCCAAGTGTGCGATCAGTGCACGAAAAAGATTGATGAAAAGGTTTGGCGGTTTTTCATTTTTTTTGTCGCAGCAAAAAGCAAATCAGGCAAGATTTCAAAAGAAAGTTTGGTGATGGTCCAGCTTTGAAAGTTTAATTTTTGGCGAATATTTACAACAACGTATTCCAATTCAAAGAGGATATTCCCTATTTAAATGGTCGTGAAATTTTTAATTTACACGCAAACTTATATAAATAAGGCTCCAAAGGATTGTACATTCAGCGAGCGAGTGCTGTTAATAAGGCAAAATATCTTTTATTGGGAGTACGATAAAGTACTTTCGAGAGCTTTAATTTCAGCCACGACGTCCTTTCTTGCATCCACATCCATAATCATCCAGTCCATCAAAAACCTCAAGAATTGTTTTCCATCACACTTGACCATTCCTTCTGCAGAGAAAGCATGATGATTTAAATTTGGTGCAGACACACTCGATCGACTATTTCGTCTCAATTGAGGTTGTGAAATTCTCTCGAATTTTCTTCTCGTGTAAGAGGTAGAAGGAGAATGTGGAGGAATCACTTCATGGATCACAGCGACACCATCTCCTACTACAGGACCTGTGGAGGTGGTACTCGAGCTTCTCATCAAGGCAGAGGCAATTTTCATGGTTTTCGGATGGCACAATTTGGAAAATTCTCGCATCATGACCAGCATGAGTTGAGGGGATAAGGTTAACAGATCGGCAATGTGTTCTTTCAATAGTGTGGAAAAATTTCGAGCCATTTCCGTCACAGCCATGGACAGAATGGAATTTACAAACGAATCTTCAGCTGTAGAATCTAGGAGAGCCAATTGTTGAAATATCGAAAAACAATTCGATACATTAATGTTGCTCTCAATTTGGGTTTTTAAATGTTGAGGTAATTTTCCTTGTATCATGTACTTTTGAGAGACGAGTAATAATTGTAGTGCCTCTTCGATCAAGGTATAGGTCAAAGTTCCCGTGTAGAAAAATTGTATCAGTTTATAGAGGGAATCTTCCTCTTCGGGATCATTGACCATCATTTCAGAATTTACATTTTCAGTAAATTGTTGAGACGATTGGAACATGGTATTGAAATATTCAGAGTAGGAGGCAAGAATTCCACGCCACACATACACCCGTTCTTTTCGAGTGGCGAACAGAATGGAAAAGTCAGAATATTGTGAGTTGTTGAAGAGAGTGTGAAGCGGTTGATCAAGCTCCTTGTATGTAATCTCAGTGCAGTGCAATGGTGTCGTGGTTTGTGTCATGGTACAATCTAGGTCAGAGCTCTTGTGAATTTGGTTTTTTTTTTGATTTCTGTAGATCAAAGCCACTTGTCACTCCTAAAAAATATTTAAGGCAACGCCATAAAAAAATGACTAGCCATTTTGGGAGTCCATGTCGTTTTTTGCACAATCATGTATTGCCTTACGAGCCAACAAGGCACCATTGGCACTTTCATGATAGTACTTGAAACTCATGCGAGATAGTCTGTAACTTGATCATTAAAATATCATAAAAACTCCAAATTTCAACATTCTCTATCTTAGTAATCACCTCATGTTGTTTCTAAAAATGTTAATGCACCAATAACAGAGCATTTTCTTCCACGAGCATTTGAGATTGAATTTCATTTCCTAAAACCTCCAATTTCTAAATTTTCATTTCACATAAAACATTCTCTCTGATCAGCTGCAGTTGTGAATTTAACACAAAAAAACAAACTTTCACAAATGGTAGAACATCGTACAGAACAAACCACAGGTGTTCCCCACACGGGTGATCAACCAACAACTAAAATCCGCTTTCAGAATCCACAGACAGAAACTGCTTTCCAAGGATTAGCTGGAATTCGTGAAGGAATTCCACCTTCGAATGAGGCTGTCTTAGTGGGTATTGAGCAAGCCAAGCAAAGTGTCCTGTCCAGTCATAACCTCTTAGATCGAGAAGGAAGACTCATTCAAAGAGATACTTTGCTCTTACTCGATCTGATCAAGATGGTCATTGAAGAAAGAAACTCAGATGAAAAGATCCAAAACTTCTTGTCTGTTTCAAAAACTTGACTCAAAAATATGCTCCAGAATTTGGTGAAGATATTAGATATGGTGTGAAACGAGGTTATGAAACGACTCAGACTGGAGCGAATCGAGACATTTACAACTCGATCATTGGTTTGAGAGATTTCGTCTTTGAAGTCATACGTTCCAGTGATTTCAGACAAGCCATGATGGACTTCTTCCAATATTTGCAGTTACTGGTCGATGAAAATGCAGGAGAAGAGGGATTTGTGGGTCGAATTACTGAAGGTATTAAGAATTTGACTCGTCCATCTGATGAAACCACCACAGGCCCTTCCATCTTATCAACGAAACACCCCACAGATGCCACAGTTGTGACAGGTGTTGGTGGTTCTCCTCAACTCTCTCATGAGCCTAGTGAGCATGTCCTACTTCCTTCTGAAGTGAAATCTGAGAGTGATCTGCACAGGAATCAAGGCATGTTGTCAGAGCCAGGACAATTCTCCACGCAGCAGCAGCAACAACCATGGGTTGGAGGAAGTGGTATTAGTCAACAGCAAATACCTATCCAATCAGGATTTGTTGGCCAACAACAACAGCCTTATTCTTCAGGTATTAGTCAACAACCATTGATTGGAGGAGGCATGCAACACAACAACAACCTTATTCCTCAGGTATTAGTCAACAACAACAACCTTATATCGGTGGTGTTGGCAGCAGTGGTGGTATTAGTCAGCAACCTTCTCAAATGCAAGGTGGTGAGCAGCTCAGAACAACTTCTCTCTATGGAACCTCTCATCAAGGATATGGTCCTCTCGAAACAGGAGGTGGTATTTCACAACAACATCCACATGGAATGACCTCTTCGTCCGATCAATTCAGAGAACCTTCTCTTCAATCGAATATTCAAGGAGGTCAATTCCAACCACAATTGGGTGGTGTAGGAACTTATGGAATTTCACAACAACAAGCCCATTGGGTGTCAGTGGCCAACAGCAACCATACCAGCAACAACAACAATGGATGCCACAAACTCAACAACCATTGGGCGTCAGTCAAAAGACAGGAATGGGTGGCTTCGAGAGTCAATTCTGGCATCGTTACACCCAAGATGGAAACCAACGAACTTCCAACCAAGACAAGACATCTTCCAACAAAAGGATCAACTCATTCGTGAAGCTGAACAAGTCTTCTACCAATTCGACTTGAACAAGAATGGAGTATTGGGTAGAACTGAATTCAAGTTGGCTCTGTTGAGACTTGGTCTCGATAAGTATCAAGCCAAGATGATGGGCAGAATTGTAGACGTGGATCAGAATGGTTTGGTCTCATTGGATGAATTCATCAATGCATACTTGTATATTAAGGCTGGTGGTAATGCTTGGGACGTTCCAAGTCGAAAGAAGCAAGGTTTTGGAATTTCACAGCAACAACAACCATGGATTGGTGGTCAACAACAATCTGGATTTGTTGGCCAACAGCAACAACCATTGATGGGAGGTATGCAACAACAACAAGGAACTTACATTCCACCACCTCCAAGCTCCACAGTGAGTTACTCGGGTGTGAGTCACCATTATGGTCATGTTGGCCATGTTGGACACGTACAAGGAGAACCCTCAGAAACAAAAGAGGATGTTGAAGATCGCTTAATTAATCGATTTGTGGCCCTTAACAAACGTTTCTCAAAGGATCCAAACTACCAAAAGGCTCTCTTCGGTCTATTCAACATTTTCAATCAAGCAAAGAGTTTGGTGGGTGAGGTTGACACTACCAACAAAACCGTTGATCGAATTTCTCAAGACGAGGACTTTAGAAATCTTCTCTATTATGCCAAGTTGATCATGTATGAATTCAGTGAGCAACGTATCTTTGACAAATGGCTTCAAGTGAACAATGACTTTATGGTCCACTTGAAGACTGATGAGAGAATGAAAGGAGTCTTTAAAGACTTGATGAATGACTTTAGAAGATATAACAAGCAACCAGAATTGCTCGAATCTAAAGTCGAGAAGGACAACTTGAGAATGCGTCTCAAGAATTGCAGAACTATCTTGGAAGAGAAGAAGAATATGGATATTACCAATGAATTGATTCGTTCATCGAGAGAACTCTTAGAGACCATGAGAAATGATGAGTTGAATGCTGAATTGAGAGACAGATCTCAGAAATTGATCTCTCGCTTGTTCCTCGACGAAAAGGGTTCCTTCACTCTCAAGCCAAATGCTCTCGAACAAATTAGAACCATTCTCTTTGTGGCCATCCAAGAAGCAATCAATAATTGGAATACCATTGAAGTCGAAGGTGATGATGGTACTCAATACTTTAAGATTTCCAACATTGTACTCAAGGCCAATGATATCCTTCCAGACGATGTGAAATTCAAAGTTAAGAACAGAACCTCCATGAACTATCTCGAGCAAAGACCTGAGAATAAGCTTGCAGAGAGTGCTACACTCGTGAGTGCTCACTTGTATGGTATGACTGCTCACTTGAAGGATGTTGCCTTTGTCTTTGATCGTCGTTCCTTCCCATCTCTCTCAGATCGTGGTATCATGGACATTGACTTTGCACGTGGTGGCATTGATGTCAAATTGAAATTGAAAGCTCGTTTGAGTCAGAATCGACCATTCTACGTGAAGGATGTTAAAGTTGGAGTCGACACATTGCACATCAAATTCAGACAAGCTGAAAAGCACAAACTCCTCCTCAAGATGTTCTCACCAATCATTCAGAGCAGAGTTCGTAGAAAGATTCATGATAATTTGCAACAAGCTCTTGTGGTCAATGTGAGAGAAATTATTGAGAGATTGAATGACCTTATTGAAGATACTATCATCAAAGGAAACCAAATGGCAGGTACTCCACAAGGAGGAATGGTATCGGGTATTCTTGGTCGTGTTGGTGTTTCTACAACACCAGGAGGTATTGGAACGAGTACTACTGGTTTGACTGGAGAAAGAGACTATCCATCACGCACTGAGAGAGTTTCTACAATTAGAGAATAGATTTAATGAACCATAAAGTTGTCATCCTAAAGGTTCGGAGCAGCAAATATCATGAGAGAAAAACCACTCTTTTGTGAGCGAAACAAAAATTGAGAGTGTGCATCATCATTATAAAATTCATTAAAATCGACAATTCATATTTCCCAACGTTGTTTGCTCTGTAAACTCAATAAGTTGTTGATAACATTTACGGAGGTTTAAAATCCAAGCCTGTTATAATCCTATTTCAAATCCGATTTCTCAAATCTCCAAATCTCAAGAAGAGTTTTTGATGCATTTTTGTGTGGTGTTGGAAATTGCACTTTGAAAAAATGTCAGAACACGTACAAAGCCTAATTGATGAACTCGTGAAATTAAAAACACAATTTTCAGAACATAGGCATGGTGAGTCTGAAACACCACCATCAAGGACGAACCTAATTTTGTTTCTTTCGGAATATTTCAAATCAACACATGCGGTCAATATTTCCACGCACAAGGAATATCCGAACCGATTGATTTGTTTGCACTACAATCAGACAAGAGCGAATTTTGAAAATGCATTCACAAGATTGTGTCGAGGTGTTATTGTAGATTTAGAGAGCCAAGATGATTGTGGGGTGAAAATTGTCCACATGCCCTTTTCGAAATTTTTCAATTTCAATGAAGATTTATCTTTAAAATATGAAACTCCATTAATTGAAAAACATTTCACAGAATCGAGCGTGAAAGTCTATGAAAAGCTAGATGGTTCTATTGTGAATTTTTATTATTTTGATTCACAGTGGAGAGTAGCATCGTCATCAACACCTGACGGATGTGCAAGATTGGGATTTTATAGTGTGTCATCGGATAAGGAAATTAATGATAGACATCGAGAGAAAACTCAAACATTTGAATTTTCACAACTAGTTTGGGATACTTTTCAAAATTTAAATTATTCCTTACCTTCAGAAATATATCAAGGAAAATATTCATTTACATTTGAATTGACCACACCCAAACATCCACTTGTAGTTCAGCATGAAACAGATGATTTAGTGTTACATGGAGTGAGAGATTTGCAAACCTTTACAGAACTGGATCCTGAACCTTTCGCTAAAGAATTTAATTGGAAAGTAGCTTCTTGTGTGAAATTAAGGTATGTCTTCAAAAGTTTAGAGGACGTGGAGAGAGTGGCCAACGAACGAGATCCGTATAAACATGAAGGTTTTGTGGTATGCTACCAATCTTACGATTCTGACAGTAGAGATGCTCTGGATTTTGTTCGAGTGAAAGTGAAAAGCAAAGAATATGTGAAAATATCCCTTTCCATGTTTGATTCTGTAGAAAAAAGGGAAAATTCTTTTATTGATATCATTAGAAAGAACGAATCCAGCGAATTCTTGTCATACTTTCCACAATTCAAGGAGGCTTTTGAATTGTTGAAATGTCATTATTTAAAAATTGTCAAACATTTGAATGACGTTCAAGAAACTGTGAAAACTAACATTAATGAAATGATTTCAACAGAATCTATCAATTACGACACAATAGATGAATCAAAAAAACGGTCCATTCACTCTCAAGCCATTTCACGAGCCAAACAAAGCCAAAAGCTCACAAAAACAGAATGTGACATTATGTTCTCAATATTCAATAATGGAGATACAATTCAAGATATTTTGAAAACAATTCCCCTTAAACGATACAAAAGCCTTAATGTACATCATGCATCATTGTCGACAAGTTCCCAAGTTGATGAGTAACTAGAGTTGTAGATCTGAAAATGAACGTGAACGAATCTCAAACACACAGACATTGAAGAACAGAACGAATTGGCTTCGTTTCCAGAAAGAGCAGAGAGAAGGCAATGCCTCAAAATACCTTCATGGAAAGGAAGCTTTAACAAAACAACCATTTTTCACAATTTAAAACATCTTTCCAAATAAATCTCAATTAACAAACACTGTCAAATTTTCCTTTCCAAATTTGTCGATTTGAACTTGTAATCATTTACAAAAAAAATACTCAACGACATCCATACCACTCTCCCATTTTGATTGGTACGTTTGAACACACATATACATTGAATAACTCTCATCATCTTTTCTTCTGGATGATATATTCATGTGGATCTATGGAATTAATTTATTCATCATCATCATGATATGGAACATGAACCTGCTGATATTGAACTCCTCGTTGTATGATCTCTCTCTCGTCGTACCAATTCAATGATCCATAAATTGTTGGCTGCAGCCAATAGAGTTCGGAACCATCATGAGTGCACAACCTTCCACCCCTTTCGTCAATGGAGAAAATTATTTGATTGGAGGAAATATTCTTCAATGGAAAGGCAAATTCGAGCCTGTTTATTCTCCAATTACCACTCTTGATAGTGAATCAAAAAGTGTTGTCAAATACCACATTGGTAATTATGCTTTCATGTCCAAAGACGAAGCTGAAAGTGCGTCCAAGCTGCTGTCAAAGCTTTTGACAAGGGAAGAGGAGAATGGCCAAGTTATCCCACTGAAAAGAAAATTAGTTGTTTGGAGAAATTTGTCGAGGGATTACTAAAGAAGAGAGAAGAAATTATTAATTTATTAATGTGGGAAATTTGTAAGAATCGATCGGCTTCGGAGCAAGAAGTGGACAGAACCATTCAATACATTAGAGATACCATTCTTGAACTTCAAAAGTTGGAAACCAAGCAATCGGAAATTATTTCTGTTGGAGGAGTGTCCGCTCAAGTGAGAAGAAGTCCTTTGGGCGTTGTTTTGTGTGTGGCACCATTTAATTATCCATTCAATGAGACGTAAGGTAAGTAGTAGTGTAAGTGCTGTATTTGATGTTGTGACACACAACAATGAATAGTCATGATTTTTGGCACTAGAATGAATTTGAAAATTTTGAAATCTTACTCTCCAATTGTCATTTGTTTAACCTCTTTATAATGATACAACAATAGATACACAACATTGATTCCTGCCTTAATTATGGGTAACGTGGTCATTTTAAAGACACCAAGAACGGGTGGTTTGTGCCATTATCCAACCTTGGAATTGTTTAAGGAATGTTTCCCAGCTGGTGTTGTCAATGTCATTCACGGCTCAGGCAGAGAAACTCTTCCAGCCATGATGAAAACAGGTTTGATTGATGTTTTGGCATTTATTGGAACTCACAATGCTGCCAACTCACTCATCAATTCCCATCCAAATCTCTTCAAATTGAGAAATGTGTTGGGATTAGATGCCAAAAATGCTGCCTTTGTGTTACCTGAAGCTGATATTGATGTTGCTGTCGCTGAATGTGCATTGGTAAGTTTTTTCAAGAAGAATGAACCATGCTGACACATCATAATGTTTTCACATTTTTTTTGAAAACACTGTTCATATATGTTTAGGGAGCTTATTCTTTCAATGGTCAAAGATGTACTGCCCTTAAGGTTTTGTTTGTTCACGAATCCATTGTCGATGAATTTGTTGCAAAATTCTCAAAGGCCATTGATAACTTGAAGATGGGATATCCATGGGAGTCTGGAGTGAGTATTACTCCATTGGCAGAACCTCAAAAGCCATCAGTCTTGAGAGATCTCATTAAGGATGCTGTTGAAAAGGGAGCAAAAATTGTGAATGAAAGAGGAATTCAATTTTCACAAGATCAGGAAACTAATCTTGAGAAGCGTATTGATAGAGGATGTTCGGCCTTGTTCGCACCTACTGCTCTTTATCCTGTCACTGCAGATATGAAGGTGTATCATGAAGAACAAGTAAGTAGTTGTGTAGCGTCGTTGAAAGGGTGAGAATGATCTTGTTGATGGTTTCAATCATAATAATCTCTAGTTTGGTCCAATTACACCAATTGTGAAATATTCTACAGTGCAAGAACTTGAAGATTACATCACACAAACTTCCTTTGGTCAACAAGCTTCTGTATTTATTAAGACAGAGTCTGGAGTTGCAGTGAATTCTGAATACTTTGTTCCTTTGGTGGATTTATTGACTCATCATGTCAGTCGTATTAATATTAATTGTCAATGCGTAAGTTATTGTTAACGATGTCAATTATTTCGACAATTAATCATTTTGAATTGAATGAATTGATGTATGCCCTCCTTACACACCAACAGCGTAAGTATTTTCACAAAAACATTACCTGTTTTATTAACTACATTTTCAACATACAGAACGAGGTCCAGATTCATATCCATTTACAGGACGTAAGAACAGTGCTGTGGGTACATTATCTGTGTACGACGCTTTAAGAGCCATGTCCATTAGAGCTCTTGTTGCCACCAAAGAAAGCGGAAAGAATGTTCAAATGTTGCAAGAAATTAGAGAATCAGGAAAATCACAATTTATTAGAGAGTTCCCAAGCAAAAAGTAAATAAAGGTGAAATAAGTAGATATATCCAAATAGTCGTATGTGGTATCAACCTTAGCAGTAACTAACATAACTTCTTGAAATAATGACATCATCCAATGTGTAGTGCTCCATTCTAGCCTCTTCAAGCAAAACTCTGCAATGTAACCCTTCTAATTCTCTTCCGTCAATATCTATTGAGGTTGACAGAAAGCTCTGTTAATATTAATATTAATGTATACAAACACGTTTGACATATATCTCAATGAGCATACTTGTACTTACCATACCATACCAAACTGAAAAATCAAATGGAGGAGCGTCTTCCTTGATATTGATAAGGGATTAGCAACGATGGTGCTTTTTTTCTTAAGTTGATATTGGATTCTCTGAATGGGTAACATCATTAGCAAAAAACCGTCATCATTGAAAGAGAAAATTAAATCTCACACAACATACCTCAACAAAATTTCTAATTTGAGAAGGTCCTCCAGACACAACCACGTTGGATAATAAAAGTTCGTGAAATTCTTTGGGACATTTCTTCAAGCAATTCTCAATCAATGCAACAACACCCAAATATGGATCTTCTTCGTCCTTATTAGAGGTTGTTGATGATCCATTTTGTGCAGACACTGGTGGTTCTTCTGTGGAAGACAACTGAGCAGAGTCTGCATTGGCCGACAAGGCATCACTAATTCTCCTCACAATTGGTCTTCCCTTCTCATACAAACGTGGTGTGAAAAGCAATTCTGGGCACAAACATCGATGATCTAGTACATGTTCAATCACACCCTTCACTGGATTCATTGTCTTCTTGAAGAATTTAGCCTTACATTCGTTAGGTCGTTTCTTATTGAGCCTGAATGACTTTACGAGTGAACAATTCGTAATCTTTTCCTTTTCAACGCTTTCATATGTAATGAGAGAGTCATCCAAAGTTACACCTTCGCGTTCGACTTCTTTCTTAATTAAAGTAACAAGATATTCTCCTTGCAATGCTCCTCCCACTACAGAAGACACTCCACATGTTGAAAATGGACATCCATCCACAATAGGAATTACTTGAGAAATTCCATGTCCAACAGTCACACTCAAAGCTGTGCTTCTATTGTCAGTAATGTGATTCGCTGCTGCGCTAATGAACGAAAATAATGGTGTTCCACACAAGAACAAACTTTTAGCTTGAATAGAAGGATGGAAGAATGTTTCACATAACATGACCATTTGGTCCTTGTCCTCGCCAAAGATATAAGGCAGAGCAATCATCACTGTTTTGCCTTTGAAGGCATCTTGAAGTCCCAATAATACTTTTGCAATGTATCTAACAAAGGCAACAAAGATTTCTCTTCCTTGTTCGTCGTGTCTAGAGAAAGTGAACTTTCCATTTTTGAAAAACCAAATAGTCTGTTGCAATGAGATGGTGCCACCAAATTTGATTGTTTTCTGATTGTTATTTCGTGGATCCTCTTCAATATTGTAGCATGATGGAATCACTACTCGAGGACGATCTTCATGAGAAAATCCAACCTTAGTGGTTTGATGACCAAAATCAATAATAACAACCTTACTCGTTGGTTGCTCACTTTCGTTACCTGGTTGTGAACTAGTTGCATCTTGAGAGCGATTTCGAGGTGTTCCAGTCAATTCTCCACTTCTTGGTGACGAGACGGTGGTATGAGCGTTCTCTTCATCAACTTCGTCATCATTTTCTTCATCAATGTTTTCATCGTCAATATCAGCAGCCTCTTCATCGTCATCTTCTTCCTCATGCAGTGCTTGTCCCACACCAAAGATCTTTCTTGCATTGGTAGAATCTTTGGTCATTGCAGAAGGTGCAAACGATCGAATTCCAGGTTGAGAGGTAGCTCTGTGACTACTTGCCTCAACATCTTGATCCTCATATTGATGAGAATTCTTGTTCGTCTTACTAAATATGTCATGCCTATTGGCTTCATCTGAGATTTGAATGATGTTGTCATTATGTTTGCTTAGGGCGGAAGAGGAGGTTGAGGAATGGTTGTAGGAGCGTCGATGCAGACGAGATGGAAGGCCTCTTTGGAATTGGTACTCTTTTTCTACGTGGTGTTCTTAGCGTAACGGAATCTTCAGTATTTTCTGCTTCTTGTTGGGTATTTGAAATTTCAGTAGTCGATGATTGAGGACGCACAGGCTGAGGATTTTGAGAAGGTGAATACAGAACGGGATGAGGGAGTGGAGGTCTCTTGTTACCACGTGATGGTTGCTGCTGTGGTTGCGATTTGTTTAAGGTCTCTTGATAGGTTGCTTCTATGAGTTGATCAAAGGTTTCTTCGTCGTTTTCATTGGGAAAATCTGTAACGGCCTCATTCCTAATCACCTCTCGGGCCGAAGAGGATGATGATGATATGGTTTTAGCTCGTCTTGGGAGTGGCTTAACTTTTGGAACTTGATTCAAGCCATAATTGTTACTCGTGTTGTTCAATAATGAGGAAGAACGTGCCTCTTCCGATGATCCCTGTATGGGTAATGTGTTTCGGGCTACAGTAGAGGCTCGTCCTTCGGTGGACGCTACGGTGGTGTTGGCGGGTGGTGGACGAGGTCTTCTCTTTTTTCGTTTTGTGGTTCGTTTCGTGGTAGTGCTCGAGTGGTTATTGGGATCTTTCAGCTTTCCATCTTTGAGAACAATGGAATACTCTTCTGGATTGGTATTCACTTTCACGTTGGTATTACGCATGTGTATTTGTCGTTCCCAAACATTTTCTGGAATAATGTTTAAAACTCCTGCCGAGCGAGAAGTAAATACATCTGCACTGGTGGTTTGACCCATTTTGTGAAGTAGAGAAGGTTCGATTAGGATGATTCTAGTTGATGTTGTTGTTTTGTTATTGTGTTGTTCTTCTGTTGATAGTTGTGGTGTTGTTGGAATAATGATGCAGTTTGTTTTTCTAAGAAATTAATCTTCAAAGTAAGTTGCCCAATAGTAGTCGTTGAATCGAAGTGTGACGAGCGAAACAAGAAGATCGTATATTGTAAAATTTGTGGCTCTCCTTCGTGTGTTGCAATGCGAAATAATGTTTCTGTCTGTTTTTTTCAAAAACTGTAAAATAGAAACATGCTAACTTGACTTCATACCATACTAGTAAATTCAATATCGTTGCCAGTCGGAACTGATGTTGTTGGTGAGCGATCCTCCAGCACTGAACGTGTCTTGTTCACAACGTTCTCAATGTCCACGTCTCTCGAAGAAAAGAAATCCACTAAAAAAGACCCTTTCCAAAACTTGCGAAAAATGTAAATTTTCTCAATGCAACATTTCCAAAGCAAAGTAGTATTTCCATCAAAGATCAAGTGTTCAAAAGTTTATAATAGATATGGTATGAAGGCCTTTCTGTTAAGCTTGCGATATTCGAGACCGAACTTTTCCAAATACCAGTTATGAGTTTGCAACGCACGAGGCAGAAGGTTACTCAGAGTTAAAACGACAAATAAAAATGCAAACCGATTTTGGATAAATATAAAATAGCCAAACCATTCAATGAACTCTCCTAGGTAATTGGGAGAGCTGACAAGTGAATAGAACCCACCATATGGAATAAAGTACTTTTTCTTTGCACCATTTGTGGTCTTGGATGATTGTGTTGTAGAATCCGAGTAATCATTTTGCCTTCTTAATCGGATGAGAATTTCATCGGATTGGTAATTGATGTAAAATCCGAGCACGTACAATACCACTCCCAATGCCATGACCATAATTTGCATTAAGGAAATGGGTTCGGAATGGGAGGAAGTACATGATAGACCCAAATACCCTTAGAATTCAAATAGCCATTGGCAGCACAGAACGAGCTGGCCATCAGGACAATGGAAAGAGAGGATGCACTCATGCTGTGAGCTCTCACCAATGTAAAGATGAAAGCTCGATGGACGTAATGTGTCAAAAACATCAAGGATGCAATCACTTTTTGTACCGTTTCAAAAGTATTGTTGTTGTTGGAGTGGAATAAATCAATTGGATACTTGTACAACACAAAGCAGAAGAGTAACAATGAGAATGTTTCTTGGAATGCAAATGCTAATTTTCCATTGGACACAACCAAATCAAACTTGGAGTAAAAATTCATGGCAGCACGATTGAATGAAGATCCTTCGAGTCCCTTGTTTTCAACTTTGGCGTTGGGCAATGCAAACTTTCCGTACGGAGCTCTCACACCTAAAAACAAGAGTGGAATGACAGACATTGGACAGAACATGATAAAGAAGAGAGACATTAAATACAAGTCAAAGGTAGAGAATCCAAACGAGTTGGCATACCATCCCAATGGACCAATCAGAGCATAGAAATAGGATTGAAGAACATCTAGAGCTAGTGTGGTACTTAGTAGCATGATGATGGTATGTGTATTGCTGCTGATGATGAAGATGATGATAAATTGGTAGAGACAATCAATATTGATTTTTTAAAAGATCAAGTAATGTTGTTGATGATTACGGAGAGATCTGATTGGCGTGTACTTCGCACATACGATTTTGACAGCTTGTTGAATCGCTACTGTGAAAAAATGTGGAGAAGGACCAGAGATGAATTTTTTTTGGATATCAATTTCGTAACGGCTGGAAGGCTTCTTTGGAACAAAAATTTCAACATCCTTGCTCCGAGTCATCATTGCAATGATAAATTATTACCATTAAAATGTAGAAACAACCATGCAAATGGGAGGACGAATTTTTTAATATTTCAAAATCATGTTCACTTCTACTCAATGAAGACATTTCATTTAAATTTTAATTGCTTGAAACATAATGATGATGAAATGGCCATGCAGCATGTATTCTCAAAAATTAAACAAACAAACATGGAGAGAAAGAGAGAGAATTTATTGAGTTATGCCGAATATCACAAGCCTAAGAGGGATGAGTTTGGAATATCGTCAACCTCGGAAGAAAAAAACAATAGAAATGAACTTTCTCAATTCAAGCCACACCAAAAAGAAAGAGTGTCTGTCCATGACGCTTACATGCACTGAAAGAAAAGAAAAAAGAGACTGTAAACCCGGAGCAATCATCATATAACTCCAATTCTGACTTACTTATCACAAAGAAACCTGCAAAATATGTGTTTAAAAAACATTTCAGACAAGTGAGACGCCCTATGGAAGAGTATAACGACATGGATGAAAAGTGGACAAGATATGTTATCGAATTTGACAAGTGTTCTCCAGAAATCATTCAAAAAAACACTTCTCCTATTGAAGTTGAAATTTCCAAGTTGAGCGAAGAAGAGGAAATTTTTGTGTTCTCCAAAGGATACTCGAATTGGATAAATCCAGATCACAAACAAAAACACATGATCAATCCAATTGGAGACATTTCACGATTTAAAACTATTAAGCGACCCTTTGAGCCATCTTCGTCTCCTACCGTCGAGGAAAAGCTTGGATTAGTGGACAATACAAGCTCTATCATTGGCGAAAATCCTCTAAAAACTCTTAGGCGAATTACGGATTCAGATGGAAGCGATGGGTTTGACATGTTTACCATAACTGGTGAGCCAATCAAAGATGAAGACATCTATAAAACCTATCTTCAACAAGACGTTGAAGATTTAGAGATGGATATTGATGAAATTGAACGACTTGCAGCAATTGAAGAAGATGCGAAGGATAAAGCCACTGAAAGAAGGCTCTTGGGCTCACAGGAGGGCGAACATGATGATGATGACAGTATAACTTTCTCTTCTGAGGATAACACTGACGATGCTTTCTTGGAAGAAGCATTGATGAAAATGTCCAACTTTAAAAATCGAAAATGTTAAACACTCCCAAATGTATTTCAATTAAGGCTAAACGTAAATAAGGCTTTGATGGAGAGTTTCTAAAAAAAATGGGCAACTCAAAAACAAAGATACATATTCCACCTGAACAGCTCGAAGAGTATCGTAAGATTAGTGGTTGTAAGTAAATGTTGCAAAGATCAGACCGATGTTGTAATGACCATAATACAGTATCGGATAAAGAAGTACGAGACTTCCTTGACGTCTTTCTATCGGAATATCCATCAGGAGAAGTTATTAAGGAAGATTTTGTTGAGGAAAATATTAAAACACATGGAGGACATTTGCAAATGTGGAATCATATTTTTGATGTGTTAGATAAGGATGGGAATGGCCTTTTTGACGCCAAAGACTTTTTGATTGCGTGTAATATTGGTGTGAATGGTACCCCTGAGGAGAAGCTGTATTTTGCTTTCAAAGTTTATGACATAGGTTCGTAGTTGGAAGTTTTTGTGGTGGTCATGAAATATTCCACCCCAATAATACAACTGTTCTAGACGGCAATGGATACATTGATTACTTTGAGTTCTCGCAGTTGTTTCATTTCACATTTGGAAATTTCCAACTCTCAGACAATTCCATCAAATCAGAACAAGACTTTCTTGTAGAAGATAAGGAATTATCTGAGAAGTGTCGCAGAATCTTCCAACGGCTCGATAAAAGCGAAAGAGGTAAAATTTCAATGCCAGAGTTTGTTCATGGCTTGCGTGACGATCCTGTCATGATTGCAAGCTTTACTTTGTTTTGATTCTGGCAAGAATTGTATTTTAGTTATCAAGAATATCCTGTTGGAAGTGAATATTCTCCTGTTGTTTGATGCTTCATTGACTTCATTGAAATTCCAGCTTTCCAACACTGCACGTCACAATTAAAAAACACCGGCACAACCACGCTGCATTCAAAAAATTCACTCACTCTCAACATGGGCTTATTAACTCGGCAACAACTTCAAGAGCTCTTTGAGCAACGAATTCTCATCATCGATGGTGCTATGGGTACCATGATTCAGAGGTACAAACTCAGCGAAGCTGATTTTAGAGGTATGTGAGTTAATCATCATGGATTAATTTTCTCATTCGCTTCGGAACATTTTTCTCGTGATTTACAACAATACACCAATACTTATCATCATCATTATTACTTGAAATAATCTTGACTTGAATGATTGCTTGAATATCGTTCTGTATTATTATTATGTTATGATATCCACACTTTCAATACTTTTACTATTCGCTCTCATCCATACTGTCTCCATCAAACATAAATAGGAGAGGAATTTAAAGACTGGCCTTGCGATTTGAAAGGTAACAATGACATTCTCTGCATTACCAAACCAGAAGTCATTATTGAAATTCATGAAAAGTATCTCGAAGCCGGTGCTGATATTATTGAAACAAATACCTTCTCATCGACAACTATTTCACAAGGCGATTATCAGGCTCAATCACTTGCCTATCGTTTGAACTATTGTGCAGCTCAATGTGCAAAGAAAGCTGCTCTCAAATACACAGAACTCACTCCGAATAAGCCTCGTTTCGTTGCAGGTGCTCTCGGACCCACCAATAAGACTGCTTCCATATCTCCAAGTGTGGAAGACCCTGGATTCAGAAACATTTCATTTGATGACTTGTATGAGGCATACTTTGAACAAGTTCGTGGTTTAGTCGATGGCGGTGCTGACATTTTGTTGATTGAAACAATCTTTGATACCTTGAATGCAAAGGCTGCTGCATATGCTTGTATGGACTATCTAGAGAAGAATAATGCTGATATTCCGATTATTATTTCTGGTACTATTACCGATCAAACAGGAAGAACATTATCTGGACAAACTACTGAAGCTTTCTACATTAGTTTAATGCATAGTAATATGGTTTGTATGGGTCTCAATTGCGCTTTGGGAACAGTCCAAATGAAACCTTTCATTAGTGCATTGTCAAACATTGCAGAATGCTTCACTCATGCATACCCAAATGCTGGCTTACCTGATGAAATGGGTCAATATAGACAAACTCCAGAAGAAATGGCTCGTCAAGTGAAAGAATTTCTTGATGAAAGACTTGTAAACATGATTGGTGGCTGTTGTGGTACAACACCAGATCACATTAGAGCCTTGTCAGAATTGGCAGCTCAATACAAGCCTCCACATATCAGAAAGCCTCAACAACCAACCCATGATTTGAAATTATCTGGATTGGAGCCAATGATTTACACAAAGAACTCCAATTTTATCAATATTGGGGAACGATGTAACGTTGCAGGAAGTATTCGTTTCAAGAAATTAATTTTAGAAAACAAGTTTGAAGATGCTTTATCAATTGCCAGAAATCAGGTTGAAGCAGGTGCTCAAGTTATTGATGTCAATTTTGATGAAGGTCTTTTAGATTCTAAGAATTGTATGAGAAAATTCCTTAATTTAATTATGAGCGAACCTGAAATTTCTAAAATTCCAATCATGATTGATAGCTCGAAATTTGAAGTTGTCGAGCAAGGTTTGAAGTGTATTCAGGGTAAATCCATTGTCAACTCTCTAAGCTTGAAAGAAGGCGAAGCCGATTTTATTGAAAAGGCAAAGAAAGTTAAAAAGTATGGCGCTGCAGTTGTAATTATGGCTTTTGATGAACAGGGACAGGCTGCAGACGCTGACAGAAAGGTTGAAATTTGTACCAGAAGTTACAGAATTTTGGTTGACAAGGTTGGATTCAATCCTGAGGATATTATCTTTGATCCAAACATTCTTACTATTGCCACTGGTATTGAAGAGCACAATAATTATGGTGTTGAATTTTTAGAGGCAATTAAGAGGATTAAGACTGATCTTCCATATGCCAAAGTTTCTGGAGGTGTTTCTAACTTGTCTTTCTCCTTCCGTGGCTTGAATCTTGTGAGAGAATCCATGCACAGCGTCTTTTTGTACCACGCCATTAAACAAGGAATGGATATGGGTATTGTGAACGCTGGTGCATTGCCAATTTATGATGAAATTGATCCAAAGGTTTTGGAATTGTGTGAAGCTGCCATTTTGAACAAGAGCGCAGACGCAACTGAAAATTTGTTGTCATTTGCTCAAGAGCTGAGAGAAAAGCAAGCCCTTGGAGAAGATATTGATGGACCAAAGCAAAAGGAAGTTCTCAAATGGAGAGAACAAACCGTTGGTGAGAGATTAAAGCATGCTTTGGTTAAGGGTATTGTGGAATATATTGACCAAGATGTTGAGGAGGCAAGACAACAGGCCAGCTCTCCTCTTAAGGTCATTGAAGGTCCTCTCATGGATGGTATGAATGTGGTTGGTGATTTGTTTGGCTCTGGTAAAATGTTTTTGCCTCAAGTTATTAAGAGTGCTCGTGTCATGAAGAAGGCAGTCAAATACTTGATCCCATTCTTGGAGAAGGAGAAGGAAGAACGTCGTCAAAGAGGAGAAGCCACCACTTCATCTCATGGAAAAGTCCTCTTAGCTACCGTTAAGGGTGACGTGCACGACATTGGTAAAAACATTGTAGGAGTTGTGCTAGCATGTAACAATTATGAAGTCATTGATTTGGGAGTCATGGTAAATGCAGAAGTCATTGTTCGTGAAGCAAAAGAAAAACAAGCAGACATTGTTGGTTTGTCTGGATTAATCACTCCTTCCTTGGATGAAATGTGTCATGTTGCTAAGGAAATGCAAAAAGCTGGTCTCACATGCCCACTCTTGATTGGAGGTGCTACTACATCTAGAACCCACACTGCTGTTAAGATTTGTCCTCAATACGAACAGCCATGTATTCACGTTTTGGACGCCAGTAGAAGTGTTGTCGTTGTTTCCAACTTGTTAGACAAGAATTTGAAGGAAGAATACGTAGAAGAAATCAACGAGCTCTATGAAGAACTTAGAAATGAACACTATGATTCATTACTCGAAAGACGTTTCCAAACATTGGCAAACGCCAGACAACAAAGACTTGCCATCGATTGGGAAAAACAACCACCAGTTAAAGCTCCAACATTCTTGGGTGAAAAAGTTTTGGACAACTTCCCATTGGATCAGCTAGTTTCTCACATTGATTGGACTCCATTCTTCTCCGTTTGGCAAATCAAAGGAAAATATCCACACAGAGGATACCCAAAGATTTTCAACGATCCTGACGTTGGAGAAGAAGCAAAGAAACTCTTCGACAGTGCTACCAAGATGTTGAAGGATATTATTGAAAATAAGAAACTAGTTGCTAGAGGTATTGTTGGATTTTATCCTGCAAATATCAATGAAGAAAAGAGCGTGGATGATATTGAAATTTATGATCCAACAATTCCAGAAGAGAAGAAAGTTATTGGCACTTTCTATGGCCTTCGTCAACAAGCTGAAAAGGAAAATGAAGACGAGCCATACTTGTGTATGTCTGATTTCATTGCTCCTAAGAGCACTGGCTTGAATGACTACATTGGTCAATTTGCTGTTTCCATTTTCGGTGCTGAAGAGCTTGCCGCCAAGTATCAACAAGAAGATGACGACTATTCATCAATCATGGTTAAGGCTCTTGCTGATCGATTGGCTGAGGCATTTGCTGAATTATTGCATGAAATTGTGAGAAAAGACTATTGGGGATATTCACCTGAAGAAAAGTTTGATACTGAGGATCTTTTGAGAGTGAAATATCAAGGTATTAGACCAGCACCTGGCTATCCTTCTCAACCAGATCACACTGAAAAGGAAACAATGTGGCGAATTGCCAACATTACTGAAAGAACTGGAATCAAGTTGATTGACGACAGTTTAGCCATGTGGCCTCCTGCATCTGTGAGTGGTCTGTATTTTGCTCACCCAGAAGCCAAATACTTTGCTGTTGGTAAAATTAATTTGGATCAAGTCCAAGATTATATGAAGAGAAAGAGTTGGAAAGATATGGATTATGCTGAGAAGAGATTAGGTCCAATGCTGGGCTACAAATAAAGCTAACCATTAAAACTTAGCTTCAACACACTGTTGTAAATTTTTCCATTCTCCAAAAAAATAAATCAACGGTTTGAACAGAAAGGCCTGATCATCATCATTAATCATCTACATAGATTGAGAATTACGTTAAAACATTATCTGCCAATTAATTCGGATTCATCATTCTATTAACCACATTAATTTTCTGTAGTTTGTCTAAGTCATCATTATGAGTAGCAATAACTCTCCATCATCACCACCATCTTCAACAACTGCCGAAACAACCAGCAGCGGAAACACTGGTAGCAACACCAATAGTGTTGATTCTCCATCCGGTCTTCGTCATAGAATATTTGCTGGTAATCTTGATTTTAAAACCACAAAGGAACAGCTGTACGAAGCCTTCTCCAAGTGTGGTAAAATCGTGGATGAAATTCGTCTTCATCCAGGCTATGCGTTCATTCAATTCGATAATGAAGAGAGTTGTTTAAAGGCCATCGCAACGTTATCTGGTACTCAACTCTGTTCTAAAAGAATAGATGTACAGATGGCAAAAGGTCCAAACAATTCTCAAAAGAAGAGTCAGGACAACAAAAGAAAACTAGATTCTAGGGATAGGGACAGAGATGGACGTAGAGACGGCAAAGACAGAAGCAATGATCGAAATCGGGATGGTCGTAATAGCAACAACAAAAAAACCAAACGTGATCATGTCGGAAATGTTTCATCATCAAACACTGCAAACATGGATCTCAACCAACAACGGTCCTTGAATGTTAACCCTCTCTTATCGACAGTACCAACCATATCTCCATATTCTACTGCTAGTAGTGCAACATCTGTACCGATTTACATTCCCAACCAATCACTAGAGAAGTATGCAAATTTTGTATTGCAAACTCTAAAATCGAACGGACTTATGTATCATAATGTTCATATTCGTAACACCAACCAAGGAGAGTATTTCTTTGCTACTCCTCAATTCTTCCAAATGATCGCCAATGAAAGATACGTCATTTGTGTCACAGCAAGACATGAGGAAGCAAAGAATATTGTTTCTTTTAAGGCCATCATGCAGGATGGAACATCGCCAGGTATGTAGTTTTGACTTATCAAATTTAATGGTTCTAATGGAATCAAACGTTAATAATTATTTACCTATTTTCCTCTTTATTAAGGTTTTGCTGATACTTCGATCACTGACGTATGCTCTTTCATTCTCAATTCTTCTCAAACACCTGTCGTGGTGCCATCTGTTTATCAGCAATACAACCAACATTTTCCAACAACCTTGAACACTCAACCATCAACAATGGCTTATCCAGGCACTGTTGGAATGCAACCGTCCATGTTGAACAATACCTTACCCTTACAACCACAAATACCATCATCTTTTAACAACACGAGCAGCAACAACAGATCGAACCAAGGTTATCACAGCAACAGATCAAATCGACCAAACAATAATCGTCCAAGAAATGACAATTTCCGAAACAACAGATCCGATAGAGGCAATACCAACAATACAGCACCACCCCCAACCAATGCCTCAGATGTACAAGGCATTATCCTTGCATTGTTGGATAATATCAACAACAAGAAACAAGAGACTACTTCAGCATCATCACCAACCGGAATTCTAGAGTCATCTTCAGCCTCTACGACCGAGCATTGATTCAATCACACATGAAAAATTTCACTTCAACCCGATAGGTCAACATCAACAACAATTTGAATCACATATCTTGTTCCGTGTCAATAAAATTGTTGTTCTCATTCAAAAGTTCCACGACACGTGTTGTGATTTTGGGTAACAGTTTAACAGTTTCAACGAACACAAACAGAAAAAAATGACCGTTAAGGCACTGTAAGTTTTTCTTCTCTCGGAGGTGTGAGAGTGGTGATTCGTCGTAAATTTCTGGTCTTGTTGTTGCCTCTTCTTTCAACAATACTATTGTTAAATGAAACATCATATACACTGTTATTGTGATGGATGATACCGTTGATTTGATGAAATTTTCATCAAAAACTTTTTATCCGAACATGATGAATTCTTCTCTCTTGTTATCAATAATGTAAATTTGTACAATTCCTTCAAATACTACAGCATTCTTGTAGGTGGTTACGGAACCAGACTCAGACCTCTCACTTTCTCCACTGCAAAGCCTTTGATTCACTTTGCCAACAAGCCTATTGTGGTCATCAAATTGAAGCATTGAAGAAGGCTGGTTGCTCGGAGATTGTTCTTGCCGTAAATTACAAACCACAAGAAATGATTGATGCCATGAAACAGTACGAAGAAAAGTATCAAGTTAAAATCACATACTCTGTTGAGAATGAACCTCTGGGAACTGCAGGTCCATTGGCTCTTGCTAGGGACATTTTGAGCGCTGATGATACTGAATACTTCTTTGTGTTGAACTCCGATGTCATTTGTGAATACTCTTTGGACGAGTTATTGACATATCATAAAAATCATGGAAAGGAAGGAACAATTATGGTTACCAAAGTTGACGATCCAAGCAAGTATGGTGTAGTGGTCACACAAGATGGTAAACAGGGAGAAATTGAAAAGTTTGTAGAAAAACCAAAACAATTTGTGGGTGATAGAATCAATGCAGGAATTTATGTTTTTTCTACTAAGGTTCTCGATAGAATTGAATTGAGACCAACAAGTATTGAGAGAGAAATTTTCCCTCTTATGGCTCGTGACAAACAACTCTATGCCATGGATTTGAAGGGATTCTGGATGGATATTGGACAACCAAAAGACTATATTACAGGAATGTGCATGTATTTGAACAGTGAAAAACATTTGCGAGAAAACTCAGGACACTTTGCCAAAAATCCAGAGGATGGATCCTACAAAATAATCAATGAAACTACTGTGTTGTTGGGAGAAAATGTAAAGATTGGAAGAGGAGCAGTGATTGGACCAAATGTTGTCCTTGGGGATAATGTAATTATTGGAGAAGGAGCTAGAATTACCAGATCAACTCTTTTCGAGTCTGCTCAAGTCAAAGAGCATGCCTTGGTGAAGTCATCAATTATTGGTTGGAAATCAACTGTTGGAAGGTGGTCAAGAATTGCCAACGAGACAGTTCTAGGAGAGGACACTCATGTTGCTGATGAAGTATTTGTGAACAATTTGAAATTGTTGCCCCATAAGACCGTCACCGAAGATATTTTAGAACCAGGTCAAATCATCATGTAATTGTATCACTGCCCGTATGTCATTAAAGGCTTCGTGTCTCTCTTGTTTCAGTTTCATATTTAGTTTGTTTTAATGTTGAATATCGGCGAGTTAGCAGTTGAAATTCCAGTTAATTAAAATAAGGTCAAAAAGAAGGACATCTTTTATAAACGCACACAGTTTCTCAGGAACAATGACTTGGTTTTCCTGAAACAACGTTCATAAACTTTCGTGCATGGCATTTCTACAATGCAGAAATAGAATAAACATTTTTGAACGTCGTCATAAACGACACACTGATGTGATTCTTTCAGAGATCCTTACTGAATTCAACATCTTGAGGAGACCGATAGTTGGTATTACGGCACCTATTCTCTCCTGGCCAAATTCTCACTCATAACAGCATGAATAAAAGTCACTAATAGAGGATAGAGAAATGTTGACGACAAAAGAATTCCTTGTCAAATCATAATATTCTTTGAGGCTTGATGAGGTCAAGCCATTCGCAGGATGAATATTTGCTTGAACGGTCAATTCTTGCAACATCAAGTCGTCGCTGTGCAAGCACAATGACCTTGTTATGTTATGGATGCGCGAATCTTTAAAGATTTGTATAGGTTCGTATGTTATAACCTCGTATTTTGCTCCCAGAATGTACAAGCTCAATAACTGATTGATGACTTCTAGTTGAAAAATTGCTTCAAAACATTCAAAATTTTCTAACACTAAATGTAACAGCTTGGGAAAGTTTTTCGTGAGAGACATGACAAAACATTCTTTTCAAACATCTTGTATGAATCCATTGTACTTTCAACGAAATTATCTGAGTAGTAGTCGTCGTCAATCTTTAACGTTAAATACTTGACATTTGGAAAGATTGAATGCTCCAAAAAATTTTGAGCAAATTTTCAATCTCATCCACACTTTTCAAAGAGAGTTCAATTTCAACAAATTGTAAGTGTTGAGAAAATTGAGTGCTTCCGAAATGAATATAATTGCGAAGAGTTATTGTGACAGCAAGATAATTATTCAAATGCTCAACTGGATGCAATTTTTTCAAGATTTTGGATGAATGAAACGGAAAGAATGACTTCCAATTGGATGATCCTTTGTTATATTCATGTACATAAAATTGTTCTCCACAGCTCTCAACCTGCGTTGAGCCTCTTTTCAGATAAAGATCGTTCATCATATCCAAACAACAGATTTGAGCTCTAAACATGAATAATTCATAACTTGATAACGTTGGCATTTTGCGTTTCATTTTCTCAAACTTTTCAGTAGTGATGATCAAGTGTGAAATGCGTCTTACAAAATTCTCTTTCACTTCCTCCATGGTTGTTTCGTTTTGTAGTGTTTCGATATCCATTTTAGAAACGTATCCTGAAACTAGTGAGTCAGAGTCAACAATATCTTCATATTGAGAAAATTCTCCTCTTTCTTCGCTAATCATAATAAACTGTAATTTGGCAATTTCCAAACATTGTTCAGGCGTTAAATCACCTCGTACTAATTGTAACTTTTGCAATTGTTGTTGCTTTTTGAAATACCAAGCTACTTGTATCATGGACACAGCACCAAGCCAATACGAGTCAATCATGTCATGATCTGAATCTTCAAAGCATCTCATCTGATTCTTCTCATCGTTTGTTGTAAATCAACAGAAAGATGGTTGGTAAAACGGATTATTTATTCTTCGCCGCGTGTGCGTGCGCATGTCTAATAGTTGAATAAATAAGATTTACATTACCTTTTCTATCCTGTAATTCAGCAAGAGTACAACACAAATAGATGCAACAAACATATGCATCAGTCTCATACAGGATGACATTATTAAGCGTGCGCTGATTAAACATCCCATGGTAAACCATGAGGCATCCTTTGGACTGAAATCAGTTCAAAGAGCATCCCACTAAAGTGAGGCATCCTATTGCGATGCAATAAGGCATCCCATGATTAAAATCATAAGGCATCCCAATGTATTGAGGCATCCCAGCTCAAATGGCCAAGGCATCCTTTGGACTGAATTCAGTTCAAAGAGCATCCCACTAAAGTGAGGCATCCTATTGCAATGCAATAAGGCATCCCAAGTTGAGACATGAGGCATCCCACCCAAAGGTGAGGGAGTTGTGGAAAGCCACAACTATGTTTGTTTATTTCAGAGGTGGATTGGGAGGAGGGTGGGTACTTTTCAATTCTTTGAGAGAAAGTGATTCTATCACCTTTCTCGAAGTAATTGATAATAATTGTTCCATATCACAAGTAATGTAAATTTTTTGAAAGTGAAAATTCAAAAAATTAGTCAACCAACCACTTTTATTGATTACAACAAACCTCAGTAAAACTCCCTTTTACTACCGAATTTGTTGTAAATCAACAGAAAGATGGTTGGTAAAACGGATAGATACCGCTAAAAACCCATCTGGCGAGATACATTCTTGTCAGATGCGAATCCAGCTCTGAAATACGCATCTATCGCATTGGAGGACCAATCACCTAGAGCTTGGATTGCTGTGTGTGAGAAACCAGCAAATGCTGCCTCTGACGCTCCTCCAATTCTTAAGGAATGACTAGAAAAAGAACCCGAAATCTTAAGGCTGGTTGCTACAAATCTAAGAATGTCCGAAATTTTAGCCGTGGATAAGGGAAGGTCGTCACCAAACAAATACTTTTGAGGGTTACACACTTTCCATAACCTAAGCCAGACGACAGGACATCTCCTGGAGTTAGTTGCCTCAATTTCGATGACTCTTCCTTTCTTGCTTCGTTTAAAATCATTCTTCACTTTTTCCACAACAATTCTGATTCCGTTAATGTTGTTCTTGTTAATTTCTACCACATTGGAGGTTAAAATACTACCCAACTCAGATCCTCGTAACATGGACCTGATGCCGATGATCATAAGGGTCGTATAAAAAACATAAGTTCTCCTGTCGACAAAGTTACACCCTTCGAGAATCCACATATCAATGTACATAATACGCCACTCGTTTCGTTCAATCTCGTATGAAACTGGTGCCATGTTGATCATGCAATCAACTAGAGATGAAATATGTTCACCCACCACGTCAATCCATTTGAACTGATTACATCGCTTCTTAATAGCAAACATTGCCAGTTTACAATTTTTTCCGGACCTACATTTAAGAAAAAGACACACCAGAAAATTGTAAACATCCATCTCTGTGGGTGGTATTGCAATATTTCTCTCATCGCACCATTTAACAAATCGATTCCAATAACTGTCATACGTAGTGTTTGTGGACTCACGACCCGCACCGGCCTTTTCAATTAGTCCACCAACTGATGTTAGTTGGTCATCCGAAAGTCGATTAGGGTCGCCTCTAATAGCCAAGAGCTTTTCTTTTGCGGTTCGCATTTCCCTGACCGAGAGGGTCTGAAATCTATTCCAGACATTGGTACTGACCGAACCTTGCCTTCCAGCAGTAGTGGCCACCAGGGTTTTGTCTTCCATACTGGGTGAACGAGTATCATTTGAGATTGGCAAAGCTTGCAATGCTCTAGCACCTTCTGGATAATGCTGAACGGCACGCAGCACCAATTTAGCTCTTCCTTGGGCCAATAGCAACTGAATGCATCTGCGGGCTGTTCTCTCTTGGTCCTCTTCCACACCATGTATTGAGGAACCTTGAAGTTGTAATTGCTGGCGAAACGGTCGAACTGAACTTTCACCTGCAATTGATGTTGAACTCTTTCGAATGCCTCTGGGGTTACTTCCCAATCTCCGAAATCCATCTCTTCTGTGGTTTTCAACCTGCTCAATTGATCGGCGATCGAATTTTGGGACGACGGTAACCATTCCACAGCAACTAATTGAATGTCGTATTGGAATACTATTCTCCAAATACCTTCCACAATCCTTTGAATTAAGGAATTTTTGGAACGACCTTTTCGCAAAGAAAACACTATCACTTGAGAGTCTGAAAAAATTCTCAAACACTTTCCCTGAATAAGGGGAGCGATTTTTTCCATGGCAATAAAAATGGCTTTTGCTTCCAAAACATTGATATGCATATGATCCATGCCATAAGTAGACCAAGAGCCGTGTAAGGTAAAATTCAATAATGGCATTGTAGCACCAAAGCCGGATAAAGAGGCGTCCGAAAAAAGTTCGTGGATCAATGACGGAAACGAAAATAATCGACCGTTCCAATGGTGAATGTTGCAAAGAATCCATTGTAATGCGTTCGATAACTGGTGGTCTTTCACACGGTGTAGCGTATCCCATCCATCCTCCACCATCTTGAAAATTCTTGAATAAATGGGATTGAGAGCAATTAAGGCTGGTTGAAAACAGTGTACATATGACATAACAGAGCCAGCCAACTTGGCAAGGTCTCGGGCGGAAAAGGCCTCCTCTCTGTGCATTTTTGATAGGAGGTTTTTGCATCGAGCAACTATTTTCTCCACACCCTCTTCGGGAATAGAGAGAGTCATGCAATTCAGATCTACCAATGCTCCTAATAATAAAAAGACTAAGGAAGGTTTGAAACAACCTTTTGAAGGTTCTCTTACAAATCCATAAAAATCCAGCCTTAAGCTTAATCGAACAAGCTTGTTGTAGGAATCTAAGTAAGAGATACATAACACAGCCATAAAATCGTCCAAATAATTGGACAATGTATAGCCTTCTATTGTTAACAATCGAACACCTTCGTCTACTATCTGAGTGAAAAAGAATGGGCTTCCATTCCATCCAAATGTCAATACTGTGAAGCAAAGAAGATGACCCATAAATTCGATCACAATCTTGTCTCGATCTTCTTCTCGTACCTTCACTTGGTGATATCCTGATAATAAATCGAACGTAGCACAAAACTTTTTCCCACCACTGCGAATGTGATCCAAACACTTGCTCAGAGTTTTGTACTTGAACTTTGGGATCTCCAAACAATACTTGTTTAGGGGACGAAGATCCACAATTAATCTGAATTTCTTCTTTCCTTTCTTCGGTACCAATCGATACTTGGCCACCACCTTCGGAGTTCCTTGGAAGAATTCCAATGCACCAATAGATAACATCATACATATCTCTTCCGTTAGAAATTCTCTTTCTTCCTTCGACCAAAGAGATATATCTACTCTTCCATAGTAAGGGATGAAATACTTGCTGACCATAATTGGAACCCCATCTTTCAAAAGACCCACAATCTCTTTTTTGGCACCCATCATTTCCCATTGTCTCCACTTGTTGGAAATCGAATGAATAGCCTTCTTCCTGAAGGCAATTTCTTCCATGTGAGTATCTTGGAAAAAACTGAAGGATTTCGTAGAGAGAACTGTGAGGGCCTCGTTGTTTATTGGCTTTCTCATCATCCCTCATCTTTTTGCGACACGTTTCTTTAGTGTGACCTGGCTTCTTACAATATAGACATACTATATTGCTAACATCTTTCTCTGGAGTAGGGATTTTCAATTGTTGTTTCAACACCTTTGCATCTTTGTCGCTCTTACCCACTGCTTTCAGCGCCCAAGAGAACAGGTCCGCTTTTTCTCTCAACAACGGGTTGAGTGTAGAGGAACTAATTATCTCTGCCGCTTGCTGGTGCTTCTGTCTCGCAAGGAGAACAAATGCACGATTCTCGACTGAGTCAATAGCCCGTTGCAACTCTTCATCTTCGTCCTTATTCTTGAGCTGTTTCTTCAACAGAATCTTGTAAATAGCTCCAAGAGAACTAAACTCCTCCACTTCTTCCTTCCTGACTGAGTTACGGTCAAAAACAGTAGACACCCGTTCGTTGGCAAGAGATTCGGCCATACAATCTATTTGAAATAGATTCAAATCAATACTCTTCCCACTCTTGAGTAGCTCGAGAACCCTATTTCGTTGACCATTAGCTAGGGCCGCTGGTAGCTGGTCATCACAGACATCCCTTTGTGAAAACGCGCCTTGTTGAGTCAAATCAACCATGATTTGGTTGATGTCTCGTTCGGCCGATGACTTTGCTTTCTTAACCTCATCACGCATAAAGTCTAACTCTTCTTCTAATTCTCTAATCCTTTTTGACAGCACTTCACTTGAGACCTCTTCTTCCTCTACTTCCTCTTCTACCTCTTCCTCTTCTGTCCGTTCCGGAACTACTCTCAAATCCTTGATTCTTCTGAGTAATTCTTTCTTACTTGTAATTTCGTTGGACTGGTCAGAGGGGTAGCAAGATATTAAATCATTAACAACATCATTCTTCTTCCCTGCTGGGAAAGCCTTCTTGAGTTTGCTGTAGATACTTTTCAATTCTTTGAGAGAAAGTGATTCTATCACCTTTCTCGAAGTAATTGATAATAATTGTTCCATATCACAAGTAATGTAAATTTTTTGAAAGTGAAAATTCAAAAAATTAGTCAACCAACCACTTTTATTGATTACAACAAACCTCAGTAAAACTCCCTTTTACTACCGAATTTACATTTCCCACCAATTTGATGGACAACTCCTTATTCACCAAGAAAATAAATCGATGAAGACTTTTTAAATTTTCAAATAATAATTCCAAATCAAGATTTTTAAATCTCATCAAGTGTTCAAATATACCTTGTTTTAAAATTCTTTTGGTTCGATGAAATTCACCTCCGATTAGAAAATCAAAAATGTGATGAAACCAAACATCTCTTGGAATTTCTAAAACTTTTCCGAATGTGTGATGAATAACACGTTGGACATGATTGTCGTTCGTTCTTCTCTTGTAAAACTTGGACGAATGAATACTTAGAAAAGGAATGAACGATGAAACCCAACCGATGGGAATGGCTTGGCCCATCATTTCCATTTTTTTGATTGTTTACAATCACTCAATTCTTATTATTAATAGGATCGATTTCTGATCTCCGTCCATTATGGCAAGCAAGAGAGAGGATGGTGTCTAAAACGATTGATGATATTTTTGTAAGCAAAAAACTCTTTCCGATGAACGAAAATTTTTTCTTCTTGTGTTTACTCGAACTGTGTGAATTTTGTGAAAATGCAGTTTATTGTTATGAATGATATTCAAAACAATGACAATTATTGCCTTTGAACTTTTAGACATAAAAAAATGATGACCGTTCCAACATTTTCTAATCCCGATCTCACAAGTCAACCAAGTCAAACCGTTGTGACATCTCCATCATCATTTTCTTCCGATTTCAAATTTTCATCGACACATTCCAATACTGGCCAAACCCTTTCGAATTCTCAACTCACAACACATTCACAAGAATATTCATTTATTTCCTCTTCATCATCCACAACTTGTTCTTCCGATGTGCTCTTATCTAAAATTTCCACAGCTGAACATTATGACTCGTTTCTAGAAATTGTCAAGGAAGGAAGAATGCGACGAGTGGGACCATTCAAAGGACTTCGTTCCAATGTGAAACATGCATGTCAATCGAAACCATGTGGTCGAGAATGGTCTCCTTCTCCCATTCAAATCATATCAAACAATGATTATTATTGTCCTTCATGTGTGTTGCATCATCGAAATAATGTTGAGAGATTTAAGGAGAGTGAATTGGAATGGACGAGTCATGTGCCAAATACTTTTTATGTGTTTCAAATTCAAGATCCGAATAGTGGAATGACACTTGTCAAATTTGGAAGAACCCAACATGAAGATGCTCTTAAAAGATATTCAACCAAAGAATTGACTGAATTTAACATGAAATTATTACTTGCTTTGAGAGGAAGGTTAGAGACCATGACAAATATTGAGAATTGGTGGAAAGAGCAAGCTGAAGCGATGGATTTATTTAGTCGATTTTCCATCGAATCATTTCATGGATTGACAGAATGTGTCGAGTTAGAGGATGAGATGTTGGAGGATTTTCTGGCTTACAGTAAAGTGGTGAGTGAAAAGGAAGAAGAACCATTCAAAAAATGGTTATTGGACTATGAAGAGAGGATTGAGAGGTTTAAGCAATCTGTCGTGAATAAATAGTTCGAGTTGACTTTAAGGTTCACACTGATCTACACGTGTAGATTTCAATTTTCAACTATTGAACGACAGATGGATTCTCTTGTTGAGGGTGTGAGTTGTGGAATGGATTATTCGAATTAATCGTTGCATAAGGATTGCATTGATGCATGAACGCTTTGGTTTTTTCCAATGTGGTGTATCCTCGAGGTCTGTGTTCGTGCGAGCATGACGGATGGTTGTTGACATCGAATGGAGAGGAAGGAGTCATGTTGTTGGAACTACCACTCTCGAAATGAGGTCGAGTGTTACTACTGTAAAGGAGATGACTCAAATCTTCTTTTGTGGATTTCAAAATGTGCTTAATTTCATCCAATTCTCGTCGAATATTGTAAGAGTTTCTTTCGTGCTGCTCACGAACATGAGATTTCCCAACATGGTTACTCTCCACATACGAGGATAAACTATTTCGTAGAGTTTTGTATTGTTGATCCACTTTCTCGCTTCTTTGGAAAATTTCTTTTGTTTGGGGAACATAGGGTTTCAGTATTTCTTTAGGAATCTTATTTGTGTTGTTCGTGTTAGCATTAGGAGAATGGAATAGGGCAGTGCTGTCTTGTTTTAGTGGTTGTGACACTTGTTCTGCACTGAGTTTTGTCAAGTTCATAGCTGATTGATAAGAATTGAATGGATGATGCGAAAGGTCGAACCGTTTCGCATACACATCCGCAAATTGTGGCTGTCTGAAAACATGAACGGGAGGAGGATAATAATACTGATAACTGTATGGAACAAAATAAGGGCTGTACATGTGAGGTTGAGGAGGTGGTTGTTGGAATGGAAGAGTAGAATCAGTTGGAGGTAGAGTCTGAGTTCGAAAGAGTGACGAATCAGTTTGCGTGGTTGTTTCAGAACTTTTTGCAGCTTTTTGATGAAGGTCTGTTCCAATACAAACACTTCTGGAAGAAGGTAGTTCCATCACTAATGGCTCAGTTTGTTGAACAGGGAGTTGTGAGTTTGCCTTGTCATTGACGACAGTAGGTTTTGGTTGAATGGTTTCTGTCGATTTTTCATGGAGTGACTTGGCAACTTCTTTCGATGATTCTTTTGGAGAGGTGTCCTTGTTGGACACAACTTCCTGAAGTTTTGGCGATTTTACCTCTGTTAGTAATGTTGCTTGTCGAACATCAATAGTCGATGCTTGTTTGTTAAGAGCAGGAGGTGTTGTTTTTTGTGTTTCAATGTTCATTTGAGTCTCTTGTTTGAGTGAGCTCTCTACCGATAACAATGGTACTTGTTTCACGTTCGTGATAATGGCAGTCGTTGAGGGAGGTAGATCTTCTTTCTTTGGTTCATGTTTCACTTCGATGTTGTTTGTGATTGATTTGGAGGTTGTCACCATTTGTGGAACAGGTTGTGTGATTTGTTGCTGCGATAAGGTTGGAATACTAATGATCTTGGAAGATGAGACGTTGGATGAAATTGGTTTTGCCGCAGCAGGGACAGTGTCCTCTGATTCAAAGTCATCATATTCGTCCGGATTAAAATCATCCAAGCTTTCATTGTCAGAACCTTGAAAATCTTCAAATTCTTCATTAAAAGAATCTTCATGTGGAGCTTCGAAATCACTAAACTCCTCATCCTCTTGATGTTCATGCATAGATACTTCCTCAATAATTGATGACTTTTCAGGTTCAACAATTTCTTCTTCTTCAATTACTACTGAATCATCTTCGTCTTGAGCAGAATGAGACACATGATCTTCGTAATCACTAAATTCTACATCTTCAAGATCATGTATTGATGAAGAGGTAGCAAGAGGAGCGTGATAAGTGGATGACGTTTGTTGTTGCTGTTTAGAATTGGACGATAAATTCTTGTTGTGGATGACCTGAGAATTTGTTTCTGGTTTTGATACAGTCGAAGGGGAACTATTCTTGGAAGGGTTATTATTACTAGCAACAGAGTTGGTATAATTGTTGTTAGGGCGATTAGTAACTATTGGTTGACCGAATTGTGACTTCAAATTAGTGTTATTTACAATGACAACATTTGGCGAGTAATCTTCCTTGTCACTTCCAGAAAAATCTTCAAACTCATCCAATGTTTTGATTCGATCCATGCTGTCATCTTCTTCATCGCTTGAAGACTCATCAACAGTTTCCTCAATTGTTTGATTTTTCGATATGGGAATCCTCTCATTGAAAGCATGTTGCGGGAAAGAATATTCTTGTTTCGATGAAAGTTCAGCTTGTGTTTTCTGAGTGGCTGTATTTTCCTTTGCAATGTTCGAGTCCAGAGCTGTATTCACTTTCTGAAAAATAGATCCGAATAATGAAGCGTTCATACCACCCTTTACGTTAAAAGATCCGGATTTTTTCATCATCGAGTATGGATCATTGCCCATCACTGATGATGAGGAGGGAGCTGCTTTTGGTTGTGATGATGCCGACTGCGGTCCATCACTGACTCGCTTATTGGATGCATTTTTTTTCATTCTTGTTGATAAACGTTTTTCTGAGGCGCGAAATTTGTTTCCCGCCATGTCGAGAGCGTATCATTGGAACCTTTATTAAGGACAAAAAACTGATTTCACGGAGAGTGAATCCAAAGTTTTCAACACCTTGTTGTCATAATATACAAGGGCATGGACATGGAATGGACGTTTCCTATTTCTGAACATACCACCTCAAAGTACATTACTTGCTATGTTTCTTAATGGAAAAGGCAGTAATAGCAGCCACCACAATCAAACATCCTAAAATCGAAACCAAATTATCAATCCATTCTCCCAATACCACCGATGACAAAATCAATCCAATCACAATACGAATCGGGAACATGATGGAATAATTCGATGATCCAATTTCCTTTGCACACCACAATTCCAACACTGCGGCCACTAAACGATTCATAATCATGAACCATATAAACATGAGCCATCGTACAGTGTTGTATCGGGTAAAGACAGTCCAATCTTCATATAGGCACATGGGTATGATTGGCCACAATACCAGCAAATACTTTTGAATGTAGAACAAGTCTTCGGGAGAGATTTCTGGAGCAACATAATTTTCTTCTTCCCGTGATTGTTGTGGTTCAATAGATTTAGGATCTTCAAGAGTTTCCTTTGTGGTTGCAGTTTCTGAATCATGTAAAGCAACTCGATATCGTGAGCTCAATAACGGTGCCTCAATAGAAGCTCCTGAATGAGCCGATTCATCCGAAGCTTGACTTTGGGTTTCCATAAGGACTGAATCCTCGTGATATAATTCTCCATTCGATTGAGCAGAAACAAGAGCCATACTTGATTGAGTCTCCACCATCAAGACTTTTTCTCTCAATGAAGGACTAGAAGGTAATACTGGCAACGTAGATAATGATGATGAGGATTTGGATGGATCTACGGCAAACACGACATCTTCAGAACCATTAACTACAAGTGCACTCGATGCTTCATAACCTTCCTTACTCATTGAATACGATGAAGGATGGACATTCATGGAAGGCTTCTCTTCACCAGTTTTGGATGGAGCCAACTTGTTCACTGCATTCAATTTCATGGAAAAGAAGAAACTTGAAAGTAAGGCAATGATCATACCAATGAAATCGTTGGGCCATTTGAAACCACGTCCAATTTGTGAGAAATCTGGCCACCATTTCCATTGATAAGCCACAGGATTTCCATTTTCATCTTCAGTCACTCGTGTGGCGCTGGCCAAGATGATAATCACCGCTCCAGTCACTGTAAAGAATAAGGTCATTAAATCAAACCATGAAAACGTTTCAGTTTTGAATACCAAAATTCCCATAAACACAATAATGAAGGGTGAAGATAAAGAACTAATTGCACATAGGTCGATGAGGTGAAGAAGGTGGCAAATTCTCTCAAACTCGAACCAAACACAATGGAAAGTTGATACAAACACAACATGCCCATGACTTTTCGATGTCGATACAATAACTTGCCCAATCCTCCTGCTTGTCGAATGTTATTCCTACAATTTTCAAAGACACTCACTCGACCATACTTGTAAAGCATGCGAGGAGTGTACAAGATCAATGCTCCCAAATTAGATAAACATAACAAGTATAGGGTTGAATGGCTGTTTGTTTTCCTCCGTAATGTAATAAATATCGAGAAATGACTTGATTGGTCGACATGATGAGATGAGTCAACAAGGCACATAGCCAAAAGAAGATGAACCAAAACGATCGCATGTTGTTGTTGTTGAGTTGTTGAGGTGTTGGGGAGGATGATTTCAAGTCTATCATCAAATTCTCTTCTTTCTGAACAAGAGATGATTCCACTCGGCCACCAACGCCTCCTCCTGTTGTTGTTCCAACCATCAAAACCGTGGAATCATCTTCAAGAGATTGATAATCTGTCGAGGAGGAGGCGCCAATACTGGGCATGGCCATAATACGCGATGAATGATGCTGAGAAGCAGCGATTGTTGAATGCATTCTTCATCCACACAACTCGAGTAGGATAGGATAGGACTGAGTTGTTGTTATTACAATCTTTTGGAAATGAAAATCATAATGCATGGATGTGGAACGACTCGTTGACTCGTTCCTTGGATCCCATTCTTTGAAATTCCAATGACAAGTTTTGGCGACATGCAGATTTAGGCAATGCTACACTCAGCGAGAACACTGAACAAATGCTGAGAACGGACTCGAGTACATATATGTGGTGGCCTTGACACTTTGACAATGCATGACTTGTGGTTTGAAAAAGTCTTTTATTCTTTTGAAGAAGAAGTACAATCAGTTGCTTTGGTCGGGAACAATGTTGGTCTACACTGGTTGCAGGTCACAACTTGCAAACGCGTTGGTTTGGAAATTGTAACGAATTGTTTCAAATCCAAAATAATTCATGAAGTTTGATAACAGAAATAATAAATGTAATCTTTGTGTTGAGCAATATAGCGCTTGACATTTCCATCATGGACCAAACAATAACATGAAGTGAATTGTTCTGGAAGTCCATCAAAAGATACAAATGAAGGGACATTGACAATTTCATTTCGAGTCCGTGCATGAACAAATGAAATATCCAATTCTTTCATCAATTCCATGAGTGTCATTACAACCTTACTACTGCCTGTGCCCATTTCTGAGGCGTATTTGGATCCCAAAAACTTGGAAACAAACGCCTTCATGCTCGAAAGTTGCAATTCTGACATGTTCGCTCGATAAATTTCCAACTCCCAATCACCATAACTGGAGGTTAAATAATCAGTACATGTTTGTAATGGAGTATCTTCATGATAAAATCCAATTTGTAAATCTTTCAGTTTCACTGGCTTTGTTTGCCTTGTGGTTGTTGTCAAATTTGTGATTGATTTCTTTGCTGATTGTTTTCTTGTCATTGTTTTTTTAAAAAGATCATCTTTGAAATTGAATGTTTGTTTAATTTTCCAGAAAGCCAAATTGAAAGCTGTATGCACCATCCATTTTATGTGAAATTATTGAGATGGTTGATGTTTGCCAATATCGTGTGGATTGGTCGTTGGAAGTTGGCATGTGAAACCTTTACAAATGTAAATAGTGGTCTTATTATCCAATACTTTGGCATCTTTCAAATAAGGTAATCTTTTCTCAATCAAATCCACACATTCAGGATCGTCCTTATTCACATAAATAAATGTTCTTTGTGAAGGTGCTGTATGATGAATGGCATACTGGATCACTTCATTCAAATTTTGAACCGATTGGTCATAGACGAAGGCAATTTTAGCTTCATGATCTGAAACAAATCTTCCCAATGTTGCCATCAAACCAGGCACTGTGTGTGGATGCTCAATAATATAACTACTATTTAACTCGATCAATTTGGAAAATCGTTCTTGATACTCCTCGGATAAATTCAAATCATAGTCACTGAGACGAATCAAATTCATGGCACTCACACTATTTCCACTTGGTTCTGCAGCATCATGGAATTCTTTCAATCGATAGAGAACGCTTTTATCCGTTCCACTTTCTTCATAATAACCTCCATCTTGAGCATCATAGAATAATCGATCTTGTGTGGCTTGCAATTCAAAAGCCCAATTGAGCCAACGTGTTCTTCCTGTGACTTCATACAAATCCAACAATGCTGCAATGGTATTGGAATAATCGGCAAGAAATCCCTCAATAGGTATTGCTTTTTGTGAATTCTTTCGGTAACTTCGATAGAGAATCTTTCGATCTCTGTCATAGAGTTTTTCGTAAATGAAAAGTGCAGCCTTTTCTGCAATGTTCGCATAGGTTGGATTGTTGAGAATGATGGAACCAAGAGCAAAGGCACTAATCATGTAGCCGTTCCAGCTTGTAATAATCTTATCATCGACATGAGGTCGTGGTTTGTTTTTCTTTCTTTCTGCCAGCAAGATCATTTTACATTCTCAATCGTTTTGGAGAGAGTTACAGGATCGATGGTATTGTTCCATTTCGCACTCACTTCATGCAAATCAAGCTTTTCATGTAAAATATTGAGTCCAGTCAATTCTCCATGTGGATCACTTCCAGATGGAATATTTCCGTCTGGTCTAACGTCAAACATGGCATTGAATAATTCAGAGGGTTTAATAGCTCCAATACTTGGAACCATGGTATCGAGAAAATCAGTGAGCTCACGATAATCCCAACAGTAATAGGCTCCTTCTTTCTTTTCTGTGGATTGGAAGTTGGATAGCTATCAGCGTCTTCAGCAGAAAAGAATCCAATTGTGTTGCCATCTTCCTCCAAGGACATGCTTCCATTGACATAATCGAGAATTTTTTGCATGACAAGTGCAAAGTACTTGTTTTGAGTGAGGAGATAGGCCTTACCATACACGACAGCAAGTTGACCTTGATCGTACTGTAAATGTTTTGTATGGTCGATCATGTTGAGGATCATGTTAAAATGTTGTTGCATGATGAACACTTACCAACATCTTTTCGAAATGAGGAACGAGCCAAATATTATCTACCGAGTATCTGTGAAAACCACCAGCAAGTTGATCCTATGAAATTGCAGTTTTGGAAAATTGGTTCAATTCCAACAGTTGACATGCGGAACGTTTGGAAAAATCAATGTTGAAACCAAATAAAATCATTAACTTACATGAATTCCACCTTTTGCCATCTTGGTCAATGTAAAATTCACGGCATTGATCATATCCAATTTTCTAATTTCATCTTTTTCTTCATAATAACGCCTTAAAAGGAAATCTAAAATGATGGGCTGAGGAAATTTAGGAGCCTTACTAAACCCTCCATAGGTAGAATCAAAGGATGACATGTAATCTTCTACACAAGTTGCTAAATATTCATGAGCATATTGGAATACATGTTCAGCACTTGCTGCTTGATTCTCTTCTCGAGAGCTCTTCTCAATAAAGGCCTTCTTAATAATGCTAACGGCTTTTTCACTTTGTTCTACAAGTTTAGGTCCTTGTTCTCTCCATAAGGTGGCAATTCGTTGCAATAAATTTGGAAAGGAAATTCCTCCTCGATAGATGGACTCTGTTGGAGGAAAATAGGTACCACCAAAGATTGGGCTCAAATTTGGAGTTAGAAACACACTGAGTGGCCAACCTCCGTGTCCTGTCTGAACTTGTACATAGGTCATGTAGACACGATCAATATCGGGTCGTTCTTCTCTGTCAACCTTAATATTGACAACTGTAAAAAAACACGAGTTGAATTTATGAATAATATTAACAATTATAATACATACAATGTTCATTCATAATCTTGGCAATTTCTTCATTTTCGAAAGATTCTCTTTCCATGACATGACACCAGTGACTGTCCGTGTGAGGTTTGTCAAGTTGTTGTTTGAAATATTATTGAATACTTACCATGTACTGTATCCAATAGAGAGAAAAATAGGTTTGTTTTCTCTCCTTGCCTTTTCAAAGGCTTCTTCACCCCAAGGATACCAATCCACTTGAAAATCACAAGTGTAATAATTTTCAAAATGCAAAAGTCAATTCATTAAATGGCTCAAATATTTCACTCACCTGGATTATGTTGATGTTGCAATAAATAAGGAGAAGACTCTTTCTCAAGTCTATTGGTAAATTTGAACTGCTTATGTTCTTGATGAATAGTGGCTGTCTGTTGTTGCTGAAGCGTAGATTCTACCATTTGTAAAGTTTTTGATTTTTTAGTATGTGAAAAAACTTGATCAAGAAGCGAGAACCGATGACAGTAATATTTGTTGAAAGTATGATGAAAATCTCGTTGAAAAATAATATTGTTTTTTGTGTGGTTGAGCTTGCTGGTGATACGATGAAAATGGAAGTTGTACAAATACTCGTTGGTGTTCAAAGGATTGGTTGGAAATGTTCTATTTACAGAAATTGTCGATTTGTAGGTTGAAGAGTTGTTGCTTTTACTGAAGTGACGATCACGAGATGGATCCGAATTATGGTCTTTCGGAACGAAGTAAAGTCTTGTGAAATGCTTGCAGATCGGCCAGCACCCACTTTTTTCATTTTTGTTTCTGGTGCTGCAATGCTTCACCTCGATCAAAATCCTCCAAAAATTGAACATGATTCTTTCTTTAATCTTTATGTAATCGGGTGTGGTATAGTGGTAGCATTCCAGACTGTCACTCTGGCGACCCGGGTTCAATTCCCGGCACTCGAGAAATATTTTTTATCCAAGCTTTTCATTTTTTTTCCGTTAAATTGGAAGGAAAAGCGACTGGCCTTCCACGTCGAAAACAAAATTACAAAAAATAATAATGAATCCTGAGTAGTAGGTGTCCGTTATTTTTGACGACTCTCCGTTTTGAACGAACGAAACTTCTTCAACACTGTTGGATTATATTGATGAACGATTTTAACAAACCGAAACCTCGTAATTTCTCAAATTGAAACAGCGATTATTTGTTCAAGTTGCTTTTGATTGGTATGTTTTGACAATTCATCACGGAATTTTTAATCTGATGATGATTTATATTTTCATAGGTGATTCTGGTGTTGGAAAGAGTTGCCTTCTTCTCCGTTTTGCTGTATGTTAAACGCTATCGTAATTGTATGGATTTTAATTGTTCATCATTAACAACAAATTATTCGAACGTTATATGGATGATAATAACTGCTGATGGCGGTTACATTCCTTGAACAACAACACCTAATAACAACATGGTTTTCAAATTTCTCATTCATTAACGACAACAATATCAAACACCAATTTTCAATACTTTATAGGACGACACCTATACTGATAGCTATATCAGCACCATTGGTGTTGATTTCAAGATCCGTACCATTGAATTGGATGGTAAGACCATAAAGTTGCAAATTTGGGATACGTAAGTAACAAAGATCGTTGAGATGGCAATAATAACAATACCCTCTAATTGATGCTGCTTCTTAAACAAAAAAGTGCTGGCCAAGAACGATTCAGAACAATGTATGTAGTTTTTGTAGTCTAAACTCATCATCTTTTACACTTGTTTCCATATTACAGTGTATGTACATTGAAAGTTCATATCTCTAATATTTTGTGAAATCATTGATTTTTATTGTGCACACTTTTTGTCGATTTACCAACAATGCATACATCCATTTTCTTGATGTTGGCATGTATTTCCGAAATGGTAATAGACATCGAGCTACTACCGAGGTGCCCATGGTATTATTATTGTTTATGACGTGACTGATCAAGACTCTTTCTCCAATGTCAAGCAATGGCTCAGCGAAATTGACCGTTATGCATCTGACAATGTGAACAAGTTGTTGGTCGGTAACAAGTGTGACCTTACTTCAAAGAAGCAAGTTGATCGTAGCACTGCTGAGGAATTTGCCAAGTCTTTGAACATTCCATTCCTTGAAACAAGTGCCAAGAACTCTACTAACGTCGAGCAAGCTTTCATGACAATGGCTGCTGAAATTAAGAACAGACTTGCAAGTCAACCAATCACCACACAACCAACCATGTCACATGGAATTACTCCAGGAGCTCCATCCAAGCCAGCATCAAGCGGTGGTGGTTGTTGTGGATAAATCATCAGTTTAGACGGTGAAGTCACGTTTTGTAGAACGTTATTAAAAGCTGTACAGAAGTAACCAAATCGATTATTGTTGTGGTGACACGCAATGTTTTGTGGTGTTTCCAATCTGCGTCGTTTGTGAGATTCGAAGTGTTATCTTTTATTCACTGTTTTTTCTCTTCTTTGAAAGGATTATCAAAATTCTCAAGAAAATAGCGATGAAATCCATAAAGAGCTGAAGCGCCATTCGAACAATATCTTCATCACCAGCATGACATCTTTCAACGAAAGGAAGCTCGAAAGGGTTGCTCCAATAAATAGCATGCTTCTACGTTTGGAGAAGTGAGCAGCTACAGAGAAGCAACTTAAAATCAAAGTTGTTCCAACTAAGGCATAGAGAGGAATATAGGGATCAATTTCAGTAATGATGAGCCTTATGAGCGGTCCAAATTGAAATCCAAAACTCAAGCCAAGTGCCAACAACCCAGGCATCGAGCTTGTTAAAGTTACATAAATTACTAATCCAAAAGAAACAAGGTTGTACAAAATAGAAGGTTGCAAATTATAATAAATAGAAACTGCGCACCCGAAGGTTGCACACAGCACAGAGGCAGCCAGTAGCATGTAAACGCCTCTCAATAGTTTCTGAACATTGGATTCAATGCCCGAAAAATTGCCAATAACACTCCAATCTACATTTGTCGGATAGAACGATGATCCGTTTTTCAGTTTGTTAATTTCTCTCTCCTGTTGAGCCTCTAAATCAATATTGTTTTGAGAATGTTTTGCAGAATAATGATCATCATCACCTATAATCATTCTCTTGTCATCAATGGTAATTACGCTTGGGGTTGCATTCTCTTGTTGCTCGTTCGTAAAACGAAAATTCGTCGTCAGTCGTTCCGACTCTGTTGGAGAAGTGTTATCCGTGATCAATTGTCTTGACATTTTTTTATGGCTGAAAATAATGCAAAAATTGATTCAACCTGGTTAATCAATACTTGATCCATATTATTTAAACGAACACGTGTTTGTTTTGGCTCAGTTCTTGGAAAGTTCTTTTAAAAACCCCATATTGAGTTACATGTTCAAAATTGTTACCAGCAAGTTCAACAGAATCAGTAAAAAGTTGGCGCCACAACTAATTTCAACATTAGAAAAAAAATAAGCAATTTCAAACGATCATCCCTTATCCATCAAAGTATAATATTTATATAATTGATTCTCTTCATTGAATCTTAGAGGAAATCCTTTTTCAAAAGTACTTAATCAAATATAATCATCATGGGACAAATACTCGACAAGCCCGTTACCGAGAAGACAACACACGTTGGCCGTAATGGTTATTGTCAATACGGATGCAGTAGTATGCAAGGTTTTCGTTTGTCAATGGAAGATAGGCACAACTTTTTTACGGAATTGCCTCGCTTTACTCCTCCTAAAGTACAACAAGCGGTAGAGACCGGAGACGTACATTTGTCGTTTTTTGCTGTTTTTGACGGCCATTCGGGTAGGTTTTTCAATAACAAAAGTGCTGGGATGTATTCGTTGTATGGAAAATTCATTTTTATACATTGAATATATTTAATCTACGATTGAATGGAATACATTTCAACAGGCGACACATGCGCAGAATATCTCTCAAAGAATCTATTAAAATATGTGCTAAATGAAGAAATTGAAAATAATCTAAATATTACACCTTGGAGTCTTTTAAATTCGGACCAAAATATTGAGCAAGGATTTATGAAAACTGATGCAGAGTTTGATAAATCATGTGCTGGAGTGGACGATAGCGGTTCAACTGCAACAACCTTAACTGTGAAGAGAATTGGAAAAGACAAACTGGAAGTTATTTGCGCTAATACTGGAGATTCCAGAACAATAATGCATTACAAAGGAAAAACAGAACCCTTGAGCTATGACCACAAACCTCATGTGAACAGTGAAAAAACAAGAATTGCAAAAGCTAAATCCTATGTCGAATTTGGAAGAGTCAATGGTACTCTAGCTGTTTCAAGAGCATTCGGAGACTTGACCTACAAGAAATATGATAAGCTTCCACCAGAAGAGCAAGCAGTCATTCCACTACCAGAAATTAAGCGAGTAATTCTTGATTTAAATGACACGAGCGAATACAATTTTGCAATATTGGCATGTGACGGTGTTTGGGACGTCATGTCCAATGCTGATGCAACAAACTTTGTTTTACAACGATTGCTGGAGCAAAAGAATGGTACATACAAGCGATTGACATATCCAGGAGACCCTCCTCAACCGCCAAGTGATCATTCACATGATGCTCCAGAAAATCATTCTCCAACCTCAGGTTTCAAGTTTGACCTTGGTTCAATTTGCGAGGATGTCCTCGATCATGCAGTCAGAGGTCTCGACAGTAAGGACAATGTCTCAGTTATAATTATTCTCTTCCAAAGGGATGATGACTACGTGCCACCACAACAATCGTTCAATCTTCCTCCCAATCATTTTGCTGCCTCCATGCAATAAACTGTACATAATAATAGTGTTTTGAACTGTCAACAAAATTGTATTTGTACATCTCCTCAGAACAAGCTCAATTAACATGCATTCATCACTTGCATGTATGTGAATCATCTTCTTGTTCTATATCACTGTCCGAAACGCTACAAAATTTTTGAAACTCCACTCTAAGTTTTCAAGAAATTCAATTACAACCATTTGAATTTTGGAAAAATCACACAAACAGCCTTTCCCCGAATTAAACCCATTGGAATTGGTCCATACATGTTAGAATCGACGCTCGACACAGCATTATCACCTTCTACCCACACATGGCCTTTCGGAATGTACTTCCCAGTTGGTACATGCCCATCAGCATCTCTTCTCGAAGGCTGATACACTTGTCCAGGAAGAGCTTTCACTCTCTTAATTGCCGTTGTTCTTGGCTCCTCGGGAGAAATAAATACAACAATATCATTGATGTCGAGTTCGTTCTTATGGTCCTTGACCCGTTTAATTAAAATCCAATCCCGACTCGACGATGATTTTCGGGATGAGGCTGGACCTGTAAGACCCCACTCCGAATTGAGTGTTGGTTTCATAGAGGCTCCATTCACACATCCAAACCAATATCTATCAAATATAAAACAAGAAGCTCCATACAGAGTGGACGAGATGAAGATGGTTGGATATAATAATGCCTTCACTCGTGACATTTTTTTCAATTTGGAAAATTATAAATTTCATAATGATTTTATTATTAATATGCCTCTCAGGCAAAGGATAAGTGGAGGAGATGAGAACTTCTTCATCATTTATTTCATAATACAAAAATTAAAATGTATTTATTTCTTTATAAAAACTTTTCCTAAAATCCAAGTGAAATGTAAAACTGGAATTAAGCAGCATAATTGATGAGCATAATATCCATTCGATGAATGGAAAGTATCATCAAAAGGCTTAAAATTTTTCACATTAATTTCCTTAATTTCAGAATTGTCATTTGAATTAATTTTTACATGATTATACATCCAAATAAAGTGTGTTAAAGTGGCTCCAAAAGAAATATTTAACTCTTGTTTCTTATTTGGAGATGATGTAGATACCACAAAAGACACATTGGCATGTCCCGAACCTCCACCTTGCTTACGTTCAATATCATTTTGATTAAAATTTTTAATGGACTCGATTTGTGTGTGATTGAATTGTTCTGATTGATCATTAAATTGTTTTATAAAATTTTCAGTTAAAACATCTGTTCGTTGTGGATTCCGATATATTTGATAGGATGAAATGAGAGGCAGGGAGAGAGTCAAAGCAAAGGGCACTAGAACTCGTTTCATTTTTTTTTTGTAAAATGTGAAGCAATTTTGATTGGCTGTCTGAATTGAGGACACATGTTTTAGTGAATGGATCCTCAAAACGGACTGCAAAATGCTTAACATAATTCGTCCGATTAGTCCTTTCATCCAGTGTTTGCTAACTAACAGTTAAACTCTTTCACCTCGAAAAACATAAAAAATGCAAAAAGAGGAATCAGACCCGAACAAGAATTTCTCTTCTTCATCACTAATATTTAAAGAGAGTACGAACCAACAACGGTCTTCGGATCGAGTTTATGAAAGGGATCATCAACAGCAACATTCAGGATCCCACGAAGTTTCACCTCTGAATGTTGTCATTTCAAGTGCTTTGGCTGGTTGCTTGGCAAGAATTACGTTACATCCGTTGGATACCATAAAATCGAGAATGTATGTGTTGTACTAGATTGCTTTTGAGAATTTAGGATTTCAATTGTTTGATCTTTGGAAAATTATTTATCTTACTTTTGAAATTATAATTTAAATCGTGATGAAAATTTACGGATTGGCAATTTCCATCTTTTTTCATAAAATTGTAAGAATAGGCAAGTACAGATTACTAATCCTGAACTGAGCTCCAAACTGCCTTCGGTATTGTTTGAAGGTGGACATGCTTCAGTGAAAAGCTCAGAAACTGCAAACCTTCATACCTATAGGAATACATTACATGCCATTCAATCTATGGCAAAATATGAAGGAATTCGAGGGTTTTATAAAGGCCTTGGGGCTTCATTAATATTTACTGGACCAGCCATTACTTTGTATCTAACGTCGTATGAATTTTGTAAGAATAATTTAATGAGAATGGGACATAATACGTTTAAGAGCGATTCGTTTTTGGCAAGAAATTTAGGAGGAGAAACTGCACTTGTACATTTAGTGAGTGGATTATTTGCAGAGAGCGTGAGTTGTATATTTTGGGTCCCTCATGACGTGCTGAAAGAGAGATTACAAGGTATGTGAATTCATGTGGAGACATGATGAAATAATTTATAACATTTTATGGCATGTGAAAATTCAGTTCAAAGAGGAAATCAACTCACTCTCTCTCAATTGATTAAGATTGTAAGGCACGACGGATTTTTACAACTTTATAAGGGCTACTGGATTACTCTTGGTTCGTTTGGACCCTTTAGCGCCATTTATTTTCTGACCTATGAAAAAGTCAAGAACTTTTTTCAACAACGTCAAACGCCAGGAACTCCTTTGCCATTTTCATTAATTTTACTTAGCGGTGCTGTGGGTGCTGGATTGGGATCCTTTTGTACATTACCATTGGATGTTATTGTACGTAGTATTGCAGTCAATCTTTTTTTAATATTCACTCATGTGTAGAAAACTCGATTTCAAGTTCAGAGAAGGACCAAGCGAGTTTATTCTGAGAATGACATCATGTTTTACAAAAATTTTGTGGATGCAGTAAGAAAAATTGCCAAATATGAAGGCCCAAAAGCGTTCTGGAAAGGTTTTACGAGTAGAATTATTTATGCTGCACCGAACTCGGCTTTAATAATGGCCTTGTGTAAGTATTGCTTAGAAAAAAGTTTGTATGCTGAACAATTACAATTCACAACACAGTTGAGTTTTTCAAGTCAGAATTTGATTTTATTAAATAGTTGGAACATTCTTCACACTGATTTAAACATCTCTCTGCATCAATGACGTGGGTTATTTGAGCTCGTTGAGAATAAATTATTGATGTCCTTTAGAAACTGTCTGGATATGCACTCATGAATTATTCATTATCTTCTTCTTCATCCTCCTCTTCCTCTTCTTCTTCAATTCGTTCCTGTAACATTTCTCGTAGTGCTTGATTTGTTTGTTTTTCCAGAAAATCCATTTGATCCTTGATATGTCTCTTGAGGTCTTCATTTAGTTTTCTAGGTTTTAACAAATTCGAATCGCTATTGTCTTCCTCTCCTTCCAGCATTTTATCAAGTCCGGCCAAGCTCTGTAGCTTTGCTGCTTCCTCGAGTAAGCCTGAAATTTGATCACGCAGAATAACCTCTGTTGCTTCAATCGGAGATGCAAAATATTTAGATGTTTTTTCGTGTGGATCTAGGGTTGCATAGTGTCTCTTCTTGTACCGTTTAAGTTTGTAATCCATAGGATCGTAATTTCGGAATATTAATCGGGTACGATTTTGAGTATTGGATTTTGTGTTTTCTTGATCAAGCTCTTCCTCTTCGTCATCAATAGCTTCAATTATTTCATCCTGCTCATCATCTTGCATGTAATCATCAATTAATTCTGTTAATTGTTCCGAGTCCTTTCCGATCAGCTCCTTTCCATAATTTTTCTTGATTGTTTCAATTAATCGCTTGTCCAATGCCTTGAAGGCATTATCTTGCATTTCATGTTGTGGTTGATTTTCTTCTTCCGATGATGAGACGGGACTTGTTGAATCACCAGACGCGCTCATTTTTTTGTAATGTAATTTTATCCAGCAAATCTTTACGAAATTAAGAGTGACACATAGTGGTTTAACCCGAGCCAAAATACTCCAGCGAGTTTGTTGGCGAGTTGGCGAGGGTCTAACACAAAAGGGGAGTTGCGTTGAACCACACTATGACCTTGCACTAAAAGCCATCAACTACTTGTTGCAGTGACAGTACCGACAGTGGTAATGTGGAAGACGTCAACGTTTCTTGATGCATCATTTGAGTGCTTTTGTTTATGTACTTTATTGCACAACAACTCTTGCCTCAATTCCAACCGAGAGGGTGTATGCCTTGTAAAGCTTTAGGCAGATCCGCCCGGAATTGCATAACGATTTTTGGCAAAATACAAATAGTACATGCAGAACATTTGCAACTCGTGAGAACAACAATATTTGGATGAAACATGATAATAAGGGACTGATAAATGGCAGCAACAACAACAACCGATGAAACTTGAAAATAAGGGACTACTCAACAACGAGCCGTGAGGGGCAGAAGTATGGAACGGATCACGATTACGAGCGGGTGGGTGATGAATATAGTGATACTTCTTCTGATGAAGAGTCTGATGAGTCCTAGGAAATGGCATCATTGGTTCGTATTGAATCTCTCAAAAGGGCATCATTGGTTCGGAAGGCTTGCTGTTGTTCAGTATCATCACCACCCTACCCGAACGATAGAAAATATTTATTATTATTAAGGATATTTTTTTGAGTGTTCGAATTCTTGCTAAATATTGAGTTGGGGAACAATCATGCGAAATGCGCTCAACACCTGGCCACCCGGATGTTCAAGTCCATTCATCATCATGGTTGTTTCTATTTTGAATAATAATCATCGCGTATTAAAACGATTGTTGAACCGATAATAAACAAAAACAATACGATTGTTCATCAACACTTTAAAGCATTCCATAACCTAAACCTATACCAGTCCAGTAACCGAAAAACAGGTCCTGCCATCAAAATCATCAAAAATAACCTTCTCCTTGATGCCATCTCGTTGAAGCTGTTGTGGTGAGAGTACAAGCGGTGGGTATGATTATCAATGAACAACCTTCAAGCGGAGCATTCTCCATGTATAAACATGGACGACAACCCTGTTTCTCCCTCACGAGAGTTCTCCATACTACTGGATACAGTAGATCAGCGAGAAGGTATTGACAGTGCAGAAACGAGGAAAGGGTTGCAATGATTATAATTTAACAAAATCATCAAAATTGTGGGTTTTGAAAAATATGTTTGAAAAGCAATTTTTAACAATTAATCATCATTTACAACATACAACCAACCTCCACCACACTTATTTCTTATTTCAATCACGAGAGTCTTTTGACTTTGTCTTCATCTATTCTACTCAATTAGAAATTGATTTTCCAAGTTTTTATCAACGCGAGGGTGTTGTATGTTTGATTGTATTCAAAACTAAGGCGCGATGAATGTAAATAATTTGTGTCTTGTGAAAAAGAATCTGGTACAAGTATAGGGATTACAAAAAATTACCAAACAAAGATTTTTAATTAGCGAAAAGAATTTGTCACCCTATCTCGAATACACGTGCAAGTATGGACATTCTCAATTTTAAAAATTATTTCATTCATTCTCTAGTGGAATAGATGAGAAGGAGACTTGTTGTTGGTTGTTTGTGTGTTGTTTGAGGTCGTGTGATAGATTCCTTCCGCTGATTCTACTATTTAAAAAATCTTTGTTTGGAAATTTTGTCGTGGCACAAGTGCCAAAGTGTGGTGGAGGCCAGTTGTATCTAGCAAATAAATAAACAGTTTACCTGATAAAGAACACATAAATAGATAGATCATTGCCTTGTCCATTTCATAGCTACCTAAAAAGAACATGGGAATGCTTGAGTATGGATGTCATGGCTTCCATTTTCGGTGTAATAATAAATATTACTTGATCCTACAGATACCCCTAAATAAGGAATTTATGAAATGGGTAAAAATTAATGCAATTTCGAAATTGGTACTTCAAATTTCTCGAATTGAATTATTAAACGTTGAAAATGGTAATTTAAAACGTAATGGTAGGACATTAAGAATACAATAAATACATGCTGAATTTTAGTTGTGTTATTGAATCATCATTAAAAAAAACAATTCATCATGAACAATCAGAGTCGTGAGGAGAATAATTCAAACAACCCTCGTTTCACCTCCTCCCATCATCCATTCCTTCAACCTATATTCCCACCAAATCCCAATCTTTTCACTCAACAAAATCCATCCTCTCAACCAATTTTCCCTCCAAATCCCGCCATTTTCTCCCCAAATCTCTCTTTTCAACCTGGATTTCCTCCACCATGGATTCCTCTAAATCCCTTCTCTCCTCAATTATATCCAATCATTTCACCATTTCCTCCAAGAACTTCAGAACAAACATCAACAAAGGACCAAGAATCACCCAAGTTGGAAAATGTTGACAAGCCATCGGTTACCAATATCAACCCCATCAAATCACCCAATCCTACCAGAGAAATTGAAAAAACCTTTCAAAATTCAAAGAGAGTCTTGGTGATAAAGGAGCAACCACAAATGATATGCAAACATCCTTATCAAAAACGTTCCATGATGGAACGTATTGATAAATGGCGTAAATTGAAAGGCGTTGGTGGTTTTGGTGGTTTCTCTATCCCTCCATACATACCAATGGCGCAAATTAAATTTTCGCCATGTGAACACACTTTGAGTGATCATTATAAGTGTGAGGAAGAAAGAGCAAAGAAAAAGAAGAAGATTGCTTCTCATTGGCAGAGATTGGAAGTATTGAAAGACGTATCTACTGTTGATAAATTTGGAGACTTATTAAGGACTGCTTATTTGGAGCGTGGAATTAGTATTGAACCTCTCTCTCGATCAAGGAAAAGCATACGCAACCCAAGAACATTATATGTTGTTATTTTTAAAACAATTCAATATGGAATGGAGCAAGATTGGTACTTTCTTTTTTGATAGATCCATCAACTCATTGAAGAAAAAGTACAAGAAATTGAAAAGAAAGATTAATCGTGCCAGATTGGAAGGAGCATATGATGCTTCAGATGCAACAAATTTTATCATTCAATGGAGTGTCGATGATTTAACCTTTTCAGAATTCACTGATAGTAACACCTTTACCTCTACTGTATCGATAACTTTTCCAGAAACATGGACCAATTCTGACCATTTCCATAAAATGATTATGAAACTTGGTCAATTAAGTCCATCCAAACCCTTACCGTTAAGACAAGCACAACCATCATCGAACAAGTCCAATGTATCAACGACTCCAGGAGAACCTTATTCACAGTCGGAAGAGGATTTAATTGTGACATCCTTGCGGAAGGGAATGAATTTGGAACAAATTTACCGAGATTACTTTACACACCGAACATTTCAGTCGCTGAAAAATAAGGTTCGACGGTTAAGAAAAAGGCAACTCTATCACAAACAGCAACCAATGAAGAAGAGATTGAATAAGAGAAGGATGGTTCCTAATTCCACTGCTTCGACTGATTCAAAGGAGTTAAGAAAACCGTTTTGGCATGATGATACGGTTGATCGTTGGAACAAGATTTGTCCTGTGTCATGTTTTGCCAAGAATGGTTTGAAAATACCGACCCAAAGTTGGTTTACCCTCTCCATTCGCCAACGATGTCCATCCACAAAACCACCTCCGAGCAAGAAGGAATTGGTAGAAAAAGTGTGGAGCAAATCAGAAACTTGGAAAAAGACGCCATGTAAGTGTGGAAATTCCAAGTTTAAAAGGACAGTCTGCTCGTTCAACGGACGCAAGTTTGGGTCAGAAAAGAAGAAGCTTGTTCAGGAATTCAAGCAAGTATCTGCGTTGGAGGAGTCTTTAACAATGCTTCAAGAGAACGGAGTGAATTCATCCACGACTGCTGAGAATGAAGTGAATTCATCTACGATTGCTGTGAACGAAGTGAGTTCATCTACGACTGCTGTGAACGAAGTGAATTCATCCACTACTGCAGAGAATGAAGTGAATTCATCTACGATTGCTGAGAATGGAGTCAATTCATCCACTACTGCTGAGAATGAAGTGAATTCATCTACGATTGCTGAGAATGGAGTGAGTTTATCTATGACTGCTGAGAATGGAGTCAATTCATCCACTACTGCGGAATCAAAGGAAAAAGCTGATGACACTATCGAGAAATTGCTAAAACAAATTTACACCTCCTTCTCAATCTCAAACGAAGACAATTATTTTGTGAGAACAAAGAAAGTGAGATTGAAACTCACCTCAGAACAAAAGAAGGTCTTTGAAAGATTTTTCTTCAATTCTAACCATGCTTATAATGAAGCATGTCTCCTTCATTTCATGTTAGAGCAAAACAAGGGAAAAACACTCCTTACCACCACAGAAGACGATTACTTTAAAATTTTGAAGAATCCCCAAACCAACCTGAGATTCAAACAAACTAGGTGGCTATGGGATCAAGAGTTGAAACATTGTCCAGCAGATATTAAATTGAACGCTGTGAAGGATTTTGTCAAGGCTGAGAAAATTACTAGACATAACAATAAGCAAGCAGCAGAAAAGGAATCCAAAGAGGCTGCTCGAAAGGCCAAAAACAAATTTTTTAAAGATGTTCAAAAAGGAAAGAAGGAGATGATTACTGATGAGGAAATGAACGAAAGATTTAATCCCAAACATTTTACTCGACAACCTCGTGAATTCGAAATGAAAGGACGAAGCAATCAACATCCATATCAGTCGTTCAAGGTGACAAACATTTCATTATCACAGGAAGGAGTGTTGTTAAAACCTACCTTTTTTAAAGGGAATGAAAGTGCATGTCCTTCCAAGAAATCTAAGGATCATCTTTTGAAATTTTATTATCCTGCAAGAGCACGAAAGTGGTTAAAGGAAGAGATTGGTATGTATTTCGATTTTACTTACATGTGATTTGAATCTCTTACATGAATGTGATTGATTCATGTGATTGGAACTTTTCTGAATTCTAATTTTTCCATGATTGCCTGCCCAAACAACAAGACAACAAAAATTTTTCACACGAGACAACCTTTGCACGAGAAAGAGGAAGATATTTTGTTTGCCTTCCAGTCCGTTATCACAAAGCTTTAACTCGACAAGAATACCAACGGTTTGATAAAAGCTTTTACGAGTCCAATTCGAACAGTGGAATTGAATATGACAGGATATTTCTCAAGGACTGCCCACAACCTTCTCAAAATGAACTCAGAAAGGAATACATTGCATTGGATCCAGGTGTTCGATGTTTCATGTATGGTTATGATAGTAATGGAGACGCATTGGAGTTTGCCGCTCAAGGAGAAAACACCATACTCTTTTCCCTTTCTCTAAAGCAAGATCAGCTCAGGTCGGAAATTGCCAAGAACAAATTTCTAAAATACAATTCTCGGCAGGAACGAAAATTTTATAAGGGTTTAAGAAAAGCCCTAAAAAAGAAGATTAGAAGGCTGGAAAGCAAAATTAGAAATAAGGTGAATGATATGCATAACAAAATTATTGACTATTTAACTTTCCACTATTCTGAAATTATAATACCTGAATTTAATGTCAAGGCCATGATTGCTAGAAAACAAAAACAAAGGAAGCGTCAAGGAAAAGAAGATACCACGTGTCAAGGACAAGAAGGTTATACTAATGGCCAAACGGAGAATATGGATGTGCGAACAGAACCTCTTGTTGCATCGTCTTCACCATTCGAAGGATGGGAATCAAGGGACACCACCACAAGTGAAACCACCACCAACACTTCCGAATGGGTTGGAAGAAAAATTACTAGAAAAACTGTTCGCCAAATGTTGCGATTCCGACACTATGATTTTCGAATGAAACTCTTGCAAAAGGCAGAAATGCGTGGATGCAAGGTACATGTTGTCACAGAACAATATACATCGAAAACGTGTGGAAATTGTTCAGTGATCAAGGAAGACCTTTATGGAAGCAAATGGTTTCATTGCAATCATTGTCACTTCCACATCCCTCGTGACGGTAATGGAGCAAGAAATATTTTGATCAAGAATTACCATCATTTATTACATTGGTAAGTTGAAGAGACAACTAAAATGATTCATCATTCGGGCCATAGATCTATATAATAATAACTATGTGATTATCATTCTGTCAAGATGATAATTCCGTCTCTCGTGTGAGAGATGAGTATGTGATCGGAGCACTTTAAAACACCAAAAAATCATTGTTATCATTGATGGAGTATGGTGTGCTCTCCGAGAGTAAGTTGTTGTTGTTGTTGTTCATTATTTTTAACGTGTGTGACTTTTTAATTTTGTAAAGAAATAATTTTCTTGTAATTTGAACCCGCACGGAATAGAAGCAAGCTTATGAATCAAATATTAATGAAACACAGAATTAACTTTTAATATCAGTAATTTTAATTACACACATGTGAAAAAATCACATTTAGAATCTTGGTACATTTCCAAAAAATACATTTAAAATCCTTCTGCTAATTCAAAGTCATAATTTTGAGCATGTGTCAAAGTGGAAGCCTTTGCTGCTGCAGCTGCCTTCATCTTGAATGCTACCACTCCAATCACACCCGCAGCTGCTGCAGCCACTCCTCCCACAACCACGAGTGGAACAATTACGGCAGCAGCAATGACTCCTCCATTACCATCATCTGTCTTTTTATCGGTCACTGTGGGAACGCTTTCAATGAGTAAGGAATTTGAAGAGGTCGTCTTGGCAGAAATTTTCACACTTGTCGAGCTATCGGTAAGTTCAACGTATGCTGTTAAGGTACCATTGGTATCGTAGGATGGAACTAGAAATTCTAATTTGGAGGTCGAGAGGTCCTTGTTGAGAGTTGTGACTAGATTGCCATTCAATTCAAAGGTAAATTTGGCACTCACCGTTCGACCAGAATAATAGGTAGAGAATTGACCATCATTGATGCTTAATTGAATGGAAGCTTGGGAATTTTGAACTTGTCCTTTGGTTGTGTTAAATTGTAAGGAAATAGATGAAAGGTACAATAATTGACAATTCGATCCAACATATCCAGAAGTACATGAACATTGATCGCTATCCACACATTTTCCATTTCCAGAACAAACATTCGAGGATGAATTAAGTACTTCATAACATTTGTGTAATTGACATTCCAAACCATCATATTTCGAAGGACACACACAAGTATTGTTCAAAATACAAGTACCTCGACTGGAACATGCGTCTGAAGAGGTTCGTCCATAACAAATTGGAGTCGAGCAATCGGAACCAGTCCATCCTGAATGACATGAACAATCTCCTGGAGTGTTACAGGTACCATTTCCATAATTACACACTTGTGACGTGTTGGCTAATTGTCCAGCACACATTGGCACTTGACAATTAGTTCCATACCATCCAGTGGTGCATGAACAAACATCTGGAGAGCTACAATTACCATGACCTGAGCAAACTGTGGAAGTTTCATTGGAAGGAATGCCATAACATTTTGGATATTGACAATTAGATCCTACATAGTTGGAGGAACATCGACACACATTGACATCATCACACGATCCATGTCCGCTACAAACAGTTGAAGACTCATTTGCCAAAATGCTACTACACTTGGCTAATTCACACCAACTACCTCCAAAATCATTGTTACAGGCACAAATATTGACATCGATACATGAACCCCTTCCGCTACAAACTGAAGTTTCGTTTTGCAAGGTTCCATTACATTTTGGAAGATTACAGAATTGGCCTCCCCAACCAGCTGAACACACACAGAAGTCTACTCCTTGACAGGTTCCGTGTGCATGACATACAGTAGATGTTTCATTGGATGAAGTACCATTGCATTTTGGATATTCACAATTTGGTCCAGCATAATTTGAAAGACATCGACACACATTGACATCATCACAAAAACCATGACCACTGCAAACAGTTGCTGTCTCGTTTTGTAAAATTCCATAACATTTTGGATATTCACAATTTGGTCCTCCCCAATTTGTGGAGCAAGCACAATCATTCACTCCTTGGCATATACCATGTCCAGAGCACACGGTTGAAGTTTCATTGGATGAAGTACCATTACATTTTGGATATTCACAATATGGACCTGAGTAGTCTGAATGGCAAGCACAAACATTGACATCGTTGCAAGATCCGTGTCCATGACAAACCGTAGAGGTTTCATTGGAAAGAATTCCTTGACATTGAGCGAGTTGACACCATTGACCACCAAATCCTTCATTACAAACACAAACGTCAACATCCTTACAGGAACCTCGAGCAGTACAAACAGTTGATGTTTCATTGGAGAGAGTGCCATTACATTTTGCAAGCTCACAGAATTGTCCTCCATAACCACTGTTACACACACAAGTATCCACATCGTTACATGAACCTCTTCCGCTACACACGGTTGAAGTTTCATTTTGCAAAGTACCATTACATTTTGGCATTTCACACAGTAAACCACCCCAATTGGAGGCACATGAACATTTTCCAGCAACACAAGAACCGTGAGAACTACACACAGAGCTATCATTTTCGAGAGTTCCATTACAGAGGGCAACGTTACAGAAGGTTCCTCCATAAGCTGGATCGGTACAAGTACACTTGTTTGGGCCAATACAATTACCTCTTCCACTGCAAACCGTTGAAGTTTCGTTGGAAAGAATGTTATCACAATAGAATAATTCACAGAATTGACCACCATATCCCGAACTGCATTCACACGTGTCGACATTGGTACAATTTCCAAATCCACTGCAAACGGTCGTTGTTTCGTTCGAAAGAGTACCATTACATTTTGGATATTGACAGAATGGACCTCCCCAATTTGAGAAACAGTCACATTGATCGACACCTTGACAAGTACCATGTCCTGAACACACAGTGCTTGTTTCATTGGATGCAATTCCATTACATTTTGGATATTCACAGTTAGGACCAACGTAATTTGAGTTACATCGACACACATTCACATCGTCACATGTACCATGTCCATAACAAGCAGATGTCTCGTTTGAGAGAATTCCATTACATTTTGCAAGCTCACAGAATGAACCTCCATAATCACTGTTACACACGCAAGTATCTACGTCGTTACATGAACCTCTTCCGCTACAAACTGAAGTTTCGTTTTGCAATGTACCATTACATTTTGGATATTGACAGAATGAACCTCCCCAGTTGGCAGAGCATCGACAAAAATCGACATTGTCACAACTTCCTTGTCCATTACAAACCAAGGATGTTTCGTTTTGAAGAGTACCGTTACATTTCACAAGTTCACAGAATTGACCTCCATATCCATAATTACACTCACAAACATCAAATGCTTGGCATTGACCCTTTCCACTACATACTGAAGTTTCATTAGCCAAAGTTCCATTGCATTTTGCGTATTGACAGAAAGGACCATCGTACTGAGAATTACATTCACACTTGTCAACATTTGTACAAGCACCTTGACCATTACAAGCAAGACTACTATTCGAGAGAGTACCATTACAGAAAAAGAGTTCACATAACGGACCAGCATATCCAGTCGAGCACACACAAGTATTGATGTCATTGCATGATCCATGGCCACTGCATACGGTTGAGGTTTCATTGGCGAGAGTATTGTTGCATTTGGCGAGTTCACACCATGATCCTCCATATCCTTCATTACAAATACATGTGTTCACATCATTACAGGAACCTCGACCGGTACAAACAGTTGATGTTTCATTGGAGAGAGTGCCATTACATTTGGCCAATTCACAAAATTGACCACCATAACCTTCACTACAGATACAGACTTCGACATCATGGCAAGAACCACGTCCACTACAAACACTTGAGGTTTCATTTGCCAAGGTACCGTTGCATTGAGCGAGTTCACAAAATTGACCTCCAAATCCAGTATTACAAATGCAAGTATTCACGTCATTACAGGAACCTCTTCCACTGCAGACTGTCAATGTTTCGTTTGCCAAAGTTCCATTACATTTTGCGAGTTCACAAAATGGACCGCCAAATCCTTCATTACAAACACAAACATCGACATCATTGCAAGATCCACGACCATTGCACACAATTAAAGTCTCGTTGGAAATAGTGCTGTTACATTTTGCAAGTTCACAAAATTGACCTCCAAATCCAGTATTACAAATGCAAGTATCAACATCGTTACATGATCCTCTTCCATTGCAAACCGTTGATGTCTCATTTGCCAGAGTGTTATTGCATTTTGCAAGTTCACAAAACTGACCACCAAATCCAGTGTTGCAAATGCAAGTATCAACATCGTTACAAGATCCTCTTCCGCTGCATACTGTTTCATTGGCTAGAGTTCCATTGCATTTTGCAAGTTCACAAAATGGTCCTCCAAATCCAGTGTTGCAAACACAGACATCAATATCATGACAGGAGCCTCTTCCGCTACAAACAAAGGATGTTTCGTTAGCCAATGTTCCATTGCATGGTGCGAGCTCACAAAATTGACCTCCATATCCAGTCGAACAGTAACAAGTGTTCACATCATTGCAAGAACCACGTCCACTACAAACACTTGAGGTTTCATTTGCCAAGGTACCGTTGCATTGAGCTAGTTCACAAAATTGACCTCCAAATCCAGTATTACAAATGCAACTGTTCACATCATTACAGGAACCTCTTCCTCCACACACTGTCAATGTTTCATTAGCCAATGTTCCATTACACTTTGCGAGTTCACAAAATGGACCTCCAAATCCTTCATTACAAACACAAACATCGACATCATTGCATGATCCATGACCATTGCAAACAATTAAAGTCTCGTTAGAAACAGTGCTGTTACATTTTGCGAGTTCACAAAATTGACCTCCAAATCCAGTATTACAAATGCAAGTATCAACATCGTTACATGATCCTCTTCCATTGCAAACATTAAGTGTATCATTTGCCAAAGTGTTGTTACAGGTGGCTAGCTCACAAAATTCACCTCCATAACCGGTATTGCAAACGCATGTATTCACATCATTACAGGATCCTCTTCCACTGCATACAGTTGATGTTTCATTTGCAAGAGTACCATTACAAATGGCGAGTTCACAAAATTGACCTCCATAACCCCCATGACAGACGCAAACGTCGACGTCGTTGCATGAGCCACGTGCACTACAAACATTGGTCGTTTCGTTAGCCAATGTTCCATTACACTTTGCGAGTTCGCAAAATTGACCACCAAATCCAGTGTTGCAAACACAGACGTCAACATCGTTACATGATCCTCTTCCATTGCAAACACTTGAGGTTTCATTTGCCAGTGTACCATTGCATTGTGCGAGCTCACAAAATTGGCCCCCAAATCCAGTTGAACAGTTACAAGCATTCACATCATTGCAAGATCCTCTTCCGCTACAGACTGTCGAAGTTTCATTTGAAAGAGTACCATTACAAGTGGCGAGTTCACAATTGTCTCCTCCAAAACCTGAATTGCAAACGCATGTGTTCACATCATTACAGGATCCTCTTCCTCCACACACTGTCAATGTTTCATTAGCCAAAGTTCCATTACACTTTGCGAGTTCACAAAATGGACCTCCAAATCCTTCATTACAAACACAAGTATCAACATCATTGCAAGATCCACGACCATTGCAAACAATTAAAGTCTCGTTGGAAATAGTGCTGTTACATTTTGCAAGTTCGCAAAATTGACCACCAAATCCAGTATTACAAACACAAACATCTACATCGTTACAAGATCCTCTTCCATTGCAAACATTCAGTGTCTCATTTGCCAAAGTGTTGTTACAGGTGGATAGCTCACAAAATTCACCTCCATAACCGGTATTGCAAACGCATGTATTCACATCATTACAGGATCCTCTTCCACTGCAAACCGTTGATGTCTCATTTGCCAGAGTGTTATTGCATTTTGCAAGTTCACAAAACTGACCACCAAATCCAGTGTTGCAAACACAAGTATCAACATCGTTACAAGATCCTCTTCCGCTGCATACTGTTTCATTGGCTAGAGTTCCATTGCATTTGGCTAGCTCGCAAAACTGACCACCAAATCCTGAGTTACAAACACAGGTGTCAACATCATTACAAGATCCTCTTCCACTGCAAGCCGTTGTTTCGTTAGCCAATGTTCCATTGCATTGTGCGAGCTCACAAAATTGGCCCCCAAATCCAGTTGAACAGTTACAAGTATTCACATCATTGCAAGAGCCTCTTCCGCTACAGACTGTCGAAGTTTCATTTGAAAGAGTACCATTACAAGTGGCGAGTTCACAATTGTCTCCACCAAAACCTGAATTGCAAACGCATGTGTTCACATCATTACAGGATCCTCTTCCTCCACATACTGTCAATGTTTCATTAGCCAAAGTTCCATTACATGTTGCGAGTTCACAAAATGGACCTCCAAATCCTTCATTACAAACACAAACATCGACATCATTGCAAGATCCACGACCATTGCAAACAATTAAAGTCTCGTTGGAAACAGTGCTGTTACATTTTGCGAGTTCACAAAATTGACCACCAAATCCAACATTACAAATGCAAGTATCAACATCGTTACATGATCCTCTTCCATTGCAAACCATTGATGTCTCGTTTGCCAGAGTGTTATTGCATTTTGCAAGTTCACAAAACTGACCACCAAATCCTGAGTTACAAACACAGGTGTCAACATCATTACAAGATCCTCTTCCGCTACAGACTGTCGATGTCTCATTTGAAAGAGTACCATTACAGGTGGCGAGTTCACAATTGTCTCCTCCAAAACCAGCGTTGCAAACGCATGTGTTCACATCATTACAGGATCCTCTTCCTCCACATACTGTCAATGTTTCGTTTGCCAAAGTTCCATTGCATTTAGCTAGTTCACAAAATTGACCACCATAACCTTCATTACAAACACAGACGTCGACATCATGGCAAGAACCACGACCACTACAAACTGTGGATGTCTCGTTTGCCAACGTACCGTTGCATCGTGCATATTCACAATTGTCACCAGCATAATTTGCATTACATTCACACATGTCAACGTTGGTACAATTGCCACGACTGTTACACACACTTGTGTCATTTGAGAGAGTACCATTACAGTACAATAGCTCACAGAATTGACCTCCATATCCAGAATTGCACTCACAGACATCGACTTCGGTACAATTACCACGAGAACTGCAAACCAATGATGTCTCATTTGATAAAATACCATTACATTTCAAATATTCACAATTAAGGCCACCATGTCCTGAATAACATTCACACTTGTCGACATCTGCACAAGTACCATTTCCATTACAAACATTACTCGTGTCATTGGCTAAAAATCCATAACAAATTGGAATGGAACAGTTCAATCCACCATGGGAGATGTCACATTCACATACACCTGGTGCAGTGCATGAACCATGACCGTTACAGACATTGGTTTCATTCTGAGAGATTCCATAACAAACAGGAAGGCAAAGGGAACTAGCGCTGTTAAATACATAACCACTCTCGCAATAATCCAACGTAATTTTACGAATCAAATTGCTTCCAGTGTCGGCAATGAAAATAGTTTTACCATCGGATGAAATTGCAATACCTTCAGGTGAGCTCAAAGTTGCTCCCAAAGCTGAACCATCTCCAGAAGTTGCAGATCCAGCCACAGTTGAAATGTTTTGAGATGAAGCATCAATGACATGGACTCTAGTAGAGGTTGTGAAAAAAACATCTCCATTAGGAGCTACTGCAATGGCAAGAGGTCCATTGAGATCTACAGTTGTAGCCGTAACATTTTCAACATTTTGTTCATTTGTAGAGCCTTGATGATCAATATATATATATTGATGGATAAAACAACAGAATTAAAAACAAGGATCATTGACAAGTTGAATACATACCACTTCCTGCAAACGTAGAAACTTCAGAGAGGTAAATCTTTCTAATTCTATTATTGTTTTTATCGGTCACATAGACAATGACGTCACTAGATCCATCAGAAATGACAGCAACACCAAAGGGATTGTCGAATTTAGCAGTGGTGGCCGCGCCATTTTCAAATCCTGCAACTGTACCAGCATGGACAGAAGAAGTTAACAACGAAAGGTCAACCTTGCCAATCACATTACTACCACTATCAGCAACAAAGAGAGAATTCGTCGAAGAGTAAAATGACACACCTAGTGGATTTGAGCCCGAGTAAATGGTTTGAAAAATTGAACCATCCGTTGTGTTTTTCACTTGATTTGATTCTGAGACATAGATCATACCCGAATTGTCAATAGAAATTCCACTGGGACTGGTCAGAGAGGAAGAAACGGTCGCAATCGAATACGTGCCAGAGCTCGAATCATAGTCCAGTTGTCGTATTTTACCAGCACCTTTTTCTGTGAAGTAAATGGTGCCATTAGCTGCAATAGCAATTCCTGAGGGAGCGTCCAATGTTACGGAAGTGGCATCGGTGGCGCCCGAAATTCCACCTCCTGCAACGGTAGTAATGGAGTATTTGGGAGAAACTGAACCTGTAGCAAGTACAAAAAGAGAGTCATCGTTGTTGATGGCAATGGTGAGAAATGCTACCATCAACAAGAGCGTCATCATGAAACAAGAACGAACATGGTTTGATGTTTTTCGATTGGGAAAATGTCGTGAATGAAAGGAAGAAAATAAATGAAAGGAATTACTGCCAGCAACCATCATTGTCATCTTCACAGTTATGGTCTGATGTGAAATTGCACAGTGAGAGTGTTGGTTGTGTGAAATGATGAAGTTGTTTTTTTTTTGCAGTTGTCACTTGTCGGAGTGAATCACGTTGCCATAATATGAAAAACAACTCTGTAAAGAGTGCTAGGTGACAACTGGGCGGAAAACCTCATGCACGAATCTTGTTCCTTCTTCCAAAGATTTATATTCCATATCCAGACTTCATCACTGCCACAAGGTTCAGTGAAAACAAATTATAACGGAACGGAACAGCAACATGGTTGTTTGTTTTTCAAGAAGGGTTGTTTTTTGCCTGCAAGAGTTCTTTACTACATGATTCAATTATTGGCAACTATTGAATAATTGAGTTTTTTGTTTCGTGCAACACCAATATCCTAAGTTCATGTGTTGAAACAACAGTCCTGTAGATATGCTACCAAAAAATTTTGATCAAACGCTTTAACGATGGGCATCACTCTCCTTCATTGAATAAAAAAAGAAAACAACAAATCAGAGTTACCTACATACAGCCAACTGGTCGCACGCAACAATTGTTCATTATTACTGAACCACCTTTGGATTGTACAAGAAAAGAAGATCACAGTGTTTTGGCGAGATGGTGTTATTTAAGGAAGATCATCGAGTAAGGTTTAAACATCTCTATAATAATCCGAATTATTCGGATTTTACAGTAGTGCTGATACAGTTGAACAAACGTATTCGGGTATGGAAAGGTATATTATCGGTTCATAGTAATATGTTTCGGGAGCTATTTAATCCCTATGAAGAAGAAATTGCATGCCTTGAGTCAGAGTCTTGCCAAGAGCTACTAACGTCCAACGTGCTCCTACATTCAGAGTTGGATGAACAATTGGATGATGGAACGTCTCGTACTCCCAGTACTAGCCCATCACGAAATATCGTACATGATCTACAGAAAAACGATCTTGAGAGTTTCAACTGCTCTCCAATCCCACAATCAACAACAGCACTTAATCATTCCGTGATTGATGAATGGATTGTCAATAACCCATCGGAAGAGGAAGCCCTAATACAACTATTAGAGTTCTTTTATACAGGAGAGATAACTTATAATATACAACAAGCTCTGAATCTTCTCGTCGTGGCTCAAAAGTATATGGTACAAGGAAACCTTATTGAAAGTATACAGGTAGAGCTCGAGACGAATATCAAGCCATCGAATTGTTTTGTAATTTTCAAGGAGCTTCTTAGTTTAAACGTTCTATTGGATCCATTCTTGGAAAGAGTACTCCATACTTGCGTCTCTGAAATGAGCAAGAATTTAGATTCAATTCTAACCTCAAATAAGAATGAGTTGTTGAATTTTTCACCTTCCACTTTGATTACCTTTTTAAAGGCAGCCACAAAGATCAAGTACGGACTCAGATGTGACGGAAAAAAGCTATTAAGGTTATTATTGATTGGCTTATGGAGGATGTCGACACTAGAAAAACTTTCATGCCAGAAATTAAGTCACTCGAAGCCCAAATTAATTACCAATTCAAATACTAATAGAATTTGCAAAACAATTCTGAAAATTACCCAAGTTTTTAAAAACCATTAATGATAAATTAGAGATGAAGAGATTTATACTAAAATTACAATTAATTCGTTGAATGATCAAATCAATAGAAATTACATCTTAAAAATATTGAACATTAATTTGTTGTGCTGCTTTCACGTTTTGACCAACAAATTGACTTCCAACATAAGCGTTCTCTTCCTTCTCCAAACGCTGTCTTCTCATGGTCTTTCGAGGAGCGCCTGATACGTATTGTAAAATCGTTTCAAATCTCGATCCACTTCCATCACTGCAGCAATATTTCCACAACGATTGCAATAATTTGGAGCTGACCAAATAGTAGAGAGTTTGTCATCCCAAATCACTTGATATCCATCCATACATAATTGATGCGAACGAACAATATGATCAATCTTGTTATAACTCATAAATTCATTGGTAATTTTCTGTGAAAAGTTGAATCCTGCTCCTCTGGTGTTAATTCCAAAATCGAGTGAACTCGATGAAATTCCAAAATCTTCGTCATCATTCATGGGATCTGACCACAAGAGGTCAGTAATTGGTCCCTCTTCTGGAATATCCTTGAATCTTTCCAAGACACGAATTTGATCGAGAGTAGCGATGGAAGGTGATAAACCTCCATGAACACAAAAGAGTGAATCATCGACCAAAGCACACACAGTTAAATAATCCATCATGTCTGTGAAATATTTCCAAACATTGACATTTCCATATTTCATGGTACATTCTTCGTAGAAGCCATATATTTGAGTGATGGGTCTTGATTCGTGATTTCCTGAATATATGATTGTTGTTATGATGATTGTTATCATAGATGGAAATGATGATGAATAATTCCGACGAGAGAATAGTGAATGATTCATAAACACCCATGGTTCCGTTCACAAAATTCACAAGTATATGATCAAATTGATATATTCGATTTATATATTCCATGTTGATGATGATAAATATTTCATATCACACATTCAAAGAAAAAATAATTTTCGAAATGCCAAATGTCATCATCACTTACCTCTCAACAATGTAATTCTCTCCGGATATCTCAATTTATAACAAGTCAATAATGAAATAGTCTCTACGCTTGATTTCCTCGATTCACATAATCTCCCAAAAACAAATAATTCGTATCGGGAATTTTACCAGCCACTCTAAACAATTCTTTGAGATCAGGAAATTGACCATGAATATTACCAACAATGGTTACTGGAGATTTGACACGTTGAACGTTGGCTTCATCGATGAGAATTTCTTTCACTTTTTCACAGACAAATTTAATTTCAAATTCGGTGAGAAGACGACCTGCTTCGAGTTTTTCAATGCAACGATTCACGTCAACGACTGATGACATTTTTTTGTGTGATTTAAAAACCCAAATACTGGACAACAAATGTCAAAGAATTTTACAATCAAGAACAAAGAGTTGAAAATACATTCAATTGATTTTCGAATTAATTATTAATATATTCAATAAGAAACTCATCTACAAAAACCTTACAATTCTCCACCAATCAATCAACAAATAGCCATTTCCATCCAGACATTTTAAATGCCAAAAGTCAAAAAAAAAATCTGCTTTGACTATAAACACGCGTGCACTCGCCAAGACAACTTGAAGCGTTGTTGAGCCTTGCAAAAGTTGTCATTTTGTGTTTTCAAACACACACTGAATTTCATTAACAACATTTGTCTCATACAAGGACTTACATGTCCTCTCCAGCATTAGAATCATCCAATCATCCTTCTCAAGCTACCTCTGGTAATTCAAATTCTTTGACTACAAATTCTCCTCTTGTCTCTCCTCGTGGTGGCGGAATTGGTCCAAAACTTGCTGCTCGTTTAACTCTCTATCAATCTTCAATTTCTAATTCTTCTTTATCTCCTACAACTGGTTTATCAACACCTGGAACCACTTCTTCGTCCTCTCCGCAACCATCACCTCGTACACTTGAATTAATTAGTGTCTTTGAGAAGAACAATAATAATTCTCAATTAAATAATACAAAGAAGAGTAGTACAGAATTAAAAACAACATCCATCGCACAAGCACCATCATCCGTGGTAGTACTACCCTCTGTATTGACGACCAGCAGTCATAGTGTGAAAAAAGTTAATTCCACATTATCCACTTCAACTTCACCTCGAAGAAAAGAAACGAGTGACAATAGTGACAACAAGTCTTCAACCACAAGAAAACTCTCGAAAAGTACTCCAACTCCAACCAGTACCAATTCACCAGTATTGAGTCAAGCTCAAGCTTCTTCTACTGCTCGTAGCACAACCAATTCGGAAAAGAAATTACCAACAAACAAGGAATGAGTGCAAATTCTGACTCGACCATTTCTGCCACTGGTCAGCAACCACAAGACAAGAAATTGAATTCTGGAATTGCTGCCAAAATGGCATTGTTTAATAGTCCACCACCACCCACGTCAACAACTTCTGGAACCTCTCCGAGAGGAATGATTTCACCAAGAGGTGAATCATCCAATGTGTTGAAGGAAAGAAAGAATGTTTTTGAGAATTCTCAACAACAAACAACACCAACAAGTACTACTACCAGTAGCAGCAATGCTGACACCAATGTTGTCCCTACTGGTAGTGTTGGTTCAATTAAGGATCGATTTTCACAATTTGAAAAGAAGAATACAGAGGATAAGACGACAACAGTTTCACCAAATACAAACACATCATCGAGTGGTCCAAAGTGGAAACCAAAGACTGAAAATGCAAATTCTGCATCTACAACAACACCTCCTCCTTCTTCAACAACCAGTACACCCACCACGGTTGTGACAAACACCTCTCCAAAAGTAGCTGTCACTGCAGCAACTCCAACTGAAAAACCTACGAATGGCAGTGACAAACTTTCGTCATCATCCACTCCACCAGTCAGCACTACTACGGAGACAAAAACTTCTCCTTCTGCCAGCAGCAATAACCAATCGTCACCAAAAGAAGAAAAACAACCTGAAAAGGCAGAAAATAAGGAAACACCAAAGAGTGTCAATAATACTCCACCAAGCAGTTCTACAAGCTCGCCAATCTCAACACCCGGTACAACTTCACCTCCTTCAACAAATACAGTTTCAACAGCAGCAACTTCAACATCTACTTCAGGTGGTGTGAAATCCAAGTTTGCCATGTTCGAGAAGAAGGAACCAACATTGACCAATGAACCTCCAAAACCATCCTCCACTGAAAACGTGAGACGTGGCAGCGTTTTGTCAAGATATTCTGAAGTGATTAATAAGAATGAAAACAAGAATGAAAATAAGAATGAACATAAGACTGAAAATAAGACTGAAATTAGTACCGCTGCTTCTTCTACTGTCACAACTACGACCACTCCAACGATTACTACTGCCACAACTGTTGCAACACCTTCAACCAAAGCAACAAGTCCAAGTAGTACAACAACAACTGTCAATAGCTCAGATTCCAACAAATCGGTAGCAAGTGAAACCAGTGGTGTGAATGTGAAATCAAAATTTGCCATGTTCGAAAAGAAGGACACGCCTTCATCCACAAATGAATCTCCAAAACCATCTTCCGTCGTGGCCACCTCTGAAACCACAACACCAAGTAAGGCGAATGCAGAAATTAAGCCATCAACAATACACCATCCGCTACAACAACAACCACAGAGACTGCAAAGGTGCCAACACCAACAACGACCTCCTCTGGTTCTACCTCTCCTTCGAAAGGTACTGACACAACACCAGTTTCAACAAGTTCAGATCAGAACAGCAGCAAGACTGAAACAGAGGCTACTACCTCAACGAATGCAACTGTGAACACCACTTCTCCTACTACAACAAGTTCTGGCAGTAGTACTACTTCAACAAGTTCAGGTAGTGTGAAATCCAAATCCAACATGTTTGAAAAGAAGGAGCAAAGTAGTACTTTGACTGAAACATCAAAACCTTCTGCCACTACCACTTCTCCCACAGCAACAACTTCTGTGAACTCAGCCACTACTTCAGGTGGTGTGAAATCCAAGTTTGCCATGTTTGAGAAGAAGCCTGAAGAATCCTCAACAGCAACCACATCTTCACCTATTGAAAAGAAGAATGTCGTCGAGTCAATTCAGCATCTGAAAAAGCCAATGACACGAACAAGACGAGTACTGAACCAAAGGTTGAGAATAAGGTAGAAAACAAAGTGAGCGAAACAAACAAGGTTGAAAAGTCATCCACTCCTGTCGAATCCAGCAATAAGGCCTCTCCCACAACACCATCCACCAACACTTCCACACCCACTGTTTCCACAACTTCGGGTAGTGTGAAATCTAAATTTGCCATGTTTGAAAAGAAGGACACGGGTAGCACTCCAGAAACCAAATCAAGTGAAGTTTCAAGCAGCAACAATAGTACCACCACACCAGGAAGTGTGAAATCCAAATTTGCCATGTTCGAAAAGAAGGCGACCGAAGAACCTTCCACCTCCTCGACCACCACACCTGAAAAGAGCAATACCACCACTGGTGAATCCACATCGAATAAGGTCAGTTTTGCCTTACCTCAAAAATCAGAAAATGCTACAGCACCTCAAAAACAACCCAGCGTCCAAGAAAAGCTTTCCAAATTTAATAGTAATAATAACAGTAGTGGCAATATAGTAGCAACAACTCGACACCTGTATCAACGACCACTCCTTCCACACCAGAAAGTGGTGGTTCTAAGGGTCTTTCAGTTTCAGAAAAGTTGGCCAAGCTGAAACAAAACTCGGCTGGATCTCCTCCTCCGTTCGGAATGATGATGATGGGAATGCCAAAGAAGGATTCATCATCTTCCAGTAGTGGCAGTAGCAGCAGTAGCAGTAGTAGTGGAAGTAATCTTGTAGAACCTTCTCATAAAGCCTCATCTCCACCCATGTTTGGATTGATCATGGGGTCAGGTCCAACTCCAAAGAGAGAACACGTTCCAGATGCAACCGAACATGAACGACAACATCATGGTATGCTCTCTTCCGATGCAATCATTACAAGAGCAAAGGCTCCAGCCTCCAATAAGAGAAAGACTGTTTCCAAGAAGAGTATTGATCATGCAGAGAACACCCGAAGAACGATTGCAGCCATTTATTTGGATGGAGACGAAGAGGAGGAGCATGAGGTTGATCGTGTAGCAGCCTATGCCGAATATTAATATAGATGATGAAACCAACAATCAGTTAAAGAGAGAATCCATTCGTACATTTTCAGATAATTTCATACTACTGACTATTGATCGAATCTTGATCAAGCTAGTCTTGATTCTTGTACAACACTCTCAATGAATGGAACCATCAATTTTCATAATGAACATGATCATTTGTTGCTATTATTTAATTACAATTAGTAAGGAAAGCATTAGATTTACAAATATTGATTTTTCAATGAAAAGGCTAAACTATTGGACCAATGTTGCCAAAGATCTCTGAATGTTTTGGATGGAAATTACTCTTCAGTCTCCTCATAATCTTCACCTTCTTCCCATTCTCCTTCATCATATTCTCCTTCTTCGTAACCTTCACCTTCCTCTCCTCCTTCTTCCTCTTCTTCAGTCCTACTCGCAACCACCACTGTCGAAGCTCCATGAAGGTGTTCCAACACGCTAGCATCATGTTCAATCAATTCCTTATTCAAGACACCATCTTCAGTGTTCACGTAAACCATCGTTTCATCGCCTGGTTTGCCGTAATTGAATTTACCTCCTCCTTGTTTTTTCTGATTGGGCACAAATCGGTGAGGTCTTCTTCGATCGTGTTCATTTGAAACTGTACGGTGCTTTTTGTGTTGTTTTCCAAGATCTTTTGGTTTGGGAAGTGTTGCATTAATTTCGTCCATTTTGTGTGTTGAGAGATTGTGTGTAAACAACTGTTGAGAATGATTGATTCTATTGATTCACAGTGCTTTTTTTAGTTTGAAAATTGCGTACGAACGAAGGTTGCTCTTCTCCTTTTAATGCACGTGCATGATCATTGTGCTTGGTTGACAAGCCGCAGAAGGTTATTAAATTCGTGTTTTTTCCTTTTTAAAAATATTTCAAAATTGGCAATTTTGTTGGATGAAGCTACTTTTGTACTCGAAGAGTTGAGGATTGTTTAAAGCAAATTTCAAACTTTCCTTGAACAGGTGTTTGTTGGTAATTGATTAGTATGAAACAAATGCTCTCACAAAATAGCTCAAGTCAACTTAATAAGACTGCAGTCCCTATGCTCAAACATATTTGAAGACTTTTATTCGATGATTACATGTGTCTACAACAAATAATTTAGAATGACTAAAGCTTAACGCCATTCCTGTTGGATACTGAAAGAATTAAGGTCTTTTCCATAGGACCCAATTTCCAAATGACCATTGCTTGACAGGACATGGACTTGATGGAAGTCCCAATCCGTAATAATGAAAGAGCCATCCGATTTATCGACAAGAACGGATTCTGGAGAGATGAGATTGTTGGATTGATGGTGATGACATTGGTAAGAATTAAGACAATTTCCATTTCTTGTAAAGACTTGAACTATGAATCAAGCAGACGTAGAAGGTTGATTCAAGCGTTGCTGTATATACTTACTTCGATTGTTTCCATTGTCACACACTACTAAATTATTCAAATGATCCAAGTCTATTCCTCTTGGATATAATAATTGTCCAAAATTGCTTCCTTCAGAAGAAATCGTATGCTCCACTTGACCGTTTTGAGACAATACTACGATTCTATGAGAAAAACAATCACAGACATAAATTTTTCCTTCATAGTCGACACAAATTCCCGTAGGTGCTTGAAACGGTGTGGACAATTTCCATATTTGTTTTCCGTCAAGATATGAGTATTTGTAAACATATTCTCTAGATGTAACGAGCAATGTGTTATTGGTATGAATGGCAATATAATTTGGTTTGTCACAAATGTTAATCACTTGCTTTAGAGTTAAACTGTGCAAGTGGAACGTTTGAATTCGCTTATTGTCGTGATCTTGATGAAAAAAGAGGTACAATTGAACATTGCGTCATGCAACACAGCTTACCTGAAATAAATAAGAGTTGGGAGAAGTGGTCAATAGCTATATCGAATGGGCTATTAAACTCTCCAGGTTTGTTTCCTTGACTTCCAATGGTATTTATCAGTTCAAACTGTTTCAGCTGCTTGGTTGCATCCTTCGAAGCTTGCACAGAGAACAAGCATGAAGATGAGGTATCATGAAACGAGCCGGCTCCGAAAAGGAGAGAATCAGTTTCCAATACATCGCTATTCAAATTATGTTTCAATCTTTTTGAATTTTCAAGAATCAACATGGGGTTATTATTTACAATGTTTGTTGTTGGGTGATGAAAAGCGTTGTTATACCCGCCATCTACTTCGGAATGCTCAACAAACGTTCGCTTCATTTTCTTCGGGTACAACACTGCTGTTATTGTAATTGTAAATTTGTATTGTTGTTTTGTTACGTATGATAATTTTTGATCATATTTTCAATAAACGGTGTCCAACACGCTTTCATCAAAAAGTTGATGAATAAATTTTTTACTTGAACGTTGTTGTTCTGGTTTTACAGGAAATTGAGTTTTTAATTTTTCAAATTGAATTGAACGAGAGAGTCTTTCCCCGACTTTTGTCCATGGAAGCAAGCAATCGCTAGCTGCAACGGTGATGACTCGTCGTTATCTTTCAACACAAAAAATAGTAAACCACTGCAGGTCAACAACAACGATGGCTGTTCCAACACCCTCTCTTCGGAATATGAAAAGTAAATTATTTACAATACGATCGTTTTATATTTTGGTTTTGGCTATATCGGTGGTATCCGTGGTCGTTTTTATTAGTTCATATAGGGGAGACTCATCAGCAAACAACATTAACCAGGAAGAAGGGTTACTTCATGGACATGGTGATAAACAACCACATGAAAATGTATTAACACATTCGGGTGGATCCAAGAGTTCTTTTGCTTTGCCATCGGATTTAAAGAAAGGATTTCCTTCTTCGGAGCAATCTGAACAGAAAGTAGTTGAAGAACAAAAGAAACCAGAAATTAAGGAATTAACGATTTGGTCTACAAGCTTTCGTATGTTTGATTTCATGATTTCATTATTTATTGAAATGATAATAATGACAATTAATTGAAATTTGGACAATTGGCTCAAAAATCATTGAACGTTGGACAACTACAAATGTGAACTGTTGATTGATAACTTTACTCACAACGTTCAATTTACATATCGCATTTGTTAAATAGATATTTCTCCAATTTTTTGTTTGAGACATTTCATGAAAAACGTTTTTGAAAAGAGGACAGGAATTAAGGTAAACATTATTGAAAAATCACTCAGTGGACATTGCCACTTAACGGGACATTGTGCTCGAGATTTGAGAGTTTTAAACCATGATACTGCCAAAGGTGAATATGGATGTACTGTTCCAACAGCTAAAGCTTTGTACGAAACTTACAAGTCAGATCCAGTTTTCAAAAACGTAGACCTCGTCATGTGCGATCACAACATTGCCATGTGTGAATTGTACATGCCGTTTGATGTTCCAATGGTTCTCTACTCTACGACAAGGTATGTTTTGTTCAATTTCTAGGCCATTATTCACACTTTTTCTCAATCATTGCCACAATTAAACTAGATATGAACTCTGGAGACATGATCCCAATAGATGGAGAAATTTGAATGAAAATATCAAGTTGATTGCAAGTAAGAAACAACACACAGTTGTTGCAAACAATTTGTATGATGCAAAATATTTGAACTACTTTACTGGAATGTATGTTCCAGTACTGGACAGTTTTTGTGGTTATTCAGCAGATGAGGGAACATACAATCCAACAAGGTCTGAAATTTTGATAGGCCCATCAAGACTCTCGGTGAACCTTAATACTCTTGTATTGAATGACTTTTACGGATATGCTAAAAAAGATCAGTCCTCTCTCAAGTTGTCAACTATTCGTGAACTCTATCCTCATTATAAGTACTCTGATTTGGCTCATCATCCAGCCATTGTAGTCATTCCTTATCAATTATCCGTGATGAGCTTTTTCGAGTATTACAGGTTAGCCATTCCAATCTATTATCCAAGTGTTGACTTATTGACACAATGGCACATGCAACATCGAATATTATCTGAGAAAACATGGCACATGGTTCTTCAAAGAAGACCTGGACGAGGATCTCCCGTTGAACATCATCCAAAATCAAACATTCCAAAAGAAATGGATCCAAACAACGAAGAAAATGCTGACAGTGTCAAATATTGGAACGAATTTAGCGATCTCTATCAATGGCCTCATGTCATTTACTTTTCTTCCATTGAAGATTTATATCAAAAACTTTCTAAAGCCACTCCAGATTACTATAAAGAAGTTAGTAAGAAAATGCAAGAATATAATCAGCAATTACAGGATCATCTCGTCAAACAATGGACTGGAATTGTGGAACGAGTGGCAGATCACAAACAACAAGGAAGAAAAACGTTTTCTAGCTTTGAAGAGGCAATGAAAACATTGTGGAATAAGGAATCTAAGTGTGATATTTAAGAAACTTTCACAACCTAAAACACAAACGATGAAACACTTTGTATTATTATAAACATTGCCAAAAAGCACTTAAGCGCGACCTTTTCCTAACTAAAAAAAGCGAAAAAAATGCTACAGCGTAATGTTCCTTCAATATCGTCGAACTTGCCTGATTCAAATATGATGAGCGATGAGACTCAAGCAGGATTCCCTTCATCATCATATTCCTCTCTGATTCAAACAGGAGATATGATCACTATTCAAGTGCCGGTACAAGGTGGACTTTCAAAGCCCTCTCACGCCGTTGGTACGCCATCATCCTCCGAAACGGGTAGTTGTGAAGTGATCAGCAAGAAATCATCAAGTAGAAGCAGCACCGTTGCTCATGCTTCGTACTATCACTTGCTATATGATTGCCCTGAACCTATTTGCCCACCCGATTTTGTGATTAATATCAAATTAATTGATATGAATATGGCCAAGGTACAAATCAAGGTGCACAAAGTGTTCTTGGCCGTTGAATCGACCTACTTCCGTGTTTTAGTCAATTCTGACTTTTCCGAAAATCAAACTTCAGAAGTAGAGTTTGAGCTTACATCCATAGAACGGGATGTGTTTGAACAAATTATTTTGAAATACATTTATGGAGAGAGAACTTTAATCATCGACAAAGGGTTGCCATATGCTTGTACATTATGTCTTGCTCACTACTTACAAATTAATGCCTTGGAGTGTCAGTTGTTGCAACAAATGACAAAAACAGCCAAGTACACTCGGCAACATTTAATTTATTACTCTCAACTGCGGGACCACACCATGCTAGCAATCAATTCTAATTTTCTCTCTCAATCATTGATTGCATTCGGAAAAGACATTTCAAAAAAGAAGGATGAGGTTATCAATTTACCAGTAGAATTTTTCATTTGGTTAATTTCATTGGATAATCTTAATGTCAGCAATGAAGATGAAGTCTATGATTTGGTGAATGAATACATTGAAAAGAATGAGCATAAATTAAGCACCAGTAATCTTTCACACATTGCAAACTCTAGCGATACAGGAGGAGCAGGCGATTCTAAAAACTCTATCGAAAGCGTTTGGGTGAATGTGAGAGTTCCATTCTTGTCGGACCAAAAAGTTTTGGATTTCATGGACAACAGAAGGATTTCCACTGAGCTGAAAATATCCTTGCTCCGTAAAAGACAAGTCTATGCTATTTACCGAGAGAAGTTTAAAAAGAAAGCAATGGCTTCGAAGCAACATCAACAACAACAACCATTACCACAAACACAAGATGGTTCTCAAGTGAATGCAAGTATGTCTGTTGAAACTAACAATGGAGGCGATACAAAACACAAAGATGATATCACTCCTTCTGCGTCAGTGACTGCAGTATCGCTAGCAGAGGATTTGATGATTGATTTAGATGACCCTCAATTTATCAAGAGAGGAAATATTGTCGAATATCTCATCACAGGAAGTAAGGGAGTCATTCAAATATGGGACATTAATAACAATGAGTGCCTCTCCACTTTCCCAACAGATTCATTCGTGAGATGTCTCGCACTATATGAACGTAATTATTTGTTGAGCGGTGGTCATGATAAGAAGATCAAAAAGTGGAATTTGAGAACAAACGAATGTGAACTTGTCTTGAAAGGTCATACCGACTATGTTCTTTCCTTTGCACTTGTAGATGACAGTTTGTATAGCGCAGGTGGAGTTGGTGATTCTACTGTAAGTTTTGTTCTTCACACATATGTTAGAATTCTAACCATACATATGATTGAACTCCTTACGTTGTCTTTTAATCATGTAGGTTAAAAAGTGGAATTTGAGAACCAACCAACTTGAAGCATCTCTAGAAGGCCATCAAAAGGCAGTTCTTTCCCTCATTGCTTATAGTGATTTGTATGTGTTCAGCGGAGGAGAAGATTCTACTATTCGCAAATGGAACGTGAGAACAAACAAGTGTGAATTGGTAATCACTGCCACAGCACAAAACGATGACAAATTGTGGTGTTTGGCAATTTATGGAAATGCCTTATTTGCAGGAGGCTCCAAGGGCAAAATTTATCAATTTAATGTCAATGATGGAAGATTGGAGAAAGAATGGGCTGCACACGAGAATATTGTATGGTGTCTTCTCGTTCATGATGATTACTTGTACAGTGGATCAAAGATAAGGTCATCCGAAGATGGAATTTACTACAGACTCCTGAGGCAGTCATGTCAGCTGAATCTCAAGTTGCAGCCTCCACCAATACTCCTTATGTATGCGATGCTGTGTTGAAGGAGCACACAGACAGCGTCAGAAGTTTGAATGTTTACAATAATTATTTGTACAGTGGAGGAGGTGATGAGAAGATCGTAAGATGGAACTTGCTTTCTTTAACTAAGGAATCTGTCATGACGGCTGAGGAATATATTTGCTCTGCATTATTGGCCTAATCTAAAATCAATACAACAAGTATTTACCAAATGGAGCTATACGATTGCCTAGGGTTATTGTGCTTTTGATTTGTCAAGCATTTCCTTAATATTTTCAATCACTGAATGATAATTGAAGGTCAACATATTGACAATTAATCGATATTCCTTACCTGCTTCAGGATTGTCTATAGCAATATTATGTGATGCATTCCAAATAATTTTCCACTCTGATTGAGTTGACAACTTCAAAACGTCTTGCTCCAACTCTTCGATCACATGTGCAGTACTTTTCATGTATTTCAAATGATCCTTACATTCTTGCGAATCATCTGGAAAGTGGTTCTGAGCACATGTGCCATTAATACTTGCACCAGCAGTTAAAATCATGAGTGGCAAATTTCCAAAGCTTTTCTTATGTGCAAGAACTTGCTGTGCTGAAGTTGTCGAAAAGTGAGCACTTTCCGAATAAATCACATTCGAGTACTTGTTAGAAAGCGCTGAAAAACGAAGAATTTTCCAGTCATTAGAACTCAGATTTCCCTTACTGAAAGGATTCAGTACTTGATCAGGTATAATGGCAGCTGTCAATCGGAGCGATCCCAATGGTGCCATTATCCTACCGGTGTTTAAATACAAATTTTCTTTTGCTAAATCATTGGCGATGGCCTGAGGATCAATACTCTTGTCTTGTGCCAATCGAAACGCAATGGTTTGATTCTCATGGGATGGATCAATTAGTAACAGTCCAGCAACTTTTTCAGGGAAAATTGAGGCATAGAGACGAACATTCATTCCTCCAAAAGAGTGACCAATTAAAAGAAGTTTCTCGCTAATGTTGTGTGCTGTTAAGAGACTATCCAATTCGTTCACTATTTGTTGTGATGTTCTAGGAGAGTATCCAGAATCACTAAATGAATAACCTGCTCTATCATACACGCAAATTTTAGTGTACTGTGAAATGGCGTTTTGAATATCAGACCAGTAAACTGAAGATGAAGAAATTCCAAGACCAGAATCCTATCACAAAATTCATCCATAACATGACATTAAACGTTGTAAAGTCGAATTTGAAATGCTTACCACTACTATGGTTGGATAATTGTTGATAGGAGTGCCTTTGCAATCAATGTGAATTCTATAAGAACTTCCATCTTTAGAATTGGTAATTGTGACAAGCTTTCCCACTGGCATCACCTCATCTATAGCATATCCAACAGATTGATAAAGGAATGCTAAAGAAAGTCCAAATGGAAGTAACAGCAAAGCATAAAAAATTATTTTGCATATCATGTTTCCTACACAATATTTTGTTACTTTCAAGTGTTCCTTATATTTGTAGACAGATGATTGTGAGCGTCGTCTCATGAGTCCCAGGTTTGTATGATCTTTCAACTCCTCATCGTAATACCCAGAATCTGCTCTATACTTTAAAAATCCGTCATCTTCATCTTCTTCTCGTGAAGATCGAGGTCTTAATAATTTATCATAATGAAATGTTTCGGAGGTACCTCTCAACTTGACCCATTTGTATTTGAAAATATTCATTACAAGACTCAAAAATCCAAGTGCAATTAATCCTAAAGAGCAAATACCTGCCACATATTCAACCTCTGCAACGCATGCATATGTTATAAATGCTATAAATCCAATCACAATCATCAATGAGGATAAAAGACATCTCAAAATTAAAAAACACTAAAACTCGACAATTAAGCAATCACTGTGTTCCAACGTCAACCTACTGTGAGTGATGGAAATTGCTTTTGCTTGTTTCTACGATCCAAACATAGCTTTAGCAAAACATCAGAAAATGCATCTAATAACACCAATACACAATAAATAAAGCAAACGACTAAAATCCAAACAGACGAGTAGGAGCTATTATGTTCAAAGATTTTCAATAATACATGTCGGATCACGTTCCATCCTCTTTTCATCAATATATTATTTCGTACTCACTTTGTAATTGTATAAAATCCTTCTAAATCCGATTGAACAGAAAACAAAATCGCAACCCCGAGTGAAGGTAATCCAATCAGCAACAAGACGAGCGCTGATGATAAAAAGAACGCGAGCCTATGAATTTTATGGAGACGCATTTTTTGATTTTTTTTCTCGTTCTTGTGATTCGAATTCGAAGCAATGTTTATAAGGAGGAATGAATGAAGAATACATTGGATCTAGATCCGTTTTCATTTCTATTGAACAATGTGCTACACGGAATGGAATCAATGTGGAAGGTAAAAGGAATGATTGTTTTTCAAAAGTCATGGGAGAATATATTGGTGTGAACTTTTTTACAAATAACATATGTGGAAGTGAGGAAATTAGTGATGTTCATGAAGGTGATTCAAGAAATTCTGAGTGGAACAATCATCTTTGCCTCTTGACACACAAATTGGACAATCAAGAGTGGTTGAGTCAGAATCATGACACGCTTCACAGTGTTGTACAAGCTCAGATTCGGTCAATTGAGGGAAGAAGCAAATTGGGCAATCCCAATTCCAAACTGTTGCTCATACGAATTGTGACCACAAACTAGTTGGTGTTCGTCATAAAAGGTTTTTGCAATATAAAGACCGCATGTGGGCAATAAATTGTTTGATTTCCACATGTGGTTTCATGTTCATGTAAGTCACAGAATGCAAGAGCTAAATCACAATACTTGCAAATGACAATTCTGAATTGGCATTCACTGGTGAGGTGTTCTTCGAGTGCCGATTTGTCCATCGTTTGATGGCATTCGGTACATTCGCATTCTTGATGGAACTGTGCTTCGTGACTTTCTCTTTCATTCAGTTTCACAACCTGATTACATTTGGCGCAATTATAAACATTTCTTTTACAGTGAGGTAAATGCATGACATAGGTTCTCTTAGATACGGCTCTTTTACAATTTTCACATTCAACCATGTCAACATTATCAATTATTACAGGAGGTTGTGCCGTTGCAGTAGACGATGATTCAACTTGGGGTTTTGTGGTAGAATCATTTTTTTCAGCTTGTTTTTCATCTTCTTCTGAGAAATCTAATGCTGGAGCAAAATCAACCTTAATACTAATATTATTGTCAATACTCGTGACATCAATATTCTGAGAATATACTTACTCAAGATAGGGATCACTGATTACACAAATTGAATAATCGGGCTCGCATTCAAGTACCTCGATAAAGTGTGTTTTTCTTCCGTACACAACTGGAATGGACATTCCTTCGTTGAGTGTACTGAAATTTCGCAATGCGTTTTCAAGCAATGCCTTATGATTCTGCATTTTGTAAAAATCCTTTGAGTGAGGCTGTAGTTTGATATAGGTACCCTTATTCAGGCTCACGCATCTAATGTTCAACTTCACTCCTTCCTTAATAAATAAACATTTCATGATCCAATCTGGCAATATCATGCATGAATCTGGGATGTGAATTGTTGGCAACCGACATATTGTTTCACTCCTTTCCATTATCAATTTCAAACATGAGAGGAAATTTTAAATCTGAGAATTAAATATTGTGTCAGCAGCTGAAGCTGGAAGCAATATACGATTTCCAAATTCAAATGTCGATGGAACCGTAAGATCATTAGAGTACAATTCTTTGGCGTAGGTGGCGCTGTAGCAGATTAAATCATCCCTGAAAGAGTTCATAGTGGGATATTTCAACAGTGTCTGTGCCTCAGAGCGTTTAAGTCGTGTATATGCTCTGGATGCTGTCATGGCATCATAGTTGGCATATGTTCTCATATCCACACGAGCACCGTTGTCAATGAGCGACTGTCTAATCGATAATATTACAGACTCCATGGTAATGGATTTTTTACCTGACCATGTATTGTTGTTGAGAGAATCAATGCAAAAGGTACCTCCAAAACTCACTTGTCCTGTGAATATTTCAAAGCGAGGTCTAATCACTCGAATAAATGGTGCCTCTGATGGGAATGTTGCCGGGAATTTGACCTACAAACATTTACATGTCATGTCGTTTGAAAATTCGCGTTTCTTAACTTACCTCCAACACAACATCGGTATTGTTGGTGTCAAACTTCTTGGCATGTTCGTTAAGATCTTTGGCTAACAGTGAATCTTCAGGGAATCCAAACAATCTCACTTCCCAAACAAATGGATTGTCACCAATAGGTCGGACTGAAAACCCCTCTTTCTTTGTATTTTCCTCATTCTTGATAATTTTGTAGAGCTCTTTCATAATATATTTTCTAGAATCCATGCTTAATGGCAATGACCCATTGTTGTCATCACCCCATACCATCTTGTAAAATTTAAGAGCTTGCTGGTCATCCAATTTTGAAACTGGAGTTGGAGTAGCTTCTTTGGGCTCGTCATCAACTTCACTTTCATGGGAGGTAATTTGTAAATTGGAAACAAAAGGATGTTTCTTATCTTGAGAGTGCGCTGTTGTACATTATTCATGTAGCATTCAATTGCCTTATTCAACAACACGGAAAATGAGTTATGTGAAATGTCATAACTTAGATGTGAATTCACATCCATGACAAATTTCTTGTAGGATTTTTGAGCATTGCTCGTCAACTTTTGCCACAATTTCTCATTCGCTTGTAATCAATTTTCACTCTAAGACGCTGATTGGTTTTCTCTCCATACTTTGAAGGGTATGTGACGTCAAAGAAGAAGGTCTCATTATCAATTGAGAAATGAACCAACTTTTCCTTTTCGTCAATTCCATAATATTTGATATCTGGCTCTTCCATCGATGTCTGTTTCTTCTTACTCGTGTAAGCAGAAGATTGTTTTGAGACTTGAAGATTCTTTCCTTGCAAGGCCATACTGAAAATGTCTTGAACAGATTTCAATTTAGGAGTAAAGATGGGTGATAAGGGACAATTTGAATCATTCTTACATGACGAGAGCCAAAGTCTTACTTCCCGATCAATAATATCTTCCGTTGTTTTAATTTCTCTCTTGATGGTCGTTGTGATTGTTTGATGCAAGGCTTCACCTGCTCCGAGCAATGAACACACCGATGAAACAGTAGCAGTGGAAGAGCCAGACTCGGAGGAGGATGAACCTGATGCATCGGTCGATGCTCCAATTGAATGGCCCCGATTACTCTTCTTCAATTCTTCCTCTAATGTTTTCACGAGAATTTGTTCAATTTCTTGGAGATCTCGCTGGACCTCTGAGGATGAATTGTTGTTCTCGTGATGATGATCGCCTTGAGAGAGTCCCGATTGAAACCAATTACTAGGCCAAAAACGACTCTTTCCAAAATTGTGGATGATGGAAGAAGCAGTGTTGCTCGGAATTGGTGAACTCGTTGTGGAAGGATGATGATGTGATGAATCTTTGTTCGGTGTTTGAGACATTTTTTGTAAATGAGTTTGCAGCGTGAACTTTGGTGACATCGAGCATCAAGACCCTTCGAGAACAAGTCCTCGATAAGAGTTGTGCTCAAGACTGAATCTGCACCAGTGGAGAATGCTCCAAGGTTCCTAAAGCAAGGCATAGTTCATTATTGAAAACTCGAGTTCTTGCCCGCGTCACTTGTCAAATTATTTTCAAACAAAAAATTGCCATCACTCATCACTGCTCGATTTCTTCTTCCGATCAAACCAACAACATGGCTCTCACTTCCAACTCTACTGTCAAACGAGATTTAACCGAAGAATTGCGAGATGAATTCTACTCGAGTACATATCGTAAAGTTTTTGTTCCAACAAAAATTCCTCTCTATCATCGTAAAAGAGTTTGCAACATTTTATTCTCGATCCAAGAAGGATCCGGATTCAAAAAGAAAACTTCACGATTTGATGTTTCATTTAACGGAGGAATGAATCAGACCTATCCTGTCACTGAAAATAAACAAATGTCAAGTCGAAATTTAGAAGAAGTTCAATGGATTCCAAAATTTGGACAACAATTAATTAGATTTCAAAATATATTAAATTTGGAACATGGAGCTCAAGTGAAAATTCTATTTTTCACTCCGAATGAACAAACAAATAGTGGAGAAGTGCAATTAGGAAGAGTCTTGATTGATTTATTTGATAAAAATGTATTTAATGAAGTGACGACAAAAACAAATGGTGACACCATGGAAACACGTGCTTCGTATGATGTGTTGGATTATGAAAATAAGGTCGTTGGAAGAGTGAGTGTTTACATTCAAGCAGAAAATTTAATTCAAAAGAAGTAAATGAGAATATTTTGTAAAATATTAGTAAAGATTGTTTCCGAATCCACTACAAATCAATGAGTATCAGCATGTGTTTGATTAATTAGGTATTTATTCGGAAAATCAGAAAAAAATGTCGACAGAACAGGAAAGAAAGCTTGTCGTGTTTTTATTTAAACAAATCATGAAAATATGCAGAACATACGATCAGTATCCTCTCTTGAAGACTTCCTTGATTAATCCATCTTATACAAAATCAGAATCCATCATGACAAGGTAAGAATTATTTTCAAGGATTGAATAATTATTGATGATCATGGATTCGGAATGGTGATGCATTGATCGTCGCTATGGAATGTATACATTTTACAACAATAATATGAATAATAATAATAATACTAATATTTGGCTTGGCATAACAATTTTATTATACCAACTTCGGAATTGAATTTTAATATTCCTAAAACACTCAGAGGTTGGGCATATACAAAAATTGGAAAAGAAGTGATTGAAAAGATTTATGGAAAATATTCAGGCTTAATGTATGTTCCGAGATGGAACGTTACGACACTTCATGAAACATCCAAGTTAACTGATATTTGCAAACAAACGTTCAGAAATCCCAAATTTGTGGAGGATGAAAAAAGTAGAAAGGAAGGATTTGAAGTGGGCTTTGGAATATTGAGCGAATTTAATTCACATTTAGAAAGAATCAAAACAATTGAAAAGAAAGAAATAATGGAATTGAGAAAATTATCACCTGCTATTCAAGTTCCAATTAAGGTTTTGAATGAAGATGTGGAAATGGTTGAATCAGAATCAAATGTATTCCAAATGGCAAAAGATTCCATGACTGACATGAAGGATGATGAACGACTTCAACAGATTGCAGCACAGCCTCATAACCAAGACAAACTCGATGGCAGTGACATGTATTTAGTGTTGACAGACAAACCAAGAAAAAATCATCTTTTAGTTGCCCACCCTCTTCTGGAGGACACACGTTTTGAAAGAACTGTTGTGCGAATGGACAATAACAAGCAAACACTTGGATACATTATAGGGAAGCTTACTTTTTCTGAAAAAGAAGATGAGGACGACAACAATGACTATGAAGAAAATATTGAAAAATTAATGGGAGACGACTCTGAAAAAGAGTCGAGCAGTTCAGATCATGTTATGGATGCCTACAAAAAGTTTTCGAAAATGTTTCCACAAGAAGCAATTGAAAATGAACCAGAACGAATTGCTAAGTGGTATGAAACCCAACTGGAAAATGAAATTAAGGATGGTAAATGGATTGTCGTTGAAGCTGATATGGAGTCAATGTTACCATTTGGTGCAGAGACCCCGTACTATCAGGTATGGGAATACATTGTGAAAAGATTAGGTGGTGAATACTTGTCATGGATCGACTACTTTTCACACAAGCAACCAACACCTTTAAAACGACCCAATGCATTTCCCAATGTGAGAATAATTGTTCTATAACCTCTTTCACACAGAACTCATGTAATCAACATACATTATTTATTTTGTAAATACAAACTGAATGACTCATTACTTACTTGTAAATAGCAACTCCTGTTTGGTTGTCATAACCATGGTCGCAAGGGTTGCAAGACACCAACAACTCACCCTCCAATGGGTTTAAAGCTAATCCCAATCTTGCATCGTAGCTTGCCCACTCGCTTTCTCCAGGCTTGAGACTGCTTAACTGCTTTCTTTGAGTTCCGTTTGGTTTGATAGTATGCACTGCCCTTCTAGAAATAAACATAATGTTACCAGTTCCTGGTTCGACTAACATTTTGGATACACCACCATCTTCATTCATACCTCTTGAAATCGTTTTCAACACCTTTCCTTTAGAATTGATGGTCACAAAGGTTCCATCTCTTTCTTTACATGCGACCACAATATTTCCTTCATTATCGAATGCAAGTGCCAAAGGATATGGAATGACAGAGTCTCCGCTGACGGACTCACCCACTTTTCTCAATACAGATCCATCCTCACCTGACAAGACCGTGATGACATGTTTGCCATACTCTGCAAGCACGTAAACAGTAGAGTCTGTGGGATGAACACAAAGGTAATTAGCATTTCCTTCAACATAGACCTTCCAATGCTTGGTTGCACCATCGTTAGAAACTTTAACAACACTTCCATCGTAAATGTAAAGGAGAGTATTGTCATTGGGATCCACTGCAAGGCTGGTAATGTAATACATATTTCCTTCAATGTTGAAAGAGTTTTTGAGCTTCTTGGATTGTAAATCAAAGACATAAACGACATCTTGATCGTTTGACTTCTTATCAATGACATAAATGTTCTTATTCTTGACATCAACTTCAAGAACTGATGGATTTCTAAAGTTAAACAAGGAATCTTCACGATCTCCCAACATTTCTACGAGCTTGAATTGATTGCTGAAAGCAACACCACCGTTTGCAAGCATTTTGACCGAGTGAGAGGCACGAGATTTGAATGAATTGTGAAGAGTCTTGTGGTATCACACATTTTGACTTTACATTCAGAACATTCAAAATGAGCCTCACATTCTTCATTCCACTCACGACTACAAAAATCACAGAGTTTGGAATTCAATGATTTAACCTGAGAAGCATGATCCTTGGTTTTACCTGCCTGGTTATGGAATTGCAAATGCAATTGGCAAAAATTCAATTTGCATGATGAACAATGATGAGTAGCTTCTGTAGTTTCATCATCGGCTTTGCATTTATCACACAATGGAGGATTGGACATTTCTGAGAGAGAGAGTTCAAGGTTCGTGCACTAATAGTAGTAATAGTAATAGTAAAAAGTAGCTGGAGAGCAAAACTAAATGTTGAGCTTTTTCGTTTTTTTTTATCGATTTTTTGCACCACTTTTGCACCGCCCACCCTTAAATACCATTTACGGCCAAGGAACACGCATAGAACACGGAAGGAGAAGAAATTTCAATTTAAACAATTGATCAACATCGGATCTCATTTTACAACATTGAAAGTAGCAATAGGAATTGCGATGCGAGGGGTTCAGAACGTTACAATGTTGGATTGGGTTACATGTTTTATTGGTTGGTACAAATTAAGAAATGATATGAACTTGATGATTGGAGCAATCCACGAGATAGAGTAATCCTGTTCGTTCGTCGAAACAAAGACCTCTGGGTTGTTGAAATTTCAAAGAATGGTCTTGATATTCCATTTCAAAGAAGGTCTTATCACTTGGACGTGTCAATACCATGAGAGAATTTGCATTTCGATTCGCGAGGATGATCTTCTTTGAAATTCGATCCAAGACCATTCCGCATGGATTTTTCAAAGCAATCTTGTTCAATTCATTCTCTCCAAAGCATTCGACGAGTGTGAATGTTGTCTTTTCGTGGTTTTCTTCGAACGATTCCATTTTGAGAATTTTCACAGAATGGTGCAATTCGCTCACATATAACAGAGAACTTTCTGGATCGACCACAATCATCCATGGAGAAAAGATGGTTCCAATATTTTGTGAAGAAATAGATAAAATAGCAGATCCATCATCACAACGCAAGAATTTCAAATTTGAACGACCAATATCGCTCACAATGAGATAGTTGGTGGAATTTCCATTTTTGAAATTACTTCCTTTTTGATTCGTTTGGGAATAATAGACATGCATTCCACATGCTACTTTCAATTCATTATCCTCTGATATCCACATGGCTCGAGACAAGTGTTTGTTCTTGAAGACAGACATGCGAATGGCTCGAAACAAGTCAAACTTTTTAACAAACTTTCCACATGAAACATAAAGCGAGTCGCAACCATAACCTAACAATGGATCATGTTTCTCAATGGCCAAATAATAAGGACACGTTCCAACATTGATTTGACCTTTATAATTTTTGGTCAAATAATCAAACAGAACCACTCGTTTGTTATCATAATCAGAAACTGCAATGCATGAGCAATGATGTGAAATTTTCACATCAAATGGACGATTCAATAAATGATCAGCATTTCCCATAGTTCTATAAACACCCAATGATTGAATAATTGAAAAGTTTCCAGAAAAAGGACACAATCGTTCTTGTCTCAACCGATGACAAAGTTTTTCATAAAATTCCACTCCATTATTTTTCAAATATTCAATCGTCTCTGATGAATAATAATGACAGTCATGGAGCGATTCAACATTATGATTCATTGATGATGATTCTGTTAAATGTAGTAGAGAGGTGGATGGTAATGGATCGAGAAAGACGACATGACACGAACAAGGAACAATGTCAAGGTCTTCCGATATAAAGTCACACTTTGTTCGTTTGATGAAAGAGTGTGGAGAGTTGTTAGAGTTGTCATTGTCAGAGAAATTGGTGAACTCATGAGAACAGGTTCTCTTGTTGGATGGCAGCATTTTTTTTAAGTTCGAACGAACGCAAAAACAAAGGTAATTAAGGGTTGGTAGAGAAGATTGGGGTTAGTATTGTAACGTGCATTATTTGGAGACATACAAGCATCTGTAAAGGTTTATTCATTCCCAAGTTGATCAAAATGTCAAACGTCATTTTGCCAACAAACATCTCTTAAAAAAACCAAACTCACACTGTAATTATTGTATCATGTTCTTCTCAGCCAGCGAAAACTCACCCAATGACACCCTTCGTCAATTTGCAGATGCCAAAGCCAAAAAACAATTCGCTGCTTTTTTAAGTTCTGCAGAAGATGATCTTCCCGAAATTCCTGGAGTTGCTTATCCTCTCAATACGTCCACGACTGGAGCACTCACTTCGAATACAACTAGTGCATCATCCTTTGATCCTCTCAAAGAGTTTGAAATTCGGAAAATGACCATTGTCGCAAATTCTCGAAAAACTCTCACAATCTTGGATTATTACATTCAAAAATTACATTATCAAACAATGGATGTTATTTCAGCAAGTAGTGTAGCGGAAGTGGATAAATTATCAATGAAGGAAAGAGTGTTGATTAAATCAAAAGTGATGGGAGTGGCGAGAGATTTTAATATTTTGACACGATGTTGGCAATCGATTGAAAAGATGCCTACTGAAAAGGTGTCAAAAATCGAATTGAAAAGAATGCATGATGACTATGCTCTGTTAGAAGAAATTGTAAAGAAAGTATCAGAAATGAACGCTGAAATGACTGAAGCAAGATCTCAAACCGCTCGTTTGTCCACCTGTTGTCAGGATGAACCAAAATTAAAGTCCCTCGAACAAGTCCTTCCTTCTGTCAAAGGAAAATTAGATTTGAATACTGGAGTTCAACACTATTTATCAAATTATGACGAATTGAATCAGCTGGGGAACACCACGAGTGAAAAGAAGAAGGAGCAACACGAGGCACATTTGAATGAATTGGGCCTATTACAGGACGAATATGACCTAGAATAGGTATGAATGTAAATTTAATTTTCATTTGAATAAGTGACGCCTCTCGTTAATGCTTTGGCCACATCGATAAATTGTACAGCCCTGACAAAGTTCTGTCATTACTAGTATCTAACGTTTCTAGTTTGTTTTTCAATCCAGTTTTTATCGTAACCACATTTTTCTAAACATTTCTCGAATTCTCTCATGGTCATTAATCGTTCTCTGACCAAACCTTTCATGTGGTTCAACAATTGATCCTCAAATGTTTTCTTGGCATCATCAATTCCCAATGACATGCACATTGAAACACATTCAATTAATTCAAAATCAAAAAATTCCATGTTTTTCAGCTGTTGTCCACTTCTCTCTTGCAAGTTGTCAATGCCAAGTCGTTGAGATTGAGCAATCAGCTCAAACACATTACTCTTTGAAATTGTAATATGACCTGAATAAAGATAACGGAAAATATCCTCAAGAGTTTCAAAGCTTGAGCATTGAATTTCGACAGTTGCTATTTCATTTCTAGCTTCCATTTCTCGAATCTCTTCAGCTTCAATGAAATTAGAGTTGATCAAAACATCCACATATGGACACATTTTCATCACAAATGATTTGTGACACAAAATTCCGTCCTCACTCAGCTCTGGAAATTCTGAAAATTCAGTCACTTCTTGATTTTCGTCAAAATCTGGAACTCCTTGTTTGATTCGTAGGTCACACAGTGATTTCTTTAACTTATCCAATTGTCTGACTGGTTGGTCATTTTCTAAAAACACACACGAGGCTAACGAACTTGCAAGCTCATCACTCAACACCGTTTTTATATGACTTTGGTCTGAAACTGAAACTGTGTTGTAAGGGGTGAAGGTTGTCACATCCTTGTACTGCAAAATAGTTAGCATGTTCGCCACTCCCAAAGTTTCAGCTAAGCATAATAACTCATTCAAATACTCCACCTCTTCTCCAATAATCATCTCCTTAATATTACGTTTTTTAAAATTCTCTTCCACATTCACTAGCTTACTCGTGTATAAAAAGTAAATGAAATCATCAAATACATTCTTATCAAAAGTCAATGGACCCAAGTCAATGTGTCGAATAACAGATAGAGATGAGGTCGTATTATGAATTGATAATTTTTCACCTTTCAATTCTCCACAATATTGTTTCAAAATATTTTCTAGAGCTTCCATTCGATTTGCGTATACGACGGCACTATTTCTCTGTCTGTTGAGCCTCTCTTTTGAAATTGCAATCTTCTCCTTCAACTTTTTAATTTCATTCCGAAACTCAGATTGTAGCATGATTTTGTCATTCATGGAGCAATAATACTTTTCAATTTCCTTATTGGTTGTAAGACTTGCAAGGATGACATCATTCTCTGCAATTGAAATAACTTCACACCGTTGGAGAGGTCTCTCTAAATTAATGAGAGCATATTCGAGCAAGAGTGGCCACCTAGCAAGCATGATCCATGCATGGGTATGATACAGAGTGGGTTCCTTTTGATCCCGAAAATGTACGGAAATGGTGAGATCAGACTCATCACGGTATGAATTTAATTCATCATCAACAATGGCGTTATTGAAAGGAACTGAAGTACTCAAAGCAGCTCGGGCGAGTTGATAGAGAGTTTTTGAGAGAAGTTTGTTCTTGGATGATTTATCTTTCACAGCATACAAATGACTTTCATAGTCATCTCGAAACATTTTTTTCAACTTGTCTTCCCGCAGCGTTCCATCTCCAAATTGAAACCAAAGAAACTAGACCATATCCATGATTTGAAGTTCAAAAAATTCTGAAATAGTCAAATCCGTGCAAAATCCTCAGATAGCATTATACATTTTTCAAGTGTTGGCTTTTGAGCTGTTGTTGTCTTGTTGAACGTTGTGTTGTTGAGCTGACATGGTTGATTATAAGAGAATGTTTTGATCAGAAAAACAGTTTGAATTCTGTCTAAATGCAAAATAAGAGAAAACAGATTCACATTTTACGTTTTTTAGAGTGGTTGGTTTGTAAAAGATCTTCATCGAGCTCAATGGGTTCTTCCTCATCTTCAAACCAAAGTTCATCCAAATTAATATTTTTATCTTTCATCTGTTGCTTGGTGTTGATCGTTGTCGTGGTCATCTTTGGTGAAAAGCTCAATGAAAGACTTGAATTTTCTTCTTCATCTAAAAACTTGAATTCAAATTCTTCTACTTGTTGTTGGATTGAGGGGTTGTGTGATTTTTGCGTATTGGGAAGAGTATTCTCTTCAAAATCTCCAAGGTCTATATCATCACTTTCGACATGTCCATTTTCGGCTTCTTCTAAACGAATTCGATTGATCAAGCAATATTGTGAAGCATTCATAAAGATTGAACCACCGCTAGTATTACCCTTAGGTGCTGTACTTGAGGATGAAGTATTTACATCACTACTAGCAGAGGCAAACAACTTTGAATTCTCAGTAGATAAATCCTTCTCTCTTTTCCTTCTTGTCTTTTCTTGTTTTGAAGAGAATCCTTGATTCTCCACTTGACTCGTTGCAGTTGTCATTATGTTTGGTTGTTCCAATAACTTTTGACTTTCCAAATAATTCTTCGTGAAGAGAGCCAAATCTTCTGCTTGTTCCATTTGCGTCGTTATCTTTCTTGAAATTGGTTCAAAATCAATATAGGATTTTTTAGTAAGAGCTCTCAGCCAGGGTGTAGGCTCAGCCATTTCAATTCGATCTTCTTGTGCGAGTTTGGTCTTTGTCGAGAGAAGATACATTTTCCACTTGGCTCGAGTCATGGCCACAAAGAGTAATCTCTTTTCTTCTTGTTCCTCTCGAGAGCTTCCTTTGGATCGAAAGTGTGGACAAATATCATCAACAAGGTCAGTAACAAATACATACTCGAATTCTAAGCCTTTGGAAGAGTGCATGGTGAGCAAGGTGACTCCATTTCTGACATTGTTATTTTTCGATTCGTCATCGTCATTCATTTCTTGGAGGAAGGTGGAAAGAGTGTCAGTCTTGTCAGCCATACGCAAGAACTCTTCAATGTCTTTTTCACATGTTTCGTAATTTGTGGTGTACTTTTGTTTCAAGTAACTTGTCACATCAATTGTATCGAGTATGTATCGGATCAGAGAAGAGACCGAATGAGTCATTTCATTCATCCGAATAAGATGTTTCAATAGAGCGATGACAGATTTCTTTTCTTCATTATCCATTGCAATTAAAAACGAAACTTGACGTCCCAATGTCAAGCTGGGCTTGTACTTGACTCTCTTCTCAATAATGTCAATAAGCTCAGAAACAGAGATACCGTTAGAGAGACAGTCTATGAGTGCCGATTTTGTTTCTGTGAAAATTGCTCGATCAGGAATATTTGTGACATGATCCAGTGACCTACTATTTAAATTTCCTCTCGAAATGCTATCTATCGTGTCAAGGTATGAAATTAGGACCTGAATCCATGCAGATTTTAAAAAGTTTTCATTTTGTTTGGATTCAAATGGTATTTTGTGCTTTCCTAGCTCAATTTCATAGGGTTTCAACAAACTATTTAACCTGGATAAAATTGCAAAATCTCCATATTTTCTATTACTGTTGTTGCTAACCTCTTGTTTGATAGTGTCTACTACAAACTTAATTTGTTCAATGTGAGTCACAAATTCTTTGATGGTGATTGTTGGTCCGCCTCCTTTTTGTGAAATGAGTCTCGACTTGGAGTCATCCAGTATGATAGATTCAATACTGGGTTTTTTAGAAGAGTTATTAGAACCATCTTTGGAGTGATTCTCGAGTAACATGTCGAAACTAGCATCTAGAATGTTTGAGGTACTTCTGTAATTTTGTTTGAGAATAATGATATCAGCATTGGGAAGTCGTTAGCAATATTTACAAAATTATGTACATTGGAAAATCTCCAACCAAAAATTGCTTGTTTTCTGTTTAAATGATGATAATAATTCAAATATTGATGATACAGTGAAATGAGATTTTTAAATTCAATACTTACGAATCTCCAACACAAAATATTCTCTTGTGCTTATTCACGAGCAACTTGGTAAATTCATATTGCAAGTCATTAGTATCTTGATATTCATCTACAAGTAAATATTCAATGTCGTTGGATACTTGACCAAGCAGAGAAGGTTTTTCCTTCAATATTTTTACAATTTTAAAAATTAAATCTTCATGAGTGAGTAGGTTCCTCTTTTCTAATACTTCCTCAAACTCTTGATAGAATGGAATAAAATATCGTAATGATACATTCAAATCTGATGATTTCAATTTTGAGGTTACTTCATTTGGAGATATTCCAGAGTTTTTCACAAGAGCAACACAATCTTTCATTTGACTCGGTGTGCATTCTTCAGTAATCTCATGTTTTGCTAAATGTGTGATAAATAAGTGAATGAACACGAAAGTTAGATCCAAAAATATTTTGACAATCAAAAATGTGTAGAGATTGAATATATTGTAGTAAATTACATTTAAAAGCAGTTTTACAAATTTCACCTACATACCAATAATGTCTGACATTATAGAAAGCACAGTTCTATCATCCGCAATCTTGTAAAATTGTTTCACCAGTTTGTGTTTCCGTAATAAAGCTAGACCTTTGGAGTGAAAAGTACTAAAGGTTACATTTTTCAATCGTTCATCCAGTCGTCCTGCTCTCTCCTTCATTTCATTCGCCTTAGTAGTGAAAAGAGATCACAATCTTTCAAATGAAAATTTAGTGAAATCTTACTTACCGCTGCCTTGGAAAACGTGAGAGCACAAATTTTTATTGGATCGACTTTCATTTCATGCACCAAGTAAAAAATTCTATTGAAATTTCAATTATTTCCCAAATGAATAATGTGTGGTATTTTATCATCACTTACCTGTAGGTAATGACGGATGTTTTTCCTAATTTTTAAAGTGACCACAATATTTTCCATCATCAGAATATAATTTAAATAATATGAAAATCTACACCTACCTGTTCCTGGTCCGGCCATTACAATCACTTGATCATTCCGAGAACAAACAGCTCTCCTCTGTTCCTCATTCAATTTACTCAGTAAACTCTCTAGCGAAGTATTGCTGCTTTTTCCGAAAGACGTTGATGTGGCATTTGTGCTGTTGATGCTGCTGATTCCGACGTTTACTGGTAGTTGTTGTTGTGGTCGTTTCAGACGTACAGTGGATCTTCCCACATGAGTGTTGTTACTGTTACTACTACTACCGCTTGTAGTGTTCACAGTGTTACTTGCTGTGAGTTGATGATACTTCGGAGGTGGAAGAAAGACATTGCTCTTCTTCGTATTGTCGCTCTGTTGTTGAGGTTCAGACGAGTGGAGCATTTTTTCTTCGTTCGCTCGAATAATCTCTTCTTGCCTAAGAATTGGTTGGAAAAGAATAAGATTTGGTCCGAACAATTTCTTCATCTTCTTGGAGGGTGCAACGAGGGCCCTTTCAAACCTGCAGCCGCAGCAAACAGCCATTCAGCCAGAATAGTCCTCGCTGAAAGATTGTTTTTTGAATGTCATTGAAAGATATAATTTATTGGTGTTGTCCAATGAACAGATTATTGTTGTGGCTGCTTATTCACATTGACATTAATATCCAAATGAATACGTCCGTATGGAGTTCTAATGGAGTGACTTTGTTGTCCTGAGTGACCAACCATTTCTTGTTGTTGTGGTTCCTGTGGTGGAACAACTGCTTGCTGTTGTGGCACAGATGGTTGTTGAGTATTATTTGCTTGCTGTTGTTGTTGCTGCTCAGCTTGTTGCTGTTCTGCCTGTTGTGTCTTTAATTCTTGTTGAGCTTGTTGAACCTCAGATGTAATATCTTTTCCAGTGTCAGCTTTCACAGCCTTGATTAATCTCTTGCACAATCTCTTGTACTTGTTACAAATGAAACCAACGACAGCAGCTGGTCCTTGCTTGTAAATATCGACTGGAACTTGAGAAAGCACTCTTTGACGAACTTGCAACACTTCTTCTGGCAAGTGTCTCAAATACTCCACAGGGACTTGTTGGAAGATTGACTTTGGAAGTCTCTTTTGCAACACTTCTTTAGACCAAACTTTCACATAGGCAGTCTTAGGAATGACAAGAGCAGTATCCTTATTATATCTTGATGGCAAGTGAGCAATGAAACGTTTGAAATCTGCAGATGGCAAGTCCAAAACATCATTTGGAATCTTGGCTCTATCCTCCATCTTGAGGTGGAAATATTCAGGTGGTAAGTGACGAAGTTTCTCAATTCCGACCTTAGAAACAACTTCTTCAGGTACGTGTTGCTTTAAGAAATCACTTGACCAAACTTTTTCTTGTTGAACAGTGACTGGAGCTTTGAGAGTTTGTCTTCCTGGTTTTGGTGGAACAATTGCACCTCCATTGAGTGGAATTCTTTGAGCATGAGGACCAAAGAGAGGCTTGTATTTGGTTGTCTTCTTGACCCAATTTCCGAGTCCCTTTTCTTGAGCAACCTTGGCCAATTCTTGTGGAGAGTCGACCTTTCCATTGATGATACTTGGATCTGGTTCTTGATATCCAGGAGGATTGGTTGGTGGAGCATTAGGATGCTCGGTTTGTTGTTGAGATTCTCCACCTTGTTCTGGTTGTGGTTGTTGTTGAGATTCTCCACCTTGTGGTTGTTGTTCATTTCCTGATTGCTGTTGTTGATCCTTGTTGACTGGTGTGCTGGAGAGTTCAAGCTTCTTAGAGTCATTATCGGATGGTTTGTATCCACCAGCTCCAATACACTTTTCGAAGAGAGTCTTGACGTAGGCCTTTGTTTGAGTTCTGAAGAATCTCCATTCTTTGGACCATTTCATGAAAGAAGCTTTAAGACCAACGTTGAATTCAATTCCATCAAGTTTGTGTTGCAACATGGCACACAAATTACACTTTTCAAATGCCAAACGAGGAATAATTCTGTAAGTAATAGTTGCTTTGAGATAAACTCCAACCTTGGCAACAGGAACTCCTACATTTGCGCTAGCAGTCACACTCAAAGAAATGTATGGTTCCACTGAAACTGAAGCTTCCAACTTTTCCACACAAACACCATATCTGAGTTCAACACCCATATTCAAAGCAACGTTAAAGTGGAAGTTCACAGGAACTGGACCAATTTGGAATTGATAATTCCAATCGACGAGCTTTGGGAATCTCTTCTCAACCAATGGTTTAGTCTCAGAGAAACATGCTTCAATAATTTGACGAATACGATCTGGAACAAATCTCTTGTTGATAAAAGTGGTTGCGAACACCTTAACGAAAATGTTATCATTGATTGGTTGGTCAGGTCTCTTTGTCAATTCACCAGCAGCATCAATGACAACGAATTGCTTCTTGAACAACTTGGCATACATGTTGGCCTTTGCAATCAAGACAAAGTCAAAACCAGCTCGTTCTCCAGAGCATTCGAAAGAAGCACCTGCATAGACAAGGAATCCCATGTACATGTGCACGGCATTGGTACCTAATAACTTTTCAAAACTAAAGTGTTTGGCCTTCTTAATGGTTGACAAATCGCCTTGCTTTCTGACAAAGTCAATCATACCAGATTGATACAAGCACAATTGATCATTTGGATTCACACTGACTTGCATACAGGCCTTTTGATTCTCAAACTTGGCAGCACTAAAGTAATACTTGATCTTGGCAACAATCTTCTTGACAGCATTGATGGCAGCAAGAATTTTATCCTTGAGCCACTTGACAGCTTTCACAACTCCCTTAGCAACAGTCTTGGCAATTCTGGCAATACCTCTTCCAATACGACGAGCAACTTGAGCCAAACGACGACCCACTTTTCGCAATGCACCTCCGACACGTCTAGCCACTCTTCGAATGGCACCTCCAACACGTCTAGCCACTCTTCGAATAGCACCACCAATTCTTCTGAAGGCTCTTCTCAAACGTCTGAAGAATCTACGGAAAAGAACGTTTTGTTGTTCTAAACTTTCAAAGTTGTCCAACAATTCAAGATCTTCATGTGACAATAAGGATCTTCCTACAATACCATAAGTGAGAGAGGATCTTTGACGACGATTACGTTGTTGTCTCTTTGGTTTCAACTTCATGGCCTTTGCAAGAGCTTCTCCAGACTCATGTGTACCACAGGTATAGAGATAATTCTTTGCAGCTGTGCTAATTTCTTCATTCTTGCTTCTCTTGTGGACACGATAGACATGTCGAATAGAAGTACTTCTTCTTAAATGTCGTTCTCTTTCACTTTGAGCATTGATGAGTGAAGCCTTGACGAGAGGACTATATCCTGTGGATCCTAAAATTTCATGAATCATGTCGTCGACATTCTTCTCGTCGTTCAAACGTTTCTTCAAGTTTTCAATGATCAAGACCTTGATCGAGTCAGGAACACGATCATCAGCCAAGAACATGTACAAGATTTCAACTTGAACTCCCTTACCAGCATTGTTCAATGCATGGAAATTGGTAGTGAGCTCAGTAAGGTCTTTGGATTGTCCAATTCTTGTGACAATTTCCTTGACAATTTGTCTTTGCAAACGAACATCTCTCAATCTATGTGCAAGGTCAGCATAAGCCATGAATGCATTTTCCTTCACCTCATTGTTGTAGTCATCGTCAATCTTGTACTTCTTGGATCCACCACGAGCAAATGCTTTAATACCTTGAGATTTCAAAGTCTTCAACAAACCGAAAACAGATTCAGATGGATAGGCAATGACAATAGAAGCGTAAATGTAGTTACTAGCCAAGTATGGATGCATGGTAGATAATTGCACTAACTTTTCTTGGACACGAGATGACTTGACAGTAGCAGCCAAGTTTTGATACTTTCCAAGTAATTCTTGAGAGCAATCTTGGCAGTCTTATCCAACTTTTTAGTGTTCAAAGTCTTGATACCCTTCGAAATTTCAGACAATAACATATCAGCACTCTTGATTGGATGCAATTTGCTGTACTTGGCAAGAGCAGCCAACAATTGATTGGACTCCCTTGAAAGAGATGGATCTTGCTTGACTCCATTCAACAATGTACGGAAGAATCTTGGAGAGAATTGTCTTCTTCTCAACGACAAGGTTGCCTTTCGATCAAACTTGTTCACACTGAATGAATTCTCAAAAGCAAACTCTGAGCCTAACTTGGCACCACGTCCATTCTTTTCCAAACTCAAGATGGTTTCCTTGATCTTTCCATCGAGATTACCCTTGGTTCTTCTAATCTTTTCCAAGTTCATACTGCCAATGAATAAAGTCTCCAAGTCACTGGCAGAGTGAGACTCTGGATTCTTATCTCTCAATGATTGCTTGGTCAATTTCTCAAAGGCTTCAAAAGCATAGTGTCTTGGAATATCACTGGCTGGTCCAAAAGTCAATTTTATCTTCATACTGGCATGAGTAGGGACTTGCTTTTTCAATGAAACTCTCACCAAATGAGAGGCATCATAGTGTAAATGTCGTTTTGAGACTGGCATGGTTGAAACAAAGTCATCATGAGAGAATCGTTGAAAGATACGTAAGGAACGACGAGACTTGGTAAATTTGCCACGAGTAAATCTCTTCTCATAATTCTTGTAGTATTTGCCACCAAAACCATCGGTTTGAGAACGAGCCTTCTTACGAGTTTCAGTTGTGAGCAAACGAAGGAGACCCTTCTTGATAGCTCTCATATAACGACTCTCAGATTGTCTAAAGACCAAGCTTTGAATATGACCACTATTGGACTGAACGAATAGCATGGGATGTTGATTCAAGTCTTTGGTGATATCGGTCGAGGTCATCAAGCGACGATATTTACGTCCACTCAATCCACGTGATCTTCCTTGATACTGAACAAAGAAGCCATTCAAGAAAGTGACCAAAACGACATTCTTTTTACGATCATCGTCGTCGTCCTGTCCGGAAATTTGCAAAGCCTTCTTGGTCGTTCGTTTGGAAGGACAAGTTAAAATCATTTTACCGTAAATTTGAGTTTCTGAGTTACCAGCTGTTCCTTTACGAGAGTTGATAAGACCTCTATTGCCGATCAGAGTCGTAGCTCTAAAGCGATAGAGGAGAGATTTTCCAGGAGGACATTTCACCTTGACAAATTTGTTGGTAGTACTGCTACTACTTTTTGATGATGAAACTTTTTGTTTGGCTGCGTGCATGATGGCATCAACATCTGCATATTTATCTACATTTTGAGATGATTTCTTGGATTCCACTTGAAGAATGAATGTCAAGAGAAGCAGAGTGAGGAAGAGTGCACCAACAACAACACCGACTGCAGTTGGGGATGACGACTTGGCGTGTCGCATCATGATTGCGAGTTGTCAAATTTTGTTGTGATGGTGTTGTAGTGACGTTGTAGTGAGACGAGTATATTGATGAACAATGATGTTAAAATAAGCTCTCTATCTCCAGTCTCCTCTCTTGTATTGCGATTATGAAATTTGTATTTTTTCAATGTGATTTTGTTGTTGGTTATGAGCAATTCGCAAAAATTGTTGCGGGTCACTGAACATCAACGTTGACATGTGAAGTATTGCAGATGAGACCCAAAGATGTCGCTAAAAAAAACATCTGTGAAACGTGCAAAATGAAAGCGTTGGTTTGACTTCGACTTGCTCTTTAACAGACAAAACAATGTTGTTGAGACGTAAACATTAAGAACTCACTGTTTCAATGCGGGTGACTGTGAGAGAACAGAATCGTGTCAGTCGTGAGCAAATTCGTTTCGAGGAGTTCCTCTGACATTAAATACCGAATCAAAGAACTCTGATTTTTGTCAATTGAAGCAGTGTTTTTCCACCACGGCGTAAAGAGGATTACAGCTTGATGAGCTGTTTTACTAGCGTCAAGTCGTTGTAAACCACTTGAAACTCTGTTGTACCAACAAAAAAAAATCCACCCTCATTTGTTGAATTTGCCCTTACACCTAACCATTAGCCTTAGACTTCAATATGGACGCAGGAGTAGTCGTTGATGATCAATGTATTAAGGAATTCAAGACCTTCCACTCAAAGAACAGCAATTTGAGATGTATTCTATTTACTATCAATGATAAGGGTGATCGTGTGGAGGTCGCTAAACAAGTCGAAAAGGGAGGGGAAGCCGATACATGGGATGGCTTCTTGAGTTCAGTTGTTGAGGCAGAATTCAGTGATAAAGGATGTTGGGCCGTATATAATTTGGAAATGACCAAGGAGGACCAAGGCGTAGAAAGACAAATCTCCAAGCTTGTGTTCCTTCACTGGGTTCCATCCAAGACCAAGCCAAGAGCCAAGATGTTGATGAGTTCTACCAAGCAATCTCTCTTCAGCAAATTCAATTGCTCCATGGTCAACATTGAGGGCACCTCATTGGGTGATATTTGCGAGAAGAACATTTTGGACAAACTCAAGAGCTCTCTCTAAACTGTTGAGGTCGATGATCGATCGAGCCTAGCTGTTGCTCTTGCTGTACAATAAATCGCTTCATGATTTGACTCTCTTCCAAGTTCCCTTTGCTGCTTACATCACCAAAAAAAATTTTCTTTATTCTTCCAACATCCAATTTCATTGACTGGTCTTTTCTGTCCCAGTTCAAACTCCAGTTTGCAACACGGTTTGTGTTTGTGCACACAATACTGGGTTCTTTGTTGCCCTTCCATACGTACATGTTGCTGGAGTGAAGGCCTGTAGACTCGGACACAAAAACAACATCATCAATATTCATCATCACTTTTGAGTTAGACCAATTTTGTAAATAATACGAAACGAAAATGGTTCGCACACCCCACCATAAATCATCATCAGCGTCTGGAAAAACAATCCAAATTAATCATCATCAACATTCGGATATTGGATTTGCAGATGTATTTGGACCAGTTGTTGTTTCTGAAGAACCCGAAGAATCATTACGTCACAACTTTTCAAGTCAACGCAATATGTTTTCAATAGAGAGACCAGACACCAATATGACAACAAATCCTTCCCAAAATCATCAGAAAAAGTCACGAGGAAGTAACAATGAAAAACATCATTACCGGCGGCATCATGGCAAGAAAAGCGGCCATGACAAAATACATACAAAAACCATGTCAGACACAGCAAATTTTGTACCCAGTGACGATTTGTTTAGCATTCCAAATATTGCTGGTCCACGTTTAAAATCTGTTGACGAATGCAACCGTGACAAACGAGCTTCCATCATTATGAATGATTCATTGTGGAGCATTCCTGGAGAAGTACAAACCGCACCACTCGTTGGTGGTGACAGTGATGATGATTATGAAGATGAAGAGATTGGGGTTCCGATGAATTCATCATCAAATCCGATTGGAATTGAAGGGAGCTCTAAAGTAAGCACTTCTTGCACACCTCCCTCTTCATGCTCCCCTCTCTTCCAATTCATGATGCAACAACAAATGCAAAAATTGAGAAATAATCAAATGGCCTTAAATTCAAAAAGATCTTCCAACTCAAACAACATGTTCTCAAAACGAAGTCATACAAAGAATAAGAAACATTCTAAAAACAACGTTGATATGACACATGAGGATGAAGACTTTGAGGACATTGAGGAAGAGTCAAGTAGTAATCGTGTATTTGTTAAACATGGATCTACCTCATCATCTCCACCTGTTCCTATAATCCTTCGTTTCAATCGAAAGAGCCCAAGACAAATTTCAGATTCCAACAAAGTACATCTAACAGAAAATAATACTCAAAAAGCTCCCAAGAATATTTCTCGAAGGACCAAAAGCTATGGAGGAACATCTTCACATTATAACAAGAAACAATATGGTAATAATAGAAAAACAGAAGAAAATACCCTAATACTACAAAAATCAAAGTTTAACAAGCATAAAAAAAGAGAGAGAAACAAGCATAGAGAACAACGTATGAAAAAGATGGAGAAGAGTCGAGCTGTGCCTGGCATGGCTCTGTCTGGTGAAGAGACTGACATGGCCACAAATGAAATTATTTTCGATCCAGCATTTAAATCCAGTAGTTGTGAAGAGGATATTTTCCTTTCGACTCGAAATAAGAGCAACAACAACAAAATGGACACTTGCATTTACAACATGTATGACGAGCCAATCACTCCAAACAAGAGACATGTCGTACAGGACGATGACTTTTTTGCTGTTCCAAAGCAAGAAGAGCAAAGCATTGAAAAGGAAGATCACACATCAAAGCCATCGAGAAATCGCTCATCTTCTACACTTTCGAACACGTCCTCATGCTCTAATATTTCAAATGATGGCATGAGACCAACAGCAATCATTGAATTTATTAGATGCAGCAGTACCCCTTCAATGACCACAATCGACACCACTTCCATACCTAGATCAGAATCATTTCCTACGAGTATTATGACTTCTGAAGAGGATCCATTCTCTTTTAATCCCAACAACGTTTCTGGCTTACAAGGAGACGATATTTTTGATCTTCCTGTGGGAATTCCATCTGAATCATCAGTATTGATGGACGATGAGGGAATTCAAAGTGACAGCATTTTCGACTTTCCAAACTCTCCATCCCAACGTTCAGTCAAAAGTATTTCAGTAAGCTCACCTATTATGGCACATGAGGACAAAAACACCACTCCCAAAAAAGCGTCTGATACGACCAAGTCTAAAAAACCCAAGAAGGATAAGAAAAAACACATGGTGGGCAATCTACTGTTAAACTTGACCGCTCAGAATGAAGAGGAAAAGCCCACACTAGTCAAGGCAGAAAAAGATGTCAGAGAATCCGTTCGGAATATTGTTCAACCAAAAATTACCGAGAGTGGAAGTTTCATGCTTTCTGATCGATACAAGGCAAATCAAGACGGAACCCAACGAAATGAAATTTCTCCAGAAAGTGCTCAACCCACTATTGACTCTGCTCAATCATTTATTAATGCATTTAATATTCTTTCACTGAATTCAAACAAAGGACCTTTGAACCCATTACCTCATCGGCAAAATCAGCCATCAAATAATAGTGACCAATCAGAAGCACAACGTCTTAGGCAAGCACTCTCTGGAAATTCATCAGTTGCTCCTCCAGCCATGGCTACTGTGAATAGTTTCAAAATGTCAGTTAATAGCGCAGTGCTCTCTACTAGCAAAGGTATTAAGACTGAGAAGAAAAAGAGGACATTGAAGAGATTCAATAATGAAGATTTCACATGGACAGATTTGATCATGTTGAACAATTTGGGAAGTGGATTTTCCTCACAAGTTATTAAGTGTAGCAATTCAAAAACAGGAAAACATTACGCTTTAAAGAAAATTGATTTATCAACGAACGATAAGAAGAACTCTTCTAAAATGATCATTACAGAATTTAATTGCTTGGCTGAATGTCGAAATTGCCCATACATTGTTAGAATTGTAGATATTTATCATTTCAAAGAAGAAAAAGAACTTTTCTTGCTCTTGGAGTTTATGGACAAAGGTACACTGAAAGATGTGATAGAGAAAACTAATGGCTCTGTACCTGAAGAATTTATTAGTTTGGCAGCATGTCAACTATTGTTAGGTCTTGCCCATGCCCACGAGAAACAAATTATCCATAGAGACATTAAGCCAGAAAACATTTTACTCAACTCTGAAGGATACGTGAAACTGGCTGACTGGGGAATGTCTTGTATCATGAGAAACAAAAATCATACTCACACACATCTAGGTACTGAGGTATATATGAGCCCAGAAAGACGAGTGAGCTCAGATAACAAACACAGTTATCCTTGTGACATTTATGCGCTTGGTCTTTCATTACTCGAACTCGCTCTGGGAAGAATACCAATTCTCCAACTATGGGAATTTAACGATCTATATAGAGAGCAAGTAAGCGAAGGATCATTTTGGTTAGACTCAATTATTCCGTTCTCACAATTTTCTGATGAATTTTCGCAATTTTTGAAAGCATGTCTTGAAAAAAATCCTGAAGCTAGAATGACATGTAGTCAGTTACTGAGATTGCCCTTTATAACTCGCTACAATGGTCATAATGAACAAGAGTGGGGAGGAGACAGAGATAGACGGACGATTTTAGATTTCTTGAATGGATAAAAACATGGTGAGACTATCATTAGATTTGAAATTTAATGAATTGTTATAGATTCTCCCAATGTAATGCACAACATACGGTTTTAGAAGCTTGTTCATGTTTAATACCAATCAAATTAATTGGTGTGAGAAAACCTGAACAACTCAACATTAATGTTGTGTGATGAAATAATTGAATACCTCATATATAGGGTAATTGAAATTATGACGGTAATAAAATATGAACCAAGAATACTTCTTCAAATTTGTTTATCTAATTTACAACAGGAACACCTAGTAGTAATTTCCTTATCTCAACAAGTCGAGATGAATGTTGGTCATCTTTGTCAATATTTCTTCTCTCATTTCCTTGCTTGGGAATTTTACCTCAAATTCCATGGCAGGTGGTGTAAGTTTAGATTGCTCTTCATCTTCCAAAGTCATTGACAAACCATCCTTATCCATATCTGCTGCCTTTCTTCTAATTCTAGTATATTTCAAATTGAACACATGCACCTTGTTGGACATTGGTCCTTTCTTTCTCTTAACAATTGCATAATCGCTCAAGATATGAAGGGCAACAATGTAAGGGGCCTTATTCTTTGTGGCCAATTCTTTTCTCTTCTCATAAACATAACCACGAAGTTTTTTCTCAGTATGAATCCATTTTCTGTCAGGATTGTCTGGCAGAGAAAGTTGCAATTTTTCCAACAACTTGGAGGCCATTGCCAAATATTCAACACCTCTTTTAGCTTCGTTGACAAAGTTGGTAATGGATTGAACCTCACCGAGAGCTCTCTTTAGAATTTTATATCCTGTAGATTCAGTATTGTCACTGTTTTTCATGAGATCGGTGAGAAGAAGGTTGTAACGTGGCAAACGTTGTACAGGTTGCTATTTTGTTGTTGTTGTTGTTGTTATGTATATTCGATAGTTGTTGTTGTTGATGTGCAGTGTTGAGGAAAAATGTGAAAATAGAAAAATGTTGTCATGGTCAAATGTGAAAAATGTGAAATAATAATAATGATCAACAATTATTAAACCTTTCAACAAGTGGTGATACAAAAAACTTACAATCAAGAAAGATCCCAAATCTGTCTGACGAAAACCTTGTTCTAACAATTCATTTGAAATTTGATCTAAAAAGTCAGCAAATGGCTTGTACTGCTTAATACAAGCAAACATCATGGCTTCTGCTCGATCATAGTTATTCACAAAGGAACAATAAGTCTTAAAACTTGGTGCATACGAAAGAACAAGCTCACCAATCTTGTATTCCACATTTTCCCATAAATCTTCTTCATTGTGGAATAGAGCTTTGAGTTTTGTTAAAAATGCAAAATTGACCTTATAGATCAAATCAATGTCTTTGAAAATGACATCAAATTTGTCTTTTGGAATGATTGTTTTTGGTGCTGTCACAATACGTTCCATATAAATCTTACGACAAGCATCCAAAGCTTTCACATACGATTCTTCTGTGGAAAGTAATTCACGAGAAATGGCTTTTCTCTTAGCAGCTCGTTTTTCCTTCTTCTTTTCTTCCTCTTCTTCTTCTTTTTGTTTTTCTTTCATTTCCTTAATTCTCTTTTCTTTACGTTGGAGACGTCTCTGTTCTTTACGTCTCTCTTTTTCTTCATTCTTAATACGTTCTTCTTCTTCTTTACGTTTGTTTTCTTCTTCTTCTTCACGCATTCGACGTTCCATTTCTTGTTGTAATTCCAATTCTTCATCGAGAACAGAAGCTTCGAGTTCTTCAGGTTCACTATCAAGACTCGCTGGTTCTAATTCAGATGGCTGCAATTCATCGTCATCTGCAGGTTCCAATTCAGAGGGTTGTAATTCATTCAAATCTTCGTCATCTTCAGGTTCCAATTCTGAGACTAGTAATTCTTCATCGGTCGAAGGTCTGAGTTCAGTAATTTCACCTTCCAAATCTTCATCGTAATCTTCATCCGAATCATCATCATCCGAATCATCATCATCAAAGCTTGCCAATTTGAAAGCATCGTTATCAATGGGTTTAAATGAAGCATTGTCATCATCGAGTGCTTGTCTAATTTCATCTTCAGTGGCTCCATTATTTTTCATACTAAGAATTCGGTCACAATTTGATAAATCAATCATTCCAATCATGTCTGTCATGTATCCCATGGCACCTTCAATACTATCAATATAATCTCTAATTTCGTCGACATTATACAAGTTGTATAAAGTTTCACATGAACTTTTTCTAATTTCAAAGTTTTGACGAGTAGGTTCTTTCATAATGACACGTAACATGGTATCCACAATTCCAGTTTCTTTCAATTCAATGGCTGAGATTTTAGTTCTTGCAAAGTTAGAGAATAATTTCAAAAGAGCCATCAATATTTGAATTTCAACTTGTCCAACTTCTTTGATTTCAATCATTTGGAAGAATCGATCAAAGGTTTGAGAACAAATCGAAGCAAAATTAATTTCACTCAATCTTTCTAAGAGTGTTCTCGAGTTACCAATATAGACACAAATGGCGACTGCATTGAGAACTAATTTTGAGCTTGTTTCTTGTTTGATAAATGCAGAGAGAATGGAAAGAATTTTCTTGGAAGCCATCTTGACAAGTACAGCAGGATCACGAACTGTTCATCATTGGAGCATTCATCATTGTTTTGTATGCATGAAAAAGTGTGAAAATTCAATGAGGTGTGAAAATAATTTTCCATTTCATACAAATGAACAGGCCATTCAAATTCACATGTGAACTCTATATTAGACACAAACACACATCTATATTCCATTACTTACCTAAATTCGAGAGTGCTCCAGTAGATGGCTCTAAAATTTGCAAATATTCACTCTCCAACAAACCAATCAACAAGTCAGGAATTTCAGAATTTACAAATGGAGGAATGTTTTCATCTTCTTCGGTTGCTTCCCATAACAATTCACATGCCTTCTTTTGTTTGGCAGGAATTCCAGATTTCAAATCATTCACAATTCCAGTAATGGATTCTTCATTCAATGCTGGACTTCCTCCTGCGTTTGAAATTAAATGTGTTTGTCCAATAATGTGTAAAACTTTAGAGGCAGCTGTTGATGCTTCTTCAAAGCAAGATTGATACAATCCAATTAAATTTGAGAGAACAACATGACCTCCTGATTCTACCAACGTTTTGTGATTACCATTTGAAAAGTGACATAAATATTGATACAATTGTAAAATGGATTTTACGAGACGTTGAGCACTTGGATTGGTCTTTTCTTTGGCTTCTTGTTGAAGAGTCACATCAGATAATATTGTTTTTAACATGGGAATGACATTGAGAGTGGTTCCAACCATAAATGCTAACTCTCCATCGTCTTATAATGATCATCAATGTGTTTTGGGCACACAATTTAATTCACATGAGTTCATATGATGGTTCAGAATGATTGCCAATGATTGCCAATGAAACACGAATGTTCAATATTCAATATTACATCATAATACACACTCAATCACACACACACACACACTTACTTTTCACAAGTAATGCCAAAATAGCACAACAATTATCCAATGCAAACTCTGCTTGTTTCACATTCTTTAAATAATGAGCGAGTAAAGTGGCTGCCATTTCATGACACTTGAATCGAGTGAGAGTGGATTTGTTATCCGCTGTGATTCATTCAAGAATGAAACAGAATCATCATTTTTCAAAATGTTCATAATCGTTAACAAATTTTTCAACAAAACATTCATCAATGACATGAAACATTCACAATCCATAGAAATTTCACTCCATCCATAACCACAACAACAACACTCCAATGATTCATCAACACTTACCTGTCAATGCAGCATTTCTCAAAAAAGCAGTCACATCTCTCACCGGTTGAATCATATTCTTATGTTCACGAGCAATGGATATCATTTCATCAACGGTATCCGATCTCTTTACAATTTCTTGACATAATTTTGGATTCAAACTTGCCACTGTTGCTAAAATATTCACAACAATAAATTTAAAATTCATTTCCTTATTGGAGAGCATTAAACACAAATCATCAAGTGCTTCCGATGCTGGATCGAGTAATTCTTTTTGGAAATCAGTGGAACGAGCTTCTCGGGTCATTTGAACAAGAATGGAATGACCATTGGCAATGTCTCCCTTTTTTTGTAGATCGAGAATTTGTTGGAGACGAGACGAGATGGACATGGTGGTTCGAGTGTCAGGTCGTTAAAGTGTATTTTTTTAATTAATTTTGAAAAATTGTCACTTGTCATGGGTGAGTTCAGAGACATAGTGTTAACTTGACACTTTCTCTCCTCTTGGAAGAGCATGAGGTAATTACAGATGTACTGAAATGAATACTAACAATTCAATTCATTCATTAAAAGATGTAACTGTCATTCATTTTGAAAATATTTAAAAAAAAATGAAATTATTTCTTTTCATCTTCGTGCTGATAGCCTTCTTCTTATCATCAAAGGCTCACGCTGCATCTTCCCGATATGAAATTACCACTCTCCCACTCTTGCAAGGCAAACTTACTGAAAAGCAATATACTGGATTTGTGGACATTCCGAGCGCTACACAACCACAAAAGAAATTGTTTTATTGGTTTGTAACTGCCAAGAAAGAACCTCTCCGATCTCCAGTGGTAGGTTTTTGAGCTTGGTCAATCATTATTTGTGGAATATATTTTTGAATTGATACAAGGTGTTATGGATGACAGGAGGACCAGGTAGGTTTTTTTTGCAACAGAGTCATTCAATGTGAGATCATGTTGATGTTCCGATCATGAAATTTTTGTGAAAATGTGAATTTCATCATCTCATGTGAAATAATTGTGTAATGCTCGAATACTACTACTACTATTTGAGATCAGGATGTTCTGGATTGTTGGCATACATGACCGAGCATGGACCCTATCAACTCAATCAAGCTGGGAATATGCTTATTGAGAATCCATATTCATGGAATCAACATGCAAATATTATTTATTTGGAACAACCTTATGGAGTACGTAATTTTAGTGGATGATCTTCAGCCATTCTGACACTGTGTCATGTCTTTAAACTCTGTCATTGAATATATCATTGTTTGATGATCTATTCATGAACATTTAATGATGATTGTTTCTTTATGGATTGATTACTATATTCACATGATTGAATCCATGTTCCTCATAGGTTGGATACAGTACTGCAAATCCTGTCAATTCCACAAATTATCCTTCAGGTGACAAGGAAAGCGCAAGAGATAATTTGAGTTTCATTGTTTCCTTTTTATTTGAACTCTTTCCTGAATTTTCCAAAAACGCATTCTTTGTGAGTGGTGAAAGTTATGGTATGTTTTTCTTTCAAAAATTGAAACTCATACACGAAAATTGCCTTTCAAAATTTGTTATTGATTTCACACAAACAGGTGGCAATTATGTTCCACTTTTAGTTCGAGAAATTTTGAAATACAATGCCAATCAAACATTGTTGTCAAGAAAGATTGCACTCAAAGGCCTCAGTGTTGGTAATCCAACAATGGATGGAAATTTAGATGCTAATGGTTACTTCCCTTTCATGTATAATCATGCATTGGTTGGAAGTGAAGAATTTTTGCAATATCAAAAAGATTGTCCAAATTTCCTCACACCTTCTCAAAAGTGCCAAGACATTATCAATATCATGAGAAATAATATTGGTCCAATTAATCCATATAATATCTATGCCAAGTGTTTGGGAAAGCCATCGATTGGTGGAGCCTGTTTCACTCATCAAATGGTCTACTCTTCACAACTCAAGAAGAGAGTACCACGACGAGTGATGGATTCTCAAACGTATATTCCTTGCATTAATGTGACTACAACTACAAATTATTTCAACAGAAGAGATGTTCAATTAGCCCTTCACGCAATTGGAGTGAGTGAGAATACAAAGGAGTGGGATGTCTGTTCGCCTTATCTTCAATACAATGATATTGTAGATTCCATGATTCCAGTTTATCAAGATATTTATCAATTGAATCCCTCTTTACTTACATTAATTTATTCAGGAGATGTGGATAGTTGTTGTCCTTATCCTTCTACTGAGCTTGCTGTCATGGTAAGTTGTTGTTCATATTCATTGGATGATGGACTATGGTCATTTGATTTGTTATGAATCTCGAAATATGAAAACGTTAGAAATTTGGATTTTCCATTTCCATTCCGTATCATCCTTATTATTTGGATAAACAAGTTGTGGGATATATTAAGGGATATAATTCTGAGAAAAACATTTACTTTGCGACAGTAAAGAACGCCGGACACATGGTACCAACGTATCAACCTGAAGTTGCCTTAATGTTGTTCAATGCCTTTTTAACAAGCAGCTTGTCGACACTCTAATGCGTCTGATCATCACGACCCAATCATTAAATTTTGTAGAATTATTCATGTTGATCATTTTCATAAATTGCATTGTCAGAAGTGTTGGATTCTCCTTCTTGGGATGAGCTCTCATGAGGCAAAACGATTTTCTGTAATTTAATCTTGCCATTCTCAATAGTTGCCTTAAACCCTTGCTTGGCCAATAACTCCTCGGTTGACTCATCGAGGCTCTCTAACTTGACCCCTGAAATAAATTTAACATTTTCTTCATTATTCTCGCACAAATTCCTGACACAAAAAACTCCCCATTCTCTCAAGACTGGACACACGAATCGTGAGGAGGAACAGATTAAGGATGATAAAACAATGGATTGCCAAAATTAGCCGGGAACTTGTTCAAAAACAAACTTACATGGATTTGGATCCTGAACGGCACAGCAACTCAATATCAATGGAATTCCTTGCTCCTCTCTAATGTAATCCTGTATTTCCCTAGTTGCATATGTCAAATTAGCAAGTGCTCTAACAAGAAGTGATTTATATCCCATGTACATTTGATCCTCTTCGTATTCGTTTGGTTGGTTATCGACACTATGATCACTTTCTCGTGTCATCACAAGCAATCCTGTCTGGTTAAAAATTTCTGTGGAGACAAAATTTATCTCTTGTTTGATTTCTTTGTTCACACACGATAAACTCAAAAGGCTTTTGTTAAACACAATTCGCACAAAATGAATTCATCGCGTAAGCAAAAAACACTTACTTAGACACCATCTTGTGCATTCTTTTCTCAAATCAACTTGAAGAGATTTTTCCTTAGAAAGATTAATGAGCCCACTTAAACTTGCCATACATTCCAAGCATACAAAAAGGCATTCGAATTGAGTAAAAGTGAACATGTGTAATGTGTTGGTAGTTGATGGATGAAATTTGTCCTCAAACCGACTAATCAAGTTTACGCAAAACATGAGTAAGTGTTTGTAAGTTTCGCTAGCACGTGCCGGCTCTGTTGCTTGAGTTTCCTCTGAACAAAAATGATCCATAATCTCCAATAGATTCAATAAAGTGTTATTCTCGTTGACAGTATCAAACAATTTTGAGAAATATTCTTCTTCCTCGAAGAAAAATGGTTCATCTGCTTCTGTCATGTATGCCTTACTTAAAAAATATTTCTTATAAATTAAAAAGCTATTTGTGAAGTTGTTTTTGAAAAAAGTTCAGAGTAACTTCCACGACTTGAACTTACATCCATTCTTTTGTCTGTTTTGTTTCATATAAATTATCTAACAAGTCAAGCATGAGTTGTTTGTTAGTAAAAAATTCTCCTCTAATTAATACATGTGAAAATAGTCACAGTTGAACAAGTGTTATCAAATAATTTTCATCATCGCTATTCATTCCACTTAAATGAATGACGTCATACATACTCGAGTTGTAAATTTCCCTTTGCAATACTATTATAAATACTCATACAAGCAATATTGGTCATGTTCTTTCCCTTTGTCAGAGCTTTTGGAAGAATCTCCTTAAACAAGATATGATCACAAATTTCGTACAAGTAAATTTGAATCGGTTTGTTTGCTGTCATTGCATTGGCTACCACTTGAAGCAAAATTAGAACTGTTTTTCTGGAATCATACTCCTCCCATTCTTCATCATGTTCAAAATAAGACTTGAGGATGAGCAAGCAATACATGAGTATTCCTCCATCTCTCAATTTATTCTGAAATTCTTCGTTATTAACACAACCATTTCTCCATTTAGCTCCGATATTCATGACTTGTTCTTGAAACTCTTCCAATGATGATGGCATTCCATATTTCGTTTCACGACTCTCTTCAATAATTCCAGATTCCACAGCATAGGCTTGTAGGTCTTTTCCGAACATTCTTACTATCTCATCGGAAAGATTTAACTTGTGATGAGAAGACTTTGAATGGGTGCAGCTGTTCAACATTTTTTTGGTTGTTCTTATAAAAAAAAAATTCTCTTACTAGTCATAATGAATGAATAAATTGATTTTGAATACACCAACTGGTAACTTGTCCGAGCACCATGATTCAATTGGACTCGGTGATCATCTTTACAAGGGTTCACGTGTTATTCTGTTTGCATTAAGTTCCGGGACTTCGAACACATTCACGTGTTTTTCTATTTGCATTTCCAGATTCTATTTTCTCTTCCATTTTCTTCTTCCAAATAAAATACCATCTCTCTGCCTTGCCACCTTCCAATCATCAATTTAATTGGAACAAAACAAAACAACAACAACACATTCCGATCATGGCCAATAACAATAACAAGAACGAATATCAACATTTGGAGGAAGAAGAGGAATACGTTCCAACCACCAATATTGGCAACGGTGTTGATACAACCTCTGCAGTAGTTGAACAACACAACAACACCCTACTCAGCCTACAGCCGTTACCTATCAATTGCCTCCACAACAACCAGGACAGCCTTTGCAATACTTTTATGTCGTTCAACCTCCTGTATCTGCCGCTGATCAACAAACACATGGAGGCCAACAACAACCCCAACTCTACTATCCTCAGGTGTATTATCCTCACTTGATGGGACAACCACAGCAACAGCAACAACCAACCAGATTGCCTCCACTTCCTCAAGTCTCGCAACCACAACAACATGCTGTTCCTAACCAAAACAATTATGCCTATCCAACTACTACTCCTACCCACAGTGGTAGCGGTCAAATTCCAATTACTCAGGAATCCTACGTTAACGTACAAGGAGTGGAACCTATTCTCGTATTGTTGTGTAGCTTCCTCATGCCTGGTCTGGGTCATCTCATCATTGGTATGCAATCAAAGGGAGCTGTTTACTTTATTGTCAACTTTATCATGGGTATCATCATCGCTGCCACTTCATGGATCTTTGTAGGATTGGCATTCATTCCTTTTGTTTTCGTTTATTTCATTTTGATCATGATTGATAGCTATGTTCTTGCAGATCGATTGAAGAAAGGTTATCCTGTATTGAAAGGAGAATGTTATTTCAGAGTTACATCATGGGGTGTCTCCTTGTTGGAAAAGAAGTCTCCTGTCTTTGTTCATGGTGTCGATGAACCACTAGAATGGCAACAAAAGTGTGAACAAGTGAGAAGACAACTCAACCTTTAATTCCACCTTTTGCTTGTTAGTACTCCTTTGTAAATAATTAAAATTACAAATTCGCCAAACCATCCTTCACATCTCGTTTTTTGGTCAAGAGCCTAGCTCAGCATGCACACATTTGAATCTGAATAAAAATTCAAAGAGTCCACCCACTAAATCATCATGGGACAATCACCGAGTTTCACAGAAGGTTAGTCATTTCTCGATTTGATCACACTTTAAATTCTTTCAATTTCCATTGTACAGATGCCGATAGTGACATTCAACAATTTAATAACACTCCTTCCAATACACCCGTCGATGCCAAAGTATACTCTTCTCTCTATCTACAAACTTCTAAAATTGAATTAACGTGCTCCGAAGATTTATTTGGCCCTGTCGAACAAAATATATGGGCCAATTTACCACTTGATGCTATTCGCTACATTTTCGAATTTCTCTCCTTTCGAGAAACGTTCACTGTTTCAGTTGTTTGTAAGAAATTTAATGCCTTGTGTTGGAAACATTTGAAAGAAATTGATATTTGTAAAGAAAGTACATGTGCAGCTCAGGTATGTCTTTGAAGATCTTTTCAAATTCACAACATCATCGTGATCACAAATGTACGGATTGATGATGACTTCTGTGTTGAATCTTTGCGTCTTTTGAATCAAAAAAAACTCTTTCAAATATTCACTCGACAGGTAGTGACAGATAACATTCTTTTACGGGTCATTGCACTAGCCACAAATATTGAAAGTTTAAGCTTGTATGGTTGCAGACTGTTAACAAACACAAGTTTAAGTGCCATTGTTCATCAATCAGAAACGTTGACAAGTTTAGATCTTTCCTACACACCACGCTTGAGTTCTGAAACTCTTAACATCATCTCCAAGAAATGCACAAAATTGAAAAGATTAGTTTTAGGAGGAATGTATAGTTATCAGTATGGTGATGTGAACCAAACATCGACCAATTCTTTTATTTTCCCTAATTTAGAAATTTTTGTACATCGGCGAGCTCAGGATTTTGGATCTGGATTTATTTCCTATTTGAAGAATCATGAAAAGACATTGAAAGGAATTAATTTAGAGCAACCTCAAATCATTCCACATCACAGCTGCACTATTGTAGATTCCATATTTAGCAATGAAACATTTCAGAACAATTTAGTTTTTCTCAATTTGGATGGCATGGCAGATCATGTCATGCAATTACGACAATTGACTGCACTTGCAAAATTCAAGAATTTACAAGGATTAACACTTTCAACATTGGGACAAAATTTAAATGTTGCAGAAACCATTTTGACAGGTATTGGAAATAATTTGAAATATTTTGTTGCTTCACGAATGGATCTTTCTGATGAATTTTTAGAAATTCTTCTCAAAGTTGGAATGAAGGAAGTGAAAATACTCTCCTTGTCACATTTAGCCTTTTCATATGGAACTGCTCCAAATCGAGCACAAAATGTGAAACAAATATTGAAACTCTCATTACAAAAGAAAGCATTTCAAAATTTGGTTTGTTTTGAGTATTCATTGCCACCAAATTTCAAAGATGAGGAATTGGGAAATCTTGTTTCGCAATTTAAAGAGCTTAAAATGTTATTCACGTGGAGAAAACGACTTGGATTTGAAGATTATTAATTTTGTGTGAGAGGTTATTTGGTACATTAAATGGTCGCTTCTTCATTTAATATGTTCACATTTCGAGTGAAATTTATTTACATTTAGTTGAATTCAATGAACTCATAATTTTGTGCTTAGTGTATTTTACAAAACCTTTCAAAGACCTAACTCGCTCAATGAATTCACAATAGACGTATCAAGCATTTGAACCAGATGATTCGCTTCATTCTCGCTCAACACTTGATTATCCTTTGAATCTTTTTCAATATATTTTGGAGTATTTAAATGAAAGGTTGTGTACGAGTACCATGAGGTCCACGACTCTGGAATGTCCATGCAGAACAAGGTCACTGTTGGTTGATTTGTTCCTATTTGATGAAAAATCAATGGCTCATTATCGTCATCTTGAATCTTCTGTGGTTCGGAACTCTCTCGTACCATGGGAAGGAAATATTGTTGACCTGAATGATAGCAATGACTGGAAATTAATTCCAATCGAATGTCAAACATGTAGGTGAAGAGTTTACGTGAGAAGGATGTAGATTTCTGATTGATCTGCTCAGTAACGTTGGAGCATTTGAAATTCTTGTTTTCCTCCTCGACATAATTTATACATGGCATATTCTGCCGAACAGTTTGTGTTGGAATGAATGGTTTCCACTCGTTTCACTTGAAAGAATTGATTCACGAGAGAACCACACAAAATGATACTCGAGGCATTTCCATAGTGATCATGAGGAAACTGATCTTGTTGAACATGATGAGGATGGCTTGGAATCGTGCGTTCATCTTCTTGAGAGGTCGTGTTGGAAGAATCACTTTTGGTAGTTGTAGTGTTTGTAGTAGTGGTGGTTGGGTAAATATAATGTAAGCGAATTCGTTTACGTTCACTTTGATAGAGACAGAATGAGTAGAAATTCACGGCATTACTTTTCCTAGCTTGTGGTAAGATATTGATATCTGAAAAACACAAATCTTGATAGAGTTGTAATGTTGCTGTGGTGTCCACACGAGAATTTTGACATGGTTGAGGTGAACTATTTTGAGAATTTAGAACATGCACGGCGAAGGCTCTTCTTAACAAATTCACTCCAGAACTGTGGACATTCTCTCGTTTGTTGTTTTCACATGCTGATCTTAAAACATGCAATGATTGAGCAATATTATAGTGTGAATGATCTCCCAAAATAGAAAAAAGTAAGGCATTGGATTGAGCTTTATAAATCCATGAAAATCTTTTTTCAACTTGTGGATGGACACATTCTGAAATGTTAATGAGAATGTTTCTTAAATCATGGTGCGAAATGAATGAAGAACAACTAGACATGTTTTCAACGTTATTCTGTATTGCCGAGGAGGCATGATTTGGTAATTCGTCACCAAAACATCCTTCTTGTGTGAAATGAAATTCTTGAATTGGATACAAGTGTCTCTTTGTTTGCAAACTGCACTGATTTTCTGGTTGTTGTTTCATTTGAATCTAGTTTGTTGTTTTTTTTAATGGTGGTCATAATGAATCTTGCATGGTGTGTGGATTTAAATAGAAAACAAATTCGGGTTGGTTGCAATGCATATTGAAATGAATAAATAGCGCAACAACGAATGGCATAGTTCACCACTAAAATATAAAGTACCACCACCTGGCACCATAAAGAATTGATTTTCTTCCAATTTCCAAAACTAGGTGGAGGAATGGTTTACACGGTTACATGTAGATTGAGAGAAGCAAAGATATTTATTCCATTACAAGATCGTTGTTGTGCCAGTGTTTGAAAAGTGCTGCCTTACGTAATTCCTGTTGCTGAAAAAAGTCAGAGACTTTGATGGATTAACACAATGCAATCGTTCTCAAAGCTGAGACTAAACCCTGTACGCTTACTGCTGCATTAGGTAATTTAAAATGTTCAATTTCCTCTGTGAATGGAAAATGAGAAAATTTGCGTTGGTAAGGTCTCAATTACAAAAAAAATGAGCACCAAACACGCCAGCGAGAGTGATGAGGAAGATCTTTCTATTGAAATTATGCATGTACATAAAATTGATCATTCATCATCTCCGAGTAGTAGTAATAGTGGCACAGATCGGACTGGTACCGACAATTTAAATTCATCATCACCATTATCGTCATCATCAAGTCAATATTTCAACAATGATGAATATCGATTTCTGACGCCGAGAGAACGTATCAAAAAGTATTACTCTTCATTTACATCATATAACAATATGGATTTTTCATCGGTGTTGAACGATCCAAAGGATGCTTCATCTACATCCTCTCCACTCCTTTCCTTGTCCATGCTTTCATCGTGGTTTTCATCGTCGTCGTCCTCTTCTCAGAGCAATTCGGCATCAAATTCTTCAAAAAACACTCTTGACGAAAATGGAGACGAGATTATCCATGGACTTTCCGCAGAAGACTATGCATTTATTGATTCCCTCAGTGAAAAGAATTATGAATCTATTCAAGTAGAAAAGAAATTTGATTCACGGTACCGAGCACACAAGTCACGAAAATCAAGCAGTGAAACACCATTATCATTGGCAGTGGGAAATGAAATTTCGTTATCAGACTTTAGGAGCTATTTTGAAATGTTGGAAAAGGTTTGTGAAATGTGATTTATTAACTGTATGATCGGCATTAACAAATTACTTTCCGAATTATATTTATCCAATTAATATAGTTTCCCAATAGAGACGATTTGAAAAAACAGCTTTCACATCGGTCTTTAAAAGGTAAGTGTGGCGATATATTTACTTAACACAACGACTCTATAAAATAATATTCAAAAATTCCAGAATTCTCTTCCAACGCAAGTTTGTTAGAATACATGACTAAACGGAGGGCATTCCTGCTTACTTTTTTGATGAAAATTTTGACCTATCAAAAGCAGAGTATTTCAACAAAATTTTTAACACAGAAAATGAAGCAGCATCTCTATTGTTACAAGAAAAATTAAGTTATTATCTAGACCAAGTAGAAAACCAAGTTCAAAAGCAAGTCAATTATCGATCATCAGAAATATTCGACTCCATGATTAAGTATAACGATTTATATGAAACATTGCTTCAATCACTTCCTCTTGTACAAGAACTGAGGAAAAGAATTTCAACATATGAACAAGGGGCCGTGTTACGGCCATTGGAGGTTGCAAATTTAGTTCGAAAAAAACAAAATTTGAACAAGACAATCGAATATCTTCAAATTATTGAGTCCATGCATGAAAGTATGGAGGCCGTTAAATTGTTAGTGTCACAGCGCGGAGATTTATTATCTGCTTTGGAGATTTTATCAACTATTGATCATACATTTCAGAAAAGCATTGAACTTTCTAATATCTCATGTCTCAAACACATTCCCAAAGAAATTAATATTGAACTTCAAGTTATTGATGAAACAATTAAGCAAGAATTTGCAGAACTTATCACTGAGGTTATGAGCGACACCGAGTCATCAGAATGGACTTGGAGTTTATCTTCTCTTCTTACTTCTGTGTTGCATAGAGATTTATCTAGCTCAGTAATGCTTTATACAAAAAAGCATGTTGGCACAATATTGATGGAATTGTATGAAAAAGTAATGTCACCCCTCAAAACAGATGTGTCAGAAGATGTAAAATTGACTGTATCAAAACTTGAACCTCAACAATTTTGCGATATGGTAAGTAATGTCATGACGATCCCATCTCTAACATATTGTTCAATTTTAACAACAATCTAAAAACATACCCAGTTCGAATCTTTGACCAAGAAATGCCTGGTAAAACTTGAGAGAATTTCAGAGTTCTCACAAGCTGTAGATAAATTCTGTAAGGAAGCCAACGAAAAAACCAATGTAAATACCGACAAAATTGTGGTGAACAGCGTCAAGCTGAAAAACTTAAATCGGGAAACTCAAAAAATTTTGCTATTTATGAATGACAATATTCAACAATATTGTTCAACGATATGCAGTGCCATAGATAATAGTATCATCAAATTTCCAAATGCCACACTTTCTCGGTACATGACCATTGGAAATAGCTTTATAGATAGCTGTGACAAGTTGTGCAATCAGAAATCTTCAATTTTGAAAGGAAAATTCCAATCTCATGGACAGATTTATCTCGACCAATTCCACACTATTTATGTACAACGATTGAAAAAACGTTTAACTCGCGACAGTTGGGAATCTGTACCTAGCATTCCAGAAAAGTATCAAAAAGCTGCTCTTCAACTTTTGGGTACCGCTACTGCAGCCACTGTATCCACATTTACATCTTCTCAAACCACTCCTACCAAAAATTCCTCTCCTGTCCCTTCTCTACTTCGGTCAGATTCATCTCCAAATCTTGCGCAAACACCTACAGAAGATAAGTCCTCGTACATTGTTGCCAATGGAATCAAGTTTAAACTTTCAACGAGTAGCTTGTGCCTCCTCAAATTCATATCCAAATATTGTACTCTACTTTCTAAGGAATATGTGTTCATTAGTGCAGTAGATTTGCATGGAAGAATTCTCAAACTTATGCAAGTATATAATTTGGAACTGAGGGAGTTGGTACTTATGGCCAAAGCAAGAGAAATTAACAATGCCATTACCACCATTACTCCAAAACATTTGAGTAAGTTTGCAATTGTTTGAAGAGTTTCTGACTAATTTATTTACTCACTCGCACGATTCACAGTTCTTGCATCTGATTGTATTCACTTTTTAATCATTCTAGTTCCCTATATTCAATCTAAAATTGAGGATGCTCTTCAAGAAGGACAAAAAAAACAATTGGTTAAATTCAATGATTTTGTCAATGATTTGTTGGAGCATCGTATCTCAATATTCGAGAAAATTATTTCAATTTTAATAGAGGCTCTAAAAGCGCAATGCGATGGAATTACCAACTTTAATTGGAATGACAAGTTGGACCAAAAGACTCAAACCCCATTCATTACCATGATTAAGCAAACTAATAGTGTTCATAGAACTTTAAGTTCGAGCACATTTCTTTCTTCCAATGCAATGGAACTTCAGAAATATTCGACGCGAGTCTATGATTTACTCATTGACAAGATTTGTGAAGCCATTCAAAAGGTCAACACTTCATCAACACCCAATCTTTTTAAAACGGAGCCTGTCAAATCGCGTGTGATCGCTGACATTTCACTCATTCAACGAGAAATCACAAAGAAGACCGAATCATCATCCGATCTTCCAAAGATTGAAAAATTGAACAATTTAATTGTTTGAACAAGTTTGTAAACTATCCACCATGCTGTTTTAGAAAGCCAACATCCTCCTCAAAGCACAGTCAGCTTACTTTGAAGCCTTAATTTGTGGTCGTATAGACAAAAAACCCACAATGATTCAGCCAAATTTCCACTCTTGCTTCTTTCTGCAGTTTATTGGACTCTCTCTGTCCAAGAAGGGAGAAATATCTGTCAACCGTGGTGATTCCAGATGATCAAATACTTGCCCTACATGCTCCTTCATGATTCGTCGGGTTGGAAAAGGTCTAGAATTTGGGTGTGCATTGCAATGGTAAGAATCATGAGACAGAGTTTTGTCCTTCACAAGAGGCCATATTACATTGGCTAAGAAAGTTTGATCTGCAATGTAATGTGATTTATCAGACCATGCCTTGATTTTCCCTTTCATGTCTGGAATGGCTCCTCTGACAGCACCCCACATTCCTGATCGAACAACGGAGTGAATTTTCAAAAGTTTTATGATATATATGATCATTTTCAACCATGCATGCGATGGTTTTTCGTATCAGCAACCATTTTCATAACCTACCTGCATTAAAACGGTAATTGTGGTTGGGATGATCCCTCATAGAATGAACTGCGAAACCGCTTTGAATCCATTCTTCGATAGCTGCAGCCTCACGAGGGTTTAATCTTGAGTCGGTATCTCTTACCAAGAATCGTTCGACAGTTTCATCATCTGCAACCAGAAACCTCCAAAATGTACCAGAATAAGCTTGTTTTGAGTGATCCTCTCGTGCCGACATATCAACAAGCTCAGATCCCATCTCTCTCAACGTTGCCAAAATATCTTGTGGGACGCTTTGATCATGATAAAACCTGCAAATCCAACCAGGAAGAATATATTTTACCAATTCTGCATTCCGAATGGCACCGATGACATATTTCGGATTGTTTCCATAGAGGCTATAAGAAACAACGTTCTTCTTCTTTGTTTGATCTAATGCAACGATTGAAGGCTGAGGTATCTTTTGTGTTACCTCATTGGACAATACATCATTATTAACGTTCTGTTCCTTCGGTTGAGATGGAACTGAAGGATGATCTATTAAGGTAAATATGAAAACTTCATCTCCGTCCCTTCAACAATTGAATATGATCAACATACACGTATCCACGGAATTGATATTACTACTATTATTATGGCTCTTAAAAATCACAAAGGATAAGGAAAGCAGCGTGAACACCACTACCATCAACCACGTAAATTTTTTCATTTTTTAAGCCTTAAACTCAAAAAAATGAAACAATTACAACATAAGAAAGTTCTGTTAACGCTGGTGCTGGCTATTATCGGCATTATGATGATGGTATTTGTTGTGTTTAGGAAGAATAGAATTCTATCCATCAACTCGGAATGGCAACAAGACCAAGCAACTCGCGATGTCCCTCCTTACATCCAGTCTCCATTGGCCGTATGCCCCAAAACAACAAATAATGTAACAGTTGTCAAGGAATATATTATAAAAGAGATAATCAAAAGAGAAGAGGAAACATCCATCAAGAAGCCAATACCCTACTTTAAAAATTATAACTCTTACACTTGTGGAACGGATAAATGGCAATTTCAATATACTAAGCGCCACTCCGAAGCTCTTGCAAACTTCAACAAAACTGACAAGTATCTCGTGTACCGATGTAGGACAGGAAATTGTGCTGGATGGGGAGATAGAATAATTGGTATTATTACAACATTTTATTTTGCCTTAATCTCAGACAGGATCTTTTTGATTGACCATTCACATCCGGTAGATCTTGAACATTCATTGACATTTAATGCCATTGACTGGCGATTTTCGGCGCACAAACAAAAACTTGAAGGGCTTTCCTCCAAATATTCGATCAGTACTTTTGTGTGGTCGATAAACCACTCAGAAACAGTTTGAGTTTGAAGATTTTAGAAATTTACTTTCTCATGATGTGGAATTGGTATTATTCAACGAAAGAGTTTACACTTACATGCACAGCAATCCCAAACTAATTGAAAGAAGAAAAGAGCTTGGTTTTGATAGAATGAATTTTTTCGATATATTTGGATGCTTATTTCAGTACCTGTTCAAACCGAGCATGTCGTTGAACGATCTTGTCCACCCACTTTATTGGAATCAATTTAAGGCAAACGTTACACAGCAAGTTATTGGAGTTCAAATACGAACGGGAGATGGGGTTAGGGAACCACCACGTCTTTTAGACACATCCAAAGCAGCATTTTGGAGTTGTATTGACCAAGTGTCGGCAAATATTAAGAAAAGATATCCAGAACAACAGGAGCCAAAAATCTTTTTAACTACTGACAGTCAAGCAATCAAAGAATATGCAAAACACAGATATATGGACAGATTAATTACATTCAACACACGAATAGCACATATTGACTATGAAGCATCTGCAAGCATATTTCAGTCCACCCTTGCAGAATTTTTAATGCTTTCCATGTGTGACGCATTTATTATTTCAAGGTCAAACTTTGGAGAGGCAGCTTCCATGGTCAATTTCAATCCTCGATTTAAAATACCAGGAGCCAAGTGCGACCATAATCCTCCAGAGTTTGAACTTGCCTCAGGTCATATAATAATCAGCAGCTTCAAAGCGCAGTAGAACTCTACGTAGCATGAACTTTATTCAACGCATCCAACACAGTTTTCACACTATGCTCCACGTTTATTCTCCAATTTCCCCAATTAGTATTACACTTGGAGTTGTTGCATACCACTTGAACGTCAATGGTAGAATAAGAAAACCAATCGACATCTACTAAATCTTTGAATGAGGTGAATGGAAACATATCAGGACAAATGTGGACATAGTGCGCTCCCTTTTTCAAATAAACTACATTCGCCATACCAGCACCTCGTCCAGCTATGAAAATAGATGCTTCATGAACTATCCTCAACTGCTCGACGAGAGATATCTTACTGAATTGTACAACAATAAGCCTCGTGTTTTTTGGTAGCTGCGTCCTGAGTACGGAGAGGAATTCGTCCTCGTTTTCAATTCGTTTGTTGGTTGCATCTTTTCGGGACAAATATACCACGTTATGCAGGTTGAAGTTTGAGGTGTAAGATATCGATCTTTTGAAGATTTGATGATTCCAAAATAGGTGAGAAAGAATGTTCCCATCTCAAAGTACAGCTCAAGACATTTCCTTCGATTAGAAACCTCGCTGAGAGTAAAATGGTTTCCCTCTAAAACTCTGCATGATACATCAGTCCAACGAAACCTTTTTAAAGTAAAAATCAGTGTCATTGTAATTAGTGATATATTTTTCGTCTGTCCAAAAAACATTTTCAGAACCGCCTGCCAGTGCATATAGCAACTGTACTGATTGAAAATTTGGGGACAGCAGGATTCCTTATCATGACAAGTATATTTTCTGTAGCTACAGCAAGTGTTTGTGTGAAGTAATAATGCAATAGAACGTCTGACTCCACTGTTGTAATAATCCCTTAGAGTTTGGTAAATAAATACATAAAAATCCATCATTGCATGCCACATGTTTTCAAAGTCCAGAGGAACTGGAGATACACAGCAGCATCAAAGACGAGATTGTTGGATGATCTGTGATGGGCCAATCTTCAACTTCCCAAATTGAGAAATGCCTTTGGGACCACCTTCCACTCTCCAAAATAATGGAAGAGGCGTTAAAGGAATTATTGGATACTGCTTGATATTTACAAAAGAAGAATTTCTTTTTCGGAAATTCCACTTTCCATTACTCATTTGAACGTAATTGAGTTCATAGAATGCATGTGCATCTCCTTTGGATTCAGCAGAATAATGCTTTTCTACTTGATTACTTGGTTGTTCCGATTGTTGAGATGAAAACTGTTGGATTTTTGAGGCATTCGGAACTGTTGAATGATTGTTTTTTAATGTCGGGCCAATATCTGGCTCAACAGCGCTCCTTCATAAAGACAGGTTTGTTGTACAGAGTTTTCAAAATGAGAAAATCGGCGAGAGTTGGGAAAGTATATAGATATTAAAAAATAGATCAACAAGGCTGTAATAACAACCATTGAGGCAAGCACTGCAAACTTTATGGAAGGTTTTCGCATAGGTTTAGGATAATATTTTTTTAAAAAAACACCATTTCGAAAGATGGTCCGTGCTCCTCTTCTTCTTCTTAATAAATTAATAAAATTTAATAAATTTACAATTGTTGGCCATTGAGGTCAATTTGAATGTCTTGTTTTTGTTCTGGTTTGGAAGCAACAACATGCTCTGCTTCAACTGGAATGAGAACTGGTTTCTTCTTCTTCTTCTTCTTGTCTAATTTACGCCAAATACTGGTCTTCAATTCTACATAGTTGAATAATTGATCAGGTACGTTGACACCAGTAGCCAATTCAAAACCTTCAAAACCAGGTGAAGAATTAATTTCACAAATCTTGTAGGTATCACGATCAATCAAAATATCAACACCTGCAAAGTCCAATTCAACACTTTGTGCAGCACTAATGGCCAACCATTCTAACAAGTTGGACAATTTGACTGGCTTGACATAACCTCCTTGATGGAAATTGGATTTGAAGCCTGATTTGGCAACACGCATCATGGCACCAATGACTTTACCACCTAATACAATAGCTCGAATATCTCGTCCCTTACTGGCAGCAATAAATTCTTGAATAATCATTGGCTTTGTGGTATCTAACATGTCTCCAAGACCCTTAATTTGATCCTCACTTTGAACGAGAAGTACTCCCTTTCCTTGAATATCGTCGTGTCATGCATTTTTGTGAATATTTTTATGTCAAGCAAGAAACGGTCCATGTAAAATATAGAGTGATAGCAAGTAATGGTCAATGTCAAATATATATGTATAGATGCACACAACACAACACTCCTTACCTTGCGATCCAGAAGACTTTTTCAAAATGATTGGAAAAGAAAAGTGGCGTGAAATGATTGAGGTGTCAATTGGGAATCGAGCAATCATGGTCTTTGGAATGGCGATTTGGTCCTTTGCTAATTGTTGAAGTGTTTGAAGTTTATCACGTGTCATTTCAAGTGACTCAAAACCATTCAAAACTAAAATGTCTAACTTTTCTAATTGTCTCACCACAGCCAAACCCCAATAATCAATACTGATGAATGTATAGCACGCATAATGCGGAAGTATTAAAATCATTGAGAAATGTCATACGAATCAGACTTGCCAAAACACACAAACTCCTTCAAATACTTACTGTGCTCCTAGTCTTGGCAAGACAGCATCAGGGAATTCTTCTCTTGGAATGACCTCTCCATCATACATGATAGAATTTGATCCATCATGAGCTACCATCATGTCAAACTTTTGAATTTCCATCAACTCGACTTGAATATTTCTTCTCCAAGCAGTCTCAAAGAAACGTTTTGCAGAATAGGTATAATATGGTAAATCATTCTTCATTTTTCTTCCAACAATGAGAATCCACATCTTTAACACTGGGTTCTTCAATTTTCTCTGATAAAAGGTTGTGTTTTGAGCATTGTAAATTCTAATCTTTTGTTCTTCTCCAATCACTCTTGGTTTAAGAACAAACTTTTCATAATCCTTTGGAATGGTAATTTGGATGGTTCGTTTTGATTTGTTTTTAGTCTTTCCATTGCTAAGAGTTTCATCGGAAGATGAAGTGTTTGAACTGGCTCCAGAATTATTTTGCTGTTGAAGAATATCATCCTTCAATGAGAGATCGGCAGAGATGGTGGTTTGTTCAGAAGATTCATCTTCATGATGATGATGATCCGATGAGGTGCTGCTACTGCTGGTTGGTGGAGTGGCAGCCTCAGCAGCACTTGTTGCTTGAACGAAGGTTGCACTACTACAACAACACAAGATTGCAATCAGTAGTATGGCAATCATCAACGAAACAGCTGTCTTGTTGATCATTGTCGGAGAAGGTATTTTCATACACAAGCTTGTCATATTTCTCTCTTGATATGAAAGGAAGCAAAAAAGTCAAAGAAGGTCAAGAGAGGTCTTGTTGCAAATGTTGTCGTCTAATATTTTTTTTTGATTATCCACAGACCCAATTCATGTTCTTTGGAGTCTAAACACGTTCAATGGGTGACGTCATACCTAGAGAGGTTTCAACGCACTCATTTCAATTGAATCCTATGAAACATGTCGAATTAATGAATATGGTCGGAATAAATGTAAATATTTCATTTTTATTATTGTGAAGATTAAGAACGTTGGATGGAACACATTCTACGAATAACTTAAGACATTATTGATTCTTCTTGCTTTGATCTGCCAATTCAAGAATTTGGTTATTAGCATTCATATAAACAGCATATGGCAAAGCAGTTGGAATGAGAGCCAACAAGAAGAAGGTAGCCCATGTTGCCAAATGAGAATCGTGCTTTCTATCATAATCAGCTTGAGTAAGAACTGGAATTGATGGTAAAATATTACTCTTAGCGAAAAGCTTCAATCCGGACTTTTCATCCTTTTCAGGTGTCAAACGATAGGAAGCAGTGGCATGTTGAGTAGAGATCTCACCAACACTCTTTGGAACAATGGTGTAGGTGAAGGAAACCTTCTCGTTGCTGCCAATCTTGGCAAATGTAGCCTTTGATTCTCCTTCAATCAAATCAAACGAGCTTTCTGGCCATTCATTGTCTTTTACTTCTACATCATAGGCTGGTTCTTCACCCAAATTGAAGAGAGTGATCGTGAAGGTCATGTTGGTATTGATGATGGCTTCGGCAGGAGAAACGCTCTTATGTAAAAGAAGTCTTACATTATGTTGTTGCTGAGTAGTACTAGTGGTTGGTTCAGTTGATGATGTTGTTGTTGTGGTGGTGGTGGTATCATCTTGAGCCAAAACTACGAGCGAAGAAACACACAAGACCAAAAGAGCAGACAACAAGAAGGCAAGGGAAAATTTGATACTCGATGATTTTATCATTTTTTTTTCTTTGTTGTGTGTCAAAAGCCTAGTGCTGCGGTGAGGTGTTTTTGTAAAGACGTCGAGAGGTAAGCTTGTTTTTTGTGGGTCTCCAAGAGTTCTCTTAAACCTGATTTACATTGATTGGTAGGGAAGAACTGATGAATTTAAATTGTTTTGGTGTCAATCATACGTTAATCTTTTGTGTACCTTGTAAAGAAAACGAAAAGGTATTGCAAAAAAATGAAGCAAAGCTCTGTGTTCAGAAATTCCAGGTGTTTTTATGCACAAGCCTTGTCGTATCATCATCACAAGAATTCCGTTGTTTTGTTACTTAATTTTGGTACTCCATCCATAATTTCCTCTCGGGATTTCTCTACTACTCTCTCACCCAATGTAGAAGAAAGGGACAAGAGATTTTCCCATACCATCTTGTTACCAAAGACTCCTTTCAAAACAAAAATTTCTGTAGAGGAGGAAATTAATTTACAGAAAACATGTACTGAATATGCATATCGGACCCAAAAAGAGCAACGATTGAATCAACCCAACATCAAAACATTTACTTTACATGATGGACCACCATATGCCAATGGAAATCTTCATGCTGGACATGCTCTCAACAAAATTTTGAAAGATGTCACTAACAGATACAAGATACAAACAGGTCACTTGGTTCAGTTCATTCCAGGATGGGATTGTCATGGTCTTCCAATTGAGATTAAAGTCCTTCAAGAAATTAAAAAGAAGAAGAAAATGGAAGTGAGCGGAAATTCTGATCCTTCCATTAGAAAATTGGCCAAAGATTTTGCAGAACAAGCCATTCATTCACAAATGAAAGATTTCAAGCGTTGGGGTATTATGGGAGATTGGGACAATCCATATAAAACAATGAATCCCATGTTTGAAGCTCAACAATTGAGAATTTTCTTGGACATGCTTAAAAAGAAATATATATTTAGAGGAAAGAAGCCAGTGTTTTGGTCTCCTTCAAGCGGAACAGCTTTGGCTGAATCTGAATTAGAGTATCCAGATGTTCACATTTCTAAATCGTGCTACATTTTATTTCCAATAGTTCATTCAGGTGTAGAGACAAGTCTCAACGAGAAATATGGAGAACTTTTTGCAGTTGTTTGGACAACGACACCATGGACCTTAATGTCCAATGAGGCAATATCCTATAATAATGACATTGATATTCCATCATTTATGATCAGGACAATTCTAGAAGATTAATCATTGCATCCGATTTGCTAAAAACTGTTTGTGAAAAAGCAAGTATCAAGAATTACCTTGTATTGGAAGCAAAGAAGGGAAAGGATCTCTTTATGAACAATCATCATGGCGATGATGACAAGACCAAACTATCGTCTTATCAAAACCCACTCACACTCAAACTGACAGACAACAAGAGGCTTCTTCCATTTCTGAATGGCTCTCATGTCACTACCGAAGTAGGAACAGGATTGGTACACACTGCACCCAATCACGGTATGGAAGATTTTCATGTCGTGAAGGAAAATAACATTCCCATTGGTCCATGCTTTGTGGACGAGCAAGGACGATATAACTCACAAACACCACTCGAAGAATTGAGAGGTTTACCTGTTCTTGATCAAGGTAATATTAAGGTCATTCAAATATTTGAAGAAGAGTTATCCAAATATTTACTATTCAGAGAAGATTACTCTCACCGATATCCCTATGATTGGAGAACCAAAAAACCTATCATTATTCGAATGACTGAACAATGGTTTGCCGAGTTGAAAAATCTGAAATGTCTTGCCAAAGAATTTGTTGATGAGAAAATTGAAATGATTCCAAGCACAGGAAGAAATCGTTTGAAAGCATTCATCGAGTCGAGAGATGAGTGGTGCATTAGTAGACAAAGAACTTGGGGTGTTCCAATACCTGTGTTTTATAAGAAGGATAATCCATCAGAATATCTTGCAACAAGTGAAAGTATTGAATATGTCATTGATTTGATTGAGAAACATGGCACTGATTATTGGTTTGAACAGAATGAAGATGAATTGTTGGCACCTCCCTATAGAAATCAAGGCTGGCAAAAAGGATTGGATACATTGGACGTATGGTTCGATAGTGGTACGACTTGGTTTGGAGTGATGAAGGCTGCAGGCATTCCTCTACCGGTTGATGTTTATTTAGAAGGTTCGGATCAGCATCGTGGATGGTTCCAATCCTCTCTTTTAACAAGTTTGGCTTATCAGGGTATTCCTCCCTACAAGAAAATTGTTACTCATGGATTCATTACTGATGAGAATGGAAAAAAGATGAGCAAGTCTTTGGGTAATGTGATTGAACCAGAATCCATAGTAAGCAAGTATGGAATTGATGTATTGAGATTGTGGGTTTGCTTTAGCGATTTTACAGTGGATGTAACAATAGGAAAAAGTGTTTTTGAGAAGCTTTCAACGAATTTGAAGAAGATTAGAAATACAGCCAAATTCATGTTGGGAGTTTTAGAAGATTATGTACCACCTCCTCAAGAGAATGGTCAACAGTGCTACTCCAATTTAATAGAAGCAGACTTGTATATTATTGCAAGAGTGAAACAATTTTGCGAGCAAGTGACTGAGTGCTATGAAAATTTCAGCTATTATAAGGTGACTCAACATATCATGACGTTCACATATGAACTTTCTTCGTTTTATTTAGATCTCGTCAAGGATCGATTGTATTGCTCGAGCGAGGAGGTGCGAAGACCATGTCAACGAGTCATTCAGTACATTCTTGATTGCTATACCAAAGCTATTTCTCCTATTCTTTGCCACACAGCTGAGGATATTTATCAATGCATGACCTATAAGAAGCACAACAGTTTGTGTGAGGAGGGTTGGTTTGTTTCTCCTGAACAATTCTTTTCAGACATTTCACTTCCCAATTCAGAACATTTATTAGAGAAATGGAATTTAATTATTGAACTACGACAAGAGATTTACAAGGTCATTGAAAAGGCAAGAATGGATAAAGTATTTCGCACAAGTAATGAGGTGATGGTTAATATTGAAAGAGTGGATTGTGAAAAATTGAAAGAGGCCATAGCACCTCTTCTCACACCTTGTGCAGTCAATGATCCAATAGCCACACAACTGGATGAGATTATGATGGTGTCCCAAGTGAATTGGCTGAATGGATCTACCTCTGATAGTACGCTCTATTCACACTCCTACAACACAAGCATTGATGGGACCCAAGTTGTTCTCTCTATCTCAAAGGCCAACTATCACAAATGCCCTCGTTGTTGGCGCCATACAAGTCCAGTTGAAAACGAGCCATGCCAAAGATGTCACAATGTTTTAAGCACAATCCCTCAAGCATAAAAACTTGAGATCATATGATTCTAGCAATTTTACACTGTTATTTTGTTTGTTGTTACAATTACTTCCTTTTTCAAAGCAGTTCCTTGTGTGCTCTGTACTTTAACACTTGTTATAAATGATTTTACTGTGGTGTGAATGCTCATATTTGATGTCACAAAATATATGTACTTCTTTTTTCCAATCAAAGAAAAGGTTCAACTCTGCAAATCGCAACGGTGCATCTCCCCATCTTCGAATGAAAATATTATTGGATTTGTCAATGTAATCCACAAAATCTAAAACCCTGTGATCCAAGAATCGGTCTATTTGTACCACCTCAAAATTATTATATACCATCCTGGTATTTGGAGTGTAAGAATTGAGAGAAGCGTTGGTAGGTCTTGTATTTATATATTCTTGAACCATTGTTGTCATACCTGCAACAACCGGTCCTGCATCTTCATCAAGTGCAATGGTTCCGTATGCATAGTTATTTGCTTTCATCTTTTCAAACGGATCATAGCTCATTTCTTCTAATATAAAAGAATCGGTGTCAAGCCTCCAATAGTATTCATATTGTTGAATCACTGGTAATTCAAAAATTTCCTTAAAGTAAAATCGGATCATGCATTTGTAGCCTAGAGACCATTGTACTTTGACTGGCTGCTTCACTGGATCCCAATGAGAAGGTATTTCAAATTTTATGTAATAGTACTCTAATGGAACTTCCGACGCGATAGATTTTGTCATAAGCTTTACCTGATTCAATGATTCTTCTTTTAGAGATTTTTCATAAAATACTAATATGGGATATTTGTATTTCATATTGAAATTTTTGTGTAACAGCTCAATGCTCCTTAAATAATTAGATATTTCATTCTCATGGAGAAGATATACGATCACTCCTTTCTTTTTGAGAGGTATGGTTACATGGTTGTTGCTTGTTATCGGAAAAGTATTCGTTTGTTCAACGGAAACACGATTCTCTTTTGATTGCAAGGACAAATGGCTTTCCCTATACATTTTAACACCGTCCTTAAACGTTCCATAGAACAACCAATACGAAGTGATGAACATGAGCAGCAGAAACAATATTAAGCCTTGAAACTTGTCCATTTTTTTTGTTCATCATGTTCCTCGTCAGTACACATTTGGCTTTGTGTTCAGTCAAGAGGGAACTTCATGTTACTTCTTAAGGCAGTTGTCTTTATTGAAATGAAACAAGGACTTCTCACTGCAAAACTTTGTCAAAGGTACTGACATAATCTTGTTGTTATCAGATAGATAGAGATCAATTCTCAAATTATTCTTTACATTTTGTAAAGAATGAATCGAGGAAACGTTTTGCATAGTGGTTTCCCGTTCCAAATAGGTCCTCATTTCACTTCGTTGCATGTTTTCGTACAAGCATGGACAGTAAGTGTTACATTTAGGTCCATTGGAATGAACTGCTTGTGGATATTTTAGAGGGTTCAGTTTGTTGCTTACAGTACATCCATTAGAGTTGAGTTGAAAGTACTCGCAAGCAAGGTAGGACGCTAAAAATATAGAAGATTGGCAGTCACCAATGATTGGGAACTTTTTTTCAATGTATAAATAGTGAACTACTGCTTGGTCATCAACCTTCCTAATGTCCATTCCGTCATGCATGATGGAAACGGCAATTTTAAAAAACTTCTTAATGTCCTTTTTTCTTCCTAAATACATTCCTGAATTTAAATACAAAAACCCTGAATCTCTAGGACAGTATGTTTTAACAGGATAGAGATGTCTATACTTGTTCAAAAACCCTCTATCAAAATTCTATCGTAACAATTTAATCATAATTTAAGAAATGCAGTTGAGACCTACGTACCTTAACGAATACTGCAAATTCCCCTTCTGATGGCCACTTATTTCTCTCACAATTGAAAATGATGGGCCAATCTTGTGTGGTGTTGTTCATTTCTCTGAAATTTTCAAGCTCCAAATAATCCATGTAGCCCTTGATCATGTCCTGTGGTTCTCCAGTGAACATGGAATCAAGTCCATCAAAAAAGAAAATCAAATCCTCTTCGTGAATGAAATCCGATGCTGTGCTGATTAGAAAATCATGGACACGAACAAACTTTTTCCAGTGGGCTGTTAAGGTTTCAGTGCAAAAATCGTTAAAATTCCAATGTAAGGCTCTTTCACTTACCATAATCATCACCATACCCAACTACGATCGGAGGTATCTTGGTGTCTATATTTCTGGAAAAATATGAGGAAATAAAGGTAGAACAGGCCACCTCAATATTTCTACTAGAAGTGCTGGTTTGATTGAGAAAATCAAAATTAAGGTATGTAATTGGAAAAACTTTTCTTTGAAATGGAGGACTTGTAATCTTTTCCGATACTGAAGGCTGAGGTGGAGAGGGAGCGGTATGAATTGTTTTTTGCACGTTCTTGTTTGTTAGTGAACTCATAGATTCATATCCCTTTCCTGTTTGTTTACGATCATTCAGGACAATATAGTACAACACACACCCTCCCCATACGAGCAGCGTCAAAATCAGTAAAAGCCTTTTTGGCTCCATTCCATTCATTTTTTGGTGCAGGATCTACAGCTTTGAAGTTCAGCCTGAACTCGTGAATCTGCAAGGGACCAAAACGTTTTCTCGAGCGAGCAAAACACAGACCAAAAATGAACTGATTCATTGTTGGCCTCTTTTCGATTTAAAAAAAATGAACTTACGGCTTAAAACTCTGATCACCTTAATCATTCTCGGGTGCGTGGGATGTATGGTCTTTCTGATGGGAACAAGTTTTAGAAGGAAAGGTGGTGTAGCAGAAACAACAATACGTGAAGGAGTTAACCATGCTGCTACTATAGTCATCAGTAATAATAATAGGATAACGAAAGATTTAACAATTCCGATACCATCAGAGGAGGTAGAGCTCGTTGAAATATCTTCCATTGAAAAAGGTATTTCTCGGCAAAAGGCTTTTCAAATGCAATCCAGCCAATGCTCAGCAACCATGAGTGCAGCTCGCTCCAGCTCTTCTCTCTTCGCGCCCACAACCTTTCTTACTCATAAAGAAGAGTGGTCAAATTTTTCTCCTTCTGTTACGGAAATTCAAAATGAAACAGATATGAGAGAGTGGTTTTCAAAGAATATGGATTTTTGGAAGAGACTTACCAATATGAATTATGGAGAGGAATTAGATTCAAGAAAAGTTGAGCTTAACTCTCTAGGCCTAACCCTTAATGCACATCTTGAACCCGATCGAGATCATTTACCGATATGGATCCGAGTGTTCAGAAGAATTGATCCCTTGCATCATGTTCTGGATGCCATATGCAAAGTAGATGATATCCACAAAACCACTCTATACGTTACTGTAGATGGCGACAAGTTTGGAAGTATTTTTGAGCTATTGCTACAAGTTCATTGTGTCAAAATCAAGATTTTCTTTCACCCTTTTTCTATAATCGAAAATCCTTAAAGTTGGCACACATTTCTAGTAATTCCTTAGTTTTAAATATGCACTACTCTTATGGAATGTACTTGTTAATCTCTCTATTCAAATATCCCTATGTGATCACTTTGGAAGACGATTTGCAACCCAGTCCTGATTTTTATCTGTATCATAAAACTCTCTACAGAGATGTTTACGTGAATAATATCTTCAACAATAAGGAGTCAATATTTTCCATAGGAGCCTATACACATGGACCAATCGTAGATTGTAAATTCCTCATGGCTCGATTGCTCAATGAAGGTACTATTTGCAGTTTGAAACACATGAATCAATTGGTCACAGAATTGTATTTTCCAGGATGGGGCTCTGGGATTGAGAGTTCCATATTTTGGGAATATTGGAGTATTTGGAAAAACCATCCTCACATCATTTATGATGGTCTGCTTGCAATCTTAAAGAGAAATCGTTTTACTCTCATTCCATGTTCACCCAGAATTCGATTGTTGAGAAATATGGGTACCAATGGTCCAGCAAATCATCGATGGGATTTTTATCTGAGCTTGTTTGGAAGATGGACCAATGCTACTGTGGAACGACACTATGAAATTATCAACTCTAAAATTCAATGATATTGAGCTCTTCTCTGGCCAAGAATATCCTCTTCGGTCAATGTTAGAAGAGAGTGTTTATGATCGAGCCATGATGATGACGACAAGGACGAGGAAACCAATAGGAATGCGTGAAACAATAATTAACAGACCAATGTGTTTGAATGGTTGACAATTTAAATTCATGAACAACAATTTGATCAGTACCGTAGGATCATCACTTGATGATCTTTAGGAGAGACTCCAAAGTAAATTATTTTGTCGAGATTTTCGTCGATTTCTTTGTCATCTCCATAAAAGAAATTTACATTTTTTTAAAAATTAAAAAATATTTTCATCAAAACAAAAAAATCCTCTACACTCCCAACAACACGATGGTAGGTTGCAACCCATGATTCAGTGAGAATTTTGTGTGTGTATTGAAACATACTCTTTCACTTTTACTCTCCCTATATATTTACTTTCAAATCTTCCTACGGATATTCTCCATTTTACGACTCAAAACATTGGACCTCTACAACAATAACCATCACTCACTCGGATTCATTCTCTCTTATACACGCGTGCACGTTATCTCAACAACATGTCGTCATTTTTCCTCACATACACATGTACACTCATACTCCACGACCACCCATCAATGATCACTCAACACACAGGTTTATTGGCTCGTTTCCGTTCCCTATGAAGGTACATCCGAAAGTGATAGCAGCAAGACCTTCAAATTCATCAAAGACTCACTTCAACATCAACAACGAGTTTGTGAATGTATTGAATTCAAAGTACCAAAATTGAAAGTAGGAACTGTGGATCAATTGTTACAACTTTCTGATGACTTTAACAAGTATGATAGCAATTGTGAACAAATTACAATGAAAGCATTGAAGACTTTGGCTGATGTGTGTATGTATTAGTGTGTGTATATGTGTGTGTGTTTATATATTTGACATACATGATTGTAAACCCTATTACCATGATCTTTTGAATGACTTACACTGAACCATGAACATTCCCTGAATGACTTACTATTTGAATGAATACTTGACCAATGAATGGATTGTGAATGAATGACTCGTCCAACTTAATGGATGGAAACGAATGAATGACTTACTATTTGAATGAATGATTCGACCAATGAATGAATAACTTGACCTGGAATAGCTGAATTGACTGAATCCAGTGATTTTGTTCCTGAAGTCATTCTCAAAGAAGACACTAGTGTTCCTGTTCAAACCTATCTTGACTTTTTCCAATGGGATGATTCTCAATTTCTTATTAACAAACCAATTCGAGAAATTGCAGACTCTATTCACAAGAAGGCAAGCAAATTGGATGAAGAACTTCGTTTCAAGATTTCTGAATATACTAATTTGAAACAAAATGTTCAACAATTGGAACGTAAAACCAGTGGTAATCTCTCAGTTCGTACATTGGATGGTATCATTAAGAAGGAACACGTATTAGAGACTGAATATTTGACCACAGTGTTTGTAGTAGTCTCTAAGGCTTCTATTAAGGAATGGGAACATGATTATGAGAATTTGACTGATATGGTTGTTCCTGACTCTTCTGAATTAATTTATGAAGACAATGACTCGGCATTATTCAATGTCGTGGTATTGAAAAAGATTGCTGATGATTTTAAGAGTGCATGTTTGAAGAGAAAATTTGTGGTTCGAGAGTTCTCATACGATGAAGATAAGGCTAATTTATCACACATGGAAAAGGAAGAAATGGATGAAAAGTTAAAAAATACCAAAAAGGAATTGTTGATTGGTGTCAAATGGTATTCTCTGAATGTTTTACTGCATGGATTCATTTGAAAGTCCTTCGTGTCTATGTTGAGTCTATTTTGCGTTATGGATTACCACCATGTTATACAGTAACTTTATTGAAGATTAAAAAGAATGAAAAGAAGGTTCATAAATTCTTTAAGGATCATTATGGACATTTGGAAGAACAAATGTATGGTACTCAAGAGAATGCAGTGGATTTGGCTAGTATGGGAAGTGCTGCCATGATGTTAAATAATTATGGTATGGAATGGGCACCCTATGTCTTGATTACTATTAATACTTCAAATCCTTTCCTTAAATTGGAATAAAGTTTGAATCTATCAATGGTTGTCGTATAGTTTGTTTGTTGTTAACGTTGTTTGTTGTTGTTGTAGATCGTTCAACATGAAAACATGATACTGTATATCAAGAAAAACATTCAAAAAAATGTCAACGAATCAATCACAATGATTTGTCAATTGACTTTCAAGCTATCAATGTCGATTAACATGTACCATTCAAAATTTCACATTCAGAATATGATAAGCAATTGTGCTACATGATGTCACATTTGATTCATCCATCACATTGAAACTTCATGATACATCATGATTTCATCAGATATTAATGTTAAGAGTTTCATAGATATTCACTTTCTCACACAGATGATTAAGAATTGTATCAACAACAACAAATGTAACAATCATCATCTGTGACAAATTTCACTCACCAATGATCATGTTGTTTTTCAAATATTGACCTAGAAGATTTCAACGTGTACACTTTTCACACATGGATTCTATATTGTTTTATCAATTAATAGAGAATTTGTTTAAGGACACTGTATTTTCATTGCACAATTATGAAATTGGAACTCATTTCCCTTACATGTTGTATTTAATTCCTAAAATTGAAGAGTGTGTTTCGAACCAGTATCATGATGACATGATTAGAAGATTGAAAAGAACCATAAGAGTTTATAAGTTTTTTTTGGAATTTCCAAATTGCCTTTTTAAAGATGCAACACACATGAGCTCTCAATTTCTAAAATACCACTCATGAAACAATGTTTACAAGCAGGTTTTGAATTGACGAGTCCATTTCTACAAGAATTGATCAATACATATGGACATGGACAGAATTCTTTATTATTTGGATTTACATCCAGAATTGAAAGCATCTAGTTGGTTTATTCACAACAACAACAATCAGACATTCAATATTGGTGTGAATATGTGTCAACAATTGATGAAGGAACAATTTCCAAAAATTATTTGGCAAGTACATGATACGAAACAATGTCCCAAATTTGAATCTCGTGGATATGATTCAGGAATATGCTCCAGACACGATATTTCCATTTGATTGCCGCAGAAGTTTTCATGTTTCATCAACCTTTCGCAAAGTCTTGTGTCTATTTACAATATCCATCGTACGTGAGACAAGTATTTGATTCCAACCGAGAAGATTCATTCATGGCCACTCGAGCATCATCAGAATATACATTTTCAGTACAGGTCATTCCCAAACGAGTGACTCTCTCACATCGAAAACGAACAAATTTTCAACATCAATTGAGTCAAATCGATGAGGATGGAATCTTACTATTTCTCACTGCCCAATACTCCTGGGGATGAGAGAAGGAAACGATATTACACCAAGTTATTGAAACTTTTACAAGCAAGTGGCGTCACGAACAAACCTATCATTTGTGTGGTAACTGTGCGTGTTGGCAATGAGAATGATTTTGAGTTTTTCAAACCAATTTTTGAACCACTCGTACTCGTGAACACAAATTTCAAGTTTCATTATTTGCAAGACAATGGTACTACTTCATTGGATTGGTTGATCAAGTCGACCTCTGGCTTGGTTCGAAACTGACAGTTAACAACAACAACAACTTGTAGAATTCTCCTTGACTTGTGCAATTTTTTAATTAATTCTTTGAATTTTTGTATCAATCAATGTAGGTTCTAACGACAGATTTCAAAAAAAATAGACTTCAGACAATAATAATAATAACAACAACAATACATCCGTGCATTCTACCACCTCTTGGCCAATAAATCATTCATCACAGCACCCCATCGTAGAATCCCTAACAACCACAACAACCACAACTACAACCACACCAACAAGCACAACAACACCATTGATCGTGAGGGATGGTGAGACGATACAAATGACCATTCGATTAAATGTAATTTCCAACAACAACAATACTCATTGTCCATGGATCATCATGATTCAGATCTTTCTCAATATTCTCTTGAAACTCGTCTCGTTTGGAAATATACATGTTGAATGATGAAACATTCATGAGAGTGGTGGTGGTGGTGACACTAACACCACTTTAGATCACAGTGTTCAACATGATCAAGAATTGAACAACAATCATGAATATGCATCATCAGATATCCATCATGATGAATCTTTTTGGAACATGCCAAATGTTGAACTTGTTCATTCTGAATTCCATTTAGGAGATTGTGTCATGAGGTATGAATGGAGCAGTGATGATGAGAATTGTTTAATAGATGATGATGGATCACCACTAACAATGACATCAACATTACTACCAACATTACTACCAACACTACACAATGAACTAAAAAGTGATGAAAAAGAGAATACACCACCACCTTTGAAATCTCATAGATACACTGTGATGATTCATCATCATTGTGATTCCAGAAAATACGAGCTTGTTAAAACCAATCGATCATCATCAATATGGTATTCCCTTGAATTGAATGGTTCCATCATTGAGACTCATTCCAAGAAGACATGTCATCCCATTCATTTTCATGGATTTCCACAATTAATTTAAAACATTCAAGAACATCCATTTCACAACAACAAGAATGCAAATCATTGAAAATTATTGAAAGAGCTGGTATACAATCCAGTAATCATCATCATAGATTTTCATATCCACTCGATGTGACCATTAGTGATCGAAATTCTCTCTTCTACTTGAACCTATAGTCAAAAAATTGTAGTCTTTGAATGATCATTCTGTGGTGAAATTTACAATGAATTGTCCATCTAATCCTAGATGTTTGGCTATTAATGAAAGTGATAATACAATCATTTTCACGTGTGATGATAATTATGTTTACAAGTATTCATGGGATGGTTCGAAACAAATTTGGAAATCAAATGAAGCACAGGTATGATTTTCTTGTTGAAAGTTTGAATGATGAGTGTGTGTGTGTTAATGTATATATATGATATATTGATTTTAATGTATATATGATATATATATATTTATGATTCATTGACTGATTTAATCATAATTGCCGAGAATATTATCCAATAATATTTATTGTTGATTGAATCATGAACAACTTGATTTAAATTCAAAAATTTGGCCTCAAGGAATTTCATTATCCAAAAATGATGAAGATATTTGTGTGATTTTGAAAATTCTATCCAAACATGATGGAAGTGTTTTGAAAAAAATTGAAAACGGAAAAGGTTCTCAACCAGGTCAATTCAATTGTCAAGAGGGATTTTGTATTGATCGAACGAATGGAAATATTATTGTTTGTGATTCTTTGAACCATAGAATACAAATTTTTAAATCTAATTTGGAACTCGTGAGTATGTTTGGAAGTTTGGGAGACCAACAAGGTCAACTCCAAAAGCCAACAGGTAAGACATCGAGTTCCAATGAAATATACTAACAATGTTTCTTTGAATTCTAATAATGATGATGAACAACACGGCATGACTTTAGGATGTGACTTGAATATAAACACTGGAGAATTATTTATTGTCGAATGGCAAGGAGAACGTCTTCAAATTTTTGATTATTCTCACTTGTTATCAAAATCTGGACTTATTTATTTTAGAAACAAATTATTCAAAAATATTGGAAAACTTTCTGACATTATTGTGGAGACTAGAGAATGATCGAAAACTTGGAAATATCAATTCCTCTCAATATATTGTATTATATGCGAATTGCAATATACATTTTTCTGGTAGTAGGTTATTGACTCCCATTACTGCTTTCGTTTGTAGATTTGCCATTTTGCTCCATCCATTCCTTCTTCCATCAATTGCCAAACAGTTCCTCCTGCCTTGATGGTCTTCTCAATTTTTTCAGTCTTTAATGTTCCTACATCGTGCAACATTAAGTATTTGGGTTTGCACTCGGCATCAATCGTTTCATATTCAGCCCATCCAGTGTATTCATTTCCATCAATAAGAACTGCATCAAATTGAAATGCTAAACATAAAGGATGTAACCAAGGTATGGACTTTTTAGAGAGCTCAATATCTCGCTGATAATACAACCTGAAATGCTCTTCATGATTTGGAATTTCCTCAGGTTTCAAATACTTTTCAGTTGGCACTGTTCCACCCAATATAAATCGTACTGGAAGATGAGCAAACTTTTTTCGAGCATATTGCCATGCAGGCTCATAGAGTTCAATGGTGTAGAGTAATTTATCCTCTCCTGATTCTTGTAAGCCCTTAGCAATACATTGAGTTGAGCCTTATTAGTTCAAAAGACCAAAAATACCATGACAATAGAATCCGGATGAATGATCCATTCCATGATTTAAGAAGAAAACCTACCTCCTCCGAACCATGTACCAATTTCTAACACTGTACGAACGTCATCTTGTTTTGCAAGTTTGTACAAGGCTTTTCCAAAGGATGTCTTCATAGTTACCTGCCCATCTGTACCAGGTGGTGAATCCGTTAATGAATAGCATTTACATTCCTGCACGGGAGGGCAACTAGGCTTCTCTGGAGTCAGAAGAGGCATTGAGGATGTTTTTGGACAATACTTTGCACAGGTTTTTTCCGAGAGTTGTTGTTGTTGTAGATCCTGGTCTTTTGAAGACGGGGATGATGATATTGAGGTAAAATTTCTAAGCTGATAGAACCCTAAACCGACGATCGATAAGAGTATTAAGAGTACAAAGAGTCGTTGCTGTGGATGCATTTTTTAAAGCTACATATTTTTGCTTAAGGACAAAAGTTGTTGGATGATTGATCTTTAAACCTCAATGACCGACACTTGAGAACAAACTACTCTCGGTATGGTATAACGTACTCTCCATTTGAAAGCATGGGCGTGATCGAACCAGTATACTCTGAACTCTCAATTGTGAAACACAATCATCAACAAGTTATTCTACCACTAGTACATTGATGCGGAGCTTCCAATCTGAGTGGAACAGCGAGCTGTTATTGAACAGACAACTGAAGAGAAAACCTCAAAAATGATAACACAATTCAATCCGGCCATTTCCTTCTTTTTTGCAGCTGATTGATAAAAATCATTTAACCTTTTTCGTTTCGCTTTGTTAAATTAGTGGTGATCCTGGAAACCAGACAATATTAAAGGAAAGTCAGTGAAGGACTCAATGTTTTGAATTTTTACAACGATCGTAAGGGAAATAATAGGAGTAATCATTGTACACCTTTGGTCGAAAGGAATCAAAAATCAAGAGCTGGAAATTTCAAGCTGCCAGAAGATCTCTCCTAGATCAAGATCAGGAATCAAAGAGCAACGATCAAGGTCGAAACCAAAGACATAAAAGATGGTATTAATATTATTAAGGAAATGAAAAGAAATATCTTTAATATTATGTACGCCCCCTCACTGTTACTGCCTCCATAAAAACGTTTGCACAAAGGAGTGGTTTTGGAGTAAATGATGACACAGTTGCAGAACTGCAAAAATCAAAATCAACACACTACAGTTCACCGTTTTGGCAAGTGTTCAAGATGATCTCGAATTGCAGTTACAACATCATCAGGAATTTCAAGCATTGAAGTGTGTTTTCCTTTTCCAGCAACAACAGAATATCGAATTTTCAAATTTCTAGAAAAGCACATGTAGTCTGCTGGTAGAAACATATCAGAATTGTTGTCCCATGAAAGTTCTACAATAGAAGTGACATGTGGTCTACAAAATATAATATTTCCCAAGCTAACAAATATATGGTTCACAAATCCTTAATACTCACTCTCATAACCATCTCAATCCTCCAACTTACCTTGCTCCATGTGGTGATACAATTATATCTGACTCAAAGAATTTCTGAGCAATGCGTATCATGTTTTGAGATTGTTCATGATCAATAATGTATTCTTGTACAATGTGCTCTTTTGAAAATTGCTCTTGCACCTTGTTCATGACATCACGATGATTACTAACGACACGACTACCTGCTCCAAGTCTATGAATCACGGTGATTACTTTCTTTGAGGATATTTGAGGTTTTCCAAATCTCTTTTCTGTCATTCAGCAATTGAGAAAAGAATAAAAATTCTGCAATGTTCATGTGTGGGAATGTATCATCGTCTGCATGGTATAAGAATAGCTTTCGAGCTCTCATCACTGTACCTAATTGTGTTTCAACGAGAGGTCTCGTACCATCAATGATTCCAAGCTCTTTCATCAAAAGATAGAACTTTTTAGCGAATGGATTGGATGGCCAAATTAGAGGTACATGTTTTGGAATCTCATTGTACATTCTGACAAGTCTGGGGAGAATCTCAACTGGGAAATGACCTGGAGCTCCTGGATAAACACTGTAACCTGGACTGGCCAGAACATCGAGATGACGAACGGCATGTGTGATTTCAGTTTTGAAACCATTTTTCTCTCAAGTTGAGATTGAATAATTTCTCCAGTGTCTGTCCAAGTTGACCAAAATATATCTCCATGAAAACTATTTTCATCCACCCATGCACAATCAATCTCTAAAATCCATGCTTTTTGATGAGCTAGTGAAGTTTGAAGATATAGTATTGTTTTTTAAATGATTAAGGAATTTAAAGGTAGGTAAGGTTCAACAACTATGTAACTTACGCCTAGCACAGTAACCTCCATCAACAAAAGACCTCTTTGCTCCAGCTCTACATTTTTCTGTGAGCTCTTTCAGATAGGACCTCGAAGGTTCTCGACAAAATATTTCTTCTGTTGATGATGAGAGCTTTGCAGGCTCAACCGTTCGATAATAATCAATTTCTTTCTGGCTTAGCATGAATTCTCGAAATACTTTCATTTCTTGAGGAATTCGCAATCGAGAGAACACTCTCACTGCACGGGAGTCTTTCCACTGTGATTCATGAGAAAAGTGAGGAGAAAAATGCTTTTCTGGAAATCTGGTATTATTTTCCTTCTGCCAAATCTCATCTAAGGGACATGATGAAGGCTTGGCATTTGTATTCTCCTGGTTTTCTAATTCCCGATGGTGTATGACGCTACAATTACAGTAATCCTTTGATTCCGATGAAGACAATATATCTAAACAAGATTCTTCATAGTTTGAGTGTTTGTTGTCTCTGACATTCATCGTTCCTTTCATATTCCAAATGATCAGAACCTCAAATAAGGCAAATAAGAACAACACTCCAAAGACAAAATTTTTAGTGTCCAAGAAGAACACTGCCATTTTTTACTCGAATCTGATCGAATGTAAAGAGCCTTTCAGTATTCTTTGAACAACAACTTTCATCAGCTCACTCGATGTTCTCTTTTCTTAAACCTTATTGTAGTGTCCTAACACAACCGTCTTTCAACTGTTTCATTGATCGAACCTGGATGTCGTTCCATCATCTGTCATCTCAAAGTTGACAACTCCACAAAAAAAATGGGTAAATTCGAAAAACTCTCAGAACAACAACAAGATCAAATCCGTATTGGTATGTAATTGTGTGGCTGTTAGGTTGTAATTATCATCATTAAATTTTGGATTTCACTTGCTGGTTTTTTTACATCATTCAACAACAATACTTGTGTATCATGATACGACCAAACAAACAACAACAACAATGATCATTAACTTGATTCTTTGGTAATGATCATGATGGTATCACATTCACATCATGGTTCATATTCATATGGTAATCATCATCATCATCACAAATGACTTGACATCCACTGACATCAATTGTTGTGAAACTTGTTCGACAACAACAACATATTGCTCATCATCATATTCACACTCTCCTGACATTCTCAATAACAACATCGATTAGCTTTCAAACAATGCGATAAGGATGGTAACAATGTCATTGATGTTACAGAATTGAAGGAAATTCTGAAGGCATTAGGTGAAGAAGGTACTGATACACAAGCCAAAGAATTGATGAAAGAAATTGATGACGATGGAAATGGACTTATTACGTTTGATGAATTCAAAGAAGCCATGGCCAGCTGGATGATGCAATAAACCATCTCATTATAATTCTAAATAAATGTATGATTATGTTGAAATGAATATTCAGACGGATGATGTTTGAACCTGGTGGTTGAACCATTGATTGATTTTTCAAAGTGGCAACGTCTTGGTAGCCAAATAACCGAACATACATTAGAATCCGATAATTTGTTATCAAACGAACAATATTATCAAAAATTAGACCTCGGATTGGTGGTTGTCAAAAACTGAACTTCAACTTCTGCAGAATCTGTCTAAAAGTTGCGGAAACGTTTCCTCAATAACCCCTGAAAATCTCGTTGCTGCTGATGGAGAGGAAAAGTGCGTCTAAAAATATAAAGCAAAAACATTATCAAAAAAAAATAATGCTTTCATTTCCATCCAATACCAACAACCACACCTCATCCCTCCGTGCGGGATCAACACTTGCCAAAGTATTGAATACAGACTTTTCCAACATTTCGATTGGACACAAGATGAAGATGATCTCTCTGATCCAATGCGTGATCTTTCTTTTGGCTTAAATGGTCAAATGGGATTCACTCTTCCTCCCGCGATGAATAATTCTGGTTTTCTCTCGCAAAAAGAAAAATTAGAAAAGACCTATGCCAAGGGTACAACAACTTTAGGATTTGTATTTAATCGTGGTATTGTCATTGCTGTAGATTCTCGTGCATCCATGGGAAATTACATTTCATCACAAAATGTTAAGAAAGTCATTGAAATTAATCCATATCTTCTTGGAACTATGGCAGGTGGTGCAGCTGATTGTCAATTTTGGGAACGTTATTTGGGTATGCAATGTCGTTTATATGAATTGAGAAATAAGAGACGTATTTCTGTGGCTGCTGCATCCAAGTTGTTGAGTAACATTGTTTATCAATATAAGGATTATGGTCTCTCGATGGGAACCATGATTGCTGGATGGGATCATACAGGACCAAACTTGTTCATGGTCGATAATGATGGTACTCGATTGAAAGGAACTCGATTTTCAGTCGGTTCAGGATCGTTGTATGCGTATGGTGTTTTGGATCAAGGCTATCGCCCAGATTTAACCGAGGAAGAGGCTTGTGAATTGGGTCGTCGTGCCATTTATCATGCCACTCATCGTGATGCTTACTCGGGAGGTATTATTAATGTTTATTTGATTCGTTCCGATGGATGGACCAAGATTTCAAGTACAGATATGAATGATTTGCATTATGGAAAGTATGCTCTTGAGAAGGAGGGTTCTGTGACTCCTCCCTTGTTGGATCAATAATGTGTAAGGTACATATGATTGTATAAGTAAATATATGTAATGAATGTAATAGTGGATGTAATAATGGATGTAAATATATATATTACACTCTATAGACACACTTTTTTGTAACAACCTCAGCACACCATTCTATTGTAGAAAGGATTAAAAAACATTTCGATTGTACCACCACACATTTTGTGCTTGGGAACTTGAACGATTCACTCAACGTTTATCTGAAGCAAGAACAGGAACACTGAACCATGCAGAAAGGTTTTCAGCTGGTCCACAGCCAAAATCAACACAAAAAATTGATCCATTTTCGATCATTATCATCACACTCACGTTCTTTTTAAACCATCATTCCCATCACGCATACATATAACCACCACCCAAATTATAGTGTCTAGGTCCTTTATTCTATTGTTATCATATAAGCGTGTGATGATTGTACATACGTGTTAAATTTTCATTAATTGTTGTACCACTCTCCGATTTTCATAACAAATATCATCGTCATCATCATTATATTGAATCATTATTTCATTCATTGAATCATCGTCATCATTATATTGAATCATTCTTTCATCATCAACAATCATGGGAGTACTCAATCTAGTTCAAAGATTCATTGTTGCATTCATTGCCATTCCAACAGTGATGTATTGCATTAAATATCATTCTCTATTGACTATTATTACAACCACATTATCCATTGTTGGTATTTATGAATTACATGGAATTTCAAATAGAATTACAAATTTATTATTACCAATGAATGGTTCGAGTGCTTCTACAAGTACGAATACTTTAAATACTTCTACAACAAGTAATTCTACAAGTAATTCTACAACCCTTTCAGCAACAACCAATCCCATTCCACTCTCTCAACATGGTGAAATTCCAACTCCACAAGACTCTTCATTCTGACCTCTTTTCATTACTATTTAGATGTTCTATTGACACTCTTTTTAACCTATATTGGATATTTCCATTCCAATTCTGGTACTTCTAATTTGAATACTATTGATTTTACTCAACACTTGTCATGTGCCATGATTTTTATCTTCTTCTTCATCTTTGTATTGGATATGATTGTATTCAGTCCATATGGTTTATCCGATGAACATCACACTCGAACCTTTCTCAAAATATTTATGAGAACATTTTCAGTCTTTTATATTGGATTAGGATTCTCAAGTGCACTCTATTTGGTTCAACAATATCGATTTTTATTGGTATTGATTTTATTTTGTAATTGGGCAAGTGATGCCATGGCATTATTGTTTGGAAAGAAATTGGGACATTATAAATTACATCGATATTTATCACCCAATAAGACTATTGAGGGTGGAATTGGAGCCATTTTAGGAAGTACTTTGACTGCTTACTTACTTTATTTGGTGAATGAGAGAGTCTTGGATTTGAATGAATTCTTTAGAGAAGAATACAATGATTCAACAACGACAATAACAACAACAACCTTGAATCATCATTACATTCTTCCATTCCATCTTTATATCGTTTATGGTATTATATTGGGTGTATTGGGAATTATTGGAGATTTAATTGAATCTTATTTGAAGAGAATTGCCAAAGTGAAAGACAGTGGATCATTCTTTGGTGCACATGGTGGAGTTTTGGATCGTGTGGATGGTTTACTCTTTTCTTTTCCTATTATGGTCATGATTCATATGTATATGGTGTGAGAGAAGTGTCCAGTGCAGATCAAGCATGAGGTGGTGGTGTATTAAAAACTTATTTGAATCATTATACAATTGTTATGAATTGAAAGTGGTCTACACAATGTTCATTTCTAGTTGTCATGCTCCGTTCGAACGTGCACAATCTATTTTAAAACATATGGAAAAAATTGTCAAAGAATTGTTGTTGATCCTTTCCATTGTTCTACATAGACAAGAACCATTCTTTTTCCGAAACGAAACCATTTGAATAATTTAAATCTGCGATCGGTATCGAGCATCACTTTGTAATTTTCACATTACGTTCTCCATTGTATCCATACAATCATAAATTGTCCTATCCCATATCACCACCACTCATAGCATCATTCCCATTATCACCTATTATCACCCAACATTACCCAACAACAATCCCCACTCATATCATCATTCCTATTATCATTATTATCACCCAACAATAAGATGGACTACTTACAAAAAGATGTTGAATATTCCATTGAATTAGGAGAATCCATTCGAAATTTAAAATCCACTTCTCCATCTCTATCCTCTACATCATCATCCTCTACATCATCAGCACAATATCATTTATTTAAATATAAATTTAAACCTAAAAGTATGAAAGGAATACATTGGGATGGTAAAATTGAAATTGATCCAAGTAATGGAGTTGTGAATTTAAATGTTGATACCACATCCAATACTTCAACAATATTCAAAGGTACCTATGAAGAGAAACATCAAAAACAACAATTACATGATTGTGTATTAATATTTGATAAGAATACTCATACCTTTCGATTGGAACGAATTTATGCATTGAGTGGAGGATTGAATAGTGGTGCGAGTGCCAGTAGTGCGAGTGCCAGTACAAGTGGATCTATTTCTTCGAGTAGTCAGAATATTACGACCACTACTGGCATGTTGTATAATAGTAGTGGAATTAATACAGTCATTACACCCATGGTGGTTCAACCATTACAAGCAAGTAGTAGTAGCAGCAGTAGTGGAACGACACAATTATTAAATCCAATAACCACTTCGAGTCAACATGCTGTCAAATCGACAACTCCACCTAAAAAAACACCTCCACCTTCACATTCTCTTGATTTGGAAATACCATCGAAAAAGAAGAAGGAATCTCCTGAAAATAACAACACTTCAATGATGGCTCAAAAAGCACCAATGGGTCTTTCTGGTATTCCAGTCGATGCCTCATCAGCACTTGATAGTGATGATAGTGATTCGAGTGATAGCGATAGTGACAGTGGGAGTAGTTCAAGTGACAGTGATAGTGACAGCGAGAGTGATAGTGGTTCTGAGTCTGATTAAAAATTAATAATAGCTGGTGTGCAGTAGTAACTAGAATGAGAGAAGATGTGCCAATTGCTCCGCTTCGACTGACATTTTTTGTTGGTGAAAATAAAACCAGGAAAAAATGAATTTGTTCCGCTGTTTCTTCCCCGTCAAAGAGTATCTTGAAGTGGCTGAAAACAACCGCAACCATTCGATCATTGATGCAAACGTCATCAGTTATCACATTATTCCGTATTTAAATCAAAATGACGTTATCAGATTTGCTGGAGTTTGTTCATCATGGAGAAGTATTGTCAAGTCCTCTCAACATGATACTACTTTTCGACTAGCATTCGAGTTGTATGATTTGTCTAAACAAAAACTACCAAACAAATTCGGAGATGTGTTCCTATTGTTCGACAAAGTGTATATCGAGTGCTTCACAGTTACCAAATCTCATCTTTACTCTATATTTACATCGACTAAAATATCAACATTGACATTACGATATGTATCAGCTGTTCAATTCATTTCCAATGCATCGTTAACAGAACTCAATGTAACCAATGATAAACCATCTTTGAATGAGGTAAAAGCTATCTCAAAACATTTTCCTTCCCTAAAATCCTTAAAACTTTGCTACCCTAATTATTACAATGGTGACAAGTTGATCAAAATAATTTTACAAAGTCCGTTATCAGAAAAACTAGAATCATTAACCATATCAAGCGAAGGATTCACAAGTAAGGGTTTCAATAATTTATTTCAGCCCAACGTATGTCTTTCAAATTTGAAAGTACTTTCACTTGAAATCGTGCATAGGTATATTACGGATACGGAAATCGTAAGCATTAACAATTTCGACTCTTCAAGATTTCCAAAGTTGCGTAGCCTTGAATTTGTGAACATTGACTTGGACATAATGAGCTTAAAAAGAATACTTAATAGTGGAATTCAATTTTATACTCTAAAATTATTCATAACTGAAAGAATTGCCTTGTCCTCACAAAATGGATCTCAGTTTTCCTTAATTGACAAAATTCCATCACTCCACGAAATAATTATTCATTTATCCCCCTTTAATTGCTTCGATTCCGAAGCTTCTGAAAGCACTAAACATCAGATTACTGATCATGTTTTGCATTATCTTACTTCCTATGGTACACAACATCTATGTCTGCCATATTGCAACAGCAGCCATATTGTGGACATATGTGACACTATAGACGATTTAAAGACTTTTATAGTGTGTGATGGAAATATTGACACGAATTCACTTGAATTGTTTTGTGATAAATTTTCAACTCTGACTACTCTCGATATACGAGAATGTAATATTGGATCAAGTGTCAAATACATTACTAAATTGAAACACCTGACCACTTTACACGTTGGTATTTGGGATGTTAGTTCTGAAGGAGCAAAATATATATTTATGATGGAAACTCTTACAGATCTTTCTTTAATTAATTACAAAATTAGTAATACTGACCTAAAACATTTTGCAAAAGGAAAATTAAGAAATCTAAAGACTCTTCGTTTAACTAGAAGAATACCCAGTGATGGTGTAGGTATTTTTGCTACAACATGTTTACCGCACGCATTGAAACTCGAACTCTATCAAGTAACAGACAAAGCTATGGAATTTCTTTCAAATGGAAATCTTCGTATTCATGATCTCACATTATGTAGGACTAACCTCAACAGCAATGGCATTAAATTTGCACTTCAAATTAAATCAATAGAAAAGCTTAGAATGCCTACTGAAAACAAAACGATCCCACAATCTGATAAGGATGAGATTACAAAGATGGCCAAAGAAAAACATGTGAAATTGTGTATTAATTGGAGATAGAGTAATTTCTTTTACCCCAATGAGGGGTGGAAGAAATCGCCCATCCTAGCACACAGCTAAAAATTTGATTGCATCCGGGCTATTAGTGTGCTAAAATACTGCTTAATTGCAGCAACTCCAGCAACAACAGCCACCAAACAATCCCGAAATTTTTTTATTCCAGTAATTGATAGATTTATATGTTGCTTAAAACACACTCAAGTTCTGGCCAACTTTATTCACATTCAGTATCTTTTACCAAGATGGAATATTAATGATCATCTATGTTTCGCTGTTGTCTTCTTTCTTGCAAACAACCTACACTGAGAGATCACTGTTGTCCTCCAATTGAATGTAATCATGAAAATGTCTACTATTTTCAATATTGGACAATCGATTGGTTGAACAAGTACATAATTCTCAGTATCAGTAGGCAAAATGTTTGAAGAGTTTCACAATCTGAATTCAACAATACATCTAATCCTGCAATTTTCAAATTGTAGATCATGGTGTAAAACGATGGAGCCACGTATTTAACTTTTCCTTGGTGTCATTTATCCACTCACGTGTATTATTCGAGGTGTACGTTGATTTTGGAATTAGACGGGCCACCACCGAATTTGTTTTCTCCCAATCCTCATCCAAACCAAGGTGAATAGTAACCAAATTGGAAGCGTATTTCTCTCCACTCTTCACAGCAGTCAAAACTTGGTCCAATCTTTGACATCGTCGACGTCACGTGAGTTTCAAATCCAAAAATTAATCACATTTCGAAAATTATTGATATGAATAGTTCTTCGACTCTTTAGGTTTTAGTGTGAGGTAATGAAATGCCGATGCTTCTTGGTGCATTAATTGTGTTGCCTTGCTTGCGAGAAACGTGCAGCAAATTTACTATCGCCACGAGTGTTAGTGGATATGTTGTTGTTGGTGTATGCTTTTCATTTTTTTAAAATAAAAATTTTTTTATTAGCAATCAGCCGCTTCAGCGAGTCCAGCCCGCCCAAGAAATCCTCATTTCCAAAACGCTCTGGAAATTACTAGCCGGATGCAATCAAATTATTAGCTGTGTGCTAGGATGGGCGATTTCTTCCACCCCTCCTTCAGTGTAATAGTTATACCAAAGAAATAATGAAGGAATGGCAAGCAAAGCGAAATAATTTCTGAATAAATCGAACCACATAGTTTGTCCAATAACGTCTCTCACAGTTGCGAAAACATCAACAGAAGTCAAATTTTGGCTCGAAAGAGATGTCTCGTTATTGCAGCTATATCCTTTTACCATGTTGGTTAATATTCCTGGGTCTGTGTACAGTCTGAAGCATTAGTCCAAAAGCATGTGTTTTATTTATTTAAATATGTTATTGACCTAATCTTTTTGTGATCGCTTGCGGTGAAGTAGACTTGATTGTTCTTGATTTGTTTCAAAATTAACAATTTGTTGACGATTTGATTGAGGGATAATATCAATTCTATTTGGTATTAATTTATTGCTGTTTGAATAAACATAACAAAAGACAGCACGTCATTCAGTTCTTATCATGTATGTGTTTGGTACATAACTTGCTTACATCAACATGGTGATCAGCATATCAGATCAAGCTGTCCAGAAAACAGAGATCTTAAACAGAAAGTATATGTCAACATTATCGGTAATATTACATCACATAGATATCTGTGAATTAAAAACAGCATTTACAACAAAATATTATCCTTTACAGAAGATACTCTTAAATTCCGGTAAGCCCTAGTTACCGTAGTTCACCTGGACAATAACTATGGGAAGACTTTGATAATTATTTGTAAATGTAATATATAATTGTCAGCTGATTTACATCTAACATCCATGAAGACAGGTTCATGTTATGGAGAGCAGTATTGCTCTGTTTTGTAACTTCAAACAATAACAGATTAATACCAATGGGTTAGTTGCTGTATCCTCTTTGGAGATTGTTATGTAACTTCAAACAATAATAGATTAATACCAATGGGTTAGTTGCTGTCTCCTCTCCAGGAAGTGTCGCTTCTTTGGAGATGGAGTGTCAACCAACAACCTTTATTGTTGTACAGTTGTCCCGAGAAATGGATACTAGCATGTGATGAAAAAACTCAAATTGCTTTGAGAAAAACCACATTGAATGGATAATAGCTCTGGGACGAATATAGATCATTTAAATAAATTTGCTAGTAATCTTCAATCAAATCATCAACAAAATGTTAATTTTGAAACAAATCAAGAATATTCAAGTCTACTTCACCACAAGTGATCATAAAAAAAGGTTAGCTCAATAAAAATTTGTTAAATAAGAAATTGATATAAACCATGTTCCTTGAAAAACATCGCATTAATGCGACGAAAACATCGTTGAGCGAATCAACGACGGATAAAATTTAAAAAAGATCGTGGGAAAAACCCATCAATAATAAGGCCAAAGCCAATCGAAGACACAAAAGTGTCAAAGGAAATCATTGAGCAAATCAATGATACATAAGGCAAAAGACAATTAATACAACACAAAGTGTTGTTGAATTCTAAATATATAATGGGAGGGAAGGGAGGGTTTTTGCCTGTTTTCTCATATAAAGGAGAGCTGAGGAATCTGACTTCCATCGTCCTGCCACTTTCACTGCATCCATATTTTCACCCTTCTTCACCATTTCGGTGGCTCCACCAATTCTTAAACTATGTACGGTAATTTTCGCCTCTGGTTTTACTTTCCTTATAGCGGACGACTGAACCTTTTGTCTTGATAAAAATTTGTTATCTAGATATGAAAATAGAGGAGAAGCGTTCTTCTTAAACTTTTTAACCATATTAATATAAACCTGTTGAATGCACACATGAAGAATATTCATGTCTCTACTTCATGTATTTTAAAATTACAAAAGATGTTGATAACACGTCCGTAAAGCACCGTTGAGGGAATAACCATCAACTATTGCCAAATTATTTTACTTGTTTGCTCTTTGGAGAGCTGTTTTGGTTGTGGATTTGACATTTCCACAGTTTCAGTCAACCTTTACGAAACACTTCCGTTTATTGTGGGTTATTGGTTTTATCAATCAAAAAAGCGTCGACACTTTCAACTCCATCTCTCAAAAATTCAACTTGCATCAATGAATCTCCATAAACCTTAATTCTCAAATATCCATGATTGGTTTCTCTATATTCACTCCATTGTGGTTGTGGCGAATCCCATTTTGGATTTAATTCAAAACCAGCTGTACCAACATGAATATGAATGGTACCTTCAGACATTTGATTCTTATCAAAGTAGTATTTGTGATGAAGTTGCTGTGATGTGTCTTGTTTCATGTCGTTGACACATTGAAAATTTTCACGCATGAGACATGTCCTTTCTGTATGTATACACACATGCATGTATAGATGACATGTCATTCATAATAATAATAAACAAATATATATTTTGACATGTCATTCATAATAATAAACAAATATATATTTTGACCATGCATATGAGAATCATAGTTACAATCATGGTTTCAAATAACAAAAATCAACTCACACACTTACCATATGCATGAACATGTCCATACAATGCCAAATCTATTTTATGTGTTCTCAATAAATGTTCGACACTTGTTCTCAATGGTTCATAACTTCCATGATTTTCATTACTACTATACATGGGTCTATGAGTATAAAAGATAATAAATGGTGTTTTGTTTCGATCCACTTGAGATAAATCCTTTTCCATCCATTGAGTTTGTAATTTAAAATCATGTTCACTACTGATGGCAATGAAATGAATAGGTCCATAATCGAAAGAATAATATAAATTATTAGAATTGGATGGAGACTGTCCATGATGATTGAATAGTGAACGAGTAGAATTGGTAAATCTTGATTTGTATGAAGTGAAATTCGATGCATTTTCTATCCATTCATGTATGTTTGTTGTAATATATATCATGTTGGTTGTAATATAGTTTGTTGTAATATGTGTTGGTTGTATCAAGTTGAACCAGGTTTGGAAAGTGTTCAAGTATTGGTTCGGTGTAATATTTAATATATCACATGTTGTTGTTCGTTGTAATATATCACATGTTTGGAAAGTGTTAAGTAATATTTAATATATATATCACATGTTGTTATTCGTTAATAATATCAAGAGATCAATACCTACCATGATTTCCATTACAAACGACATAGGGTATTTTCTTGGTAATGGGTTCAATCATATCAAACCATGTATCCCATTTGTATTCATGTTCCGAGTTCCATACGTAGGGAATATCACCTACATGAATAATAAATTGAGTAGAATCCATATGATGTTGTAAAATAGATTGAATAGTTTTTTGACCATCTCCATAGATATCCATGTCACCATAGACTAGAAATTGGAATGAAGGTTCAATGGATGGAGGAATAGTAGTACTACTTGGAGTTGTTGGAGTTGTTGTAGAACTTGTAGTAGTAGCACTTGCAGAACTTGCAGTAGTAGTAGTAGTACTTGTAGAACTTGTAGTAGCACTTGTTGTTATTGTGCTCTCACTACTCTTCGTCATTGTCGCATCGATAGCACTTTGAATGGAAAGTTCTTGAGCTTGTTTTCGATTTAAAATATCAAAAGATTCAATATTGGTTGAGTGTGCACTCGATGGATCATGATTGAAAAGAATTCGATAATAAATACGACTTGTTTTCTTCAGTGGTTGTTGTTGTTGCTTCTTTTGTGGTTCTAAATCATCATTGAAACCACTTGAAAGATCTTTTAAAATAAATTCATGAACCGTTAATTCCGAATACATTCCATTCACTTGATAGGAAAAGTAATTGTGATGAGTGGAGAGTGTCTTGATGGACTTGTTCTTCTTGCTCCACACTTTAAAATTTTGTATCTCTGATTTAAATGTTGAATAAATGACTTGATAGTTTTTGGACTTGGCACTTGTAAAGAAGATGAGAGACATTTCATCATCGGATCCAGTCAATGAAAGATGAATGTGTTTGGGAGTATATTTTGGATCAAATTCAGACCATTTGTTGTTGTTGTTATTATTATTGGTAATAGTATTCTGAGAGTAGTTCCGAATGGATGTGTTCTTCTTCTTCTCACTATTAATACTACTACTACTACTAGTGGCTGCACCTCTTAAATTGATACCATTGTCAACGGTCGAACTTGTACGTTTGGAAAATTTAGATGTTGGTGACTCACCATGACATGCCATGATCAATAATACAAGAAGAAGGGTGACAATCATCACGGACCATGCCGTTGTAGAAGACCTTGATCTTTTCAGTAGTAGTAGTGGTCGTAGTGGACGACGGTTTGAATTCATTTTTTATGGTTGTGTGGGTTGTTGTTTCATCAAACTTGAATTCTTTTATTTCAAGCAAATGGGTCAACAATTTCATTCATCATAGTTTCACCTTCGTCGTCGTCATCGTCGTCATCATCTTCAAATGCATCATCATTGTCTTGTTGGTTTGTTGTATCGTCATCTTCTTCAGCAGTGATGGACAATTGTCTGACACCTATTTCATCATCATCATTGGGTTGTTGTTGTTGTTCCTCTTCCTCATCACTACTGTCTTCAACTGACAACTTGATCATGTCATTGTTGTTCACAACGTGAGGATGATGGTCACTCGATGATGATGATGGTTTCTCATCTTCACTCACTGTATCTTCTTCTTCCTCTCCCTTCTCTAACAATTGTTTCATTAATTGTTTCACTCGATCCTGTTGTTCCGTCTCTTGTTGTTGTTTCCTTAATTCATGTTTCTTCTTTTCATCAAATTTTATCTTTCGTTTTTTAAGAGAAGCAAATCGATCCAATGCATCTGCATCTTCACCTTCATCGTACCAATGTTGAGGTATGGAATTCTTCATTTCAGTATACTTGTCAAAGAGTTCTTGACGATATTCATCTTTGGAAGTTGTTAATCGTTTTCTCTTGTCATTGGATGTACTCAATCCAACTCGATTCAATTCTTGTTTCAATTCATCACTGAGTTGAATATGTTGTAGTGGTGGTGTTGTTGTTTCTTCACTTGCAGTATTATGACTAGTACTACTCGAATGATTGGTATTATTATTATGACTACTAGTACTACTACTACTAATACTACTCGAATTATTGGTATGACTACTCGAACCCTTTGTACTCAATAAACCTTTTTGAGTTTCTTTAAATCCACTTGTACCAATTAATGAAGGATCTAAACAAATCATTTCATGTGGTATCTTTTCTAATAAGGTTCTCACATTAAAATCTTTCACTTGCTTGTCTGTAAAATAGGGATTGGGCATTTTCGAATCAAAACTAGTACTTCCTGATCCTGGTACGAGTAGTGAAGAGAATCCACGTGAATGTCCAACACCAAGAATATCTTCGTAGGGACAAAATGATAAATCACATACAGTCGTATGAGAAGGTAATTTGTGTAATAAATACAATTCCTTATCACGTTCATGAATATGAGTGAAATTCTTATAAATAGCAATACCATGTTTGAGAGAGAGTGCTAACATTCCAGTTTGAGAGATGGCCATGGATGTAATATGATCACCACTTTTAGGTCTTAAATGAGAAGGATACAGAGATCTCTGATACTCGTCTTGTGTATTCACATTCATAATGGGCTCGTCTTGTGTATTCACATTCATAATGGGTTGATACGTATTTCGAATGTCCCAAACCTTACATGTATCATCAGAGGCTGATGTAATCATATATCTTCCTGTTGGATCAATACACACATGTTTCAATGGTGATGCTTGATGACAGAACATGGTCACGACAGGTTTATAATCTCGATCACGTGGTTGTACCATGGAGAGTGTTCCATTCAAATGACCAACACACATGATGGCATTGTAAGGATTCGCAACCATACATGTCATGGGTGAAGATAATTTAATTTGTGCAACATTTTCACCTAATGAAATGTCCTTATAAATAATTTGTCCTTCTATCATCATCGATTGGAATTCATTCATTCCATGAATCCACAATGGTTTGAATACATGGCATGTACGAATAAAGATACAATTTACAAACGCACGTTAATGAATGAAACATGTATACCATTGACACATGAAACACACATGAATGAAACATGTATATAATTTTCAAATACAATTGACACACACATGAATGAAACATGTATACAATTGACACACACATGAAACATGTATACAATTGACACACACACACACAAACACACATATGAAACATACCTTGTTGTTGACCATTATGACTCATTCCTCCTACTAATAAAAAATGAAAAGGTAAATACGATAAATGTTCCACTCGATTGAAATCTCGACACATGTGAATCTCAACACCTTGTTCATTATAGACATAGGTATAAGGTGATTGTGCCAATGCATACATTCCATCATCCATCAACCATTGTACAGCCTTTACAGGTTCATTCAATACATTTTCATGAGTCATTTCAAATCTTCTCCAATCCAATGCAGCAACATGTCCTTTCACTCCACCTAATAATAATTTTCTACCACTGAGACTATATTGTAATCGATAAGGTGAATATTGAGTCAATTCAATATCATAAATTTTCTTTCTAGTATTTTCATCAACACCTTGTAATAAATCATTTTGAGAGAGTTGACTTGTTTTTGTAAAGATATCATTCTCTGGATCTAATTCAATACCACGTTCTACTTGAGAATGAATTCTTAATACATCGGAACGAGCGAGTGTGGCTTCTGCTTTGGCACGATCGACATCGGACCAAACAATATTTCTTGATACTTCTTGTTTGTTTGCGAGTTTGTTTTTATATTGGAAATAGGCTAACTCTCTTTTAGGAAGAGGCTTTTCATCAATGATTGATTTTCTTTTATATTTTTGGAGTGCATCTTTTTGAATTTGTATTGTTTTTTGATAGTATTTGGATTTTTCATACGTCTTTAAGAGATTTTTAGCTTTTTTAAATAAAAATTCATTTCTTTCTTTTCTTTGTAATTGTTCTTTTTTAGCTAATTCTAATTTTTGAGCTTGCTCTTGTTGTTGTAATTCATTGGCTCGTTCAATATCTTTGTCAGTTACGAGAGGTTGATAATTCGTGGAGTGTTGTTGTTGTTGTTGATGTTTCGATGAAGTGTCATGAGATGATGATGCTTTGGTTTTTCGTTTCAACTTGTCCGAAGAAGGCTCTTGTGAGAAGTTGAATCAGATTTGGTGGACATTTTTTTTAATTTCAAAAATGTTTGAATCAAGATTCTTGTTGAACAAATCGTTACATGATTTCATTGGTAATTATCATAAGGGGTTGTTTCAAACGAAATGGATACTCTGTGAGAAGATCATTTGTGGTTTCAGAACAACACAATCTTGTTTGTCAATAAACGCAACATCATCACAACGTGGATGTTTTTCCCAAAAGCATGTCAAACTTGTCATCTTTAAAAAATTGTTCACATCGATATGGAATGAATCGTCACGGTTCCCCTCTCTTCAAAAGACAAGGAACACCCTCTTCTCCTCACAGTAGCAGCAACAGAGATGCCATGTCAGGAATGAATCATTTTGATGATGAAAATAGACTTGTCATTAACAACTCACCCATTCTTTTGAGAAATCCATACAATGACTATGCATCCGAGGATGATTCCGAACAACAACAACAACAGGAGGAGCAAGATGATTCACCCACCACCACCACACCAGCACCACAACAACAATCACAGGAGAATGAAAAAATTCCATCCACCATCAACAACAATTCAATCCACTTACATTGTTCCACCACCAGGAATGAACACACCACACTCCAGTAGTAGTAATAGTGGTGGTGGTGCTAATAGAAGTGGTTCATCCCATTTGAATAATAATAATACTCCTCCTCATTCTTCTCCTATTACTGCTGCTAATACTACAACAAGTTTTAAACGATCATCGAGTTCTGAAGCACAGACACCTCAAGATCACTTTTCAGATGTACACGTTCTCGATGAAGATGAAGTAGAATTGAGAAGTGTGGATGGTAGTAGTAGTTCTCATTTACAACAGCATCAGTCTCGTAGTCGTCATCATCATCATTATAGTAGTCATGAAGATGATTATACTCCCACGACTCCTGCCATTCTTGAAGATTTTCAAAATGATGATTTCATTCCGAGTAGTCATCATCATCCTATTCATACAATGACTAGTACTACTACTTCTGATACTTTTGCAACCACCAACCACCATCCAAATTCTTCTTCTTCATTTCATACAAAAAGGAGAAATAACAACAACAATTCTTTCAACATTTCTTCCTCCACCTCGTTTGAACAAATTAATACCTTAAACATGTTAAAAATTATTGAAAGTGCTCATAATTTTGAAAACAAGTTGAATGAATTGAAACAACAACAATTAGATAAGCAACATCAACAACATTTCATAAGATCCAAATTATTGACACTTCATGGATTTAAAACAGCATTTAAAAAATACACCAATTTTAATGTTCAGAAATATGTATGGACATACTTGTTTGTATTGGGAGTGGTTGGTGGACTGGTCGTGTTCTTACAAGATTTACTCATTTCATATATATTTTTAGGAAGAGAGGAATTAATTAATCATTTTAGTGGAATGGAGGTGAGTGAATTCTTTGATATTCTAAAAATTGATTTCATCTCTATGGAATATTTTGAATCAATGATTGTTTCTATAATAATGATTGGAATGAAATTGTTGAATCATGAACCGTGTTAAATACTACAACTACTACTACTACTACTGAAATTAAAACTACTACCACTGAAACTACTATGAATACACACACTCACCCAATCTCGCATAGAATGAATCTGCTAAATTCACAGTTCAATTACTCATGTGGGTTCTCTACACTTTACTCTTTGTTGTTTGTGCCTTGTTCATCACTGCATGGGTAGCACCTACTGCTGAAGGATCTGGTATTCCACCTGTGAAGGCTATATTGGTAAGTCCAATGAGTTACTAATTACTTCCAATGATTTTCGAATGAATATATATATATATATATATGGATATCTGATATAATAATCTCCCTAAAATGATATATCCCTTCATGAACCATGACGTATTCATCATTTATAAATCCCTTTCATACTTGCTCATTATGATATCCCTTTCATACTTGTTTTCATCATTTATCCCTTTCATTTCAACACACATATTGACCCTCGAATAGACTGGTGTGGATTCCTTAAAAGATCCAATTTCTTTCAAAACACTCATTGTCAAGGTATTGTGTCTTCCAATGGTTCTTGGAGTTGGAATGATGGTTGGAAAAGTTGGACCAACCATTCATATTGGTGCTGCACTTGCTGAAAATTTATTACAACTTGGAATATTTTCAGGAATTCGAAATAGTAAGACATTGAGAGCTCAAATGTTAGCATGTGGATGTGTAAGTAGTACTATGAGTTGTTTTTATATATTTATAGTTCTATTTATGATCATTATATCATCATTCAATGATTCCCAATTCACACTCTACTCGACACTCGACATCCACACACTCCATTCCAACTCACACCCACTCTACACACTCCATTCCAACACCCACTCCACACACCCACTCCACACACCCATCACCCACACCCAACACCCACTCCACACACACACACACTCAAATAGGCTCTTGGTATTGGTGCTAATTTTGGTGCTCCTGGAGGTGGTGTTTTATTTGCTTTGGAAGCCATTGGAACTTATTATTCAGTGAGAACATATATCAAATCCTTCTTTGTTGCAGTATTGGCTGCTCTCACAGCTCGTCTCTTACATTCAGCAGTTTCTAATCAATTCACATTTCTACCAAGTGCATGGAATATTAATTTCACTCTACCAGCATATACCATTCCAGATTTATTTTCATTTATATTTTTAGGAGTTTATTGGGATTGATGGGAGTAGCATTTGTTCTTTTCAATGAAACCATGTTGAAATTGAGAGCACGAATTGGTCAATTCTATTTGTTATGTTTGAAATCATTGACTAGAAATAGTAATGGACACAAGTGGTATTTGTATCCATTTCAAAATGTGTTTTTATGGTCTCTGTGTATTGTCATTTTAACTGGAGTTGTAACGTTTCCACATTTATTTGGTAAATTCATGTCATTGACACCGAACAAGACATTGGAAATGTTATTTTATGGAAAACAATTAAATCCAGAGAATGGTGCTATTGGAGATTGGATTAAGGTAAGTGTGTGTGTGTGTGGGTACCATTGAGAAAATGTGTGTGCATACGATGGTGTGTGTATGCATACGATAATGATGGTATTCTTCGAATCGTTTCACTACTGACCTATATATAACCTTCACTTCATAGGAAGGAAAATTGAATAGTCCATCAGCCTATGATGATTTATTTAAGAATTTGGGAATATTTTTGATCTTTCGAGTGATCTTGTCCTTTGTTTCAGGTATGTAATAATATTTTGAGTTTATGGTGCAAGTGTGTATACATTTATACATTGATTTGTGCATTTCATGTTTATTATGAACATTTCATGTATGGAATGATTTATAGTCTCATTACCCATGCCAGCTGGAATTTACGTTCCATTGGTCATGATGGGAGCAGGATTTGTAAGTACATTTGTGTGCGCGTGTGCGTGTGGTTACTTTCAGTATGTCTGAAACAATTGTGTTTTTTTATGAAATGATACATCAATGATGACTGCACCACCACCACCACCACCTATTCATAGGGACGACTCTGGGGAGAATTTATTCATTATCTTTTTCAAAATGGATACTATGGTAGTAACACTCCTCAAATCTTTCCAGGAGGTTATGCCATTGTCGGTGCTGTTGCCATGAGTGCCTCTGCCACACAAGCCTTCTCGACTGTTTTTATTTTATTAGAAATTTCAGGAGTTGCAGTGTATTTACCAAGTTTATTGGCAGCCATGATTGCAGTACTCATTTCCAAGAGACTCTATCTCTCTATTTATGATAGTATTATTAAATTAAAAGGATGGCCAGCTGTATTAGAAGTACAAACTGATAATGATTCCATAACAGTCAAAGATATCATGTATTATGTGGATCAATTAGCCATTTTGGAAGAAAGAACAACATTGAAAGAAATACAAGATATTTTAGAATGTGGTCAAGCATTACCAAAGAGTTTTCCTGTCGTTAATAATAGACAAGATATGTTTTTATTGGGAACCATTTCATTGAAGAGTTTACAAGATTTGTATCGAATTAAGAAGGAAGGTTTGAGACAAGAAAGGGGTGGTAGTAATGGTGGTAATACTACTAATGATGGGGGTAGTAATGGAGGTAATAGCAATGGTACTGGCAATAGCAATAGTAGTAATGGTACTGGCAATAGACAAAATGAAACAGATACTGTCATTTCCATTCAACCATCACATCACACCACTTATTATGAAGAAGAAGAAGATGACTCCTCCTCTCGATATGGTCGACTGGTTAGAGAACACTCATTGGATGGAGATTGGATTCCTGCCACTCATGGAACTGTTGAAAAGTACAATACGAGTACCTCTTCTCAAAAACAAACCAGAGTGGAACATGTCTCTTCATCACTCGATGAATATGTAACCATTAACTATGTGACATGTCCTGTTGCTATCAGTGAAGATACTTCAGCCCTTATTGCACATCTTTTATTTTCTCAGTTGAGAATTGATGATTTGTATGTGGTTTGGATGGGACGATTAATTGGTGCCATACACAAAGAAGTACTTGTTTCAAAAGTAACCATTAAAGAAGATTAGTGTGTTTTTAAAACATTATAATTCATGTGAATAATGGTATTATTTTTGAGTGGAATGCGGTTGAAAAGATTATTCTGTTTCTTTGAAATTCTTGAGAGACTCAATGGCGTGCCTTATAATTCTCTTTCGATCGTTTTCAATGTCATTCAGAATGTAATGAATTCTCAAAGGATTCAAGACATTCATAAGAGATGACTTGTTCTTAGAGGAAGTTGAAGTTTGAATGGCATTGGTATTTGTGAGTGTTGCCAACTCGTGATTCAACCATGGATCCATTCCATCTAAAAATTCATCAAATAAATATTTTGCAAATTCATTTGGTTGCTCTCCTTTTGGTAAATTGGTTTCATCCTTGTCATTGGATTGGAGAGCTTTCAATTCATTTTCTAATTCTTGTCTCGTTGATGGAAACCTTATTGAAGATTTAATAAATTTCGATTTCCATGGAGGTAATTGATGAGCATAATAATGTTGATAAGAATATTCTGTATGTTCTAATAATTGTTCATACTTGTCCATAATAGTTTGAGTAGCATATTGAGCCATTGTTTCAAAAGATGAAGTATTCATGGAATCTGATACTGTTGTCACGTGTTGTTCTGAACTTGAATTCCCTTCTTGAAGTGTTTCATCGATGGGAGTGATCACGGATAACACTTTTTGATACTTCTCATCCATAGATGTATTGAGATGAGAGGCATTCATTGTATGATTGTTCATATGGACATTGTGAATATTCGTGTTAACACTTGTAGTATTCATATTTTCAAATATAACATTTTCTAATGAATTAATAAAAGATGCTCCTAACAATACATTTGGAGGTAATTTCAAAGATGATTTTTCTTGATCGTCTTCAGATATTCGACCTTCTAAATATGCTTTTGAGAATATAAGTAATGTATTATATACAGATTGTGGTAATAAATCATATTTAAATGATGAATATTCATAGTGTTGTAATTCTCCTGATTTATATTTCTTAATTAAATTACTCCAGTGTTGTAATTTTAATTTCCATTTTTTACTTTTTGAATTTAAATATAAATATTGTAAATATTGTACACCATATAATATTCCTAAATAAATCCAAATATTGATAAATGTTGAATATTTCTTTGGATCGAGATAGGTTGCTGTCACGAGATGATGCATCATGGATGGTGGTGATGGTAATGATGATGATGAATAGGAATTACCAACGAGTGAAACATGTGGAAGAAGAGGCATGGCTCGGGTTGAACATAACAATTTTTTTTTTAAATGATTTCTTTCAGAGTCATAATGACTGTTTCAAATTCGTCATGTCCTCAACATGGTTGCAGAGGAGTTTCCATCACACCACCATAGGGTAGATTAAGGAAGAAAAACACCCTTACCATGCCAATCATTAGGCTTTGTGTCTTAAATTTTAGAAAATCGGTGTCGTTGCACAATTCCCAAACACTCAATAGTAAAATCAAATCACCATGATATTACTGTTGAATTTGGTTATTGGATGGTGATGAATGAGAATTAACACACTGCTCAAGTACTGTATTCTCCTCCACTCCGATATCGCCAACATTTGTGTTGAGAATCACCACCACCTGTGTTTACAGTGAAGCACGACGCGTTGTTGTTTGAGAAAAAGCAATCAAAATGAAGAAGAACCAATAATTATTACCTTCGCACAATTTTCCAAACCAGATTCGCTTGGAAAAAATTCAACGAAAAAGCACACAAAAGCTTTTCTTTGCGAATTCAAAAAAATACATCGCACACACGTCCATTGGGTTGCTGCAAAGCCTTCAAAACTCCTTCCCTCTTTTGAAATTTTCCTTCTAGTCTTTACCACTCTTTTCTAGTAAAATATTTACTCCGTTTTCATCTATTGAATTCATATTCCTCAATATATAATCATGTCCGAACATAAGAACAGAATTATTTTCTTTGGTGCTCCTGGTTCAGGTAGGTATTTGGAAAGAGATGATAGGCAATTACGAATAAGAATGATGAACATTTTGTTGATGGAAATGATATGGGTTGTAATGAAACCATTTTTGAAAATAATCTTGTGATGAATATTTGGATTATTCTCAATCCATTTGATGATAATATCTTCTTTTAATAATATAGGAAAAGGAACTCAAGCCTGTAAATTGGCTAAAGAATTTCAAGCTTGCCACTTATCTACAGGTGATATTCTGAGAGCAGCTGTTAGGGATCAAACAGAAATGGGAAAGAGAGCAAAAGCTAAGATGGATGCTGGTGAACTTGTCAGTGATGATATCGTGATTGGAATTATTAGAGATAGTATTGACAGTCCTTCGTGTCGATATGGATTCATTTTGGATGGATTCCCACGTACTGTACCACAAGCTGATGCTGTAAGTAGAGAGTATATACGTAAAATGAATTACAATGGTTTGAACCAATTCGTGTTATTCATGAATGACTTTTCAACGTACTTGCGTATTCATATCAATTGACTAATATGGTCTCATGATTTGAATGATGATGATGACGACGGAACCTGATACACTTCTTGGCCATTTTGATTGATCCCGACAAAATTTTCCAAAAATTCGGAATTGCATTTTTTCCTTCTCTCAAAATATTGAACTCTTTTTAACCAATGTACAGTTAGACAAAATGTTAACAGAAAGATCTACTCGTGTTGACCATGTTCTCAACCTAGAAGTACAAGATGAAACAGTAGTTAAACGAATTGCTGGAAGGTTAACACATCTTAAAAGTGGACGTGTGTACAACCGATTCTTCAATCCTCCTAAGGTAGAAAATTTAGACGATGAGACAGGTGAACCTCTTGTTCAACGGCCAGATGATAGAGAGGAAGTTATTAGGAATCGTTTGAAGACATATCATGGATATGCTGATAAAGTATTGAATTATTATAATGAGAGAGGTTTATTAAGACGTATTGATGGTGAACAACCAATAGACAAAGTGAATGCAATGGTGAGATCCTTTTTCACCAAATAATAATCTTATTAAATGGAAAGAAACAGTTTTTGTGAAGTATATTATTCAACAATGCCTTGAATTTTTGAGTTTGGCAAACGGATGAATTTGCTCTTGAACGCTATCGTTGGCATTGATCGAAAAAGGTCGATGAGTGTCATCGTGCTGTTATTGTAACCTGAAAAAAATGTCAACCGAACAACAAGCCATTTTCAATGCGGGTAGGTCGTTCATCGTTACTTGTGATGGAAATACATCATCATCACCAACCATTTTACTGAATCGGATCGTGTTATTGTACACATGGTTTATTCGTCATCATCATGGACATTTTAAATAACAAATCATCACAACGGACCAACTTGTTGATGCATCAACTTATCTTTCCATATGGTTTCACTCATTTATTTCAATAATTGAATGTCTTATACAATGAAATATACGACTCTATAGAATATGAGGAAACTCTTTGTACCATCAACACTGTCTACGTCTTTCGTATTCCTCCAAGAGCATCCTCCGAAGGTTACAAAGCAGAAAATTGGGGAGAGCCATTGTGGACAGGTAGATGTAAAGTAGTCGCTATTGGTGAAAAGTGTGAAGTGAGATTGGAAGATCCAGCTACTGAGAAGAGGTTTGCTACTTGTAATGTCAACACAGATGAGAATGGACCACAAGCTATTGAAAGAGTTTTGGATTCAAGTCGTTACTTTGTTTTGAGAATTGAGGATAAACAAAAGGGAAGACATGCTTTTATTGGAATTGGTTTTTCTGAACGAAGTGATGCATTTGATTTTAACGTTGCATTACAAGATCATCAAAAGTGAGTATTTGTCAAATTTGTTCAGCGTAGAATTTCTTGACATTTTGAAAATACACCATTTGGAACATCAATAACCACTCGGAAAATGGCTAATAATTATTTGTATGATTTTTTAATTAGGTTGGTAAAGAGACTGAAAGAACAAGCAGAAAATCCACAAGAAGAGGAAAAGAAAGATTATAGTTTGGGTGAGGGTGAAAAGATTAAAGTCAACATTAAAGTTAAGACTAAGGGAAGAACAAGTCAAGCAACTGGAGAAGCAAAGTCAAGTGGTAGTGGATCAGGCAGTGGCGCTTTCGACATGGGCTTTTTAGGGGCACCTCCCTCTTCCTCATCCAGAAAGAAGGACTCTGGAAATAACAATTCTTTGTTTTAAATGTGATAATATCATTTGAAATAATAGTAATTTACATTTGTACAATTAGAGCTTTCGCTTTTTTTGCTTGGTAGTTTTTTTGGAACTTTCTTCCTCCGAGTCGCTATCGTCTTCGCTACTACTCGAATCGCTACTATCCTCACTAACTTTCCTTACCTTAGCTTCTTTTGAAGACTTTTTTGTTGAATGGTGTGTATTATTACTAAATTCAGTTGACGTAGCATGAACACTACTTTCATGTTGCAATGTGAAAATCGATGATGGTTGCTCATCATGATTAGTTTGAGCATATTTCTTCGTCCAATCCCGAGCAGTTTTTTCAAAAAGAGGTCGGTTGTTCCTAAATTGCTCAGTAATATCAGCCATTAATCCGTCATCACCATTGGGTTCGTCCATTAATAATTTAATTGATGCAAGAAGAGTTGACAAATTAATGCTTGGTTTCCAACCTCCCTTTGGTGGCATGTTTAAAAGATCCAAACATATTCTTCCTCCACTGTCAATATTTGGATGATAGATTCGGGTGATGAAACGAACATTTGGAGGAAGTGTGGGATACCGATCGGGAATTGTAATTTCCAATACAAATTCACCATTCTCATAAGGAGTGCCTTGTGTTCCTTGTATTTTAGCCTCCAAAACGTCAATAGAATCTTCACTCTTTGGGTATGCTGCAATTCCGTGAGGAGGTTGATTGGTCAGTAATTGAAGTTCTCCTTTCATGCGAGTGAGCCTCATCACGGAGGCTTGTGAAGACATTTTTTTTTGAAAAGTTCGAGAACAACCTCGAACAGAGTCTTTCTTATCAGAAAGAACACAATAAAAGTTGGTTCGTTTAAACAACCAAACTCGTTTAATATGAAAAAAAAGAAACCAATTTCTTTAGCATAATTTGGCTTTTTTCGAGCCTCCCAATCCTCTTCCTGTGGTGTTATGGTAAGTATCATCAGGATCGTCATCAGTCATGTCATGTCCATTCAGAGCATCTCCATTGTTGTCCATGGCTCTGAATTCACGTACGTTCATCATGATGAGGACAATACCATAACAATATATTGAAAGTAGAATGTATATAAACATGATGATGGTGATCACCAACACAATGTGTACTTACTTACAGATTTTTTCTTTTGAGTTCAATTTCTTCTTTCGTTCTAAAACGAATACCTTGTTCATGATCTCTTGATGGTTTGCTTCCATTGGAACCTCTTGCAGCTGCTGGCATATGTTCATCTCCATTCAAAGTTCCATTCTCCAAAATGTAATCTGGTATTTGCTCTCGATCATCCTTATACAAGATCATATCACAATCGGTTACGAACCATGGATCTTGACACACAAGTGATTCATCACTCAAATTTGAATTCCAGGAGAGTTTCATCATGTAATTCGTGTCTCTAAGGTAGGAATTGAGTTGATGAGGTATTTTCACGAGTTTCAAATGCTCTTCAGAAATCTTATCATCCAATCCAAGAATGATTTGTTTCAATTGGAAAAGGTTGCATGTTCTCTTTTGAATGATAATTTCTCGAATGGCACTCATGCTCCATGATGATGGTTTAAATCGAGCCACTCGGATCACAACATCTTCAGAAGTAATAATAGAGGTTTGATCTTGACGTTCAATAATGACTTGTCTTGAAGATGTCGATAGAATAGAACTGCTATTACCACCATTACTACCACTTAAAGAATAGAAGGGTTTTTCCTCATCTCGAAGGATACGTCCTGCATAATCTCTATTATCCAGGCGTTCTCTCACTCTCACATTGTCAGAAGTGTCCTTCTTTTTTATAATATCTGATTTCTCTTCTTTGGCTTTGTTGAATATAAACTCCTTAATTTCTTTCACTGAAGTTTCCTTATCGAGAGTCAAATCAAACAATTTTTTAAATTTGTTTCCTCGTCGATGTGATGCATGAATTGGCTTTCCATGTTCATCTTCAAAGATGATATCCTTTGAATGTTTTCTACTAGTGGTAATAGACATGTGTTCAATGTCAGCTGCATCTGCCATTTCTGGAGCGTGTAGCATATTGTAGGCAGCTCGTTTGAGGCCTCTTGTCATGGGTCTATTGGGGTAGGCAGCAGCACAATAGTCCATGTCCAGCATCATTCGATGATCCAATTCATAATGATCGAAATGATTCGAAGGATGATGGTGCTCCACAGGTTCTTCCATATAAAAGGTCAATTTGAATGTTGGTTTAACAAGTTGATGTTGTTCAACAACTCTCACTGTACTTCCACTAAATAAATGGAAACTAATCTTATCGTCGAGATTGTCCAAAATGTGCATATCTTCTGGAGAGCTGTCTCCAAATGCCAACGTAAAGGTTTCAGCTTCCTTATTTAATATTTGAGAGACTAAATCCTTCAATAAATAAATGGGCTGTCTTCGATCAATGGTAATTGGGAATTTCTCCTTGTTCGAATTTTCAACAGTCAATGAGATTGTGTTCTGAATGGTTAATAAATTTTCAAGGGCTTTGGATTCCTGATGAACATCACTCTCTATATCAATATTCTCTTCCACATAGATCTTGTCTCCATTTTCAAGCATCAAGTCGTCGTCCTCAACCATGAGATAATTCTTGGGTGTATTATTCACAAATTTCGTTGCGATAATGGTTTGGCGCGAGGCAGGAATGGAGGTTAGGGATTCAATGGATTGTTTGATATCAGCCAAAGATGCTGTTCGCTTTACAGTCAAGAGTGAAGGCTTGTCGAAACTGTCCTTTGCAAATTTGCTTACAAAAATACTGACATGCTCCTCTGGAAGATATTCTCCATCATCTTTCTCAAGATATAAATTCTGTCTCGAGTTTTTGAAATCAATATCCGATAAGAGAGTCTCAACATTGGAGCTCAAAAATTCAGTTGGAATTTGCTTGATAGTATCAAAAAGTCTGAGTCTCGCATTTGGTAAATCAATTCCTTTGAAGAGAGTTTCTTTACATTGTTGAAGCAGAACAGAAAGAGATTTTTCCTTCTCACACTCGATCTTTGCATGTTTCAAATCCCATCAAGGGCATACACAGTAAACTCCAATTTTTTCTTTTTGAATTCGTACGCTCGTTGACCTTTGAGATAATTTTCATTTTCAGTAGCAATGGCCTTTCGAATGTCCAAAGGAATGGTTTCAATTTCTTGTTCGTCAGTCATTTCTAACAATTGTCTATGTGCTTGACTGATTGGTTCATCTCTAATATAAATCAGCAAGTAACCGTTGGAGTGAGAAGAACCACTTCCAAATGCTTTCTCAACTTGACTTTCCTCAATTTTAGTAACAGTAGAGTCATTAAATTCATACCAATGGTTTCCAACCTTTTCATAAGAATAATAGTGACCACCACCTGCGCTACCAGAGTGAATGACCACTGATTGAAGAGTGTAAATGTTATATTTGGCTTCTAAAGATTCAACATCTAATTCGTTACTGGTAAAACTAGCAGCACTGTTTACATATTTGTTCATATCCAAAACGTGAGGAAATACAAGTTGGTTGTTCAACTTAATTCTTGAGAATGTAGTATAATCAATGTCAAATCTCTTTAAATGTAAACTAAGAATGTCTGGAGTTCTTAATAGTTTGATACCTTTCTTTGCATCAACTTTGCAATTACACTTCTCACAAAAGTATTGATTCACTCCTGATAAGCATTCCTCGAATTGAAATTCCGCAATGGATGCATCCAAATGCTTCAATCCTCTAACAGGCAACTGAAGGTCCAAAAATTTTGTTTTTCGTCCTCCAATATTGCAACATTTGCTGCAAATCACGTAATCACTATACTCTCCCTCAAATATTTCTTCAATTGGGAGTTTTTCGTTAATCAATGTTTCAAAAAGAACTCTCATAAACTCTCTGCAAATATTCATTTCAAAACATTCATTCTGAAAATGTATCATTACTATTGGTAGTACTTACGTAGAGTCTTGTTGTTCAAAACTTTGAGATCTCTCCCAACCAAATGATTTGGTAAGATTGACTACGTGTAACCATTGTTCATAAAAAGCAACAATATAAAATTGACTTGAATAATAATCACTTACCAGTCTCGATAGCCTTCATTTCTGACATTCTCAATCTGGCAAAGAGATGTTGCAGCTGAAATAAAATGCAATATTCTTCATCGCCATGAATAGCCTTGTTATACCTCCATTGAAAGACTATTCTTCTAAATGCTGGAATATTGTAAAGGACTTGAATCAACGAATTCAAATAGCATAGAGAACCTTGGTTTTTCAATCCAACAAAATGTTCCTTGTATGGATAGTCATTGTACGTGTACATTGAAGTTGAGGATGGCATATATGAAGATGACATTCGTGGTGCTTCCTGTGGTGGTCCAATTTTCTTAATGTATTCAGCTTCAGCCTCCATGAATATATTAGAAGCTAAATTTTTGAATTCTTCATCAAAACTCTGGAGGGAATAACTCAATTCCACAAATGACTTGATAATAGTGTGAGCAGGTGTTTGCGGTGGTGTTTTTGAGTTCTCTCCAGCAGCTTCAGAAGCCTGATCTGATTTAGCCTTTTCAAGTTCTTCAACAACATATTTACAGAGTTGTTTTTTGATTTCTCCTTGTTCGACAATATTGGTTTTAAACTTGGTCATCAAATCATCTTCTGGGTGATGAAAGGTAGTTTCATGCATTGCTTTGAAGAGTTTTCTCAACCATGAATGAACTTTGGACATTATTTTCCAAGTATCAATATAAGTTTCAATATTCGGAATTGTCAGTTTGTCATCCACTTTGAATTTTGGTTGAATGAATTGAGTGATGAACGCGTCAAAAGTTGAATCAAGGAATACGAGGATCATATCCATGGATCTGGATGATCTCAAATTGTATACACAATGATTCAACTCTCCAAAAAGAGCATAGTCATACGCAATTTCGGAACCTTTGTTCCTAACATTGGCAAACAGAAGGTTGATTTTCTCTTCAAAAGATTTAATGTTCTTTTCGTTGTTGTTTCTGTTGATTGTAGAGAGATGGCAAAAAATACATCATCGGGATCATCATGTGGATCAGCTGATCAAGACGCACACTACTTACAGCAACTTGTTCAGATGACCCGTTACTTTCATGGTGTGAGACTACGAGGCTATTTTTTTGAAACGTGTTCTATTTTTGCAGTGCGTATGTTCCAAGGAACACAAGAACACAAGGCTTTCCGAAGGAGAGAAATGTTTATCCTTGCATTCTGAAGCCAACGTGCACAAGAATGAAATCTGAAGCTCATTGAAAAGTTGAGTCTTTATAGCTTTACCTTTTTAGCTGTTGGTTCCACCTCTCCTTTTGTTGGTGAAGTTGTGTTTGCTTTCAAACTTATTTGTAAATGCTTATGTGGACTCAAAGGCTCATTCTCGTGAGTTTTTGGAATGTGAGTGACTGCAGAGCTTTCCGAGTAAACGTCGTCAGATTCATCATCTTCTTGGTTATGACTGTTCTTGTGGTTGGCTAGACTGAAAAAAAGTTCATCTTCATCTTCAGAGGTTGTCATACCACGTTCTGGAGAAGACTCTTGAGCAATGAGAGAAGTGTTTTGTTGGGACTCTTCTTGAGCTTCATAACTGTCATTAAAATATGCGTCATCATCCTCAATGTCATGTTGAGATTCCTCTGTATTTTCGTCCTTTTCTTTTTGCTCTTGTTGTGAAATTAATTGGTTGAATGTTTCAATATATGTTACTTTCTCAAAATCACTCCTAAACCTTTCCACACAGTGTTGTTTTAATCTAGTGGTGTTTGACAGACGTGTCATCATGTCAAATAAATCAATAATTGCTGAATTTATCAAGTTGTAGCATGTAGCATTTTTCCTCCAAATTTCCATAATAGGGTCAAAAAGATTGTGAGTTAAAATGTAATTGTGGAGAAGGAGATCGTTTTTTCCAATAATAGTTTTAAAAAATCTAATAACTGATAGAACTAAATCTTTCTCTTTGTATACGTCAAGTAAATGTATTGCTTTGGAAATCACGTCATGGGAAATTAAAAAATTCTTGCTTCTATGCTTGTGATTGGTAACAGCAAATGAAAGTAGTTCGAGGGAATGGATGATGCAGCTCACTCTAACAGAAACCTTCGTAAAGGTATTTATGGTAGTTTCCGGAGATAGAATGGGAGAAGCAACCAACTCGATATGATGTTTGTAAAACTGATCAATAAATTGATCAGAGTTGGATAATAGAGTTTCAGGATCCATCAATAACTTGATAACTTCGGTCAGATTGTCTTGTATACCTAACTCTGGTTCACACACAATGGTTTTGATGACTACCCGTAAGAATTCAAAATCATTTCTCATTTGTCTCTGCTTGATCTCTCCCAAAAAGCTTATATGAACTGTTTGAGCAAGGGAAGTAAGAATTTCAGAACTTTGGAAATGTTTAGTAACAATGAAATACATTAAAAATACGTACTAAATATGTCGTATAGAAACTATTGGACTTTGAAGACATTTTTCAGCAACATCTAGCAATGGATAATCAGTAATAAATTTTCTAATTGTGGTAAATATTGCTATGAGATCTACTTTAAACATTACTTACTTGTACATTTCTAACCTTGTGTTGATGTGCTGATGTTTCATTAAATTGAAAAACTCGGAAAGGAATTTAGAAAGATCCTTCTGTTTTTCAACAGATATGTCATTAGATAGTAGTGTGGAGAAAACTTTTTTCAAAAATTCTTGGTCATCTCTAATTGCTGTAATTATTGCAATATTATTTCTAGCTATAATGGTGCTAAGAGCACCAAAGGTTTGATCGTCGATGATAGATGCGAGAATGGTTTCCTTAATGTATTGTATTCTGAAAGTTTGGTGAATCTTTTCCAAGATGGTTGGGTTATTGAATGGAATTACTTCCTTAAAAACTACAACATTTTGTAAGTAATTTCTGTGATTTGCTTTTTTAGTTGGTAAATCTGGATCATATTCAAGAACTCCAATAAGTTTCATGATATTATTAGGAGATAAAAGAATATCATGAATATCAGAATCGTCCAAAGAGATAAGGTTTGTGAATATCTTGAATAAAATCCTACAATCTTCAACACTATCAATGTCTTCACATTCATTAAAAACATCAAATAGTTTTGAAATATAATCTGGTTTGATATATCTTGCAATTTTAAATCTATGTTCAAGAATTGTTGATAATATCGATGGTACGTTCTTTACCGATGGCTCTGGTAGCTCAATTTTTGGTATAGTACTCGATGTTGATGCAATACTTAAAGAGCTTCCGTTTAAACCTATATTCACTAAATCATCATCTAAATCATCGCCCATGTCACCTAGTTCCTCATCATCTTCTGGTTGGTTGTTCTTTTCAACTATTTCCTTTCCATCAGGTCGCTTTCCTTGAACCTTTCTTATTTGATTCCTGTTGTTGGATGATATTGAAAATTTAGCATTAATACTCAACACAAAAAAACTTACCATATCATGACACAGCCGTTTGTGTGTTGAAAACTAAGCGCCATATCTATTTTCATTGCTGGGTCGCTCCAAACTATTAATGTTGCTATAAAATGTAGAAAAAGAGTGTTATAGTGAAACATGGAAATGCAAACTTACAATTTTGTAATTGATAAATATCGTCTGTAGAAACCGCAGAATTCAAAATAACATCGTCCGATGTTTCAGAAATGAGCACGAGGTTTTTTTCAGTAGAAGTCTCTTGTGATTCACAGTGAACATGTCCTGTTCCCTTGTCTATCCATTGACCGGAATCACTTAGATGATATAATTTAACTCTGCGAAGGGGATCTTTAAAATCAAGAGATTCCTCTAATATCTCTTCATTATCCGTAAATGCTTCATCATTTTGATGATGTGTTTTTTCGTTATCTGATGTTTCATCTTTTTTTGAATGTTGACTACTGGAGTCGTTACAATTCGTGGACGACATGACTGTACAAGTCTCTGATCCAGTCGGAGTAAAATTGAAAAGTACTATAAATGATGCTGAAAGTTATTGGTGTTATGATAATACAAAGCCAATTCCGTTTTCGCTTGTTTCTCTTTTAATAACGTTGATCAAATAAAAATTATCAACAAGAGAAGAAGGCAAAATGAACGAGCAGTGTTGTTGGCTTATTTTTTAATGCGATATTTTTATAACCCATTCTACCAAACGATGGAGGGAAATCAGGGTTGGTTTGTTCAAGGCTCAGAATTCGGGAATGAAGGAGTTTCAGAATTTAATTGGTGTTTAATTTATTGTGTTTACATATCGCAGACAGTAATTTCAATTTCAACGTTTGGTTCCATGTTGATGGAAGTAATATCCTTGACAGTGGAAGCAGGAGCATGCAAATCAATGACACGCTTGTGGACGCTCATTTCGAACTTGTCCCATGTGTTGGTACCCTCACCGCAAGGTGACTTTCTGGTGGTAATCTTCAACTTCTTTGTTGGCATTCTGACTGGTCCCTTAACTCTCTTGACCTTCTTGTTCTTGGCTTCTCTGACGAAATCAGCACAAACCTTTTCAAGAGACTTAACGTTTCTAGCAGTCAAGGTAATTCTGATTCTGTGAATTGGTTCCTTGGTTTGCTCAGTGGTTTCTGTCTTCTTAGCGATAGCAGCTGATGACATGGTGAGTTGTGGCGTATTTTTTTCAACAAGTTTTTTAAAAAATATTTGGTCATCCAAAAATTATAGTTTACAATGACCTATTAAAATTGGATCCAGTTTAGACCACAACTATTTCACAATTTGACTGTCATCAGAATTCTGAGTTTCAACCCAGTGCGATTTGCAAACCGTTGTTGTTACACTCTTGTTTCAATGACGATGTTACGGTGTTCTTGAATTTCCATGTCATCAAATACAAAAAAATGGATCCGATATTTCCCATCTTTAAATTCGTCTTTACGTCAATTCTCAAAGTACCTGATATTAGGCTTAAATTGCCAAGCATTTTCGAAAAGGGTCTTCCCAAAATGCTTGTATTTTTCCTTCTGTTTGCTTCATATTTTGTTATTTGTTCTGGAGTTGTTTATGACATGATCAACGAGCCTCCATCAATCGGAAGCAAGAGAGATGCCGATGGAAAAGTTAGACCTGTAGCGGTTCTTGAATATAGGTTGAATGCTCAGTATGTGATTGAAGGTTTTAGTGCTGGATTTTTATTCAGTTTAGGTGGATTAGGATTTATTTCTTTGAACTGGGCTGCCGATCCATCAGCCACATCTCGTGCCCGATATATCTTTCTAGGATTGGGAGCATTTCTTGTAATTTTGGCTTACAACGTTTTAATCATGTTCTTGAAGATGAAGATACCAAATTATCTTCAATAAATGATGACTTGGTTTTCGAACGTGTCTCAACAATTGTTGTCGGTAACCCACTCCGAAGTCCTACTGCGAACCACTATTCTGGTCAACACATTTATTCCTTGGTCTACGACAAACTTTTACTTATTTCAAAATATGCTTTTTGTACTTCTTCACCCACATGAAGACTTTCATGGTATTGTCCAATCTCTGTCCTTCTAATCTACGTTTTGCAGTTCTGGCTGTTCGCTTTGCCTTTTCTGATTTGGTTGGCGTATTTTCGTCAAGGTTTGATATGGTTCTCTCAATTCTATCTACATCACGAATGGCCTTATGCCTATTGAAAATATACCCAAGTGAATCGTCCTTACTAATAGCTCTATCAGCATAAAGAGTGAAACCAGTGGCATGTCTTCTTCCAGTTTTTACACCCAGAATTTCTCTGCAATACTCTTGTCTAGCGTCAATGAACGTTTGAACTACCTTTCTAATGGCTGAAAAATGATCGACATCATAACTTGGTTTTGCTAGCTCTGGTTTTTCTTGTGCTAAAATCATTTTTGTAATTTCTTCTACGGTTACACCATTAGCGTAATTTTGAAGAATAAAATCGATAGGAATAGTCTGTTTTTTCAAAATGGAATCAGCAAATGTCTTGAATGCTTCTGGGTTGTTATCAGCTTGTTTTTTAAAAACATTATACATTTGTTCCTTCTTATCTTTCTCTGTTTCTAAAATATGGTCTCTCTTCTTTTGTTGTAAGTGATAAGAGTATGATCTTGTTAACAAATTAATCTTTCTTTCAACATCCGACATATTTTCTTCACTTTGTTTCAAGCCTCTGTGGGCACGACGGAATTGATCCAAAGCCATTCGTTCCGCATCCATTTCGTTCCTAATTTCAAAATTAGAAAGAGAAATTCTAGAGTCTCTCAAACTCTTTTGCTTCAGAATGTCGTTTGCAAGTTGAGTATCCCACAAAATTTTATCAATTTCTTCATTGGTTAATCCATCAAGTAATTCATCGGTTTCCTTGCTCACTCTTTGTTCTAGTTCTTGATATTGTTCTCTATTATATTTTAATGGGTAGGAATGGCTCAATTCCTGGGGCTTTGAAGGAGGTTGTATTAAATCTTTAAAATCTTGGAATGCGCTTTCTAATGACTCAAGTTGTTCGCTTTGCAAGCGTTCTTCAGTTTGGGAGGCAAAAAAGTTTTCAAGAGTTTCATTGCGTTGGTATGAAGAGGCTTGGTTAGGTTGTTCCTCCTTGTTGAGAATCAAGTCAAAAAGGCTTTGTGAAGCGCCAGAGCCTTTTTCATTTGATGGAGCTGATGAAGAAGCAGTTTCCTTTGCTACCCAATAGGACCAGTCTGGTTGGTCTCCGGCATCAGAAGTAGAAGAATTGTTGTTGTTATTCTTTAGAGTTCTATGAAATTCTCTACGACGATGATGATGGTTCATCAAGGCAAGGATATTCACCATCACGGGAGAGACGCGGTTGCTTGTGATGATGTTGCTGTTGTTCTGGCTGAGATGATACTGATGAATCATTTTTTTTAAAAGCACTTTACAACACTCATTCCAAACACCATCATCATCGTCGTTTATTGTTGTTGTGAATGAGCTGAGCTAATACTGAGGCAATTCTCTGATGTTCAATCTCTGACGAGCTCGCTACCTCTTCATCACTCCTTAACAAAGCCACTCTTCTGTGATGCCTTTCGAGTTCATTTCTCATGGAGAGACATCCTAACTTGGGTAAAACAAAAGCAGTTGTTTCTAAAGCAATTAATTCTGGAGTTGAAATATTTTCTTCTAATTTCGAAGAGGAGTTCGTTTCAATGGTTTTACTTTTCTTGATATCTTTGACATTACTGACGCTCGATGGAGGAGACACCAGCTTTGATTCCTTTCTCATTGTTGTATTTGGAAATGCCAACAAAAAAGGATCATCTTGATAATCCATAAATAGTTCCTTATTTACATTTCTCATTAAATCATCTCGATGTTTCACACCATAGAAATAGGAATGAACAAGAGATTGGAGTGTTTCATTTTCTTTTTCAATTTCTTCCATTGACTTTTGTGTAAATAAAGATTGTTCGTATTCAATTTCTATGGCATCTTGTAAAGCTTCTCGATACATCTGTTGAATAAAATCAAAATCTTGAATGATATGAAATTCCTTCTTTTGATTTCTTTCCCTTTCCAATTGTTTCTTGTATACATGTAACATGATGTCCTCATCTTTGCTTGATACTTGGCTCATATCTTCATTTCTTCCAGGAGGCTTTTTGCCATTCAAAATTAAATATTTTTGTTCATAAATTTTAGATCTAAACTTGTTTCTTCGTTTTGCCATGTAGAGATCATGTTTGATTTGTCTTAATTTTCTTTGTTTTTGATTACCAGATAAATTGCTTGAGGCTAACCAGTGTGCTGAAATATTAGTTGAAAAATTAATTTTCTTATTTAAATGTTGTAAATTTGTAATTAATTCTTGAATGGATATGGAGCTTAGTTTTTCGTTGGTATTATGAAAGGTTTGATTAATTTCCGAAAGAGCCTGTTTATCAAAGTTAAATTTAAATTTTTGATTCATTGAATCGGAAGATTGTAACGGAATCCAACGAGGATCTAATGCAAAATCTAATGTGCAATTTTGACAATTAATGTGTTCATCTTGTGTGCTGGATTGTTTGGTTTTTAGTGTTTTCCGTATTTTTAAAGTTTTAGAAAATAAATCATCATGATTGAATTGTATATTATTTAAAAAGTTCCAAATCCATTGACATATGCCGTAGAGAGTTTTGATCCAATCAGAAATAGAGGTTGATGTGTTAGTTAGGAGGGACGAAATGAACGATCGCAATTTTCGAGAAGCAATCATTTTTTGTCGAGTGAATAAAACCAACAGATTTCTTTCGAGTGGATAAATATTAAAAAATGGATGATCATGAGCAAGGAGAATCAATTATTTCCGATGATGATGAAAAACTATTTGTTGGTGAAGAAAATGATCGGAATACTTCTCCTTTCAAACTTAACCTATTAGATAATCCAAATGAAAATTTAGAAATGATGAATTCAGAGGAAATAACAAGCAACTCTGCGTCTCCTTCTACCATCAAGGTTTCCAGTGATTCTTCTTGGTGGTCAGGAATTGATGGTCTTTTATCCTCATTGAAAAAATCTGATTTTATAACTCCTTTAGTATTGACTGGCCTGCTTTCCTTTGTTGCAGGTTCAGTACTGAGTTTTTCTTTTTCAAATTTGAAAACTAGACAAACACATCACGAAATGAACAGCAGGATGTTGGCCTTGGAAAATTCATTGAAAGAAAAACAATATGAATTACATGTCGTAACGATAGGTTGAATAAGGAAATTCAAATATCAAAAGCTGCTTCTCAACATAATATTTCTTTGAACAAACAAAAAGAATATTTTGAAACACAGTTCAACATTCAGTCCAGAAATTTAAATCTGGCCAATCAACAGATTGAAAAGCATGAAGAAACAATATCAAAATGTAGAGAGAAAATTGAACACTTGGAAAAACAAATTGAGAATTTCAAGAAAGATATCATCAAGTTTGAGGAAGACCTGAACATGAAGCAGCACAACATTACCGATCTAAACTTGAAGATTAACCAATTGGAAAATCAAGTGCTTGAAAACGAGAAGGTAATCGATAAACAAAAACAAAGAATTGTCAACCTCAAAGAAACACATCGTATTTTTGAGTATGTCCTAACCAAAGCATCTCCACAACTGGCTGAAAGAATCATTAACCAAATTCACAGAGTTCAAAACATTGAGGATGAAAGTGATGGTAATAGTTACGTTAAAATTCCAGACAACAACAAGGAAGTCAAGCCAGAAACCAATGAAAAGTGAAAGATGAGTGTTTTCAACAGTTTTGGTGATTTATTGGAACGATGAGATCCATTCATTCATTGAATTACAAGAAGGCTCACATTAGAATACTGAGAAGTGTGAGACCACGATGGTCAAACACACTCCTCATTAATACTCTTCTGGCACAACCTTTCTTTGTGCCAAATATTCTCTCATATGTTGAGGAACTTCTCTCAAGGCATGCAATGCATTCAATTCCATATTCTCGTTGAATTTCACAAAGGAAACATTTCTACAACTTGTTTGGAATGACATCAAATTTTTAAAGAGAGACTTATTGCCCACTCCAACAAAAATAAATGAAACTCCACAAAATTGTGATTGCTTCAACAATTGGAGTGTCAATTCAGTATTAATCTTTTCATCTCCATCGGTAATGATCACACAAGCAAAGTAGTGATTCAAGCGTTCAGCAAATGCTGCAACTTCAGCAATAATTTTGGTGAAATTGTTATCGAGACCAAACATGACCTTCTTGACCGTTCTACGATAAGTGTGAAGCATTGTCTTTTCATCCTTAATACCACTCTCACGAGCCACACGTTTCTTTTCTTGCATTTCAAAGACAACATTTGGATTTAAAGCTCCAAATCCATACATTTTCATTTCACGTTGATAACCATATTGATAAATTGCACGCATGATACCAACCATGGTTACTTCATAAGGATTCAATGGAAGTGCTTGTTTTCTCTCTGCGCTTGAACCAATATAGTGAAGAGAACGCTTATTAATGTTGGGTTGAACACCATTTGAAGATGTGAAATCAATTCCAAAACATAATCTCAATTCATACCATCCCAAATAATTCATAATAGAGAAATCATTCTTATAGAAACGACAAGTGACACTTTTGATGTGACCCGTCTTTTTAGATTTGAATTTTTGAGTCACATCTTCGAGCATCCAAATACGTTCTTCGTATTTCAAAACATGCATGGTACCACGGAAAGCATTAGGAGTGTCTGGATTAATAATTCTAAATTCAATTTTTCCATCTCTAATATCTAAAATATCGTTCGAACAATTCCAATAAATTCATTTCTTCCAATTTCATTAAAATGCCACCATTCAATCAACATGGGTTTCTCCAATGATCGTTCACCTTCCAAACCAAATGAAAATACTCGATAGGTACTATTGAGAGTCTTCTTTTTCACTTCACTCGTATAGAGACGTTGTTTAAATTTCACACCATCCTTGTACACAATGAAATAAGGATTGGATGAAGAACTTGAGAATCGATCCATTGCTGGACAATCTCTAATTTGTAATTTCAAAGTAATTGAAAATCTCTTGGATTCTACTTCACCATATTGTGAAATATCCTTAATAATAATATGACCAGTTTCAGTGGTTTCTCTTTCTACAATATGATCACGTGGAGGTGGTGTGATCAATTGACAAATCACTTTTGGAAGTTGTGAATCTTTTTGTAAGGTGTGATGATTTAAAAGTTTGTTAAAGGAAATGACTCGAGAATGCATTCGATAGTCCATAATTTCTTGTGCTGTGAGATTGATATCTGGAACCATCATTAACAGGTCAGCAATGGTAAATTCATCACTTTCACATACGATACGGGTATCAGTTTCGAGAAGATTGGAATCAAAGGGTTGTTGTTGTTGCTGTTGCAATAGATTGGAAACACTGTAACTGAAACTTTGAGTGGCTGAATCGAGAAGATTCGATGAAGAAGTACTGTGAGAATGATCGATTGATCGATAGATCGATTCAATAAGCAGTCATTGACAGTTCAAGTATAGTAGTCCATTCATGGGTTGTACAACCAAAAAAACCAAGAATGGATAGAATTGATGTTTTTTTTTCAAAAATATATATGTATATATATAAATATATTCAAATTTACACACACACACTCTCAAATATAACACACACAACTCGATACTTACCTCATCATTTGTTTGGCATCACTTGGTGACACAAATCTCACAAATAATTTCACTTTCTGTTGACAACCAAATTGTAATGTTCTCGAAATGGGTTTCACAAAATGATAATCTCCTAACATGATTCGATCATCTCGATTCTCGGCAAATATTTGTTTGACACATTCGGTCATTCCAATCACTGAATATTTTGATAAATTATAATTATATTCAGCAGCAATGATTTGAATTAAATGATCTTGAGGATGTCTTGACAATAAAAAGGTTGAAGTTGAAGAGAAAGTTCAAATTTCAAGAGACGAGCTTGTTCATTAAATTCTTTTTCACGACGTTCTTTGATTTGTTGCGGATCAGTGATACGTTTAATTTCAGTGAATTCAGTTTGTGTCGTGACGATGCTGTTTGTAGAGCTATTAGCAACGGAGAGATTGCTTGAGGTGAAGGTGTTGTTGTTGTTGCTCATTTTTTTGGTGATGATTTTGAAATTTATGTTGACAGTTGATGGGGGAGTAGTTTTTTGTGATGGGATATTCAATCAGTAGCAGATGTGTTCCAATCGATACAAGAAGCAGTGACTTTTAATGATGTTTTTTCTTCTTCTTTTGAGAGACTCCATGACTTGAATGAGTCGCTACTTGATTCACAAACTCGATGAATTGAGAACACAATACCGTTCGAGGTGTGAGATCTTCAATGAGTGGTGTTATGAATTTTTCTCTCAAATCAATCGATAATTGAGAATTTAACATAAATCGTTCATACAATTCAAGACATTCTCGATCAGTTTGAGCCATCTTTAAGAGAATATAATTGTAGTCAATAGTAGAATCGTTATTAGGATCATCATTCAATGATGGACTCAAAAGTTGAACAATGATTCGATTCAGACCTTCCAAAAATCTCAAATCACTAAATTGTTGATATTGATAGTAGAGAATGGTGATGACATTAATCACATTACTCTTCATGAGAGTTTTGGTTTGGTTATTGGTTGTTGAATGAATCGACTCCACTGTCATCAAATACAAAAGATGAATGAAATGATAAATACCACTGCGCTGTGAAGAAGAATTCTTATGATTCAACAGTTGCATCATAGTTGTGAGCTCATTCGAAATGGCAATCAAATCTTTGTATGGACACACACAATACAATTGCAATAACAATTCCATCTTTTCACCGTTGCTCAAATAGATGCATTGAACAATGGTATGAATGAGAGTCGAATTCAAAGTTATTGTGTTCAATGAAATGAATTCCTTAAAGTCATCATTGCAATATTGTAAAATGCAAAGAATGGTTTTCCATCCCATGTTGGACAATAGAGTTTCATCATTGAGAATCATATTAATCATCACAGGTGTCTCACATAAAAGTAATTCTTGAACATTCCTATCATTCGTTTTTCTAGATCGATAAATGGAGCAGACAAGTATCATTAACAACCGAATAATTTCAGTGTTTGATGATTCAATATTCACAGAAGAGTGAGTTGAGCTTGTAATTAACGAATTTGTACATCTTCTGAATTGAATCTTGATCCAATCCAAAAGACCAAAGCTTTTGATGAGTTTTTCACTTGACTGAGTAAGTCTAGTAGTAACATCAATTAACACTCTCAAAATTGCTAATTGATGATAAATATGATAGGATTTGTTGGATTGAATTTGATCGAAAGACATGAGTAAATGTTGAATAGAATTATTCTTAATGTAGTGTTCCATAAAATCATCATCGGATTGATATCCAAATAATAGAACTTTCAAATAGTTCAATCCAAAGGCATTGATCGATTTCACATGATCTCTATGAACAGGATATGAGTCAAGCTTCAAGAATGGTCTTTGATGTTCAAAGAATCTTGAGACTTCTCTGAGCAGTACCTTGCTAGTAGTATTCAGAGAGAGAAATGATGTGGTAAGGATCGGTTGGATGTGAGTTTTGAACAAATCATCCTCAATATGACCAATATTTTGCATGTAGTCCTGTTGTGAATCTCGAAGTGATGTCAAGACTGAAATTAATAAATTTCTTGCTTCTTCCTCTTCTTCATCAATAGAGTTGTTTGTTTGAGTATTTTCTGGATTCTTTTCAGATGCATCATCTTCATGACCGGTAGATGCAGAATGAGTCTTACTTGTGGCGTCATGATTTTGTTTCATTCCGTCCTCACTGGATGTGTGAGAAGACTCTGTTTGAGAATTTGATGACTCTTCATTAATTCTCAAAATGGAATTCACAACAATGCTCAACATCATGGACCATGGAAGCGAAATTCTCATATACGGAGTTGGTAGCGAGATTTTAATTTGTCTTAAAACCAAAACCAAAACTTCATAAATATCACTCTCTTGATATCTATTGACATGATTCACTATAAAGTTATAATACATTCCAATAATTTCATAAGCCAACATTCTGACATAGTAATCATGTGAACTTGTACATCTAAAAGCAACGCTTAAATATAAACTATTCTGTCTGTAAATACAGGATTCAGGAAATAGAGACATTAAATACATTGTATATCTGAGAAGGTATCTAATATCATAGACATCGTTGTTATTAATGAGATTTTGGTCATTGTTCTTAAATTCAAATGTCATATGCTTTCCGTACAAGGTAAGATTGTCAGGAATATGATGAATGGTGTTGTATAATTTTGTCTTGTCAAATTGTAGATTAAAATTATTCCATTCCAAAGAGAGAAATTCTTGTTCTGTGAGTGCTCCAACCTCTTGTTTTTTGGTTTCTCTTAAAATGGTACGTTTTCCAAACTGATAGTGGTATGAAGCGAGAGGGGCAGCCAACTTGGTTTCATAAATATTGAAAATTACATACAGAACCAAATCAGTTTGGTTCAATGTTGCGCTATAGTGTGAAAGGAGATATTCAAATATGGACATGTTGTGAATGAAATGTTCATTGGCATCGTACTTGGTAAGTAAATTGTAAATGAGATGAACAATGTGATAGAGTGATGTAGGTATGCCTTGCTGTGTCGTAGCTTTGATGATGTGTTCATAGAGAACAGTTGGATTCTCTAAATAGTACTTTTCAAAGTAATAGGGTGTCTTTGTAGAAGTATAGTTAGTAGAAATCACGTCGAAAAGTTCGAGTGTTCCATTGCTCACACATTTACCCTCAATCATTTTCTTCGACCAAGCATTAATCATTTCGGATACCTTTGAAGATTTCTTCTTATTTTCAATCATATTTTCTAAATGAACCTTCATTTGCTTATGGATTACGTCGTTTCTCAGCAGATCAAGATTATCACTGTTCATGACAATGTCATAATATATGTGGAATTGATTGTTTCGGGGTCTTTCATCCAATGACAGGAAATCCATCAAATTAGATTTCACAACTATTGAAATGAAGTGGTTTTCATCATATGTATAATTGTTTGTGAAATGCTTGACAAGAGTCTTTGCTGCAGTAATCACTTCAGGATTGGCAGTGCAGCAATTCACAACGCTTGATAAAAATCCATCTAAACCATTCGATTCAAAGACTTTGAAAATATTATCAGGGAGTTTCTGCTGAGCAGGATAGTACTGAATAATAGTTTCCAAAATCAAAATAATGTTTGGATTATTCATAAAGTCAGGAGGAGATCTGAATAATTCTTTCAGACAAACAACGTGATACTTGCTACTAAATCTACAGTACCAACAAATGAGCTCAGTTAAGAATTGCTTTTGTTGCTCGTCGATCAACATGAAACTCTTTGAGATGTACTGCACTATTTTAGTGAGCACTGATGTAAATTCGTCCGAGTTCAACTTGAGGAATATTTGATGAAATTTGAGACAATCAACTGCCGTTCTGTTTGCTGTGCTAAATACCATTCTGTTGTTCACCATTACTGAAACGAGTTCAGCAATATTCACCAATCTTGTTTTTTCCTTTGTACTTTTGGTAAGGATGGTATTATCAATTCCTAATAGTAAATATAACACAAATGTTCCAAACTTTTCGACATTACTGAATACGAATTTAGCATTCTTCTTATTTCTCACAAGTAGATTAGCCAAATGATGTTGTGAAAACTTTTTGTAGTCCAATACTTCAATGTTTTCTAAAATTATTCGATCAACCGTAGCTGCTTCTGCGGTTGATGCTGTAGTAAGAGAATGATTAACAATGTTCATATATTCATCGTAAATGATTGATCCATTGCTGGATGACTTCCACAGAGCAACGACATCGCTAATCATACTCAAGTTACCCTTTAAAGATTGAGAAATTGAAGAATCCTTAAATATCTCATCCTTGAATGAATCGAACTTTTTGAGAACACAACTCAGTAACTGACAATACAATGAGCTGTAAGATCCAGATAGCCATCTTTTCTTGATAGTATTCACATATTCATAAGCATTCAGATCATCAAATTCAAACTTATTAAGAGAGTCTATCAAGAGGCTATGGATTTTCTGTACTGACGTTCCCTTTAAGGAATGGTAAAAGAAGAGAATAGGGTATGGAATTTGATGAGCAATAATGTCATTCTCCAAATCTTGTGTAGAAACTAGTTGAATTTTGTCATAGCAAGTTTCATCGTCAATGGTTGTACTGCTCTTTTCTAAAGAAGTGGACGAGTTAGATGGAATTGCTTCGAATTGCATCAAGGACATAATCTTGGCCTTGAAGGTGTTTGAAGAGTCTTTCTTTAAAATTTGAAGTAATTCATTTCTCTTTGACTGGTCAAATGCATGAGGGGATTGAATAAATTTGTGAATAAATACTCGGAAAATATAATCTAGGTTATTGGAATTATCAATGCTGTACAGCATGAACTTGGAAAATATTTGTGAATCCCATTTGTTCAGATCGTCATGTTTCTTAGCAGTTTTTTCTGACCGTTGCGAATTGTTGCTATTTTCGGTGATATATTTGATCACCATGTCAACCAAGTGAGTACTTGATTGGTCATTAAAGAAAGTCATCATAAACCAGTGCATGGAGTCATATTGGTTGTTAAAAACAATGCTTTGTGATTGTTCATCCTTACTGAAAATGTCTGTAAATAATTTGGCCTTTCTAATGTAATTTGTTGCTCCAGTAACTTCCTCATAATTAGCTAAATGGTCAATTCCCAAAATCATGTCCACCAGAATGTTACCAGTCTTGGTAGAGATGACAAGATTTGGTAAAATGTCGTTGTAGAACGAAAGGTTCATCTCAGATAACAGTTCAATGTAGGATTGAACTAAATTTTCAGTTGCCTTGTACTCATCTGTTTTCATGCCATTTGTATATTTGTTGACGATTTGAGAAAGCATTGGGATCAAAACGCCAATATTACTTTTCCAGTCTGATCAGGATAATATTTGAAATAGAATTTGAACATTTGAATAGTAATCTCCATTAACAGCTGGCTGGGATGAGTGCTGTTGCTGTTAATAATTCTATCCACACATATATCCTTAATAAATAAAGAAGGTGGAATTGGAAAACGTTTTCTAAACTCCATGACAATATCCTTCTCATATTGATTGATCAATTCAACAGTGAGAGCGCTTGCATCAGTCTCAGAAACTATCAACAATTGTTTCTTTCGAAGCTCGCTTAACTGAGATAACATTCTTTCAAATTTCTTGAAAACATTCACAAAAACATGAAGAATTTTTTGTATCACAATTAAATTCATCGTGGAGCATTCTTTTTGCTCGTGGAACATGTAATCAAGCTTTTCCTTAGAAAATAGTAGAGATTGTTCGAGTAGAATTGAAGAAACGAGAAGTGGTATACTCTTATCAGGTTGTCTTACATGGTCAATGGTTATTTGAGGTGTAACTGCGTTTAAAAACTCCACGCAAATATTAGAGTTAAACTTGAGGAACATAAAGTTACGATAGCTAATGGCTGTAAGGTTGGCTGTCTTGTCATGAGTGTTTCCCAAAATTGTGTTGAAATATAACTCTGCCATATACGGATGCTGCTTTAAGATGCTCAATACCATTTTTCCATATCTCTCTTGATCTGGAATTGAAAGTGTTTGCAAACTGGTCCAAACCACATCGGTATTGAATTGATAGGGTGAAGAGAGTGCTTGAGAAAGTACATTGAAAGCATCAATACTGTGGACATCCCCAGAAATAGGAATCAGTGAAGCCAAGTTGCTACTACCATTCTTAATGAAATTGAATATAAATCGCTCTAATGCATCAATGTAAAATGTTGACTCATTAGGATGTTCATTGTGGTACTGAACATAGTATTTGAACATTTGATTAATTTCAGATCGAATTACTTGAGATCTGTGTTTTGGAATTTTGTTCATTGTAAATTCTAGAGCAGCAAGTAATGGTTCTAACAGCATCATGTCCTGAGCATGATCGAAACAGAACTTGCAATCAATTGGAAGTTTAACAGAAAGATACGAATGGCAAGTTTTCAACAATCTAAAGAGTAAATGATGCACTATTAAAAGTGTATGTCTACTTCTGAGAGGAGCATGTTTGGTTTCAACAGCTGACCTCATTAACCCAAAGAAAATATTTTTAAAACTGAGACTCGACATTTCAGTATTGGCCTTGTAGTTTCGATGATCCACATCCTCAACCTTAGTATTAAAATTGGATACTCGACCTCTAAGCAAGCTTCCACAAACCCATTCAGGTCTGAAAAATGTTGCGTGATAAATTGTGCTAAATAAGACGTATAAGTGATATTCCCAAATAGCCTCATTGTCTAGTAATTCATCAGCACGATATGAGTTCGGATCTTGTTCATCCTCTTCCTTTGTATATCTTCGTCTTCTTGAGAGCATTTTGTCTTGTCTTTTTCTTCGAAGTATTTTGTCCTCTTGTCGATTTGCCATATAAGAATAATATTTGTAAAGATATGGCAATACAAGATTGATGAATTGATTCGCTCTGAGCATGATGGAAGCCTTTTCATTGTTGTCTTGATTTTGAGGAAGTATATATCTCATGATGTACATGAGTACCTGAAACAATTTGACTTGTAATAAAAGAGAAACTTTTTCACCATATTCATAGCCTTTCTTTGGCAATTCGTCAAACACATATGTAAAGATGTTGGAAAGTATAACAAAGAATTGGTCATTATAATATAATTGGTAGATATAACTTTTAGAATCTGAATCTCCTTTCAAAGATGAAAACTTCAATTCATGATTCAAACTATCATAAATATATCGTGATTGTCTATAAAAATTATTCGTAGTAAAATCACTTGTGGTGTGCTTATCAACAAAAATTGGATGAGGAATGGAATAAGGTTGATTTCCAATGATGATAATTTTTTGAGTACTCGTTTTTCGTTGAGAACTATTTGCCAACAAAACTAATCTCTCAGTATCATCAATAAATATTTGAAATGCATTTTGTAATTTAGAAGGCTCTAAATGAGTTAATAATTCGAACGCATGGAAGAATGGAGGAATATTTTTCAATAAAGAAGGGTCAGTAGTGGTGGATGGTTGTTGAGAGGATGAGGGTTGTTTTTTTGAAGAAGGCTTTGAAGTATGTTGTTTCTTTTGAGAGTTTGCTTTTTTTACTTTCGGATTGGTGTTGCTGCTATTTGCAGTAGATGATGTCATGAGAGAGTCATTATTGTCGTTCATTAATGCGTTGATAGTAGATTCGGAATGAGATGATAATTTCTCAATTTCAGTGTTCGATACGGGTGTTGTGTTGTTGCTATTCTTGTTGTTATCATTGTTATTCGCGTTTTTGGACTTCTTTTTGGCCATTCCGATGAAAGCGAGAGGAAGGTGTTTTGTTTGCTTTAAATTTTTTTCTTTTCAAAACAAACACTCCAAAAATCTGTTGAACCTTTTTTTACCTTTCCTTTGGTTCTGTGTTGAGTCAAATATGCCTCTCAAAACTTTATTCGATCATACAGGAACAAGAGCAACCCAAGGACAACAAACAGATAACACATAAAGTATTTGATCAGATGATGGATATAACTTGGCAAAATATTGTAAGGGAATGGAAGCGATGATGTTTCTTTGCCAGAAGCTTTTCTTAATTCAGAGGTGGCATCTTCCATGAATTGGATGGCTTGCTCTGTATTGTATGGAACAGCTCAATCATTTGATTTTGTTCATGTACTTTGGATTCAAAAACTGTCAACATTTCACTTATTCGAATGGCTGCAATTTCAGTATCGTGAGCGTCTTGTAGATCGGTGGAAACAATTTGTTGAAGTGACACTTTCATCATCATGACATTGCTGTCCAAGTTTCCTTCATTTTGAACAAGTATTTGATCCTCAGCAGATTCAGAGCCTTCATTGTACACAGTTGTAGAGTTAGCAGTATTCAATAATTGTTGCTTTTGATTCTTGGCAATTAACATTGTTAAATTATTCTGAGTAAATTCAATTTTGTTTTTTAGCTGTTCACTCCATTGATTCAAAATTCCAATAATTGATTTGTAATGTTGAATTTGATGTAATTCTTCTTTAGGATTATATTTCACTTGATCGATTAAAGATTTCAGTACTTGCAAGTGGCTCATTGCTTGTCTTAATTGCTTATCAATCTCATCACAATACATTTCATTCATATCCTCTTCCATTGATGATGATTGATTTGAGCCAAGTTTAGATGAAAATTGGGTTTTTGATGATTCTTGCTTTCGCAATAAATAAATCATGTATGCTTGTAATTTACATTCGGTGTTGAATAATTCGTTCCGAATACCCATTGCTGATTGCATAAATACAGAGAGAGATTGATTTTGGTTCCGATGATGACGATGGTTGCTGCTTTTTGCTGGTGACTTGGAGTGAGTCATTGCTGTTGACGTGGCATTCGTGTGCTTTTGAAAGAGCTCCTTCAAGAATGGAGTTTGATCTTGCGTCCAACAAACCATTTTTGTTTTTTTTAAGTTTTGTTTTAATAACTGTTCCGACAATTCGTGGCCCACCCCGATCTTATTGTTCAAATGAGAGTAAGAAGTATGAAGATTGAACGTGATTCGTTATCAAACAGACTTCATGAAATTCAATATTTGACGAACAAGATCAGAAAAAATGTTGTTCTTGAATCATACATCCATCTCGAGTTTATGCAAAACCAATCGGAACGCTTTATTCACTTGCATAATCATTTGTTTTGTACAATGGTGTTACCTCTCAAATCAATATGTTTTATCGGAAGGAGAAACAAAATTTTCGAAATTGATTCCAGAGGAGCCTTCCTCATCAAACAACAATTTATTTGTTAAATATTATAATAATTTAGTGAATTTACAAAATCAAATTGAAATTTTACAAACGACCATCCCAACCGTTAGACAAGCTTGCTACATAACGCTTCCTTCCAATCCTGATATGATTATTGATGTTTTACAAGCAGCATCTCCGGTTGGTTATTATTTGGTACAACCTTCCAGTGATTCAACATCTGTTACAACAACGCAAAGATCCGTTAAAAACATTCAAGACAGCTACAGCACCGAATATTATTTGGTGCAAATATGTAACCCAGTTACAAATGTATCATCAATGTGTGGAAATGATTTAATTTACCAATTTAAAGCTGTAGCATATCTGGTGGATGGATCATCTTGCAAACCGTTGAGCAACACTGGAGGTCCAACTGTGAAATTACTTCAAAATTCGACTCACACACTTGGAATATCTTTGGTGTACACGCCATTTGGTGTGAACAACTTTCTGAGCGGCACTAATATTGATTTATATTGCAACCGATATGCCTCTGTAAATACCACACAGGAACAATTGGTATTCAAAAAGAAAATAACTAATGTTCTAACCACTACATATTATTTTGAAATGTATACGCAATATGCATGTCCATTCAATGGTACCGCTCCAGAAACCCATCAGGATTAGACTTGACAGACTTTTATCAAATGTTTTTGGCAATATCAATAATTTCTATTGTGGTGGTAGGACTGTGTCACTTAATAGTTAGCCTATTTTCATATAGAGTGTTTAAATGTAATTTGATTACTATTTGGATACCACTGATATCCTTTGCTCTTGGCTGTCTGTATTGTCTTTTGGAGGTGGTCGTTTATAGCGTTGCAATTTCTGGAATTTATGTGTCCATAGGTATCAGTATGTCCCCATTAGAAGTATCTATTTACTCTATAATTGCAATTGTTCCATTATTGTTCAATGCAAGTGGTTTGTTCGCCAGACGAAGACTCGAATTCTTTTAAATCTGTCAATTATGTTGGACATAACGTGATGGAAGACCTCGATATTCATCTCAGTGGAGAGATCCACAGACAAGATCATTTCAGATTGAGATTGGAATTGATTCCAAAGTGAAAATGTGTCACTTCCTAGCCACATCACTTTGATACGGTTTGATGTATACATTTTCATCAATTCTTAAAATCATTTCATTGAACTCCAATGACCTTTCTAAAATGGAAACTATCAATTGTACCGGCTCTATGACTTGATTTTCAAGTTGATTGCAAATACCCTCATCATTGGAATCTACTCCCATATGTGACAGAGTTGTGGAACGAAGCTGAGACAAAACATTGGACGAGTCATAACCCATATTCCTAGATAACACTACTGGAATTATTTCTAAAGCATTTGCATACGCCTCTAAAATTAATTGCAAATTATTTGGATATGACAATTTTCGAATGCACTTTGATAGATACATGAAAGTTGCTCCGCCACCAGGACATATTCCAAGAGGACCTTCCCTAGAAATATTGAGAACGCTCATACAATCATGGATGCTTCTGTGAATTTCGTTGCAAATCTCCACACTAGGTCCAACAATCCGAATAGAATTCCAAATATATTTAGGATGAGAGTGTTTGTCATTCTGAATGATTTCAATGCTTGATGATGAATCATTGCTGGCTACAGTTAATTTTGAAATACATCCACAACTTTTAGGATTTTTCAACGAGCTTGTTATGACACAATTAGCGATAACTGCCAATTTTTGAGCGTTATTGAAATCTAAAAAGCCAGCACAAAATATTCCCTTTTCTTTGAGATACTCCTGTGCAACCTTATGAATACCAATTCCAACGTTGAAAACAGCACCAATGTTCATCTCAATTAATTGATCACAAATTTTGATTATGTTCTTGTAATCCACTTGAGAGGCCTCGCTGCTGTCCAAATTCATTTTTGTATTGAAAATCCGATTTACAAAAGTGCCATTCAATTCCTCTGATTTACACATCAAAACCTTAACATCATTGAGTACGAGTTGTGAATGATTAACGTTAGAGAGGTTGTCAATGATAATTCCATTGAAAATACTCGTCTTGTTCATGTCATTTCCTATCGAGCTAAAGAAAAATAAATTAAATTCTTTTGATGGGTGCACGTTAAATTGTTCACGTTTTTCCTTGAAAACATTAAAAAGTAATTCCACAAATGTGTTTTCGTATTGAGAAATGATTTTTGATTGCATACTGGTCCTAATTAAACTCTTAATAGATTCATCATCGTTGCTGTTCAACACATAAGCCTTTAACCATTCTTTGCACTTTTCCGTGGCAATTTGATAGCCCCTGATGATCAATGAGGGATGAATATTTCTATTTTCGATTAAATATCGTGCCTGATTTAATAATTCACAACTGAAAATTACAACGCTGGTTGTACCATCTCCGATTAATTTATCTTGCAAAAGAGAAATTCGTGATAATAAAATACAGCTTGCGCTCTCCATAGGAATTGTTTTTAAAAGAGTGGCACCGTCATTGGAAATGCATTGATTTGAATGTTGATGTTGAGAAAATATTGCCATGTCCATTCCCAATGGGCCTAGTGTTGGTTCAATGACTTGTTGGCACAATTCCATGCACTCTCGAATATTTTGAAGCAATGTTTGATGAGAATGTAGTGTGTATGACATTTTTTGTTGGATGCAAAACAACAGAAATCAGTGTTTTCTTAATTTTGCAAAGATGTGATGCGTTGTAACAATAAATTCTCATTCAACATATGAATTGCTCTTTGTTTTTTGCACACCAAAGTCATAATTCACAGTTGTTGAGCGAGGAAACAAAAATCGGAACACCTCACACACACAGGCTCAAAGCCATCACGTTTTCAAACAAAAAAATTGAAGCACCAAACCGAATTAGACACGAACAGCGGTTACGTAACAAGTAACTTGTGTGTGCCGAGGCGTTGCAGCAATTTTTCTGATATCACTTTGTTGATAACGCTTTCATCTTCTTCATCACCACAGCAGCTCTCACGTTTGAAAATTCAATATCATCATCATACTTGAATGTTCAACCTTCAATATTTTGTGAGGATCGTTTTCCTCCGCCTATGGCTGCTAATATTCAATTATCCGTTACATTTGTTAACGGCACTCATATCCATGATGATCATCTATAAAGTAAGCCAAAAGGGATCTATTGTGGACCAACGATTTAAAAAACGACTAGTTAGAGAAGAAGAGGAGTCTTCTGGGAGGATTCCAACAACAACAACCGAAGCTTCATCATCCACTCTTCAGCGACACAACGATGAAGATTCTCCAACATCCAATAAGCCTTCTCATCTAGCAGCGGCATCGATATACAGCTCCTCTTCATCAGATGAAGAAGAGAAGGAAAATCAATCGTCCTCGACAGCCTCACGGTTTTCCTCCTTCATCCATTACGTTTTTGGTGGTGGTAGCAAAAAAACAGATAAAACCACCCAACGTGAAACTGTTATCACTGCTGCTAATGCAGAATGTAATATATCGTCATCGACGGAGAATGGTCCATACTGCATGTATGATTACATAGACTCAAATGATAACAACTTGCTGAGATGTCCTGCTAAACTTCTTGAAGATCCAATGAAGTTGTTGGGAAGAACAGTTTTAGTTGTTGGTGGTTGTTGTGAAGGAGTAGGCTATGAGATTGCCTACGCTCTTGCTCAACTAGGAGCAAGAAAAGTCGTTCTCGCTTGTGCCAACGAAAAAGAAGCACAAGAGGCTATTGAGAACATGACTGATATTAGCAGAGGAGTGGTTGAATACATGAATTTAGATCTGTCATCCATTCAAAGCATTCGACAATTTGTGAATTTTTATCAAAATGTTATGAACTATGAGTGTCACGTACTGGTAAACACTGTACTTTGCACAAGACAGTCAAGAACTGGTAAAAACACTCCTAATCGTAGCAGCAGTGAATTGGATTTACAAACTCTGTCGAACCAAATGGGACCAAGATTTACTAAAGACGGTTTTGAAAGAAACTTCCAACTTAATTATCTTTCGAGGATTTTACTGATCGACATGTTGTCAGAAAATCTCAAACGCAATCATACAAGAGTGGTTAATGTTGTAGAGCTGTCCAATTCTCATATTCAACAAAAGAAGCTGAAAACGATACCAGTCTCTGATTTAAATGCCAGCTCTTTCAAAAAAGCGTATACCGAACAAGACTATATTTACTTTTCAATGAGATGTAATTTGTTGTGGGTGAAATCTTTTGCCAGCAAGTATCAACAAGATGGTGTGACAATTTGTTGCTGTGATCCTGAGTTACCTGAGACCTACAAACCTCCACTTCCTGAAATTATCAATCAACCTACCTCCACTTCCTCTCTTCTTTCCTCAAATACCTCCTCTTTTTTCATTGACGATCCCTCCCAAGCTAACTTATCCATTACCAACGACTATGCAGAGGAAATAACCAATTTTGATAAGATTCAAAGTTTATTGTTTGGATCGCTTTGTGACAAACAATATTTTGACAATGGATCCTTTATTACGAATTACAGATCTAAAGTCCTCTCTTCCTCCTTTTTCAATAAGAAAGACTTGGAGTCAAACTGGGAGACTACAGCAAATTTAATTATGAACATTTTGACCCAACTTCACTCACCTCCTGCTTCTCCTTCTCCTGTTCCCAATTCCAAATAACAACATATTAAACAAATCATTATTCGCCTGTTACATGAAATTACAAGAGATCATTTCTGTCAGCTGGTCATTCATCATTCTGTTGGCAGACATCAAACATCACAACAAAAAATTGTTTGGACCACACATCTCCTTCGCTAGTGCCAATTTCAACATTATAGACGGAGGTAAAAGAACCAGTGTGGTTTGTCAATCATCGCCATCAGTATCTCATCAGTATCATCATCAAATAATACAAAAAAACCAACATTATCACACCATTGAAAAACAACAACATCCACTCTCTTCAAAGAACAATGCCACCTGCCACAACCACCATATTTGAAAAATTTGACTTTTACTCTCTCGTCTCTCCACAAGGACAAATCAAAACAATATGTTCCGTGATCGAAGATCATGATTTTATATTTGTTGGATTGGGAGATGGTCGTGTTGTCATTTACAAAATGAAACTCGATCAATTTTCAGCCATCGAAGCAGAAAAGTGTGTTTCATTGAATATTGACAAGGCTCCAATCGAAGACATTCAAGTCGATCAAAAAAACAAACTTGTTTTTGTGTTAAATGAAGAACATAATTTATATGTTTTTGGTTATGATCCAAAACGTCCAACACAACAAGATTTTCTTGAAAGAAAGGCAGAGTTGAGAGATAAACAAATTGCTTGTATTGCAGTGGATAAGAGAAATGAGAATCAACGCTTGATTGTGACCTATCGATCTGGTAAACTGAGAGGAAAGGCAACGATATTTTCTTATAAGGAATTGATTGAAGATGGAGCACAAGAAATGTCAGAAATCAAAACAGTAGACATTGAAGATTCTAATCAATTTACAAACATTCATGAAGTTTTGTTTGTTGACTCGTATTTTGTGTGTCTGTTTTGTAAAGGAGCAAAATCAAGAGAAGTCATGTATTACAAGAGATTTAATCTCAATGTTTCACCTCTCAGAAAATTCATATCCTGTCTCCCTGTGACTACAAAAGAAAGTGACGCCGATGAAATTAGAGGAACCAAAGGTGTCTATATTAAGAATAGTATGATCCATCTTGAAGGAAAGGCAACTCTTTTCCGAAGTGGTTTAAAATTATGGAGACCTTGTTATTTGGATGGTGAAAAGTATTATGTGAGAAATGCATCATCGAACATTGCTGCAGGAATTCATGAGACCATGAGTAGTCATTCACTTTCTTCGACAAGTGTCATGAATTCATCAAATTCATCAAATTCAACATCAATAACGAGTGGTGGTATTGGTGGTAGTACTATTGGTGGTAGTAATAGTAATAGTAGTACTGGTAATGGTGGCTCCAACAACAATTCTTCTTCAGATATGGAAGAAGAATTTAACATGGATAGTACCAACACTTCCATTCCCATGAAAGAAGAATTTAAATATGCCTATGTGAACACAGGTGGTGCAGAACCATTGAGTGTCTGTATGTGTTTCCCCTATGTGGCATGTCTCATGAATGACAGTTTGGATATTTACAACTTGTATTGGAGAGAAAGTTCTTCTGCTACAAAAACGACCATGCAAGCGAAAAAAGTTTACTCTCTTCCAAACAACAGAGACAGTACGACGATCTTTGCCGATGAACATCGTTTCTATGTAGTGACTGAAAATTCAAATGCCATTCGTTACTTGTCTCCACCCAATACTGAAGTTCAATTGAGAACTTTGAGAGAAGAATTACTCTCTCCACAAGCTCATCACTTGTTCAAAATGAAACAAGATAAGAATAGTGAAGAATTTAGAAAAGAATTGATGGAATTTCAATTTGCGAATGGTAAAGCAAATTTAGAGAGAGGTCGCCCGAGAGAAGCATTTCGATTCTTCCTTGAATCCATGAAACAATCCAAATATTTACCAATTGATGATCGAAAAGATATTCGTGACATTTTGAGATATTTCATGTATTATAGTGGTTCTTCTCATTCACAATTTAGTTTAATTCCACCCAATTTCTTTCCTTCATCCATCTCTTCAGAACCGATTCGAGAGAAATTAACACAAAATTTCAAACAAAAGAAAATTAGAATTGGTGTCGATGAGAGCATTGTGTTGAAAGAAATGGAAATGAATTTTGGTGAACATTTCATTAATTTACTCATTCACAAGACGTACATGTACTTGATGGAATTTTTAGAAATTGTTCACTCCAATCCCAAGTACAAACCTGATTTCCTCGATCAACAGGCTGCAGTAGAATATACCTTACTGGCTCTTTATGCCTTACCTCATCCTGATATGGTTTCTAAAGAATTTGAAGATTCTGATCGAAAATCTCTCGCCTACTATCATCAATCGTGTTACATGAGTATTGAAAAAGTTGTAAAGAGAAAACACGAACCTGGATTTGAAAAGTATATTGAACAATTATTCAAAGTATTGACCGATACGAAATGTTGGAGACATGCTGCACTTTTGGCTCACAATTTAGGTCAATCCACTCAACAAGTGATGAATATTTTCAAAACCAACATTTCTCGTGATATTTATTATGATCAATTTGATGGTGTGGATGATGTTGTTGAAATTTTGAGTCAAATGGATGGCAATACTCTCTTACAGAATCCTTCTATTAGAGAATTCATTTCATGGGTCATTTCATTGAATCCAAGTAAGAGTGTGAAAATTTTCACAGCACCCAGAGCCAATCCTCCCATTCCTGATTTGGTATTAGAATTTTTAAATCCATTTCCTCTCAACATGACTGTGCAATACCTTCATCATATCATTTATGAAACGAAAGGACAAGGTATCTCCGATCGAGATTTGAATCGATATCATACCGATTACGCACTCTCACTCATTGATTATGTCACTCTCATTTATCCGAATAATTTAGACAAAAAACTCGCGCCACCAGCAGGAGCAGAACAAGGACATGTTGGAAAATATCGATCCTATCTATTGAAACACATCAAGGAAAGTAGTCGATACAATAAGGAAGCAGTCGATAAGAAACTTCAAACCACCAATTTGAATGAAGAAAAGATTTCACTCTTCCATGTGATGGGTAAACATGATGAAGCATTGACCGTTCTGGTCAAGACCGATCTCAAAAGAGCTGAAGAATATTGTGATACTGTTTTTGAAGAAGAACAACGATCTTCAGTATTGCTCTCAAAAAGTGGAAATCAATCCAGTACTTACAATCCCTATTTAATTCGATTAATTGAAATTACAACCAATCCAACATTATTTGATGAATATGATGAAGAGAGTGCCCTTCGTCGAATGATGAGTGTTTTGAGTTTACTTCAACGAAGAGCTTCAGATATTAATATTATTGAAGTCCTTTCAGTATTGCCAGAACATGGAGAATTGAAACAATTATCCACATTTTTAACACAAGCCATTCAATTCACACATCACAACAATCGAACCACACTCATCAAGAATGAATTGGCAAGAAATGCATCCATGCAAGTGAAAGCAAGACATGTGAAGGCCACCACTCGATCCGTCACTGTGACTTCAACCACTTCATGTCCAGTGTGTGAACAACCGATTGGAAATGCAGTATTTGCTGTCTTTCCTGATCAATCCGTCGTACATTATCGTTGCTTGTTGAGTGGAGATCAAGATGAAAAGAAGGAAAAGAATAAGAATGTTCATCCAAAGAATGGTATTGATTTTAAAAAGTTTCCAGTGGATTTTTAAAAGAAGAAGAATTTGTGTGTGTGAAGGTGTGAAGGTGTGTGGTGAAACTATTTGTTGGAAGTTGTTGATCATGCAAGATCTTGTGGTTGAGAATATTATTATTGGAACTGTGGGTATTACTGTTACTTCACCATGAAATCAGACAGTAATTGATTTCATTAAAAATAGTTGCAATGTTCATTTTGAAACCTTGTATCATTTCATCGTGAAATGACAGTATACCACCACAATAGAGAATTTATAAAATTCAGAGTTTTCTTTTGTTTTCCGCGGAAAACTGTTTTCTGTTGAATTTGCAGTAAAAAAAGATGTTGCTTATAAAATTCAGGCGGAAAACTGCTGAAAAGTTATTTATTGTGTCTCGTGTTACAAAAGCCACGAATGCTCTTTCATGATATCAATCGATCTCAATGCAATACACAACAACTCTTCATCACATGCTTAAAAGCAGTGTCCTTGTCAATTGTCTTACAATCACGATGTTTGATATCCAGCAACAACATAGGACATGATTTAATGCAGTATTTTCGATCAATAATAATTTCCAATATTTTACAATCATGATTAACATATTGTCATGTGATTTTATTGGTATCATAGTTTGAACGCACATTATTGCGTTTTGAGTCTGATCTGCTGTGTCGGTTGATGACATTTTTTGAGTGCGATTTTCCAGTTTCTCCTGAATTTATAAACGCAGCATTCGTGAAACAGACGAAACGCTTTCTTTACTTGTTTCCGCTGAAAACTAGATTTTATAAATTCTCTAATGAAATGATAAATAATTGGCCTATTATACAATCTCAACTTTAATTGCTGCAATGTAGTGTTCACATGGCGCACACCACTCGTATTTCACTTGTACGGTGGTCAACGCACATAAAACTTCCTCGTTGAAAATCTCTCGTGTGTCCACGGAAGATGACAACTTGAGCGCAGACCTCTGTGTATAACTTTGGCAACCGTCAATATCTCTTTTCATCCGTGGCTCTTTTTGAAAAATTGCAATCCTTTTGGCCACCCACTAGTGTATCCAAACTCAAATGCGTCTCTCCGTGTTATCTTGTTCATCATCATCACTCGTTCCACGGTTGATACTTCTTTCATCTCTTTTCGTTGTTGTTCATATCTTTCATCACCTTCTTCATACTCTTCATCATGACGATGGACACTATTCTTCCTTCACTCATGTTCAAGGAGCCATGACGGTTCAACTTCAAAGCAATACCAACAATTACACCATTCCCAAAAGTTTTGCAAATGCCATCGATGCAGCCATGCAACAACTCACCACAGATTCAGAATTTATTCAGGGCATGACCGATCTTGGAATACTCTTTCCAACACCGAATTGTGTCGTGTTGCCAGGCACTTCCACGAATCAAGTTCCAAAATTTCCATCGACATTGGTTCTTCCTCGAGGATCGAGCACCTCCGCACCACCATTCACATCTCTGATTTTATGTTATGAAGAAAATGCTGTGTTAAATTGGCCAAAAGTTCATGAATTGGCTGGAAGGATCTTGATGAGAATTTTGAATCAACAATACAAGGTGACCATTCCATATTCATTTGCAAAAGTGAACACGACACAGTATGGATATTTTGGAACCTTAAAGAATTTGGTCGATACTGGTGCGTGTGATGTTGCCATTGCTTCGACGAATTTAGATAGTGTTCGATTGCCTCAAGTTCATTTCAATTGTCCTTATGGTTCTTCTTCATCAGTAAGTATAAATTATATATGATTGGAAAATCATCATTTGATCATTGAATTGGTCATATGAATGTTAAATGTTAAATGTTATTATGGAACATGTGTTGAACTCCATGTGCCTCATGTATTAAATTTGAAACAAATTTGAAAAGGGTTTTCTGAGATCAGCACTCGAACCAAATGTCTCGATTGTAAATCTTCAGATATTAATAATTCAAATGTTAAAATTGTGGTCTATAAGGGAACTTCACAACATAATTATGCCATTGCTAATTTCCCTCTTGCTCAAATTACTGCAGTTCCAACAGGTCTCACTGATTGTTTTCCTTATATTCTTCAAAATAAGGTTCATGTCATGTTGGCTGATGCCATTGATCTTCAGGTATGTTGTTTTTTGAGTTTTGACAATTTCTTGAATGGAATAACCAAATATAGACATGGTTGAATAGTCACAAGAGTGAATGTTCTTCTTGCGTTGCAAAGGCATTTGGAGATCCATTCACCTATGGAAGTTTCATTACAAATAATATTGCAAATTCTGGAATTAGGAATTCCATTAATTATATTATGATGGTACTTGTGGTTGGCATTTTGATGTTCCAATTGTGGATGTAACATTTTGTTGCCCTTTTCTTCTAGACATATGACACGAATAATACTCTAATATTTTCTAGAAACATTAATACCTCAATATATTGCACTTCATTTTACTCCTTTTTTAGTAATTGCATAGCAAGAGAGTGGCATGAAAACCTTTGAAGAGGAGTTAATTTGAATGGTTGTGCACGCTTTTCTTGTATATTTTGTTTGTTATTTTTGTTACAGAGAATTTCTTCACTTAATTGTTCTTTATCTTTCTGTTGTTCCTCTTGTTGAAAAGAATTTTCTGATGTTGCAATAGAAATCCAATCCAAATGTTCTTGTAATTGTTTGGTAGAGAGTCCATGGCAAGCCATTCGAATCTTGAAAGTTGAATTCAATTCTGTGTGGCTTTCTTGATTGTTTTCTTGTGAAATTCCAAACATGGTATGTAGTTCAATATAAAAATTTCGTAATTGTAAATAAATTTTCGAAAAATCTTCTTCTGACATTTTCTTACTATTTACATAATATTTGAATTGAAGATATATTCACAGAGAATGGTTCTATCCTTGATCACTTGAAAATAAATACAATCAATATTTTCATTTTCCAAAAATGGTTTAATAGAGAGAACACATTCATTGAGATAGGTCCTCACTAATTTAGATTCACATATAAACACTTGTTGATGTAAAAAACATGTTTTGTATTTTCTAAATAATTTTCTCGGATAAATGGAATGAATGTAACACAAGGTGTGAAAAATACTTTCCAAAAATTCACACATGACATTTACAAAATCTAAATCTAGTAATGTATTCGAGGAATGTTGATCATTTTGTTTGATGATGAAACTCTTCCTCTTGCATCATCCGATCTTGGCCGTTGTTCAACATTTTTTTAGAATTTGAAATTTGAATTTTAAATGTAAAAAAAATGGGTGTGAATCGAACGACCATTCTCTCCATTCTCTCGTTCATTCTCGGAACGACCAATGGTACATCGATGAATCAAATTGTTTCTGCTTGTCAAAATAATTCATCGCATTCAATCACTCCTTCGATTGTTTATATTGATGGAAATTCTTTAATTCATCACAAATTACAAACAGCAATTCCAGAAAGTGCAACAACCAACACGTTATTTAATGAATCAAATATGAAAAAAATTGTTGAACAAGTGAAAGATTCGTTGTGTACACAAATTGAACAAATTTATTTGAGTCATCGACCCATTGAAAAAATTGTGCTCGTATTTGATGGTCCATGTCCTTTGTAAGTTTTGGAATCATTTCAAAATATTAATTTTGATACCATAATTTTGGAAATACAGTGCCAAAAACAATGAACAGAGAAAGAGAAGATTTTCCAATGTTTCTAGCTTAATTGCTAGTCCAGGAACTTTTTTCATGTTTAAATTATGCCAAGCCATGTATAAATGGTCAGCAGATACTTTTTACGCTCATTCTAGAAAAGGAATTGATATCACAGTAGAATTTTCAGATTGTTTTGTGGAAGGAGAAGGTGAAATTAAAATTTTAGAATCGATTCGAAAGTATCATGCATGCCATTCAGATGAAAAATTATCTGCCAAAACTCGTCACATCGTACATACCAAAGATAGCGATTTTACATTACTACTACTTGCATGTCTTGAAGAAAATATTATTCTAGTGAATGATTATCAAAAAATTGAAAAGAACGTATTGGTAAGAAAATTGAAGGACCAATTTGGAATAGTTGGCGAAGATCAGAATTCACACACAACAATTCACAGAATCATGTTGGATCTTGTATTGCTCTGTATTACCTTTGGAAATGATTATTTACAACCAATGCCTCACGAACAAAAATTACTCAACTTGTTACTGAGATACAAGAAGAAGAAGCTGAAAGAAAAATATTCACAACGATTTCTAGTAGAAGTGAATTCAGATCATGTGAAAATGGATATGGATTTCTTTATTAGAATTTTATTGAAATCAAAAGACGTACAACCTAACATGACAAGAAGCGAGAAGGAAATTGATGAAACTAGGAAATACCTCGAAAGTTTGATGTGGTGCATCTCGACCTATGAAACTGGAGTTTGTAAAGATTATAGACACTTTTCAAATCATAACCCACCCATACTTCTAGGACAAATGATTCAAGATATGCGAAAATTAATAGAAAGAAATGGTAACTCGCTGAAATATACTTCTTTGGGACAGACAAGCTTGAAACCAGCGACTTTCCTGATGTCCGTCATGCCATTCACTGTTTTCAGACAAAGTATACCGAAACCAATTCTTGCTGTGATCGAGAAAGATAAATCAATCATTAGAGAATATCAAAATCATTTTTTGAAGGCAGAACATTTTGATCAACTCAAGAAATTGGAAGAACTTTTACTGAACGAAGTCAATTTGAAATCGTGTCCTGAGGCCGATAACGAAATTTGGATGGAAAAATTATTGACTAAAAGTCAGTCGTTTTCAATTTCAAAGAAGCACGTGGAATCTACTTATTTGAGAATTAACAGAGTTTGGAACGCAATGAAGAAATCTTCGATGGGCTTGTGAGATTTCACATCTGAGCAAGCGCAAGAACAATTGTTGGAGTGTTCTCTGTTGAGGAAATGGTGTTTCAACTGTATGTAGAAATGCAGTGTGGGAGTTGTTGATCTAACTAGAAATAAACTTTTCTCATTCATCATGTGGATGTCAATTACTGTGGATGATCACGTATTTGGATCTTTGAAAATTTTGAAAATGGCATAGAGTTTGGAATGAATTGAATTAGCGAATTGTTGTTGTTGCGTTTCTACAATGTCGGCATTAGTCCACGGCAAGACCGGATCATATTTTTGGTCCAAGATATTCTCAATAAGGAGGTTCTTGTAGATGTTTTGATGATGTAAATAAATGTATGCATCCATGCTCGTTTTCACTCTTTGGAAAATGTCATTAAATGAGGGATATTTCTGTATGCCTAATGACGAAACAATGTGAAAAATTTCTTTGCGGAATTGATGAACGTTGGTCAAATGAGATAGAAACTTGATGAGCCTTCTGTCTTGCTTTAACTTTCTCAATAAGCTTAGCACAAGGGGAGCGTCCTTTTGGAATGTTTCAATAAAGATGTTATGAGTTGAGTAAATGTCTTTTCACAATTATTCATGAGAGTTAGGATTCGATTCAAATTTTCTTTCTCAATCAATGGAACAAACTCCGAGTAAATGACATGAAAATAAATGTTGTAAAACGCAGTCTTATACTTGAATTTTTCAACTAATTTTGGGTTGAATTCTCCATGAGAGATGAGCGGTTTTTTCCTCATTTCCTTAATTTGGGGATCGTTTTCTAAAATGTTTCTAGAGATATATGGATCCATTGGATGATGAAAGGTCATGAATGAATGGTGAATCATACATACCTATACATTGATTGAACTCTTTCAATAAATTGTTGTTTCATTTCTTCTTCGTCCACATTTTGAACTTCATCAAGGTGGCAATTGTCTAAAGTTGAATATCTGACTTTGGAAAGATAATTTTCTCGTTCCAGTTGAAATTCTTTCTCTGCTACAGTATCCTTCCACAAGAACGAAGTAAGATCAATAGAATAAGTTTGTTTTTGAAAGTTCCTAATATATGTACAAAGCTTTTCAATAAGCTTGTTCAGATCAACTCTTTTCTTTAAGGCTTCTTGTGCTTGTTTGTTGGTATTTTCCAAAAATTCTGTCGAAACACCTCCATAATTCCTTGTCACGTATTGAAGAGTTTGATAGAGCAATACTTTGAGCAATTGTTGCTGATTTTTGATAACATTGTTTGTAGTATCTATGCTGTAGATATCAGGAAAGGATTGCCATATTTGCTCCAACTCATGTTCGGTTTGTGATTCTAAATGTTGATCCTGTAGTAATTCGAGTACATAATTTTTGTGTATGGATTTAGCATAGTAGCTTGTTATTTTCTTGCTTTGATCAAAATCAATGTCTGAAATTGAGTTATTCTTCTTTACAGATTCTAACACTGATTTGTTAATGAGTAAATTCTCTTGTTGTGCCTCTGATTCTCCTTTCGCTGTGGTTGTTCTCTGTCAAAAGCAAGAGCAATTTTTTGATTTAATAAAGTGAAATTAAATACCTACGTTCAATGCTTCTCGCTCAAAAACTTCTTCAATCCATCGATACTTGACATATTCGATTAACATCAAATCCCAATACTCTCCGAAACAAACATCTCTAATAAATTTAAAATTACAATCATGTAAATATTCCAAATGTTCCTGCAAACAATCATGTAGAATCCAATATTTACAAATTTCTAAAATATTATTTAAACCGTGATGAGTTTTATCTTGAGCCTTTGTTTTCTCTTCATGATTTAAAATATTATTTTTCAAATGCAAGGCACACCATTCCTCAACTTGAAATTTTGCTTGTCTATCTTCTACAAGTTTTATCTTCCAATACTTTTCCCAGTAAAAAGAAAGTGATTCGGGATCTACATTTGTGTTTAATATTTTTGAAAATGTCGTAGACGTACCAATCATTCAAAAGTGAAGGAAAGCATTCAGTTGAATTTTTTCTTACTGTTTTGAAAGCTTTACAACAATTGTTTGTTTTATTACAACTACTACAAAATTTAATTTTAAAATAAATAATATAATTTCGAATTTGAAATTGAATGACTGCAGGTCAATGGTCGCAATGTCTTACAACATGGAATAGTCATGAGCTTCTCTAATTTCTCTCCTTGATTGTCTGAACTTGACAGGCAAGAACATGCAATTGACAATGGCACAAAACATGCAAAACATGATGGCTAATAACATGCTTCTAATGATTGCAAAACCAACTTGTCCTTTTCTTGCAGCCACTACAATCGAAAGAGACATACTTCCGATTGCTAGAAACATTCCCATCACAAATACAATGCTATACAACAAGACAAGGAAGAGATGAATTTTCCATCGTCGTTGAGCAGCAGCAATTGTTGAAAACACCAATAAAACGCTCATCACTACCATGGAAGCATAAAAGATCATATCCGTAATGTAATACGCAAGTACTAATTGATCGTCTACTGTAGTTAATGGAAAAACAGAAGTTGAAAACATGATCGTGTATTGTACAAGATTTAAAACACCAATCAGAAAGAAAAAAAGAGCCAACAACAAGGAAACAAGACTATTTTCCATCATGTAGGCCATTGATGAATACTTTTGTGTTTGATCCGATGATGATCGGTGGTGATGGTGAGGCTCTTCATGGTATTCATCGTGATCCTCTCGTCCTCCTAATAACATTTGTTGTTGTTGAGACATTTTTGTTTTGCAAAAACATTCATTTTCAAATACAAATTGCCCTTCGTTACAATTTTCAAAAGACTGCAAGTGACAAGACAAATGATGTATAATTGCAAATCACTCTAGATAGGTTTCTTTTGATCCAAGTGGTTTAGCAACTGAATATTCAAGGTTGACAACAAGTTCACAGTGCACAAACGTTGCACAAGTTTTAAAAAATGTCATTTTCAAGCCAAGCTATCATTTCAACCGAACAAACAATTTCCAACCCTATTTCCGATCGTGCTTTGGGATTGATTTTAGGTACAGCTATTGGAGATGCATTAGGTACGTTGCAGTATTATATGTTTCTAGTTTTTCAAGCATTGATGGTTTAGGTATTCCATATGAATGTAAAAAGTATGATGAGATTAAAAAGATGAGAGAAAATCAAAATTTCAATGAGATCATAATGAAGAATGCTAATCCCTTTGTGAAGTGCAAAGATCATCCTTTCATTCCCGAAAATTTCAAACCAGGTGAATACACCGATGATACACAATTAACCCTGGCAATGGCTAGAGCTTTACATCGATTCACGAATGAAATGAAAAATTCAAAAGAAACCAACGATGACCTTTCAAATCAAGACGTGTTCATCAATAGATTCATGCCACTCGTAGTGGAAGAGCATGTTCTTGAATTTAAAAAGTCTATTATTGGATGGGGAGGAACAAAGAGAGCTATTCAAAGATTATCAGAAGGAACACACGATTTCAAAACAAGCGGTAATGTTGGAGCTAAGGGAAATGGTGTTTTGATGAAATTAGCTCCCTTGTATTTGTATTATTTTCATAGAGTATTGAAATTGACACCTGGTATGAGTTCAACCGAAGGAATTCATTGGATTGAAAAAGCATCACACGAATGGATGGACGAGCAATTGAAAACCATTACTATCATGACACACAACACAGAATCATGTATTATCACAACATGTATACTTGTTCGTTTTGGATTACTTGTACTGTTATTTGGAGACCAATTTGTTCAACACAAAGGCGAAATTATTAGCAACTTGATTGATTATTGCAAGGAAATGGAAAACAAATTTTTGAATAGTGCAAGTCATGAAATATCCTCACGTTTACAGCTGTTGAAAGACAATCTAGGAGTGTTACATGACGATGCCATACTTATCAATGTCAGCAACGAAGGAACTTATGAAAGTGTCAATAGTTTAATCATGGTGTTAGGTCTAATTCTTTCGGTCGATAGCAATGTGTCACAACCATTCGATCTAGTATTACGAGCAGCAACCATTGGAGGAGATTGTGATAGTAACGCAGCCATGACTGGTGCTTTGATTGGAGCTGTATTTGGAAAATCTGCACTTCCTCACACATTTATCTCACACTTGATTGATCATGAAATGTTAATTGACGAAGGAAAACAATTTTCTTTATCATTGTAGAGCATCATTTTTAAGAAAGGAAAAACATTATTTATTCCTAATTACTCGACTCTTGATATTATCAATCTTCATCTTCTTTTGGAAAGCTAAACTTTGCTTAAATCGGTGATGTGTGTCACCCATGACCAAGCATACTTCTTTTTGGATGGTATCAAATAATGTATCAGACAATACCTGAGACTCCTTCGAAATTTCAAACATGACCTTATCTGCAAACTTTTTGTTGATATTCACGGACATTGAACCATTGATGTTCAGGAAGGTTTCATAGATGTAAAGAGCCAGTTCCTTTTTCTGCTTTTCGACGAGCTCCAAATCTTTTTCCGAATACAGGACTGTTCCTCGATTTTTTTTGTTTTCTCCGCTAGAGTTCGATTTGGATGTGGAAGTGCTTGTCACATTGTCTGCGGAACTGGTACTCAGTACATCCGAAGTTAAATCAAAGAGAGTCAATTGAATTTCAAAACTCTTTTCACACAATGCTTGATATTCTTGAACCTTTTCCAAAAGGTAATAGTTTTCCAATGAGAATTCTTTTTCGCAATGCTTTTTGAACAATTCTCGAAGCTTGGAATCAGACATGGTATCGTTTAACATGATTGCCTTTGCTTTTTCAATGTTTGCACGAATTTGCTTCTCATTGTTGAAAGAGGCGATCAAAGTGACAACAACCACCGGGAGAACTAAGGCCATGAGAACTGCAACCACGATCATACTTGCCAAGGTCTTTTGTGACATGGCATCATCTTTTTTCTCTTCTTCATTCTTCAAATAATCCACATAGGCTTGAAGATCATGATTGTAATCTTCTTTTTCTTCCAAATACTCCTCTCCATCTAAAATTTCCACTGCTTTTTCTTGTTCACCTTTTTCAATTAACGAAATAGCTTCATGTTCCAATACAATTGGTTCATCCTGAGTGAGATTAAACTTCTCTAAAGTTCTATTCAAAAGAGAGGTCATGACCTGTTTAGGAATTAATTCCAACACTTGATTGAGCAATGCAATATATTGAGGATAATATGTTTGATATCTCTCTATATACATTTCAGTCAGGTTGCTATTCTTTGAATAGGCCGCTAAACGAGCAGAGCTAGACAATATTTCAGAATACAAGAGTGCTTGACCTCGCATTTCCACCGAATGAATGTTTTGCTCCTTCTTGTTTAAATAAACAACAATGAGTAGTCCGAGTAAAATACAGAAAGCGGCCACATTGAGAATGAGGACTGAGAGAAGTAAACACTTCGTAGGAGAGAGACTAAGCGAGCCCCATCGAGTTTCAATATGAAAATGTGTCTTGGAGAGAGAATTTCTTTGAGGTGACTTGAATGAGTTGCATCTAAAGGATGCTCTTTAATCGAAAGTGTCGTCGGGTTTGGCAGAGAGGATGGGCTCATGGGTGTTTCATGACTAGGACGATGCATCATTTTGGAGACCGAGAGGGTTTGCAATGTTTTTTTGAGAGTGTCACAATGGCTGCAAATACATCCAAGTTAGGAGCTCTCGTTAAAAAAACAATTCATCTCTATCATGACGGTTATGGATGTACGTTGTATATTATACTCTTTACATCAATGGCTAGTAAAATGGAGCACGATGACTTGAAAATGGACGATGCTCTGATTTGAATCTTTTTTTTGACAGGATAAAAGAGCGATAATTATCGCAGCGGGAGTTCTACTTTACTGCCTTATTTGATTCTATTCCGCTTTAGAGATGCATTGTTAAGGTTGTGACAATCTCTCTTCAGCAAATATTTCTGTTTTCAAGATGCCCAAAACTAAATTGATTGAACAATATGTATGAATTAGAATCTGGAGAGTGGAGACTCACTTTGGATCACCTAAAAACCATTCACAAGATACAAGTTTTGAATCCTTTCAAGTGTTAGTGCAATCATTACCAAAATGTAAGGTACTGAGAGCGTGGTGTTTTGTAAAAATTCATTATTTCCTGATTCGTTCATCCTACAATCAAATAGATGATGTTATAGGGGCATTCCTCCTTTACTCTTTGATCGGATCCGATGTGTTCGTAGTTGATTCGTTTCAAGTTTCTTTCTAGAACTTGATGATAATTGTGTGACAGGAGGGATTTCCATAAATCGCCAATTTCACAACCTAAGATATTGTCTTTCATTGTTCATTGGAACAGGAAATATCAATACTTTTACAAGGATGTTTACCTCAACTTGAGCAGTATTCAGAAAACAGATTGTTTCTAAAAAAGGTAAATTGTTTCATTATTGAACAGAACAACCTATTAGTTGATGCTATTCATTATAATTGAAAAAATGTTCCTTCCTCCCAACTCGATTCATCATTTTGCGAAACGTCTTTCCATTGTTCTTCTTCTAGTTTCAGTTTTGTTCTTGTGGACACCATACATTCATTCTCAACAACAACCACTCGTCACACTTTCGAATGGAGCAATATTACAGGGAAAACTCACCGAGAACAATCAAGTGAAAGCGTTTCTCGGTATTCGATATGCGTCGGATACATCTGGAGCGAATCGATGGCAATTACCTCAGCCCTATCATATCCAGCGAATATTACTCCACTCGGCACGATGTTCAGAATTTTGGTAAAATTTGTCCTCAACCTGTCGAGAGTGCAGCCAATACTTTGGATAAACAATCAGAAGATTGTCTCTTTCTCAATATTTGGTCACCTGTGAATACTTCCATTTCAGGAAAACCTCAAAGTGGAAAACTGCCAGTGTTTTTCTGGATTCATGGTGGACAGTTTTTAACAGGTGCTGGATCCTTCTACAATGGTGGTTACTTGTGTGATCAGAGTAACATGATGGGAAGACCCATGATCATTGTTTCCATTAATTATCGTCTTGGAGCTTTAGGTTTCTATTCGGATACCAATTCAGCATTTAATTTAAATGGAAATTATGGATTATGGGATATTATAGAAGCCTTGAAATGGTTCGTTCCAATATTGAAGCTTTTGGAGGTAATCCTCTTGATGTCACATTGGCCGGTGAATCGGCAGGAGGTGTTTCTGTATCCATCTTGTTGACCAGTCCCTTATTGAAGAGTAATGATCCTCTATCATGGAATGAACAAGCTCATTTGGAAAAGTATGGTCGAATTACAAGGGCCATCATTCAAAGCGGTGTCATGCCTAATAATATTCTTCAGAGAAGTCATTCAGAAGCACAAGTATTTTCAACCATTTTCAAAACAAGAGTTTCATGCAATGACTTGTCATGCTTGAGAGCACTTCCGTTCACAACGATTATTCAACACCAGGATCAATTAGGAATGGGTGCTGTTGTGGATGGAACGATCAGTACAGAGCATGTCCTTCAGTCCTTGACCAAGAATTCAACGCTCCATAACATTCCACTCTTGATTGGAACGAATCAAAATGAAACCAATCTGTTTCTGTGTCGAGTGAATGGAGCTGAATCGATGAATATTTTTCAACTTTTAGCTTTGGCTGGAACCTTATTGAAGTTAAAGTTGCCGACAGATAATTTAATCCAATTTGTCACAAATTTAGATCGAGTGTACGGACCTGTGACCAAGTATAAGAGTCCACTAGATTTCTTCAAAACCTTCACGACCGATGTCATGTTCCATTGTCCTTCCTTGCACATGGCTCGACTTTCCTCCAGGTTTATTTCTCAACGCCGGACCTTCCAATATCTCTTTAAATATGTACATCCTGAATTGAATCCTTGTTATGGAGCACCTCACGCTGGAGAGCTTCCTTATTTATTTCCCTCAATTCTTGATTATATAGGAACAGATCATGTATTGTTCAACAATGCAAGTGCCGTAGCGACCATGTCTCCCACGGATAGTGCTCTTTCTAGAATGATGATTTATTATTGGTCCAATTTTGTCAAGTATGGAAATCCAAATGGGAATGGCCAAGAGGATCGTGTATCGAACTTGTCGGCAACCACTCAAAAAGAAGATAATCCTGCAAAACAGTATCCAATTTGGCCGAATTTTGCATGTTCTGAAGAGTCTCTCTTAGTGATCGATAAACCAGAGTTATCATTTGTGAGTAATCGAACATTCACCAACGTGTGTCAATTTTGGAACGGTTTATTGGGATTCCCAACCGTTCAGAACTGCCCTCCATAATTAAGAAGGTTATCATATCACACCATTGATATGATTAATAATAAATTGTGTTGTTCATAAAGACAAGAAAAAGATGATGTTATTTATTCATTTCATGAAAAGATATTAAAGAACCAAGATGAATAACAATGAGATCATGCCAACAACAACAACAACCAACGACTGTACATTCGACAATTTGGAAGCATGATTGGTTTTTGTTGAATCTTTAGAACGTGGACAAGCATCTGTACATACAGCACTTCCACTACATGCGTTATTGACATGATTCGTCATTTGAATGGTTGTTCCACTCTTCTTTAGAGTGTATGGATTTCCTCCTCCTACAGCACTCACAGTATCATAGGAATCAATACTTCCAATGTAGATGGTGACCGAAGTTGTAGTTCCACATGATCCCTTCACATTGGAAGTCAATTGCACTAAATTCAAACCTGAACGAGTGACAGTAACTTGTCCATCCAGACAGCAACAAGTAGATGGATTGCAACCAGGTTGAGTGTTCCATTTACCTGTCCAGTAGTCGGTATAATCAATGGTTTGTACTTGATTGTTATTCACTCGAAGAGTTTTTGATGAGAATAGATTGTATTTCCAGAGACCATACTTGCTTTTAACAAGACATCTGAGCTAATGGAATTTGTAACAGTGAATGCAAAGTTCGCAACACCATTGTTGAGTGAAACTGAAGTGGTTCCCTGAAGTGTGGATCCAGAGCTCTCAGAAGTAAAGGTTATATAATTATTGGAAATGGGAGCAACATTACCAGCACTGTCATAGGCTTTGACCGTTCCAGAAATTTGAGATCCACTGTTGATACTGTCACTGTTGTATTCCATCTTGATGTAACTCACTGTGGTACTTTGCAACTTTTTGCAAGTTCCTGAAATGTAAAATCTTGTGGGACACGAATACACTAAATTCTTACATTTCATGACTGTTACCAATTCATTTACGGAAGTGTCAGTGAGTGATGATTGCAAGTAAACACATGTTGCACTCTCAGCTGACAAGGATGAATAATAGTAGAAAGTACCACCTTGCTGATATTTGGTGTATTCGCTTCGAGTCATGGTATAGATGGAATAAGAAGAAGAATCAGTGGAAGCAACATTCACAGAAAGACTACCAAGGTATTCATCTGAACCACATGTGTTAACACGTACATGGCTCGATCCAGCACCAATGGAATAAGGACATGTTTCACCGTCACATAAACACGAAGCACATGAGCATTGTTCGGTATTTCTTTTCTTTACAGAATTTGAAAACAGATTCATGATAGTAGAACTGGCAGAGTTGGAGGTCATTTTGAGAAGAGCATGAGAGGACGTGTCCTTCTCTTCAGCATGAATGAAGGAGATATCTTTACAGCACAGTATGAGAAGTAAAAGCACAAGAGCAAACAAAAGTATTCTTGACATGTCGATTTGTTTTTTTTCAATATTGAACGGAAGATGCAAGAGTGTCATCTTGTTTTTAAAGGTGGTGCCTCAATCGTTAATTTTTGGAGACTTTACAATGAAATGGAGTGCAATGATTGGAGAACAGAATTCTAAACTCGTTGAACATCAGAATGTGAATTCCTGACTCGGTTTGAAAAGCATGCAACGGGGATGGGAAATCCCAATTTGAAAAATAAAGGCCGAGATACGAGGTTGTCCTTTTATAGTTAACAGAAAATTTTTTGTAAATGTATGTTAATTTGAGTTTTGTCCTTCTTCTTTTGACATTCTGAAGAAGCAACAGCTTCTCCTTTTGGTGTATTCTAACCTCAGTTTTTTATCGCTCACACATCTTGCAAAAGCTCTCAATGAACGGGAAGCACTATTTTTTGCACTAGATGAATGAATATCAAAATGATAAAACTTTTTGCCAAGAGGTGGAAGGGCTAAAGTATAGTATTAAGATAACTGGAGTCCCCATAACTCAAATCTGGAAGAGTGAGGACATGTTTTGTTACTGGCTTGTTGGTGGTCGAAGCCGACCTGTTAGCTGTCACACATCAAAAAATGCCTAAAGAGCCAATCCCTATTAACTTTACTCTTCACCACCCAGAAAACGTAAGTGACTACGAGGACTGTTCAGGATCTCATATCTGTTTCTTTGTATCTTTCTGCCAATCATCACGGAATGATCCAATACATTGTGATTGATCACTTTTTTGAAAATGGTTGTGGTGATCCCTTTCAATAATTTTCTTTTTTCAAACAAACACAACCATCATCATCTACCGACAAACAATTTAATGAAACAACAATAACAACAATTATCGGAAACATGAACGATCCTACATCAACAACAATTCTAAAAAACTGAACTAACTCACTTGATCAACGTTCACCATCATCACTCAAATATTTTTACATCATATACCGTACATTTGGCTGGATTGAATCCAACATGATTGGTATTTCCAACACCAAATATTGAACCACAAATCATTCATTACATTCCGATGAAAAAACAACACATTTCAGTTATATGAAGGGTTTCTAAAGAAGAAGGGTAAAAATCTCATCAAAAAGGCTCCTCTGCGTTATGTCGTTATTCGTAATGAAGCCATCTATTACTTTAATACAAAAAAGGATGAAAATTCGCAGGAACAGCCTGATCTCTCTTCTTGCCTCGGATTTATTAACGTCAAAGATCTAAAGAGTATAACAGGAGATGAATCCGATAACAAAATAACCATTGTTGCTGAAAAGAAATCAAAAACCAAACAATTTGTCTTCTTTACGGAAACTAAAGACTCTTATACACAATGGTTGAACGAAATGAAAAAGTGGTACTCAAAGAAGGAATTCTACTCTTCCATGCCTTCTGCCATGAACATGTTTTCAACTTTTTCAAGTGGTGTTTCTGCAGTGTCAGGATCTTCAAAGAAATCAGCGGAAGAGGTTGTTTCTCCATCGGCAGTGAGTAATAATTCAGAGACCAAATCATCAGGTCGATCTCGATTCAGTGTGAGAAGTCACCAAGGAGGAGATTTAGCTCAACATTTGAATCCAAGTCCTGCATTTTCTGTTGTCGCAAATACTACTACAACAAGTGGTACTGCCCTTTCCAGTAGCAGTGGTGGTGGTGGTGCAGCGTCCATGTCTACACCGGTCTTGTCTTCCTCTCCGCCCAATCGGTTTTTATCGAAAGCTTCGAAAATGCAAGTCGTTGATGACGATGTTGGAACAGAAGCAAACATTTCCGATGATGAATCTGAAGAAATTGATGACGATGAAGAGGACATGATGAGTACAGGTGCAAAGAGTGGTAGCTCTACAAGATCTGGAGGCAACAGAAGAAGTGCAAAACGAGAAGGAAATTTATTGGAGCTTCTCAATTCCAAGAATTTAGAAGATGCTAGTTTCAGAAGACACTCAGTCATGTTGGATAAATCGGATCGTTCCTCCTCAGTTGCAAAATTTAACTTGATGGAACAATCCTCAGTTCATTCCGGAACCAATGTGAGAAAGAATGATGAAGATCAATTTGACAAGAGACGTTTCTTGAATATCATGTCCATCTTCCCAGTCGAGAAGGAACACTCTCGCTATTTTGATGATGGTAAACGTGTCGATTTAACAACAACCATTCCTGAAGTGAAAGAATGGGAACAAGAATTGATTAACTTTGAAACAAAGAGGGCTCAAAAATCAGAAAAACAAAATGGTAACAAAATGGCCTTGTCCTCTCTGGTTCCTCATGATTTTGCAGATGCAAAAGAAAAATGTAAAGAAACATTACAACAAGAAGACAAATTTTGCTACTGGTCTCACGAAGTCATTTGGTTTAATCCAAGAGTATACGGAAAGAGTCAATACAAGGAAGCGTTATTGGTGTTAGGAAATAGAAACGTCTATATCATTGACGCTAAAAGCTTCAAAACTGAAACCAAAGTCAGAATTAATGATATTTATCATATAGTGCAATCAGGCTATGAAGACGACATTGTTGGAATTATTCGGAAAGACAGAGAAGAACAATTTGATATTTTATTCCAATTCACTGAAACCAAGAGAACAAAATCAAGTGATGACACATCCGTCACAGTTGCAGATGAAGAACGTATTAGAGGAAAGTCGTTTGCAGATTCTCGCTCTGAGGCGTTCAAAGAACAAGAGAACGAAATATACTTGAAGAAAGTTGAATTCTTTGATTATATTTCTGCTGTTTATGCGTCACAGAGATCCTCTCCACTGAAAATTTTCTTTGTTCTTGACGTAAGATCAATGTGTAGAATTGAAGAAAGAGAAGAGCCATTCGATTTGAATCCCAAGAATATTTTAGAGTCAACCTCCATTTTGCAAATTGACAAAAAACACGATTTTATCAAACTCTATCAAGAGCCCACAAGATGTAAAGTCATGAGTGAATTTGGTGACAAACAAGTTTTCTTTGCTGGATTGCTTGGAAAGAAGAACAAGAGAAACAAGTACCAAAATCGTACTATTGTTATCACAAACAGAGCATTGTATCTATTTGATCCAAAGAAGCAAAAATCATTCAAGAGAAGAATCAAATTATCTGAAATTTCCAGAGTCTATAGAAATAAGAAAAAGGGAGTCTTAATTGATGTTCCTAGTGAATACCCACTTTGTTTAGTGCCAAAACAAAACATGGAAGTTTTTGAGGACTTTGTCAACGTCTTGTCTTCTCTCTATTTTGACAACGACCTTGTTCAACATGTGAAAGACAACGAATTTGATTCATTCGACTTGCAGAAGTCTCAAGGTTTCAAAGAAAAGATGAACGAAACTGAAGACGTTCTCTTTGTTCAAACTCAACTCAGAAATGCCATCTTCAACAAAGATGTCAATCAAGTGAGAGAATATTTAGCTTATGCAGATGCGTTAGTTGGAAAGAAGGATCAAACAGAAACCAATAGTATTAGAGATCTCAGAATTCAAGCAAGCGAATTCTTGGCTGATATTCAACTTCAGGAATTTATCAAGGAAAAACTTCAAGCAGCATTCTTAAACAAGGACTTTTTAGAAATGAGTAGAATGTTAGAACACATTGAAACAATCAAGAAAGAACGAGGTGAAGCTGAAATTTGCAAGTCGCTCTCTGATTATTTGAAGAGTATCAGGACCGAAAAAGACATTGTGATTAACAAGCACTTAATGTTGACAAGAATTGAATTTTTACTTGAGTCTGGAGTTGACCAAGAAAATGAAAGAAGAATCATGCACGCAGTAGATATTGCAAAACGAGCAGGTTTCGTCAGGGAAGTTGAACAATACAAACAAGATTATGACAGAGAAAAACAAAAGATTTACATTGATCAACAACTTGCAGAAATTCTTGATAGAAAAGCTAAAAGTGCCAGTTTGGACTCTGATGCAGACCGTTTGATTTGTCTGATTGAGAATGCAAAATCACTTGGAATCTATGAAGGAAAGATTCAAAAAATCTTTGAAGAAAATACCAAAGCATTTATTACCAACAAATCTAACAATCATAATTTCAAGATGGCCATCGAACAAACGAGAAAGGATATTGAAAGTAATCACGCCAAGTTGAAAAAAGAAATTGAGAAGGTTCAAAGTAACTCTGAAGGTTACACCAACATTGACAAGGCATTGGTTGAAGAAGCTAAAAAAGTGATTCAAGAAATTGAAGAAATTAGAAAGTATCAACGAAAACTTCATGCAATTTTAGACAAGACTGAAAAGAAAAAGTACACTGTTGAAGAAGCGCAGGTTCTCATTGAAAAATGTAAAAAGAAACTGAATCACAAACGCAAAGGGTACGGCGAAACAAAGGATTATAGAGAATTGTTGAAACGTACCAACAATACTTATAACGAGTTGAAGAGAGAACTCAAAAAGATTTACAAACATGAGGCTGTCAATACTGCTGATCTTCTCAGAAAGCTTCTTGAACAACAAGAATATGGAAAACTTCAAGAGAAACTCAACCAAATTAGTACTTTATCCATCAAGACAGCTCTCGTAGCAGAATATCCTGAACTTCAAAAAGTAATCGATGAAGTCGTTGACAATTTAAACACTTACGATTTCATGTCAAGATTGAAGGGTGAAAATGTTGAAGCAGCATACACATATTTGGATGTTGAAATAGTGCTAAAATTCAAAGATTTTGCAGAGAGAAATCCTCAGTACCTCACAGAGGATCAACAAATCTCTTTAGCTAAAATTGAAAAGAAGGTTGCCACTGAATACAAATATTACAATGAAATTCTGGAGGAGAAGAAGAGATTCAAGGACATTTCTGCAGAAATTATAAATTTCCAAAGAGTCGAAAGTCTTCTTGAACAAGTTTCTGATATTGCTTCTCTTCACAAGGAAGCAGATGAGTTAGCAGATTTGGTGAGAAGAAAGAAGACCTTCAATCAATATGTCAGAGAGATTCAAAAACGTAAAACTCAAGGCAAGAACTATGATGACATTATGAGAAAAGCAAGCAAAGAAGATTTTGACGCCAACATCATCATTAGTGCTGTCATGACACAAAAAGCAAACGACTTACAAATTGAAGATGAAATCAATGAATTAATTAAGAGAAAAGATGTCAGAAAGCTTCAAGAGCTTATCAATAGAAATGCTGAAACCATGCCAAAGAATTTACTCAAAATTGCAAATGCAAAATTGAACAATTTAAGAAGAGAGAACATGACACCTTTAGAATTAATTGAACAAATCAATAACGCTATTGATGTAAATGCTAAGGAAGAATTAATCAGTGCTGTTGAAGTAGCTAACAAACTATTGAAAGAAGATATTGCAGAACAATCCAAGACTCAATTGTTAACAGCCATTGAACGAGCCAATAGGACCATTAAATCTATCAATGACAGTGAAAATATTGCCAAGGTCAAACAATTCTCAAGTGAATTTATCAAACAAGCAATGCATTCTGATGAACTGGTAGATTTGGAACTGGAGAATGAAGACAGCTTTAAACTCACAAGAAAACTTCGTCTCGTTCAAGGTTTGACTGATTACTCTTCAATGACTCAAGAAGAAAAACAAAAGTATTTGTTTGAAGTATTCCAAAGTAAGAGCATTGACACCGATAATGAACTTCTTCAACGTCTCACTTACCATGTGAACAAATTGAGAGCTTTCTGTGAAGCCAAAGAAGGTTTAGGGGACGAGGAAGAAAAATACACAGTCGAAAGAGATAACGTCTTTGGACAAAACTTGATCAAGGTCTTGTATGATATTCTTAACCATAGAACAAAGAAGAGATTCTTCTACCTGACCAAAGATCCATATGAAATCTTGTCTGGTTTGAAAAACAATAATGACTTTATCCTCAAATTGGTTGATACTTTTGACTCTAACGAATTAGTGAAGCGCCTTAAGAAGGAAAAGAAGAGTGACGCGCTCTCTGTGCAATTCATTTATTATTTACTCTCTCAGAAGGCGTTCATGTTCGTAATTGAACAATTGTTAACTTCAGAGGATTACCTTAGAGAGTGTTACGAACTCGACTCGGTTATTCTCGACCGAAGATACAGAGATGACATTTATCCACTCATGTCACTGTTGAACATGTTTAAATTCGCATTTACTTTGAGTTCTTCAACCGATGTACTGGCAGCCTCTCCAGTCTCTAAATTGAAGGGTATTGTGAGATCTATTGTGCATTACTTTGTTGCCAACCGAGCAGAGACTAAATCTAACTTGGAACTCAGTGGAAAAGAGGCTTGGGAAAAGAGTCAGATCGGTGTTCTAATTCGACAAAAATTGGTACCAACGCTGGCAGAAATTTTGAATCACAAATTCAAGAGCGGATTCATATCCAAGTATCATATTTGGCAATTTATTCAAGACGTTGCTGAACAACGAAGAATCAGTGCCATTGATATTGGAGGTATCCATTTGCCAGAAGCTGTTGATGCTGTCAACAACAACACAAGTGACACTCTTGATTTCAACTTCAAATTCGAAATGTTTGTTTGCTATGCTTTGAACAGAGGATTACTTGCAGAATTCTTTGAGAGCATCCTCAAAGATAGATCCTTCCTTAACAAGTACTATGATCAGTATGCACTCGTTTTAGACAGAGATGTCATTGGAAATACTATCAAATATTTTGAAATTATCTCACAGCTACCCTTCGAACTCATTGAGGACTCTGTAAAATATTTTGACAAGTATCCCAAACAACAGTAAAATAAAATTATTATCCATTAAATTTGTAATTCATTCGTTGTAATTCAAATATCTTATTTACATCGTGGCACCTCGTTTCGCCAGAATATCGGCCATCTCGTTTCCGTGAACATTTGAATGACCTTAAAAACATGTTGACTCATTACGATGTTATTTAACAAGCATCACTTACCTTGCACATATGTAAATTTCACTTTTGTTCTTTTGTTGATTTCATTAACCAGCTCTAAGAATAAATCTAAATTTTGAATATCCTTGTTGTCTTTTGTTTTCCAATTATTCTTCTCCCAAACAAATCTCCATGCAGTCATAGCCTTAATTACATAATTAGAATCTGTCAGTAGCTCTACAAATTGAAATTCTTGCGGCAGTCTCTTAAGAGCTATTGAACATGCTTTAATCTCAGCTCTCTGATTTGACTGAAGGGTTCCTTCAAGTCTTCCACTGTAATTTAGAGGATCATCTTCACCAAACCATACCCCAACTCCAGCAACACTATTTGCCAAGCCATTTCCGAAACAGCAGCCGTCTGTGTAAATTTGTTTATATTTTGGATTGTTGAGCTTGACCTTTTTTATCTCTGGCTCCATCTGTGATTCAGTGCTGGTTTTTGTTTGGCTCTCGCTATTAATTTCTTGATTGAATTCGTCCTTTTTTCGTTTCAATGACGATTGATCAAATATTTCTGATTCATTTATGTTTGCTGACGAATTATTTGGATTACTTTGGTTGGTTGTAATTACATTGCTACTTTCTCCCTCCTGCTTTAAATACTTCTCGGCCATTTCCATAGTTGCAAATGATTTGTATTTTGCTCCCGAATATCCTTTGACTTGGCTTTCACATTCCGACCATGTATTAAAAATCCCACATTTTCTTCCTTTGACAACCACATAATATTTCCGTTTTGTCATGATGCCAAGAAGATGAAAATTGAAACAATCCAATGTGAGAAGAGTGTGATGATGATGAGTTATTTTGTTTTTAGTTTTTAAAAATTGAAAAATGTGTGAGTGTCCCGTTACTTGTTTCACGTGATGGCTTGGGTGGCTCAAATTTTGTCCGTAATGATAACAACGGAGAGAAGAAAGAGAATTGTTGTGGATTCTGAAGTTGAAACATGCACCAAAGTAGGAGGTGTTTCTATGAAACATTTTTTGATACCAATCAATTCTTTAGAAATTATGGAAAAAGAACGAGGCTTGTTTGTTGCACGGTCCAAAACTAGTACATCCCAGCGTTTAAAAATTGGTTATGACACCAGTACAACGAACGAGTGTTGTAAAAAAGAACTTGAAGTCCCAACTCATCATGTGCTTTAAGGGGAACTCCTAATTTTGCCCTAAAATTTAATGAAAATTGATGGCATCTTGTTTCAGTGGTTACTCAAGAGAATCAATTTATTCTTTGACTCTCATTGTATATGCAGCATCCTTATGTGAATCATCAAGACGGAACACGTAGATGCCACATCATCATCCTCAATCAAATACTAACTCTTTTCAAATGGCTTTGCAATGTGCTATTAGTTACGACCATCAATTCATTGACAAGTACACTCCTTAAAGATAAACCATTCCAAATGCCAGACATCCGTCATCTATCATTGTGTCGCAACATCAAAAAAAAAGAAACAAAACTCCCTCGCTTTCCCTCTCTATACTCTGTCAACAGCTGATTGACTCAGAACCTGAATCCTTCCTCAAAAAACACACTTTAAAGAACCTCATTTTCACAATTGGGATTCTGTGAAATTATTGACAGTATTTATTACTGAACAACCAACATCATTATTTGTGTACAATCAAATCACGACAACACTCGACAAACTACTACACAGCAACACTATGGACAATCCCATTCATCATCGTGGAGGTGGCAACCATGGTGGCATTGGTTTATCATCATCAGCCAACTCCTTTGATTCCGAATCAGTGGATTACGAATCGGGTGGATACAACAACAACGAAACATCCTCTCCATCCTCACTGTTCGTCAATGGAGCAGTATTTGCGAACGGAAATGGACATTCCATGATGAATTATCAAAGACCATCCACTTCCTACAATGCGTCATTATACAATACATCATCATCTTCTTCATCCTCTTCAGCATCACACATCTATAGGCCGCCACCCTCTTCTTCCTCTTCTGCTGCTCATATACCCACCAAATATCAACAACAACAAAAAAGATTTCTCGTTAATGTGTTGATGAGTTTGGTGTTATTGATTGTCTTGACAATTCTTGGATATGTGGTGTATAATAAGGTTTCTAGAAGTAATAATAGTAGTAATAGTAGTGGTTTTAAAAATCCTGATCGCTTCACTCAGACCAATCCAGATATTCTCGATAAAGTTCGTATGAGAGAAAGTGCCTATGTGAGAAAACGATATGAGGATGACGGAGACGGAATGGATAGTAGCACGTTTGTGGGCTCAAAACAAAGAAGAGCACCAAAAAAGGATGATACGCCACTTCTCAGAGAAGGTGACAGCAAAACTTCGATCGTTCAAGATGATTATTCGACTTATTCTGCTCCTATTGAAAAGTTTATGTGGCGTGGAATGTTTAAAGAGAAAATGAAAACAATTTCTGATTGTCCAGTTCCTTTCAAAACGAAATTGGCAAAGGTTGCAAAAACCATTCACACCTACATGATTCAAGAACCAGGAACTGAAAATTATCAAGAAATGTTGGATGCCGAAAAAGTATCGGAAAGTGGAGTGATAAATGTCGACTGGTCCCAAACCTTTACATCCATGCCTGCTGATTGTCAAACTTCAACACTAGTTCACAAACGAGCGGATGACAACTACTTGGTGATTTGTCAAGAAGGAAGCAAAGAACCATTTTTCTCAATTACTAGAGATGCCGCAGGAGATGGAACTGCTCAATCCGATGCTGCGTTCCAAATTATTCGTGAAAACAAATTAGAGAAATTAGAGTTTGAACCAGGATCGAAATTAACATTGGACAAGAAACAATTGGCCAATACGGAAATACTTGTAATGAAGTGCAGTAAGGGTAGAGAAGTTGTCACTCGTATTGCACATGACGCCGAATTACAAAAAGCAGCCAATCAAGCCTATTCAACTCGTGTGAAAAAACTTGAAGAGCAAGATCAAGATCTCAAAGAAAAGTCCAAAAAACCCAAATACGAGCATCATCAATACGCTGCAAATATTGAATATGAGTATGAAATGATGCATCCCATCAATGTTTTACATGTCGTTCTTGATGGAACATCTAGAGCTAATTTTATGCGAGAGCTTCCAAGAACTGTCGGCGTTTTGGAAGATATTGAATTGGATCAAAAGGCAATTAACTTTAAAAAACCAAGCAAACACAGAGTGTTCCAATATTTTAGATACAATACTGTCGGTCACACTTCGAGAGAAAATATGATGGCTATGGAAAATGGTTTAAAGATGTCACCATCATTCCTTAAAAATTATTTCTCATCCGTTCCAGACAAGAGTTATGAGGAATCAGAACCTGCTCGACAAAAAGAATTGTTGACCAAAGTTCTAGTAGGAGCTAAAGAGGAGGATGGAGCTCGAACGCTCATCGAACATAATATTTGGAATATTGCCAAAAGATTGGGTTATGTCACCATGTACAGTACAAGTGAATGTCCATATGTTAAAATTAGTGACAAGAAATACCGAAAGAAGTTAATGGACACTTCTTCTCATCTCTTTAACACATGGCATCGAGCTGACCACAATTTAGTTTCTTTGGCATGTGAACGACAATTATTTAAATCATCAAAAGATAGAAAATGTCTTGGATCAAAGGATTTGGCTGAACATATATTTGATTACACAAGTGACTTCTTTGCCAAGTATCCAGGAACTGCTAGGTTTGCAACTGTTCATTTAGAAGAATCAAAACATCTGCGATCTCACAAAATGATGACTGCTCTAGATATTTCTCTTTCTCGATTCATTGTTTCGATCACAAAGGCTCATCCTCATACAGCAATCATTCTCTCAAGTGGAAATGGTGTTTCACATGGACCTCTTTACGTAACAGATGTTGGCCAAAAGGAACATCAACTACCACTGTTAGTAATGGTCATGCCAGAACATTTACAAATTCGACATGACCAAGTTTTTGCAAACATGGATGCTAATCAACAACAATTGGTGACACCATTTGATCTCTATAGTACTTTGGTTCACTTAATGCTCTTCCCTCAAGTAGATCTTCCATCTCGTTACAATTTAATTCACAAGGTAAAAGCTGAATCAGAACATTCAGATGAGATTGATGATTTTGAAGCAATTTCCAAATCCATTCTTCTTCCAATTTCTACGCAAGCAAGATATTGTAAACAAGCAGGTGTGGACGAGCGATGGTGTTCCTGCTCAGTTCAAGAAACCTTCGATGCAACCTCACAACGAGCAAGTGCTCATATTACTACCATTGTCAAGGCTGCAGTGAATCATGTAAACAAGATGGTTCAAAAACATAAGCAGACCTGTCAACAGATTGAGGCTGGAAAAGTTTTGAAAGCTACCAAGATTCGAATTCAAACACCAGAAGAGTTGGAGAATGGAAGAATTATTCCACATATCATCTCGGTGATATTCCAATCAAAGTCCGGTGATGTATTTGAAGTGGACTACTCGTTATCTGAAGAAGATGTGTTGGACAGGTTGTTAGATGTTCGAAGAGTTTCTCTCGTTGAAAATTTGGAAGAATCAGCAAAGAACCGTGAGAGCTTGGTCTGTGACAAACTGAAGGGCTTGGAAGCTTCGCCTGATTTGTGTATTTGTAAGGAGTTGTAATACACTTGTAACATAGAGACGATGATTTGTCTTGATAATTTTGCCAGCGGATTCAAACCATTTAATAAATAACAACAAACTATCAAACAACAACAGCTGTTTTACAAGCCAGTGTTTGATGAAATTCATGTGAATTCAATCATGATGATAGTCGCGGCTGATTCCTTTGTAAATTCCCCTAGTTGAAGTGGATATAGACATGAATAATTCCAATTTATGATGAATACATTAAATAATAATTTGTTAATTTGATTAGTGCTCTGTAATGACCAAATTATTGCTTTTGTTCTCGGGCAGCTCTTCTTCTCAAAACTTCTTCTTTGGCCCATGCTTGGAAGCTATAATCTGGTTTGAAAGCGAGTCCAATGACCAACATAATAACACCTCCGTACATCAAAGGAAATACTCTATATTCCCATCCTTTTGCCTTGTATTGTTCACCTGCAGGAATACCGAACAATCGACCATCATTGTCCGTGTATGGTTCTTCGTGATGATCATCATGATGAGTATCATGCTCTCCTTCATGATGATGTTCATCATGATGTTGTTGCTGATGGTGTCCTCCTCCTCGTTGAGTCATGCTAGTATGATAACATTTCACGGAGGAAGCTTGTAAATTTCTAAAAGCTGCTGATGAAGAAAGACGAGAAATTGTTTTGAGAAACATTTTTTAAAACGATATTTGAAAATAAAATTGTGAGACAATCACTTGCATATTTAAATTTAATATTATATAAACAACAGTATATTGAACAGCCAGTATGAAAATTTCTTATTATGATATTTGCATCATCCTTCAAGATTAAAGTCTTCACCTTCAATTAAAATTAAACATTAAAAAAATGCTCAACTCAACAACACCAAACTCGTCCGCATCAAATACACCTGCCCATCAGCAGGTAACGATTAATAAGAAGGAGCATCATACCCAATATATTTATGGTGAAAAACTTACAGTTACTCCACTCGGTGCAGGAAATGAAGTCGGAAGAAGTGCTGTTCTTTTGCAATTTAAAGGAAAATCAGTCTTGTTTGATTGTGGTATCCACCCAGCTTTTAGCGGAATGGCTAGCCTTCCGTTTTTTGACGAGATTGATCCTAGTGAAGTTGATCTTGTACTAGTCACACATTTTCATTTGGACCATTGCGGAGCATTACCCTATTTTACTGAACATACAAATTTTCAAGGAAGAGTGTTCATGACCCATCCAACGAAAGCAATTTACAAGTTATTGCTTTCTGATTTTGTGAAAGTTAGTGACGTTCATGTGGATGATCAACTTTTCACAGAGCAAAATTTACTTGATTCTTTGAAAAAGATTGAGCTTATTGACTACCATCAAGAGATGGAACATAATGGAATCAAATTTTGGTGTTATAACGCAGGACATGTATTGGGAGCTGCCATGTTTATGGTAGAAATTGCAGGAGTTCGTGTTTTATACACTGGAGATTTTTCTAGGCAACCAGATCGTCATCTTTTAGGCGCTGAGACACCAACGCTTTCTCCTGATGTTCTAATTGTTGAATCAACATATGGAATTACTGTATTTGAAGGTCAGCTAGATAGAGAAAGACGTTTTACTCAAATGGTCACAGAAGTTGTGAGAAGAGGAGGTCGTTGTTTAATTCCTGTTTTTGCTTTGGGAAGAGCACAAGAATTATTGTTAATATTAGATGAATATTGGGAAACACATCAAGAATTACAACATATTCCAATCTATTATGCATCATCTCTTGCCAAGAAATGTATGACCATCTTCCAAACATATATTAACATGATGAATGACAAGATTAGAAAACAATTCGACATTCACAATCCTTTTGTGTTTAAACATATTAGCAATTTAAAATCAGTTGAAGACTTCCAAGATAATGGTCCATGTGTAATCATGGCCAGTCCTGGTATGCTCCAGTCTGGGCTCTCGAAAGAATTGTTCGAATTATGGTGCCAAGACGCAAAGAACGGTGTTATTATTCCAGGTTACGCAGTTGATGGAACTTTGGCCAAAAGAATTATGAGCGAGCCTGAAACTGTAACGTTATCGAACGGTAATACAGTGCCATTGAGAATGTCAGTCAAGACCATTTCATTTTCTGCTCACTCTGATAAAGCTCAAACAGAAGAATTCATTAGTACAGTCAAGCCGCCACACATTATTCTGGTTCATGGTGATGCTGCAAATTGCCATCGTTTGAAGCAAGCTTTGCAAACCAAATTCACAGAAAGCAGAGTCTATGCACCAAAGAATTGTACCTCAGTCCAGATTATGTTCCAAGGTGAAAAACGAGCTAAAGTACTTGGACAACTTGCTATGAAGAAATATGAAGATAATGATGAAATTAATGGAATCTTACTTCATCACAACTTCCAACACCTGCTCTTGAATGAGAAGGATTTGAGACTTTACTCTGATGTTTGTTGCTCTGGTGTCAAACAGACACTACTTGTACCTTTAAACGATAACGTGCCGTATGAAAGCTTAATCAGAAAATTGTTCCAAAACGTGACAGTTGAATATCGTTCAAAGAATGGAGAAGTGAAAACAGAGCAGGGAAGTGAGAGCATGGATACTACCGATGACACATCTGTTCAAACCTCTGCTTCTAGTCGCACAAAGAAGGCTCCTATCGAATTTTCAGATGAAGAATCAACAATTATTACAATTGATGGAGTAGTAAGGATTGAACTAAAATTGAAAGAAAAAACACCTTGTGCTCTGATTGAATGGCCAAGTAGTTCTGCCAATGACTGCATTGTCGATGGCATTTGCAATCTTATTTTATATTCTGACCGATCACTACATGAAGATATCCTTGAAGAAGGAAAAGATGAACTGAAAATGCTCTATTGTATTCAACAAATGATTAAGGAACACTTTGGAGAGTGTGTATGTAGACTCTCTGAGGATAAAGAAATTGAAGTTATTGATCCTTCGCAACGAGTTCTCCTCAAGATATCAAGCATGGGAGAAATTACCTTGTGTGAAGATGAAAGAATGAGAGGCTTTTTAGAAATTGTCATGAGGAGAGTGTTCATGTCCATGTTCCCACTCCCAACAATGATGGGATGTCTTGATGATTGTGATCACACTCTTCACATACATTAAAAGCCAAATTGAATTCCTTTGGATACAATGCGTTTTTATTTGTTGAAACAAAAAATGACTTCTATCGCTAACTCATCAACACCTTCGTCGTCATCATCAACAAACGGAGCAACAAATACAGATTCATCATGTACTTCTCGGACTCATAAATTATCCAAATTTTACAAGTGGTGTCCTCATGACGATTATCTTTTGGTGAAAGCTGTTGAACGAGGAATGAGTGCAGAGGAAATTCGTGGTACTATTAAATTTGAAAGAGCCTTCACGATTGAAGAAATAACACAACGTTGGCTGGCTATTTTATATGATCCGATGATTGCACAAACAACTGCCAAGCATCTTGTTGTTCTACAAAACCTTAAAAATTATAAGAGAGTTCCTTGGTCTTCCGAAGAGAACCAAATCATATTCAAGGAGGCTGAGGTTCATCAAGACGTTCCACTGAATTTTGAATTAATTTATGACAAGTACAGAGATTGTTTTCATCCTTCTAGATGCCCAAAAACGTTGGAGGCTCACTATCAGAGAATGAGACGAAAAGGAATAATAAGAGAACATTTGGCAAAATCAGGAGGGACTTTAGCTAGTACTGCCGTCCCTCAAGCAATCTCAAGTACAAGCGCAAATGTCGGAGACGATATGGATGAAGACTTTTATGAAAACAAGTCCTTCTCGGATGTAGAAAAGGAAATTTTGAATGCTCCTCTTTCCAATGACTTGGAAATGAGAGCACAAAATATGTACACTATTGAAAACAAGGTAGCAGAAAAGAATGAGTTAAAGAAAATTCATAAAATGGAGAAGGAAAGCGATGTGGATGAAGAGGTTAAAGATGCTAAGAAGATTAAGTTGAATTTAACAGAGGAAGATGTTATTGCTATATTTGATGGTATGCAAACAAAACTCCCTGTTCGTAAATCTATATCAGTAATTGGAAGGAAAAATTCGAGTCATCCTGTTGATATTGATCTAAGCATGGAGTCTGAAGACATTGGAAAGATATCTAGAAAACAAGCCATTTTAACTCTAACTTATTCTATCGAAGAAAAACCAGCTGTAAAGACAATTGTGGCAACAGGACAATCAGATAATAATTTGGAACGTATTGCAGAAGTTGAAGATTTGTCAGGCTCTGTTGACGAATCTAATAGCAAGCGCGTCATGTTTAACTTTATCCTTAAAAATGTTGGAAAGAGAAGCATATTAGTGAACGGACAACCTGTCGAAAGTGGCTGTGAAGCCGCTGTTCCTCACCAATCGCTTGTGCAATTTCCTGGAGGATTGAAGTTTGTTTTCAAATGGATCACTAGTGGCTGTGAAAGATGGTATCAATTCAATAAGGCATCACTGGAGAGCAACGCAAACACCTTGCCAACAAGTGCCAGCGAGGACAAGATGATTGAATAAACGTCTCACATGTTATTTTAAATCAACAAATAACAATCTCAAAGTAACCTGAAAACAGACTTCCTGCTGTTGAGTAAGCTTCTTTCTCTCAGCAAAAAATTTCCGATGAGACGGAATCGAACCGCCGACCACAGGATGACTTGCTTGCTACAGTCCCATGCTCTACCAGCTGAGCTATCATCGGATTGCGATAATTTCTTGTTAAATTTCATAAAATATAATATATACCGAAGACAAAGACTTCATTCCCTTTTTCTGAACACAAATTTTACTCAAACACGTTCAACGAATTGATAAGAGTTTGGTTGCAAGTAGAACTGCACAGTTGTTGAGAGTACCCTGAACGTCCCGCTCTCAACTTTAAAAAAATGAAGGCACATCAATCACGCTCTGCTTTCATTTCTTGCAACTCACAACAGCTTACACACACAAGACGAGCAGGCCATTTCATCACGGCCTCTCTCGTGATCGCTTCTTTGCTCACACTGGCTACACTTACTTCTCTCGTATTCTCATTGAGTCTTGGTAAATGGGAAGAAGTTCATATAAGAAAAGGTGCTTTACCTCTAGAGAGGCCATTCCATGGCTGTGATTTACATCCATCAGGCAAGAAAATGATCGTATACGGAGGAAGAACAGGTATTACTACCATGGGGAATACTTTTCATAGTTTTTCTTTCCAGGAAAAAAGCTGGAACAAGTACAATGTTGAACCTGTTGATATGAAGGCTATCCCATCTTTGGCTGGACATTCTTTCACGACTGTGGGCGATAAAATTTATATTTATGGTGGAAGAAGTGGTTTGTTCCACTTTAGTGATGAACTCTTTGTTGTGGATACTCAATCAGATACTATCAGAAAGGTCACCACCGAAGGAGATGCTCCCTCTGCTCTTCAATCTCACTCTGCTTCAGCTCTTGGAGAGTGTATCATTATTTATGGAGGTAGTGATGGTAAACGCACAAAGAATGATTTGTATGCGTTCAATACCAAGACTAATGCTTGGAAATTGCTCCGAACAACTAATCCAGGACCATTCATTGAAGGACATAAGAGTATCCTTGTTGGAAACAGACTTTTCATGATTGGTGGTGTGAATTCCAATAATGATCAACAATTCAACTCTGATATTAATGTCTTGGCACTCCCACAAACTTGTGATGAACTTTTCGATGGTAGTGCTGCATTAACTTGGTCCGTTTTGAGAGTGGGAGGCAAACCAAGAGCATTCCATTCAGCAAGCTTGTTAGATGACAAGATTTATGTTCACGGTGGTATGAATTCTCTAGATACTCTTCAAGACACCAAAGTGTTTGATATTAAGAGAGAAAAATGGCTTGACGACAGCACTATTGAGAATGAGCCATCCATTCCTCGTAGAGGACACTGCAGTGTTGTTTTTGAAAATAGTGTTTATATTTTCGGAGGAAGCAGCGATTGGAAGAGAACGTACAATGATGTTTGGTTGTTGAATACGAAACCAGAAATTACTTTCGAGCCTGTAACTATCGACCCAAAGAAGGGTTTGTCAGAATATATTGAGGATGCTCTTGCATCAGTTCAACAGTTGTCATCCATTGAGATTGCCACTGAGGAAAATGAAAAGCTGAATGCTGACATTTTGAAATCAGAAAACGAATTGAGACAACTCATTACAGCTGATACTGATGACTCATCATTGACCGATCTTGTCAAGCGTATCGCACAATGGAAAAAGATTGAGACATTGTTCTTGGAGCTTCAACAAAGCAAATCAAAGGTTCAAAACATGACTGAAAATATCAAATTTGACTTTGAGGACATTGACAACCTTGTTAAAGAATACAATAATCAAGTTGAAGTATTGAAAAAGAGTAGCGAAGCATTAACTTCTCGTCTTTCCACTTTGAAAGAAAAGGAAGACAAGGTTGCTTCTGAAGAAAAGAAAGCAAAGGACCTTCTTCTTCAACAAGAATCTGTCTTGAACACTGTCCACTCATTAGAGGGTGACCTTGACCAACAAAAGGTGCTCTTCAATAATAAGAACAGACTCAGAGAAAAGGTTGTGAAGGAAAGAGAATCATTACACGAAAGGTTGAATCAACTCAATACCATTCTCAACACAGCTGATGATATTCAAAAGGAATCACAAGCAAAGGAGAGCACTAGACTTGCTGATCTTGAGAGAGTCCGTGAGCAAATTGGCACTATTAGCTCTGAAATTGAAGATTACAGAAAGATTGTTAAAACTTTGAACCATGAGATTAGAAGTATTGATAACAGATTGTCAAAGATCAATGAACTTACAACTGAAGCACAAGATGTCAAGCTCAAATTTGCTGAACAATTAAAGTACAAGTACGCCTATGAGAAGAGCAAGGACGACTTCCTCTCCAAAGTATTTGAATTAGAAGAAGAAAACATTTCTGAAAAGATTCCAAAGAAGACCGAAGAAGAAAAGAAGAATGATGAAATGAAGGAATTGGACACCATGATTGAAACCTATAGAATTAAATACCAAAAGACCAAGAGTGCCAAGTCCATTGAATTCCAACAAGCATCCGATGAACTCAAGAGACGAGAGGCCAAACTCAAAGAACTCAAAGAACAGGAAGAAAAGATTACTGCTGAATTGAGTAGCCTTCGTGAAAGAATTGCATCCAAGAAGAATGAAAAGGAAAGCAGTCAATTGGAGAAGGACAAGATTGAAGACGCATGGAAAGAAAAGTGCTCTGAAGCTGACACTCTTGAAGTTGAAACCAATCAATTGAAGAATTCTATTGATGAAGTGCAAAGCAAGTTGAATGATGAGAGAAAGGAAAGTCAAAAAGTGGCCTCTGCACTCGAAGCACAACGTTCTACGTATCAAGCAGCCAAATCAGACCTTGACAATCTCAATACTGAACTCAAAGACAGTTACGAGAAGGTTGTTGCCTATAATAATGGTATCAAGAAGTTGGGCTCTAAGATTTCAGCTATGAAGAGAGCTGTGAGCGTAAGAAAGTCTGATTATGATGACCAACGTGCTGATTTTGTTAAATTCAGAGATGCTCTTAACAAGGCTATTGAAGATGCTGACAGAGTGTTCTTAGATAGAATCAGACATCTCGAAGCACAATTGAGCGCCTTCACTGGCAAGTCAAATGTACAAACATCAGATAGTGCCAATCAAACCAAAGCTCCAGAGATTGTACAAACCACTACAACCACCACCACTGTAGCAGAGGACACATTTTAATTCTTTCTCACCCGTGTAAAATCCCCTAATATTTATTAAATTTATTCCCGTTACCAATAAACACCTTTCGACTTTCCTTCGTGCGTGAAGATCAGCTTTGTTCAATTATTTTTTAAAACCAAAATTGTTGTTGGTGCTGGTTCGACTCTCAACAACCCATTTGCATTCAAAGTAAAAGTTGTGAATGATGAACAATTTTACAAAATAGACAAGCATATATCAGATCCTTCGGGCCGGATGACAACATTTCGACTGACTGTAACAGAGGAAACAAGGCAATTGCTCTTTGGTTACCGCACAACCAAGTTCATTTTTCTGGCTTCAATATACTCTCGATTCAATTAATATACCTTCAATACCAACAACAAATTTTACAAGCCTATAACGAGAAGGATTTACTGTTCAGAATTTGAATTATCCTGCAACAATCGATCCACAGAGGAAGTGCTTTGAATTGGTACTGGACTCACAGTCACTAGAGTGGCTGAATCCACTTGTTGATCCTCATGAACTTTTGCAACGTTGACCAACAATTTGCTCAATGGCTTCTTACTATCCACATTTTGAGAATCTGTTGAGGAGACACTTGCTGTGACATTTGGAAACGCGTCTGTTTTCAATGATGGCTTGTCAGAATTTGTTGTAGCAGCAGTAGCTACTGCACTTGTCGTTTTCGAAGTAATACTAATCGAAGGTGTCAATAAATTAATCTTGGATGCAGCAGAGGAAGAACTTGCTGTTTGTTTCTTCTTACTTGGAATTCTTCCCTTAAATGTTGTAAATCCTCCATCATCATCGTCGTCATCATCTTGCATATTAATTTTGGTTTTTTGTGTTTTCATAAAGGCCACAAAATCCAATTCGTCTTCACCCTTTTTCGTTTTGGCAATTTCTTCCTTTTTTGAATCGTCTTGATATGGAATTCTAAAAGTCAAATGATATTGTTTGAAGAGGCTGTCAATATTCTCGTGTTTGTATTCCATATCGGAATCAATGAGTACAAAATACATTTTTCCTTCTCTTTCATCTTTTTTTCTTCTTACCAAGTAATGAAACGTTTGTTTGTTGCCACTTGTCAGTAAACTGTCAAAATATCCAAAATTGTCTCCATTATCTTCAACGACTGATGCATAAAACGAGCCTGGTTCTGTTTCACAAAATCTTACAATAAATGTTCCAGGTTCACACTTGTCAAGTAATTCCTGAGCTTCAATCGATGTCAAACTTCCCCAAAAATGTTTCATTTGTAAAAACGCATCAATTGGATTAAAAAAGAAACTCGTAAATGGTCCAAACCATTTGAGCACTGTTCTAAAATCAATAATAGAAACAATCGAATCATGCGTAGGATCAATAATGTCATTAATTTCTTCAACCCAAGTTTTTCGATTTCTCAAATCTTGAAAATAGGTATCCAACACGTCCAGAAAACATTCCTTATCGACCGAGAAGACATTTCCTCCAAAATTAGTTTTCCAATATTCTGCTCCAAATTCATCGAGTACATGGGTAATATCCAGTTGAGCTTGTGTCAAGGGATGAGAATAATCGAGACCTTGTAATTCAGCGTTATGAATCACCGATGCTAATTGTTTAAATGCTTCAATTTCTTCCAAATGATGACTTGTTAAAATTTCAATTTCATCTTTAATTTCGAAATATCTCTAAAACGGGTGAAGTTCCAAAATGTTATTATTACACATTTATGTGTGTGAATATGTTGTAAATAATGATGATATCGTTCAATATAATAATCAATTAGATCATTCCATGGAAATAACAACAAGAATGAATCCATTGCTTCATTTTCCTTTTCACTACCTACCTGTTTGTTATCTAAATTGGACCAATCGTATCCAGCAGCTTGTAAATTATTTGTGGATGCAAACAGAGAAGTAGTAGAGGTCATTGAATTTGTTCGTTTGAGACTTCTTCTTGCATGTTGTTCATTTAATTCTACTAATTCTTCTAATTGACTCTTCGTTTTTAAAATGTGTGAACTGATGGCATCTGTCATCATGTCAAAAGCATGTCGATTTCCAGAATTGGAAAAGTTCGACGTTGAAGCTCCTAGCAATAAATTATTATTATTTTTTCCAGCCATGGTATATTGTAACTGAGTTGTTTGTTTGGAATAATTCGTAATGATCTGGTCATACAATTTCATAATTTCTTCAATATTTTTCACAGTCGTTGTAAAACCTTCTAAAATTCCTCCACTCGATGGTTTAATAATATCCAATAATTGTCGACAAGTTAATCGAAAGGAATTGGTGTCGATCGATGCATTGCCTATATTTCCCATGAGCATCATGCTCGCACTAGCTCCCACTGATGATGGAAGAATATTTGGAGTGCTCCGAGAGTGAGACAAGAGTTCGACGTGGTCGGCATTGAAGATGTGTGGTGTGACACCTCCTCGAGGGTAATTGGTGGATGATGTGATTGGAAGAGATTGTTCTTGGCCCATTTTTTGTGATGACAGCTGTTGGAAAGTTTACAAAAATGGGATGACAACTTTTGTTTTTACTTTGAGAATGTGAATTGTTATTGTTGTTGTTTCAGGATACGAATTCTAGGTGTGGAAAATTGTTTTCTTGTGTGTAGATTCCAAGTTTCAAAATTCTTCATAATTTAAAATTGTTAATCAGCAAGTTTTTGGTTAGCATTTCCATGAGTGCTGACAGCAGAAAATGTTGCTTGCTGACTCAACAAAGGATTGTTCATGGTTGGTGTATATTGTTGGAATGCTGATTGATAAGAACCGAATTGTGGTGTTCGATTAAAAGCTGTTGTTGATGTGGTTCCGCCTGGTGATGGTTTCACAAACCCAGACAATGCAGAACCAAACACAGAAGAGCCAGAATTACCATAAGACTTCTTTCCAATTGTGAAAGGTACGTATTTGTGTTTGATCATGTCTCTAATTTGTTTTCTCAATGTGATTGCTAATAGCAAGATCCAATATCCTAACAAAATTGGCCAATAAACTGGAATGTCCAAAACTCTTGTTGATGTCAATAATAAACAAATAATAATGGCCTTCGTAAGAGAGTACCAGAATTTGAACTCTGGAAGACGACGAACAAAAGGCTTAACATCATCGGGATCAACTTTAGGTTGACCAAACATTCCTCCAGCAGAAAAATTACGTCCTACTGATGTATTTGGAAGGGTTGCATTCAAGCTATTTTCTTCATCGTCCTCCTCTTCAGTTTCTTGTGGTCTAAACTTTGGAGTAATGAAAGCAATGAATAAATTGATAACGTAAATTCCAAATCCGTAGGTCACAATATACCATCCATGGAAGTATAAAACTCTAAAGAGGAAGAGAGAAAAAAGTACTCCCAATACTGTCCAACGAAGAGCAACCTTTCCGTTGAGTCTGTTGATGGGTCATCATTGATTTCAAAACGTTGTTGGAATGATTTTGTTGTAATGAAAATAATGAATAGGCAAATTGTTATTAATAATTATCAAATTCCACGAATAAGATTTTCAATGTGATGATTTAAATCCGTGTTGATGAAGGTGATCATCGTTGTTATTCCGTCCATCATTAAATCATTTATACATGATGATGATAGTCATCAAGACAATCGATGATCATTGTCCGACATGATACCGATTCATCAACAACCATTCACAATTACATCTCATAACACAAACCTATCCAAAAAAGCCTGATATTTCATGCTATAGGTACGAAAGGTGCTTCCTCCCGAGCTGCTTTCACTCTCTAAATCCATTTTTTAATGCTGTTTTTCTCAAAGATGATTTCAATTTGAATTTAAAAAATTCTCTCAGACACGTCATTGTGTGATGCTTTCCATCCTAATGCTTTGGATCAATGGATAGTATTGGTAAAGCCTTAATTACAAACCTTTTTCATTGTAACTAGTTTCCCTCTCCGAGCGAAATCTGGATGGAGCGACCCTTTTGTAAACTTTTCATTAAGGAGCAGTAACTGTCGGAATGAACCCAACCAACACTTCATGTTACACCAGAAAGTTCATCCACTTTCCATGGTTTCATTCCGACAGTTTAAATTCCATGCTCTCATCAATTCAGCTTTCAAACAACAAAAAACAACTTCAAAACATACAAACCTTCCTCTCACACGATGACTGGCTTCTCCGTTGATCATATTGCTACTGGACACTCTTGGACAGAAGGCTCTGGCAAGTCTTGGCAACAAACTCAAACTGGTGCTGCTACTTTCCAATGGGTCCAAGAAGGAACTGGTCGTGTAGCTCATGGTGTTGCTGTTCAATCCAAGAAGGATAAACAATGGCACGTTCATATTACGTAAGTTTTGTGAGAAATTGTGCACATGACTCTCTCTGACCAATCTTGATCACAAATCATTATGATGATTATCTTTTTGATCTGTTGTGGTGGATCTTGATCATCTTTCTCTCGGATGATGACACCTCTCTTTCACTCGATCAATGAAATCACAGTTTTGATAACAACACTCATTGGAAATTGACCCCAAGTGCTGATGGAAACCAATTGCAAGGACCTTCTGATGCCTTTACTTTGAAATCCACTGGAGCAAAGTCTACCTTTGAAAAGAAGGACAAGATCAAGCCAAAGCTCGAAGGTGCTGATTACACTGAAAATTCAGGAGCTGTTTGGCACGTGACTCATCACAAGGGTGGTAGTTTTGAAATGGTCAATCAGAAGGATCAAAGAGTGTGCCATGGAACTGTCGGAAAGGATCAACAAAAGAATCACTTTGTGGTTTATTTGGAGTTCCCTGGAAATGTTACCATGAGAGTGGAGACTGCTGATTTGGCCACTTTGAATTTGCCTAATGGTGATGTTTTCAGAAGAACCAGTGAGGGAAAGAAGAAGGAAAAGAAAGATAAAGATGAAAAGAAGGAAAAGAAGGAAAAGAAAGACAAGCATTAAATTGCTTGTGTGAACGTGTAAAGATTGAAAAGATTATGAGCAATAAACGCCATGCTCAAATTGCACACAGTTACACAGCTGTTGAATGAATTATTGTCACCACCATCATTGTTTAAATTGCATTGCAGCAAAATGCAAGAGTTTCTGAGGTCAAAAAGAATAGTTTAATTAATTAGAGAGATGTAGCAAGGAATGTTCTCGTTCACAATGCTTGCTGTTTAACCTTTCCATCAAACACATCAATTCATTCACAATTCAATGAATTTCCGCGTGATGGATATTTATGGTAGTCCTCGTGGGCGTCTTCGATTGAATTTCAATTTTTCATGGCTCTGCTCCATATACCAAGCAGTCTTTTCGATGTCGTTGTTGCCACTTTCATTCAGCAAAGTAGCTAATTCAAAAGTAATTTTGCATCGTTTATACGTCATGTTTACCATAAAAGAGTAAACTTTTTCACACTTGTTGTTCATACCAACGGCATGTTTTAGTATTTGAAGTATTCGTTCCGTATGTTTCAGTCGCTTTTTAAGAGAAGATATTGTTCGGTGATGATGTTGTTGCTGTTGTTGTTGTTGTTGAATTGTTTCAAAATTATTCCTGTTAGTAGTATATTGGCAAGTGACAGTTTTCATGATTTTTTGTGTTGAACACTCTCTCTGTGAGACGCAATGTGTTCTATGTCGTGCGATTTATCTTGCCACTTTGGGTTCGAATGGCTAAATATCGTTTTGGAAAGATTCTAATGGATTGTTTCATTGCTGCTTCATGATTACGCTCGACATTAAATTATCCTAAATAAGGAAAAGCTTTGCTGTGTGAATATTCGCCTTTTCAACAGTAATTTTTTACGTGAATTCACAAATCCTCCACGCCTTTCCTATTGTGATTTTGTGATACAATTTGAATAGTCTCATCTAATTATGAACAGGAATTTAAAGTCGAAAATGATGAATCCTTTGCATACTGCTTTATGGAGCTCCATCTATTGAATTCGTTCTAGAAAACATGTTTGATGAGGGCGACATGTATGTAAAATTTTTAATTGCATTCTTTATATCTCCTTTCAAGTGATGAACGATTCATATCAATTTCACAACACATTCTCAGCATGATTATGAAAATTGAGAGTGTGATCCCTCTGTTGGCAACTACAAACATTCAAAACCAGAAAACAAAACCTTTGCTTGTTATCCATTTTCGAACACGTTTCAAAAGAATACTGTTCTCATCATTTCTTTGTAGAATTCGATGACACGTGTTTTAGTTTATCAAGAAAACACTTGTCTTTTCAATGTATCATCACATCCTTGAAATACTATGCCTGTTGTTGATTTGAAAATTTCATTTAAAAAAAAAATGTCCAAATTACTCAACTACATCGGAGGGATTACACTCATCACTCCGTTAATCTACATGTTTCTCACCCATGAAATTTTGAGAAACAATACTCTGATCCAAATGTCTATCTTGTTGAGTATCATCGGATATGTTGTAACCTTGTTTATGATTCCTTCCGTCAAAGGCTTGTGTGAAGGAGCAGGCCTGTGGGGAAAGGACTTGAATAAGGGAGAGGCTGGACAAAAGATGAAAATTCCAGAGTCATTGGGTATTGTTCCCGGTGTGGTATATATTGTGTGTGTTTGTTTTCTTCAAGAAATGTTCCAAGATAAGACTAAACATGATTTATACATTGCCGGATTATTTTGTACTTGTTTCATGTTATTCTTGGGATTTGCTGATGATGTATTGGAATTGAGATGGCGTTACAAGTTGATCCTTCCTACGCTAGCCTCTCTTCCATTGCTCACAACATATTCCGGTTTGACAGCTGTGGTCATTCCAAAACCACTCCGAGCCTTTGAATTTTTCCAAAGCATTGCTACAACAATCGGAGACAATGTTTGGATGTTGGAACTAGGAATCCTTTACAAGGTCTACATGCTCTTGGTTTCAGTTTTTTGTACAAACACAATTAATATTTTAGCTGGTATTAATGGATTAGAAGTTGGACAATCTGTGGTTATTGGACTTTCTATTTTGTTGCACAATTTCATAGAATTTGAAGCTGGTAATGAGCAACATTTGTTCTCAATTGTTTGTATTATTCCTTTCATCGCTGTCAGTTTGGGATTGCTGTATTATAATTGGTATCCAAGTGAAGTTTTTGTTGGGGATACGTTCACATATTTTGCTGGAATGACTCTTGCTGTCACAGGAATTATGGGTCACTTTAGTAAGACCTTGATGCTATTCCTCATTCCTCAGTGGATGAACTTTGTAATATCACTTCCACAATTATTCAAAATTATTCCATGTCCAAGACATCGTATTCCAAAATTCAATCAACAAACTGGTCTTCTTGAGAGTAGTAAGAATTGGACTCTGTTGAATTTAATTTTAGAAATTACTGGACCTTTAAAAGAAAGTACATTGACCTATATAATGATTGTCTTTCAAGTATTGTGTTGTGCATTAGGATTCTATATTCGTTATATTTATAGTACCTATTATTATGATTAAGCTATGAGTTTATTGTCACCGTTTCAAGTTTAATTAAATTTGTTAGAAGCTGAATGAATATTGTATTTTCTTTCAATCCACTCAATGTCTTGTTTTGCTCGTGCAAGAATTTGTTGTGTTCGTTCTTCATTTTCCGATTTGTGATTTTGAAATTGCTAAAATCGATGCAGTAAGATCCCGATGTCTCGGAACGAAATAAAATCATAATTTCATCGTACCTGATATGCATAATTTCGATAATAGGGTTGTGCTTCTGTTGGAAGCTTTCTTACACTACGAAGCACTCGTATGAACAGTTTGAGTGATTCCATGTTCTTCATTTTTATTTGATGTGAAATCAAACATAAAAGTTATTCTTTTGATCGAGGATCCATGATTATCTGAGTACATCTAAACGTTGCCATTAATTTTCCAGTGTCAAGCTCGTCCTCAAACACCAAAGCGTCCCAAACTTGTGTGGATTTTCCAGCATGGATTAATTGCGCTCTACAAACGACTCGTTTTCCAACTTTTGAGCTACTAATGAAATTAGATTTGAGCTCAATGGTCGTAAACTTGTGGTGTGGGGATGGTAAATTTGCATAACAACCAAATCCACAGGCAGTATCTATAGAAGATGATCATTGATAAATGGTTGTCAGTTTAGAATGAAATTTCAATACCATGTTGTAAATACAGCTATGAATAAACTCACCAGCCAAAAAGACAATCGAAGCAGCGTGCATGTATTGATTAGGGGCCATATGATTGATGGATGCAGTGAGCTCAGCAATTAATTCTCCTTCTTTTGGCACGTCCACAATTTTAAAACCCATGTGAGAAATGATTCCATAATTTTGTCTTTCACTAAACAACTTGAGCCAATCTTCTCTTGTTCTATTATAAAAGATTGTTGATAATTTAGTTTTCTTTCCAAGAGCTGTTGTTGCATGGTGTACAGAATGATGATTTTTTGTGTCGGAATGTTGCAAAGCTTCATGGATGATATCGTTATGATATTCGGACTGTTGCAATCCTGATGCAACACTACCCACGGCCCGCAAGGATTTCTTGTTGATATTCAATGTTGATTTTTCAAAGGGATGATGGCTCAAAATTGAGAAGGCTTGTCTCAGTTGCTTTTTCATTTTTCTTTAAATATGAGAATCCCAAGAGCATCTCGCAACAAATGGTTCTTCTCTCCCCAAAATTCTCATCATTGTTGATAATCGCCTTTCGTTGCAAGGAAAGCATTCCATCAACAAATCAACAAGGACCTTCATTTCCGAAAACCATAATCCTTGTACGTGTTTCTTAAGGCATTTTATTGCTCTGTTGCAACGGGTTTACAAATGAATTTGAATATGATGATTTACATGGCAGTCATAGTGGAGAGGAGGCGATAGGATGAACACCCTATCAAACCCTACTCTCTGCAGAGAATGAAAATTCCATGGTTGTGTGTTTCCCTTCAAAGGGAGATGACATCTGATTCTAATATTGTGCTTTGAAAAGCGATTTTTTCATCTCTTCATTTCAATCGGCAAAAAGGTTGGCATATTCAATTTGTATCTCTACTCTTTTGAATAAGGATAAAACGAACAGAGGAGAGAATGAACTTTCGGTAAGAGACAGAGATGATTTTTCAAGATAACAACAAATGTATTTCAAAAAACAAGGCACCATGAAACGAAGCCTTATTCACTCCATCTTTTCGGTACCACCACCAGCTCAACAACAACAACGAAATCCATCTCTTTCTTCATCAACCACCAAACGAACGTTACTTACGAACGGATTCTTCCAAAAGCACCTCAAGCCTAACGATGAAAAAATGCAAACGACTGCTCCCCCAGAACATTACCAGCAGCAGCATCACGAGCTTCATCCACAGACGGAAGAGCTCGAACGACCACCGTCGGAATGTGCATCAACATCATCATCAGGTTCTTTTAGTGGTTTATCATCGCGAATAGAGGTCATTTGTCGATTTCGGCCGCTTAACGAGATGGAACGAGAGCATGATCCCGAAAGCTCGGTAATATCGTTTGAAGATGGAGATGAAAACACTTGTATTTTTAAAGTAAATATCATTGTTATGATACTATCAAACCGAAAATATATTCATCCTTAATGTTTTGATGTATGGAAAACAGTCAAAAAGAGTTGTACATAATTTTACATTTGACAAAATATTTAATGATCACTCGACACAGGAAGAAATTTTTGAATTTGTTGGAAAACCTGTCATAGAGGGTATGTGGACTCTTACAAGTCAGTTGAAATATATTCAAGCAATCACTAAAATATAGATGTTTGTAAAGGATATAATGTAGGTTAATGAAAATGATTGCTACATTTGTCGATGAATATTATTGTTTCACAACTGTTAAGGGCACAATATTTACATATGGTCAAACTGGCTCTGGTAAGTTAAAAAGGATGGAACGACTCGCTTAATTTGAGTTAATTTTTCTGAAAACAGGTAAAAGCTTCACAATGATGGGAGCAGGTGAGGATATCAAAGGTTTCTCTGATCATCCAAAGCTGAAAGGTATTATACCTCGATCCATTGACTATTTATTTCAGGTAATAGAAGAAAATTCAGATGTTTCGTATACCATTGACGTCTCCTTTATTGAGATCTATATGGAGAGAATTAAGGATTTATTGGACCGTAAGTATTGGAAGTGTGTCGAAAATTCTCACTTCAAATGAAGCTGTTCAAAAACAATTAAAAATTGAGAGAAAGGAGCCAAAAGGTGTATTTGTGAAAGGAGCCAAGGAAGTTCGAGTGCACACAAGCAAAGAAATATTTCACTTGTTGAAAAAAGGAGCCTCACATCGAGTAATTTCTTCAACACGTAAGTTGGTAGTCTCAAACCTTGCATTTGGTATTAATATTTTAAAAGGTATGAATTCTGAAAGTTCTAGGTCACACACAATATTTATTCTTTCCCTAAGTCAAAAGAATCGTACAACATCAGAAACAAAATATGGCAAATTAATTCTTGTAGATCTTGCAGGGAGTGAAAAAACAAAGAAAACCGGTGCGGTGGGGACAACACTGGAGGAGGCAAAACAAATTAACAAATCGCTCTCAGCATTAGGAATGGTTATTTATGCACTCTCAGATTCTAGCGGAGTAAGTATTCTTTCAGGTGTGCACTACTAGCATGACCACCTTTGTAACTATTTAGAGCAAGCACGTACCTTATCGAGATTCTAAATTAACAAGATTATTAGAAGATTCAATAGGAGGAAATTCAAGGACAAAGCTAATCATAAATTGCTCAATGAGTACTTTAAACGACGAAGAAACCTTATCGACCTTACGCTTTGGGTCAAGAGCAAAAAGAATCCAAAATAAGGTGAAAGTGAATCGAGAGTTATCACAAAAGGAGCTCAAGTCAATGCTCGATAAGGCAAAAGAAGAAGTGTTGCAATTACGACAAGTAATTAATTCGCTCAAGGTACAACAAAAAGAAGACGAGAATATTGAAAAACTGATCATTAGACAAGAAATTGATGGTGTCACAAAGGAAAAGGAAAAACTGCAAGAATTATTGGAGGAGCTTTCCGATCTTGCGAAGAGAGGAAGTGCTGAAGTTTTGAAGAGCAAGGTACTGCGTTCCGCTTCAATAGTTCATACGCACAAAGGAGAGAATTACGCACCGAGAAGGCGATCCATGATTGTGGGTCGTTTGAATCGAGGAATGGAAGGGCTTGAGTGCACCTCACCTCTTGGATTTTATGACAAGAACGAAAGCTTTTCTGAAACATCTTCAGTCGCTGATGAAGAGGATGACATTGAAGCTTGGACAGAATTCCAAGAATATGTAGACAAGATTGACAAACTGCAATTGGAGTGTTCGAATCTGACGCAACAGAACTACAAGTTAGAACAGCAAATGGCAGCGCTGACAGATAGGAATCACGCTCTTGAACAGCTCTTGCGCCAAACGCAAAACGAACGAGATATGTGGAAACAAGAGGCTTTAGACGTTTCTGACGTTCTGAATCGAACGCTACAAAGCAAAATCCAAGACTCGATACGTAATCAGAATACAATGAACAGTAACATTAAGGCAATTGAGATGTTAACTCTGGAGATGAAGACCCTGCAAAGCCAAGTATGCTTTTTTGATATTTCAACCCGATCTACCCTTAAAGAATGTGGTGCTTTGATGTTTACGCTAACCAAAAGTGGCTTAGTTAATAGAGCATCTTCCCCGCATCTCGTACCGGCGTCTCCTAATAGCAGGAGTCATCCAAACCTGTTGAATATTAAGCTGTGACATGGATAAAAAGAGCTAAAGTATTAATTTATATTAAATATTGTCATTTACAGCAACATTAGAAATACATGGTCCTCAAGGTCCAAATTAAATTTGAGTGTGTGATATTGACTCTTCAACTGGAATCTTTGTCTTACTTGGTTGCTTACTAATTTTCGTTTGTTCTGTTTGAGATATCAAACCTTTAAAGTTGGAATCCTCTCCTTCTTCTTGTATCTTGTTGAAATTTCGTTCTTGCTCCTCAAGTGACAATTTTGCTTGCAAAGCAGCTTTCTTCATTCGTTGTTTCATCTTTACGATCAAGAGAAGCCTATCTTGTTGGGTAGGTTCAGCATGCTGCTCGGAAGGAGCAGTTGGCGTAGATGGAGTGCTTTCTTGTTCTGCAACAGGAGTTTGAGGAGTGACCTGTAAAATGGAGTCCATTTCGTATTGGGCCTTTATCCATGAATGGTTTTTAAAGTCTTCCAAAGAAATTCTAGTATCTGGATTTTTGTCTAAAACTTTGTGCAACAAATCTTTAAGTAACTCATCTTTGTCAAACGGTGGAGGAATTTCCAAATCATCATTTTGAATGCTATTATACATTTGCATATATGAATCTCCCTTAAAAGGCGTGGTATTATACAAAAGTGAGTATAAAGTAATTCCAAGAGCCCATATATCGTTTTTGAAGCCACTGTATGTCTCTCCCTTGCATGCCTCAGGTGACAAGAATGCAGGAGTACCAGCTGAGCCTTTAACTGTATCGTCGTTTCCTTCACAAATATGACTGACACCAAAATCAGAAATTTTTACGTTATAATTTCCATCAAGCAAAATATTATCTGGTTTGATATCTCTGTGACAAATTCCTTTTGAACTAATTCGATCAGTTAAAGATATGTATCACTGCAAATGTTACTTACTGAAGATATTGAATCCCTTCAATGGCTTGTATCATGTATTTTCTGAGTTGGTTAAGTCTAAATTTACAAGGCTTAGTATCAACGTTTTCTGAGTTTGTTTCGGTAAGAGATAAAAGAGCTCCATTTTCAGCATATTCAATAACAAGATAGAGTAATTCTGAGTTTCTATCGTCCATCACTTCGTATAATCGCACTACATTTGGATGTGACAATTTTTTCATAATGGCAATTTCTCTTTGTACGTCCATAAGAAGATTTCCTCCACCAGATTTCTTAACTCGTTTCAATAGAGTCTTATTCATAATCTTGAGAGCAAAAGGTTTGTTATCATTGTCTAAAACCAATTTGACTTTTCCGTATGAACCTTTTCCTAAAGTTGAAATAATTGTATATCCATTTACAAGCTTATTTCCCTCTTCATCAGTTGATAGTGTTACGGTATGAGTAAATTTGGTGACAACTGGACTATTTGGATCGTTGTTTATGATGGGTGAATATGCTTCGCTGTCAACTGGTGATTCAATTCCTAACCCTCCACCAACAGATGATCCAATTTGTAATTTCGATGAACTGTTTTTATGAGGTGAGTTTGGTGAAAAGGAAGGTTTAGGTCTTGCACTATGGGTATACATGTTCGCAAAATTGTCATCGTCCTCTCTTCGGCTTGAAAATAATGTTGTTATTGGAAGAGTTGAACTTCTTGTACGTTTGATTTCTGGTGGTGAATGTGTGTTGGAGCTAGTAACTGACAATAGCTGATCGGTCGGCAGGCCTGCACTCCGTCTACCTGATAATCTGTTGGTTGACGTTGTTGGAGGTGATGCTTTGGTCTGAAGTAATCCCATGATGATGATATTGGTTCAAAATGGAGAGATAGAGGAATATAAATAATTCTTGGGTGGTGAGAGTAATAAATTAAGAGAGAAAGGAAGATGAAGCGAGAAAGAGGGAAGAAGGAGTTGTAGTTCAAATAAAGTGTAGTGTTTGTTTCATCAATTTTTGAAAAATCGGTTCAGTGATGAATTTGTTGGTGATACGAGCAAATTGATCTTTTTGGGATACCAATGATTGGTTTTACCAATTCAATTTCAACACACAAAGCAGCTATTATGAACGCTCGGAAAGGCTATGATTTACAACAACCTCCAAAAAGACAAGCGAGTGTACAATACCGAAAACGAACAGGAGTTATTATTCGGTCTTTTTAAAGTAGGGAGAGGTAGACAATGATTCTTCAATATAGCTCTCTCGTTATCTGCTGATGATGATACAATAAATCCGACAATAGAATCGGAGAGTGACCCGCGAAAAAAGGAACTGAGAATTTTTTTGATGCAACAAATTGAATCTTTTTGTTCACGCTTGTGGTTATTAGCTCGTGAATTTGAATCAACTCGTGTCAATCTCTGCCTTTGGATAGCTCTATCTTCTTATCTGACTATTCTATTTCTTCCTCAAATTAATCATGTAAGGCTTTGATAGATATGATGACTGTTTCGTAATTTCAGTATGGATAATTCAAATTATTTCCGGACCAGCAGTTGTTAACTATAACACATAACATTATCTTAGAAACAACGGTTGTAAATGAATGGTGTAGTGAAATTAGGACAATTCTTGGTGCGCGAGAGATTGTCTCTTCATTCTTTCCGAATGAACTTAATGGTTGGTATTTCCGACGTCACGTTTGTACTCAACATTTCCTTGGAAGGTAATTCGTTCAGAATTGAGAGATATTGTTTGTGATTTTTAAAGGTTTCAATCATTCCTTGGTGTCTATTTTGATAAAAAGTAGATTGAGGGTTTAGAGAAAGCGCTTTTTTTGATTCCTCGATAGCCTCAATAAACTTCCCTTGCTTAAAATTCATTGTAGATAATAGATGGTGATAATGTGCTATTTTGTGATTCTTGATTTTGCCTTCAAGAATTATGGAGTTGTTTTCAACATTTTCAATCAATTCATGAATTTTTTTCTTTCCTTCTTCAATATCAATTGCTTTAACGGCAACTCTGGACAGCAAAATTGCATGATATTCACGAAGAAGAAGAGAAAGACTAGGATCTAACCTCATAGCAGGCGAATTCTCTAATGTTGTGACAAGGGAAAGTGCCAATTCATTTCTATGTCTTTCTTTTTGTTGCTGCAAAGAAAGAGTGATATAACGATTTTTAGTCTGCTCCTGAAGAGACACATTGAATTTGTTATTTAAATACAGGTCAATGAGCATCCATTTCACTTCATCACTATCCTGAAATAATTGAACCATTTGCAAAAGACATTGCTCATACTCTAAAAACAATTTTCTATCCAATAAATGTCTTGCAATAGTTTTCCAAATTAAAAACTGCTCAAATCTAGGAAGATCGGTTTGATTGATTAATAAGCCTACTAGGCTTTTGATGGAAAATAAAGTGGACAATCCCAGTTGACCACTCAAGTAAAGTGCTCTTATGTGCATTTTCATGTTATTTTGATCATCAACGGCTGATTTGTTACCAGCGGTAGTATTCAATCTGTTGTTCAACAAGAAAGAAGCACACTTCCAATCTCTTTCAATCAAATAGAAATCTATTAAATTCAAAAAGTTTGGGATGATATGACTTTGTAACATCATGATCCTTCTCAAAATCCTTCCATCCCGAAACAATTTAATATTTGTGATTGAACACTCCTGCATCAGTGCCAGCTGCGAACAATTTTTTAAAAAGCGACCGTTTTGGCGCCTTCTGTTTCTTTACAATTTTAATTTAGATGTCCAACATTAAAAAATATGAGTTCAACGAGGTTGATGGCTGTGATGAGAAATCCCTCGTTTTACTCTTTGGATGAGCGGTACCCGAGCAGCGAAGATGAATGCTATGATGATGAAGAAGAAGAGGATGAAGAGATTGAATATGAATCTCCAAGAATCACCTCTTCATTATTTGCAGCAAAAACAGGTACCGATTTTTTGTTGGGACCTCATCCGTTGCACCTGAACTCTCTGAGTGCAATACCGGAACAAGTAATTGAAGTGAATCCAAATTTAATTAACAAGATGATGTTGTGGGATGCGTCAAGAATTAGCTCTACAAAAAAACCGTATTACAAAGTTGTTTATGATTGTTTTGGATTAGGATTTGAACATGAATATTTTGATGAAGAAGCAATGAGTAGATTTTTAGAGACTGACATAATTCCGATTAGTATTGGCACACCATCATATAGACAGCATCTCCCAAAAGCAAGCATCACTCCAAAAGAGGACACTCTAATTTTTGAATCAAGATTTGAAAGTGGTAACTTGAGAAGAGCAGTTCAAATTTTTGATTATGAATACGATCTTATTCTAAAGTTTGACGTAGAGACAAGTGGGCACACTCAATGGTTTTACTTCTCGGTAAAAAACGCAAAAAAAGGGAAAAAATACAAGTTCAATATTGTAAATTATTTGAAGCCTGGCAGCCTTTACAATCAAGGCATGATGCCTTTGATTTATTCTGTACATGATGCCAATACAAAAGGAATAGGGTGGACTCGAGGAGGTTCAGATATTTGTTATTACCGAAACAATATTAGACGAAAATCTGGAAATTTCTATACTCTGACTTTTACAGTAGAATTTGACAATGACGATGACACATACTTTTTTGCATATTCTTATCCATATACCTACACTAATTTACAGAACTATTTAAACAATCTTGAGAAAGACAAAATACGAAGCCAGTTTGTGCGTAGAAGAATTCTTTGCCAAGACGTTGCTGGAAATGCCTGCGACTTGCTGACAATCACATCCTTTGCATGTGACCCAACTGCTCTAAAAAGACGAAAAGGTGTAGTACTAACCGCAAGAGTACATCCAGGGGAAAGTAACTCCAGTTGGATGATTAAGGGAGTTATTGACTTTTTAACAGGATCAAGTATTGAATCTAAAGTGTTAAGGGAAAATTTCATTTTCAAAGTAGTTCCAATGTTGAACCCAGATGGAGTCATCAATGGAAATTATCGATGTTGTCTTACTGGTTCTGATTTAAACAGAAGATGGCATGCACCAAATGAAAAAACTCATCCCACCATTTTTCACACCAAGAAAATGATACTTGAATTTATGAAGGAACGTGAAATTGCATTATTTTGTGATTTTCATGGCCATAGTAGAAAAAAGAACATTTTCATGTACGGATGTTCTGATTCCAAAAGTGGTGTTGAAAGACTGGCTCCAAAGGTGTTTCCAAGACTGCTGTGGAAAATATCACCTCACTTTTCCTTCAACGATTGTCAGTTTGGAAAGCAGAAGGGAAAGGATACAACTGCTAGAGTAATCCTTCACAAAAGCGGTATCAAAAATTGCTTCACGCTTGAAGCTTCTTTTTGTGGACCTGATAATGGCATTCATAATGGAAAACATTTCACTTGCAAACATTTCGAGCAAATGGGTCACTACTTTTGTCAGGGAATATTGGAGTTTTGTAATCCAGAGAGGACCCAAGTTGCTCTCATTTTGAAGGAGTTAGATTTGTTGTTTCCAGAGAAAAGCGAAGAGCCTATCTATTCTAAAGAGTAAGTTGTTTACATTTTGATGTCTAACAACTCGTTCGATATTAATAATCATTATTTCTTCTAATGATTCAATCAGATCGTATTCAAGCTCAGAAGACGAGGATGAACCGATTCCATTGCCTTTAGATAAATTGAAAAAGAGAAAAACTTCACCTCCAAGCCAAACACCTGCATCCAGAACTCCATCTTATGCACCCTCAACATCGTATAGCAGTTTAATTTCTTTTACATCATCGAAACAGCCAACATTGATCCTTACGAACAATGAAAATACCAACACTACCAACATTCCCCACCTTTCCCACATGATCGCATCAACAAAACCTACTCTACCATCATCCAATACACCTCGATTCTCCCAACCAATACCACCGAACACAGCACCTCCAAACACTGAGAAAATACGACCTCAACGACTTAAAAGAAGTCAAAGCTTCTCAAAGGAAGCGCCCAAAACTACCAATCAACCTCCAGAAAAACCAGCCTCAAAGCATGAAAATCCCAAAAGTAAGAAGAAAACAAAACCTCCTCTTCCTCAACTTTCAACTCCTTCCACACCAGCCATTCCAAAAAGTCTTTACAAACCTCGAGCATATACTCCACCCTATGTTGATATTAATCCATTCACCTACGATGCAGATAAATTGATGGAAAGCTTTAAAGACTGCAATCATGGAGGTCTTGTAGAGTCCACAATTTTGGACCTTATTGAAAAAGTACAATCCATTCAAAACATTAGAAAGGAAAGAGACAAGGAAAGAAAACGAAGCATTCGTCTGAGGCCTATGAAATCCAAACCTCTCAACAAGCTTCCTCTTCCTCCTACTCTCAAACTCGAAGACATTATCAACATTCATAGTGCAAGAGGGAATGGCCAGGCCTCTTCGGCTGCATCCTCATTACCAAGGCTAAGCCACCAAGCCCAGGAAATAGTTTCTCAACCACACGGCCCTAACAAAAAAAGATAAAAATGCTCTCTCGCCATTCCTTTGTGTAGGTATTTTCAAATCATCACCAATCCATCATCATCATCATGTATTCGTATTGTTTCCTAAAAACCCACTATTTATATTCCTGCAATATGATTATGAATTTAAATAATAATTTGCAAAATTACGGGTTTCAATCACACCATCCAATTATTTCGGTACATTTATTTCAGCCAAAACAAGAATATGAGCACCGTCGTGAGAAGTGTTGTCAATCATCAGGTGAGATTCAAGACAACCTATGCTGTAAGTTTGTGTACCACGTAGATGCGAGCCGAATTACTAAACATCCCTTTGACACCACAATATAATTTATTTTCATGACAATTATTTCTTTCAACATAGGTTCCCACTAGAGGAAAGGAAACACTTCACGATAAATTGAGAGGAACCAGTACAGCAGATGTCGGCTTCCCTGTGAATGAATCGGTATGTTGAATCGGTAATTTCATATTATTCATTGAACAAACAATGCAACAAAATATGAATAGATGTCCGTTGCTGTATGGGCAAAAGGTTATACCAGAGTCATACAAATCAATCGCCCTCGAGAATCCAATAGAATTACATCCGAAGTTTCCCGAGACATGTTACATCAGTTCAAGGTGAGTTATTTGACTACCACTAGATGAAACATTCAACGATGGAATAACACATGATTGTCAACAGATATTGGACAAAAATCCAATGATTCAACTTATTTCATTCACTGGTATTGGAAATGGATTTTTAAGTGCTGGATATGATGCAAGAGAACTTGAACACTTAATGGATAAGGGTGATTATGAAACAATTTATTCTTTGATTAGAAATTCTCACAAACTTGCTTACTATGCTGGAAATTGTGAGACAACAACATTGAGCGTTATTAATGGACTTATGAGTATGTATTTATGAAGCTGATGATCATTAGTAACCAACATTAATTTTCAAAATTTTCACAAGTTGGTGCTGGTGCTTCTATTGCAAGTTCTGCCAATTATTCTGTAGCCACCCCAGGCTCAATTTTCGCTGCTCCAGAGGCATCCTTGGGTTACTTTCCAGATTGTGCTATTACTTTCTTACTTTCTGAAATGAATCAAAAGCATGCAGGCCTTGGCACTTTCCTTGGCCTCACAGGTGCCCAAATTAAGTCTTCTGACTTGATGTATGTTGATTTAATATTTAATATTGACTTCTAACATTTTTAAAAGCCATTGTGGTCTAGCTAATGCTTTTGGATTAGAAAGTGTTGCCCAATACTTGGCGGAACGAATTCTTAATATCCAGACGACGGTGACACAACAAGAAATTCATGATTGTATTGTTGAAACCACAGAAACAGCTGTGCCTCCTTTATCATTCGGATTTGAATTATACAAGATTAAGGAACATTTCTCAAATAAGAAGAGTGTTGAAGAAATTTTACAATCGCTTAAAAATACTAGCAATGATATTAACAAGACAAAGCCTGAAAGAGAATGGGCAACTCGTGTTTTGACCACCATGGAACAATTATCTCCATTGAGCTTAAAGATAACTTTCAGAGCTATTACTGAATGTGACAACGGTTTGAGCGCCAATGAAACCTATCAAAGAGACTATCGCATTGCATCTCGATTAGTCAAGTCTAAAGATTTCAGACAGGGCTTGGGAGCTGTGTTGAGAGGTACTGAGCCTGTGTGGGAACATGAATCAGTTGAAAAAGTTTCTGACAGTGTTGTTGAGTCTTACTTCAGACCATTTGAATTTGAACATGACAAGGATTGTGATTTGCAATTACCTGACGAAGTATTCCTTGAGGATCAAATCCTTTATCAAATCTCTAAAAGGAAATTGGTTGAAATTGCTAGAAAGTAATTTATGAACTAAGTTGAAATTAAAGAATATTTACCTTTGCTTTGAGCTCTGAGGATTTGTCATTCGCAACTCAGTGACATTCAAATTGTTTCAATATACACGAAAACGTCATGTAGCCGCTGTTATATCTTTTTCCTGTCCGTATTATTTCGATAGGTCGAAACATAGAATTGTAAAAATAGTAACAGAAAAGATAAAATCACAGCAACTCCAAGCCATAATACTTCTTCACTTCCTCCACATTTCACTTCAGCAACATAAACATAGTACAGATAGATTTGAGGAACCACTAGATCTATCACAAATTGAGCAATTTGCAAAATTGTTAAATATTTCTTCCAACTCACGTTCACACCAACAGCAGCTTGTGAATAATAATAGTACATTAATACATGAATATATCCGTTGGTCACTACGGCTACCCATTGAAGTGACATTTTGTCACACAATGCCACATACACTAAATATAAGGGAATATTGTACTAAAAAAATGTAAAGCCAGCACAAACTTACCTAATGCTAACGTGACAATGTGATGGTATACGTGCAGAAATGACAATGGTCTTCGTTTAGCGACCATCAATAAGGTGTCTAGTAACTCGTAATATTTCGATAAATAGAAAATATAGGTCCAGAAATTGAGAGGACCACGCGTCGTAATAGATTTTGGATCACAGAATATGGACTCTAAGGAAAAATCATTTTTGATGTATAACCGAGTTGACTCAATTAAATTTCCAGTTGCCATACACATGCTCAGCAAGCACAGAAAAAGGTTATGTAAGTATGTAAAGTTCCGCAGCTCAAAACCCTTTGGACGAGTGTTTTCAAAGATATTTTCTTTTGGATACATGTAATTCATGAAATATTGAAATGAATATATAATTATAATGTAAGCTACTAGTGAAAAGAATGGTATCATCCAATGACTCATTGGCGTTTTTCCATATTCAAAAGAAAATTCTTTAACAAAATCGGGATAGAAGTCATCCAAATGATTTAAAAATTCAAAGAAAGATATCGAAAGTGCCATCGTGAATGATGATGATTATAAGTCGTTGAATTTTCCTGTTTATGAAACTGAACAATCTGTATCAGGAATATTCGTGAATCAATAGTTGATGATGATGAAAATACTATTGTTTGTGATGATACACCTGGGTGCTCGGGTTGTTATATAACAGAATCACCCAAAAAACAGTTTTGTTGATAGTGATGATGAAAGCCGTGATCAAAGATTTCTCACACAAAAGCGCAAGTGCGAGAGCTCGAGTCAAAATTCCAAAGCGAATTTTTTTGTAAGCTTTTTGAACGGGCTATTTTGGACGGTTGTTGAAAGTCTTGCCTATTAAAAAACCAAATTCGGTTCATTGTAAATGTCTACAGATGAGATAATATAAGACATTTTGTTGAAGGTATATTTTCATTTTAGGTAAGGTATATTTCAATAACTTTCCTTATGAGCAATACGATTCTCCTCTGTTTCAATTCAAACGAACTCGAACTCACATTCGAGCAGCTGAGCAAAAGATAAATAGTTCTCTTCAAGAGCCTTTTAAAACTCTTGTAAACGAATTTTCAAATAAAATGATCAAATTGAGTATGAAACAAGTGCAAGCTCAGCACGGGCGAAAAAGCAAACAACCTTGTTTCGTAATTTCGGGAAGGATTATTGCCATTGGGAAATTTAAAGACGAACACCCAGGAGGAGAGGACGTCATGATGGAATATGCTGGATTGGATGCAACGGAAGCTTTTGAATCGATGCGTCATTCCGAGAGTGCAAAACGGAAAGTATTGGAATTAGTGATTGGAGAAGTTGTTGAGATGAGTGATCAAGTGAGCAGTAGTGATGATGATGAAAAACGTTTGACGAATATTAATACTGGAACCACATCAGTGCAATCACCTAAAACGCCACGCTCTAGCTCTGGTAGCAGGAACAATAACAGTGAGCAAGATCATGATGAATCCCGAAAGTGTTCATTGCAATGAGCTTTCCAAGCTCTGCATCTTCCAGCAAGTTATTAATAAGTTCGGGTTGTTTTGTAGCACCCTGAAGTATGCAAATTCGAAAGAACACTCTACGTGCATGATATTCTATAAGATGCCTTTCATCTGATTTTGCAATTTGTTCAATCTAAAAAAACAAGTCGTTTGTAAAAACAATATTCATGAGTTTTTGTTGCATCATCCAAAAGTGTCGAAAAAAAATGAGTCAACAACCAAAGACAAAGGTAAGCTTTTTGTGTGGAGCTTTCATCATCGGATAACATGTTCGGCTTGATTTGTTATAATTCATCATCATCATCATAATTGTTATCTTCATCACTTTGTACTCAATAGGAAGCTCCAAAAATCCAAGAAGCCAAAGGTACCGCTAAAAGAGATTTCCTCCTTGATATTGAACAACAAATCCAAAAATTCTGGGAGGACAATCATGTTACCGAGGTCAACGCTCTTGATTTGGATAACAAGGAAAAGTTTTTCGTTACATTCCCATATCCATATATGAATGGTAGACTTCACTTGGGACATGCCTTCTCTTTGACCAAGGCTGAATTCCAAGCTCGTTTTCAAAGATTGTTGGGAAAGAATGTCTTGTTCCCATTCGGATTCCACTGTACAGGAATGCCAATCGCAGCCTGTGCAAATAAATTGAAGAGAGAAATCGAAGATTTCGGAAATCCACCACAATTCCCAGAAAAACAAGTCACTAACACTGATAAAGAAGAACAAGTTGAAGACGAAAATGCTGAAGTAAAGACAGGAGAATATCAATGGAATATTATGAGAAAGAATGGTTTGCCAGACGAAGAAATTGCAAAATTTTCTGATGCTAAATATTGGTTGGAATATTTCCCACCACTTGCAAAGAAGGATCTCCAAAAGTTTGGTGTTATGTGTGACTTCCGTCGAAGTTTCATTACGACTGACGTGAACCCATATTATGACTCGTTCATTCGTTGGCAATTCAATCGTTTGAAAGAACAAGGTAGAATTAGCTTTGGTAAGCGATATAGCATCTTCTCACCAAAAGATAACCAACTCTGTGCCGATCATGACAGAGCTGTGGGTGAAGGAGCAAAACCACAAGAATATACTGTGGTCAAATTGTTCTTGCAGAAGCCATATCCTGCAGTTTTGAAGCATTTGGAAGACAGGAAAGTTTATTTGGGAGCTGCCACTCTCCGTCCAGAAACCATGTTTGGTCAAACAAACTGCTGGCTTTTGCCTGATGGCGAATACGGAGCTTTTGAAACAAATAATGGTGAAATTATTATTTGTACTCCAAGAGCTGCCAGAAATCTTGCTTGGCAAGAATTGAGTCCTGAGCTCGGAAAAGTTGTTCAACATGCCAAGTTTTTGGGTGCAGACTTGATGGGAGCAGCTGTTGAAGTTCCTTTGTCACCACTCAAGACAATTTATGTTTTGCCAATGATGTCTATTTCCACAAGAAAGACAACCGGTGTTGTCACCAGCGTTCCTTCTGACGCTCCAGCTGATTATGCTGCACTTCAAGATTTGAAGAATAAGCCTGAACTTAGATCCAAGTATGGTATCAAGGACGAGTATCTTTTTGATCCAATTCCAATCATTGATGTGCCTGAATATGGAACTTTGTGTGCACAAGCTCTCTGTGAGAAATACAAGATTAAATCTCAAAATGATAGAGACGCCTTGGAACTAGCTAAGAATGAAGCTTATGGTCAAGGATTTAACAAGGGAGTTTTCATCATTGAAGGCGAATTTAAGGGTATGGCTGTGAGAGAGGTAAAGAATAAGATTCGACAAATGTTGATTGATCAAGGAATGGCAATTCCATATGCAGAACCTGACAAGGAAGTCATCAGTAGATCTGGAGACAGATGTGTTGTCAGCTTGACTGACCAATGGTACTTGAAGTATGGAGAAGATGATTGGAAGAAGATTGTGACTGATCATCTCCACACAAAGTTCCACGTTTATAATCCAGCTACTCTTAATGAGCTTGAATCAACCGTTGATTGGTTGAAGGAATGGGGTTGCTCGCGATCGTATGGTTTGGGTACAAAACTTCCATGGGATGAACAATTCTTGATTGAATCTTTGAGCGACTCTACAATTTACATGGCTTTCTATACTGTTGCACATCTCTTGCAAGGTGGCGTTTTGGATGGTTCTGGTGAAAGTCCACTTGGAATTACGCCTTCACAAATGACCGATGAAATCTGGAGCTACATTTTCCATGGAAAGGAACCATCTACAACCAATGGTATTAGCCGAGAGGCCTTGAATGCTTTGAGAAAGGATTCCAGTACTGGTATCCAGTTGATATGCGTGTCAGTGGTAAAGATTTGATCAAGAACCACTTGACCATGTTCCTTTATAACCATGCTGCTATTTTCCCTGACCAAATGCCAGGATCTATTTTCGCTAACGGTTACGTCATGGTGAACGGTGCTAAGATGAGTAAGCAAGCTGGTAACTTTTTGACTTTGCAAAACGTTATTGATATGTATGGTGCTGACGCCACTAGATTGGTCCTCTGTGACAGTGGTGACACTCATGCTGACGCCAATTTTGAACAAAACAATGCTAACAGTGCAGTTCTTAAGCTTAATGCATTCGTGGAATGGATAAAGGAAACTCTTGAAGGACCTATGAGAGAAGAAGGTTCTGAATATTTGTTTGCTGATAAGATTTTCGATACTAGAATTAATTTGTGTGTTGAACAATCCAAGAAGTTCTACAATGACATGATTTACAAGGAAGTTTTCAAATCTGCTTGGGTTGGCATGCAAGAAGCTCTTTCAAAGTATATTGAAATTATGAAGAGAGACTCTGAAAAGTTGCACAAGAAACTTGTTTTGAAGTTTATTGAAATGCAATCAATTATTCTTTCTCCTGTTCTTCCACATATTACTGAACATATCTGGCGAGAATTCCTCAAGAAAGAAGGCTCCATTGTTGATGCCAAATGGCCTGTAGTCCCAGAAGCTGACCAATCTCTTTTGGCTAGTGATGAATATCTCAAAGATGCACTTCACTCATTCCGTCAATCCTTCCAAAAGGAGTCCAAGAATAAGAAGAGACCACTTAAGGCATACGTCTATGTGCTGACAAGTATTTGGATTGGCAAATCAAGAGTTTGGAGCTTCTCTCGAAATATAAGGAATCATTTAATGGCGAGAAGGACAAGGAAGAGCAAGCCATGAAACTTATTTCAACAGAAATGAAAGACTACATGAAATTCAAGCCAATGCCTTTATTGCCGCTAAGAGAGATCAATACAAGAAGGATGGTGACAAAGCTTTGAGCGCTGAAATGCCTTTCAATGAATTTGAGCTTCTCAAGGCCAATGTGAACCTTATTAAGGCATGCTTTGGAGGTGTCGAAACTGTTGAAATTTATAGCCTCTCACAAGATTATCCTGATCCACTCAAGAGAGCATTGAGAGCTCAACCACTCGAGCCTGCTTTTGGTGTTGAATACGAAAAGTAATTACAATAGTACCATGGTCAATTAAATCTTTCATTTCCTTTATCGAAGTTTGAGACTTAAAAAAATGACCAGTATTGATTTTGCGGCGTTGTATCAAGAAGAACGAAAGAAAGCTTTAGCTCAGATCAAGACGTCAAATAAGAACAAGTCATCGTCAGCTTGTTCTTCTTCGGTATTTTCGAGAGATGATCAAAGAAGCATCTTCCGAGAGAGAGTTGAAAAGATTGATTTATCAAAATATAAATTGGAAGCTACAGGAATTGATTCTATTTATTACATCGGAGAGTTTATTTCAAAAGAGGAAGAGAAGGCATTAGTGGACGCCATTTATCAAGATGATGATAAGAAGGAATTGAATTATGGAGAAAAGAAATCATGGGTTTCACTTAGCAAAAGAAGATTGAAAAATTTAGGAGGTGGTACGTAACAACAAATGTGGACGTATCATCAGGATGATGAGAAATGTTTTAATTTTTGTTCAAAATTATTGTTTGCTGAAAATTAAATTGTTGGATCCACCCAATTAGTTCCTCACCCTAGTGGCATGTATTTGGAAAATTTACCCAAATACATTTGTGATTTCAACAAAGTACTTTATCAAAGTGGGCTAGATGTTGAACAATTTGTTCAAGAAGAAGAACAGATGGAATCATCATTACTTGTGCAAGACAAGACCGCCCAACTCTCACAACAAGCCAGCTACAATCAAGTACTTTTGAATGAATATCAATGTGGAAAAGGAATAAGGCCTCACAAGGATGGTCCTCTCTATTCAGATGTAGCACTGGTTTTATCACTACAAACAACATGTCTTATTGATTTCTATGCAGAAAAACCAAAAGCAGAATATGATGAAATTCCAGCAAATATTGCATGCAATGTTTTTCTACAGCCTCGATCTTTATTAATATTTTGTGGAAAGGCCTATACAGATTATTTTCATGGTGTTAGAGATGTGGATAGGGATGAAATTGATTCCACCAAGTGCATGAATATGAATCAAGCCAATGTCGAGCATGCACAGGTAATTCCAAGAGGTACTACTCGTCTTTCCTTGACCATTCGAAAAGTCAGACGTGTGGTTTCAGAAAAGGTTTTCACTAGCCATGAAGCAGAAGAAATAGAGAGACGAAGAAAGTGGTGGGAACAAGCAATTGATAATTAATGGCGAAACACCGTTGTTGTAATCAAACTTTCTCCTTAGAGTTCACCACACGCTAAAGTGTAACCTCCTAACTCGTGGTCAAAAGTCCGGCGGGGTAGCCTTTGAATTGATACGTAGTCAAAAAAATGTACCAAATCAATTCCATGGTTCGCACATCAGTTATGATTGTCATGATGATGACAGTACTCTTGCTCTCCGTCACACATGTATCCTCGCAACGAATCACTCTCTCCATTGATACTCAAGGAGCTCTGCCACTAGTATTTACTGGCTATTACACTCCTGATGTTTCGAAAAACAATTGGAATTGGAACGCTATGGATTTGCAAGCATCCAATCCGTACAAGGCCTCACTCTCAATTCCAGTCCGAATGGTTGACCCAATTGTGTACAGAGCTCACATTTCAGGAAACACAAATTTTGTCACTAATTATTATCCTTTCGCTTCTTTAAGCGTGAGTGTTGAACCATCTGCTTCGAATGGAACATTTGTTTTTTCTGGATCAGCACAATGTGGAGACAATGTAACAGGCGGAGGAGCAGTGAGTGGTACTCTGATCAATCGTTATACTATTGGCAATGATAATCGTTGTTGGACCTACATGTGTCATTGTGGGCCATGCAGAGGCACTGTCACTGCCATCATGGCTGTTTGCTATGAGCCACCATTCCCAAAACCTTCACCATGGTTGAAAATTAAAAATTACTAGACAGTGACCCAAGACCAATAATTCCATATCTAATTTAAATAAATAAAATATTGGAATTAAAAAAACTTTATTTTTGAAAGAAACATGGAATCCAATAAAAACAAAAAAATGTCTTCACGACGGTTGACTGAGATGGATTTATTGATGGAAAAATTAAAAAAATCGAAAAAGAATGCTCGGAAGGTCTTGAAGAAGTTGATGAAATTGTAACTGAGCTGAACAATCCACACAATGAGAACGATCACACAGAATATTACATCAATTCCGAAAGCAATCAAAACAATGAAGAGTACAAACCTCTCCGAAGTGACGACAATGTGTGAACACTTTTTCAAAGCGTTTTCTCTTGGCCAATCTTTAGAGTTGTTGTAAATAGAATCATGAAAATACATTTCATTTTACTAGAGTAATATTAATCATTTTCCATATTATTCGCCAGAGATGGGTTGTCCATCATCGTATACAATTCTGAGTGTTTCATATTATAGTAAATATCAGAATATGAATAATCTTGCATCCACTCAGGTCTATAAATTGAACACTCAAATATTTGATTCTTGTATCGATATCGAATTGAAAACAATCCAAGAGAGGGTGGTTTTTGAAATGTTGCATTGTGAATTTTCTCGTTGATTGCTTCTTCAATGAGCGCTTTGCTTCCAAAACCATGTTTAATAAGCTTTTCTAGTTTCCATTTCCATGATTGATGAGCCATATCTATGCATTAGAATTATAATTGAAGCAAACAAACCCATGTTCGATCATAGTTATTGCACTACTAATAGATAATCTTCACTTACCAATCCATTCGTCCTTGTTGTAATTTTCTGAATGTTCACCAACAATTCCATGGCCAATAGCAATCAAATGTACTCTTATTTGATGAGTCCTTCCAGTGATCTTCGTGACATATATGCCTTAAAGAATTTCTGACATTGATTCTACTTACAGGTTGACACAATAGAATGGTTCGATTGTTTTTGTAATCCTTATGTAAAACTTGAAACAGAGTCTCAGCATGTTTTGCATCGTTCCAATCGAGTGGTTTATCTCCATCATTATAGTGAGCTCGAACATATTCCTTTGATTCCTCAGAATGAATGGCTCGAAAAACTCCATGGAGTGGATCTACAGCCATAATTGGAAAATCCACTTTGAATACTTCATGAGGATCGTAATTACAAATTCCATTGACCAGTGCAAGATATTGTTTTCCGACTTGATGACTTCTTAACATGCTTGAAAATTCACCAGCCACTGATTTCTTTTTTCCTAAAAGTAAGACTCCAGAAGTACGACGATCCAATCGATGCAATGGATATAAATCTTCTTCAGGCAACATGGTAGGATGATATCTAGAGTATTCTTTTTTCAAAATATGAATTAAATTATTTTTCAAATATCGACTTGTAGCTGTTATGAATGGAAATCCAAAATTACAAGAATTCCAAACGAAGAAACGATGATTTCAAATATTCTAATGAATCTATCCGCCATATCCACTACTACTACAAATACATACAATGCACTGGAACATTCTCGGGTTTTGAAACCACCAATAAATCATCATCTTCATGTATAATTTCCAAAGAGTCAAAATAATTAATTGGCTTGTCTGTCCTAATTTCATCCGTCTGAAAAGTATCATCCCTCTTCATGATATGATACATATCTGTAACTTTCTTTCGATTCAATTTTAAAAATTCATTCTCGCAAAATCCAACAAACACATCTTGCGGCATTACATATTCTGTACAAAAACCCTCAACAAATGGTTTACCCAATAATCTTGATTTCGTTCGGGTATCAAATTTTCGATAGAAGGGAATGGCATGTCGTATCGTTCCTTGGTTGGTGCAAATAAATTCCGAAGGACAAAACTTTCCTTTCAGAAACACGTTTTGAAGCATTTTTTGAAGTGTTGAATGCACCAAGTTTGAATACCAATCCACAGGTGTAATATTTACAAATTTCTTTAATATCATGAATGCACTGTTGTTTATTGTGCTTTCTTACATGATAATTGTGTCAATGCATTTAGTACTTGAGAAATATTAGGTCTCTCTAATGGGTCTTGTTTCCAACACCATGAAATGAGCTCTGCAATCTCGACTTGTTGAGGAACAAGAACAAATTGAGGTGACAATTCAGGTCGTTCTCCATTAGCAACCTTCTCTAAAATGGTCTTGGGCTGCGTTCCTTTCCATGGATTTCTCTGTGTGAATATTTCATACAATACAATACCAAATGCAAAAATGTCGACAGCCGAAGTGAGCAAGTACTTTTGTTTGGGCAATAAAATTTGCTCTGGTGATTTGTACTGCACAAGCACAGCTGTTTCTGCTGCACTAACATTTGGATTGTAATATTTGATTAGTGCAGGTGGAATTACAAGATTTTCAGTGGTTTGTGACGGCGAAATGTCGTTGATTGGACCCGATGCTGCTACATTACATACATAGCAAGTACTAGAGTCCACCAAAAACTTTGTTTGGAATTCATCAGCGAGCATAATATTCGCACTGTTCACATTAACATAAATCATTTTCTTTTCTGTGTGTAAGTAATGTAATGCTTTTGCGGCGCTAATTGCGACTCTATAGATGATATCTGGATCTTTCAATTGCTCTTTCAAATTAGTTGCCTCTGAGCTTGATTTTTTCTTTGCTGGAGGCTTAAAAAGTATATCATAAAGGAAGCCATACTTGCAATGCTCCATTAGAATTTTGAATTGAAATTTGTCAACCCGAAGGCCATATCCAATATGGTCAACAATGGATGGATGTTTCAATGTACAAAGCAAAAGAGCTTCTCGTTTCCAGGATTCAAGCTGTTCTGGTTTTGAAAAAATGACTGTCCTCACAGCATAACATTGTTGGTTATATGTACATGATCTTAATACATAATTGTGTCTTCGATCAACGACTCTCTCTTCAAAAACCATTGAGTCGTAATCTGGTAAGAAATATTGACTCTCTAGTTGTGTTAGCATATCTTTATCATTTCCAAATAGCATGGAAAGAGTGTCACGTTGTTGAGATTCAAAATTTCTCTTTTCGGCATCAAAAATAAGTTTTTTCAAAAACTTCACAACTTCTGTTACTGATGTCAAGGATGAATCGTTTTGCAAGGTTCTGAGTTGGCCATCAACAACACAATACTGTATGGATTGTTGATGTGTGAAGTTTGAGGTGTTGTTTTGAAATGCCCCAGCTGCAGTAACGTTGCTAATGTCAGCAGAGGGGCTTGCACCCTGTGGTCGTGTGACGCTATCCGTTATTCCTTGGCCATGAATGCCAATCAAAGCAATGCTCATATTCTTGTTTGGAAATTCAGGAGGCACTGTCACTGAAAATTTATAATGCGTATAGTTTAGAGAGGACTCAGTTGGGCATGGTAGCACTTCTTCGTCTCTGTCATCCATGTCATCTGTTGGTGTGTCAATTGGCTTTTTGTTTTCTCCTTTTGCAGCGTTAATGATTTGAAGCTTTTGTACAGGAGTGATGATTTGTGTTGAGAAGCGAAGCTCAAACACCATTAAATTGTTCACATCAGGAAAGTTTAGCTCAGTGAAATAATACAAGCAGTAGTTCGTAGTTCCGGTGCTGGATGAAGATATCGAGCAGTCCTCGCCTCGTCCATTAATCTCATCATCAGCCACCGAGTGTCTATCAATAGGTATTGAAACTTGCTTTTGTATGATTTCCTGAATTTGAATTTTTGTTAGAAGATTGGATTTAGCATGTGGTGATACCGATTGTGGACTGTCGCTGCAGCTGCAGTGTGCTGCTGCTGTTGTTTAATATTTTCAATTTGTTTCTTTCTCCACATGTTGGTTGTAATAAGTAATAAAAATGATAATGAAAGTGTTGATGATGAAGAAGGATGGAAAATTGATTAATTTGTTGTTGTTGATGATAATAACGACTAGAAGACGATAATGATTGAAACGTTTTTTGAAATAAATTACGGTAATATTAAATGTGTGATGATGGGTAGAATGGCCTTTCACGATGTTCGTGAAAATGAAACGGCTCTTCTCGATATGTTGTTGTTTCCTACAATGAATGACAGCACTAACACAAGCAGAGATGATGTTATTTTCTGAATCTCCAAATTGATGAAGCCTTGATTTGGAAGTCAAAAATTGTTTCAATCACACAACACTTGATGGAGTTGGGAATGACGATGGATGAATCCAGTGTTGCAATTCAAACTCACAAGATAAATATAACTCGATTTTTTTCAAACCAATAATTATTTCCCGTCAACTTCAGCCTGGAAATTCGAACTTACGCTTCACAGGCTCGTATTAGGGAAAATGTTTCGCTTAATTTGTTTGATAATCGTGGCTTATTCTTTACAATTTACTAGTCTCGTTTCAGTTTATTGAAATGAGCCAAATTAAATCATTGTCTTTGTGAATAAAGTGACAAATTGATCAAAGTTCAAACCGCCTTTAGCTTCAACCATGCCGAAGAGGTAGTCGATTTCAGCGTCCGAAATGGTCATGGAAGTGCTGGGTGAATTTACAGAAGCATTAGAACCCAGATTTTGTAGTTTGCTCACAATGTTTTTAAATTCCTGTTTTGTTATTTCTCCATCACGGTCGTCATCTATTAAATTGAAAGCTTCCCTCATATCTTGTTCTGTATGAATGCCAGCCACTTTTTTGGATCGTTTGGAGGTGAGAAACGAGAGAATTTTTCTTCCCTTCTCTTCCTCGTCATTCTCTCCAACCAACTCTACAAACTGATCAAACGTTATCCCTGAGATTTGCTCATTCTTAGACGAAGCATTGAGATCGTTGATGAGATCGCTTATATCCTTCTTTGTTGTTTCCGTTTTACCAAGTTTTGAGAACACTTGAAGCAAGTCTTTCTCATCTAATATGCCATCCATGTCCCCATCAAACATGTCGAAAATATTTCGGTATGTTTCACGATGATAATTCTCTTTCTTCAGCATTGAGGGATTTACAGGCATGATGAACAGTGTTCCAGGTACGATATTGTTATTTTGATGATTTCCTTTACAAGTAGTAGATTACAATTGAGAAAGTATATTTCATTAAGTCTTTCGGAGCTCGTTTTGAAAAAGTACTTTAAAACTGGCCACCGCTGTCAATGCTGATTAAAGAACACTAATTTTTTGAGCTTTTTTTCTTTTAGAACAAATACAAATTTACAGTTTGTCTTGTTGGGATGTTGGCACAGACTATTAAGGCCAAGAGATATCCTGCAAAATTATAAAATGCCAAAAGCGTTGGAGGAGTGCGCTTACATCTCTGGCTCACTTTTTGTTTCATTTTAAGGATGGGAAATGCATGCTATTGTTTTATCATCGTAAAGTACAGTGTTAGATATGGAATATGATTCGAAACAAAACGTTGTTTAATTCCTTCCTATTTCATTACTTGGGGCACACTTAATTATAATCCAAAGGCAGAGGAATGACAATCTCACAAAAAAAATGTTTAATAGTGCTGGAGATGATTCAACGATTTTACTTGATGATGACCGAATAGATAGACATTCGGACTGTATTAAAACCGGAATTTTGATAAAGGTACGCACATTCTTGCTCCCCATCACATTGTTAATGCTGACTCTGATGCTAATTTGATTTCTGTTACTGCCACTTGTCATTCGTTATTGGAACGATTATGCGAACAATGAGCACAGAGAGGACAAAAGTATAAAAGTTTAAAGAAAAGATATTTCGTTTTGTTGCAAGGTACGTTTTAAACAATGATCATTACGTTTTTCTCAACTCGTCATCGGCATGATTTTTTGTTTCACCACATCAATTTTACACGTGACACATTTTTCATCATAACAATCATGTCAAAATTCATCATTATTTCCCAACAACGATTATCACATCCATATAATTTTTCCATCATCCAATAATACTTTAGATGGTTTCCTCTTCTATTATAAAGACAAAGTTGATCTCGATCATCCTTTGGGCATTATTTATTTAAAATCAAATGCCTTTCTCAACAAGAATGCTGAAATTTCTGAAACTGTTGGTTTCGGATTCACCATACGAGCTGGCTCCAAACGATTCTTGTTAGCTGCAGAATCGAGTGAAGAGAAAGCAAGTTGGTGTCGAGCCATTGACAAGGTTATTACATGTTGTGCCTCTCGAGAGAAGGCTTTGATTCAACAACAACAGAGAAAACGTTCACAAGTGGTCATGTCATCCTCACCTACGAATGTGTCAGCCATGAATGGCACCAACGTTTTTGACGTGTCGAACAACAAATCACAACAACAACAACAGCAGCCTCTTTCTCCGACCTCCTCATCATCCAATACTGGAGGTTTTGTCAATGAAGGTTCAGAGAATGGAAACCAGTTTCAAGGAAATAATACTTCTTTGAGCACAGCACCAACAACGAGTGGCTCTTACACGAGTGGCAATAGCACCACTCTGAATGGATATGAGAGAGAAAAATTTGAAAAATTACAACGACAAAAAGATGAAGCTTTAAATTTGTTACAACAAATTGATGTGACATTTGTGAAATTATTATCCACGACAAACTTATTGAAAAAAGAAATTCAACAAGGATTGGAAAAAATTAAGCCACAATCTTCTGAGGAAACTCAGCAAAATGAACACGCTCAATCCTCCTCTGAACCACATAAGAAAAATCAAAAAGCTCCTCAGACTTCATCCAGTGAAGATGATAGCGATACAGGATTTGATACAAGTGATTCTGAAGAGACAGATATTCGTACCTCTTTTGATCCTACTGTCATTCTTGCTCCATCAACCGTTTCCGATTTAATGAATCCTGTAGAGCGATTGAAAGGTCTCAAAATGACCATGGACAAAGTCTCCAATGAATTATCGTCGTTATTTGAAAAGCTTCAATTCAAAAATTCATCGGCTGATGAAACCACCAAACAACTTGAGGAAACCATCGAAGAACTTGAACAGGAAAATCAAGAATTGAAACAAAAGGTTCAAGATTTGGAAACTGAGAATGCTGAGCTCACTCATCACAAACGACTTCTCATTAAGGAAGTGAAAAAGTACAGAAATGAAGCAGTTTCTACAGGTTCTCCTCCTCAGCAGCAGCAACCATCCCAACAAGAAGAACCTCGACCTCAGGAATAATAATTTTTCAACCCTCCATTCTCTCTTTTTACATTATACTATGAACGTGTATGAGGCATGTTGAGATATATTCGAAGAGAAATGAACCATATCGAATCCATTACGCACCAAAACCCAATTTTGACCCTTCCCATTGTATACTTCTACCAACATTGACTTTCCTCTACTTTACCATTTGTATTCAGTGATACAATCAATATTCACAATAATATATTATTATTATTTGATCATACGATGAAGAAGCTTCATCATTTACAAAGACATGTCGTGTGATTTAGTGATTGGATTGGATCCAGCGAGATTTTGGTTACACACATGTAACACCTTACTCCATCAACGATGTCGTTGGTGTTCTTCTTATGCTTAGCACTTCCGATCACAAACACGACGTATTTAAACGAGTGAAAGTTCTTAATACAAGATGGAAAGCCTCAACTGTGAGGCTTCACTCTTACTACCGTTACCACTTTAAAAAAAAAACTCCCAACAGGGCCTTACATTGATCTTGTACAGGCCTTAAGCAGCGAAAACTGTAGTAACAACAAACAAAACAACACGAGACTATAGTACAACGATCATCAAAATTCTCGTAAAAGATGCTAGGAGAGCACGATTACGGTCCAAAGGACCATGATCAACAACAACAGCCTCAACAACAATTACAGCGAAGAGATGCTTCACCCTCAGAGAAGCCATCATGATGAAGAGATTGGAGCATTATAAAAAGTACAGAAAACAGACCTCTGGATCGGATTCCTATGATACAACAACATCTGCTGACGACCTTGAAGGCTTTGAAGAGGAGTTGGCGAAGGCTCTTTCGCCGGTGAACAGTACCCCAAATACACTGAAAAAGAGAGGAATGACAAGACGAGATTCATCACCTTCATCTCAAAATCAACCTGTGGATATGACACGCCGATCATCATCACCAACAGTAGTTGCGTCCATAGCATCTCCAAACATTACAACACCTTCAAGCCCATCCCAGAAGAGAGTAATGAGATCTAACAAGAGCAGTAGAGACTCCTCTCCTTCTCTAAAATCACTCAAGCAAACCTATGACAACAACAAACAAAAACAAGACGAGGAAATGCAAGGTATTTTAGAAAAATTAAAGCAAGAGGCAGAGGAGAGGCATTTACAGCTCATAAACCAGAAGGAGATGGAAAAAGCTGAGATTGAACAACGTATCATGAAAAAAGCTGAAGAAATCATATCTAAACATAAAGAACAGTCTCAAAGAGCTCAAGAAGAAGTGTACAAAAAAGCTGAAGAGCTTATGAACAAGTACCGAGACATGGCAGCCACAGCAGGAAAAGAGGTTGAAAAGTTGAAAGACGAGCTGGTTGCAGTAAAACTTGAGAAGGATAGAGAATGCAATGAGAAAATTGATGCTCTAAGAAAGCAACTTGCAGATGACTATCAATCAAAAACTCTAATGTATCAGGCCCAATTAGACGAATTACAAAAGAAGTTGTATCAACAAAGGCTTGAGATGAGCAAGACAACTGATGAACGAGTTGAAATGTATAGAAAAAAAGCTGAGGAGTCTGAATCCAAGCTTGTTCAGGAACTATCTCGATTCCATGCCACTGAGATGCAGTTGAGAAGTGAACTTGACTCTCTAAATAAGGCACTACCTCTGATGGCTCAACAAAAGGCTGATGAGCTAATTCGAGAATATAATCTCAACATCAAGAAAAAAGATTTTGTTTTACGTCAAGAGCAGGAGAATCTTCTTAATGAAAAAGAAAAAGAATTGCGACATGAGTACGAGCAGTTGAAAAAAGACCTTGAGCAGAGTAAACTTGAGTTTGAGGAGAGAAATACTCTTGAGACAAAACGAATTCGAGAAAAATTAGAAAATGACAAAAGAGTTTTTGAAGAAACGCTCATGGCTAGGTATGAAAAGATGAGAAGTCAGCTCGAGACAGACTTTGAGGTTAAGAAAGAAGAACTTAGACATAAAGAGCGAATGTTACGTGATGAATTAGATCGAACAAGACTTGATTTAGCTCAAAAAGTTATAGAAGAAAAGAAAGAATTTGAGAAGGATATCTTCATGAAAACTAAGTTGATGATAGGTGAGTTCGAAAAACAACTCGAGAGGAAAGGAGAAGAGCTTGCTGATGATCAAAAGAAGCAAATTTCAAACCTTTCCAGAGATGCATTAGACAAGTTGAGACTTGAAAAGGAAGAAAGATCCAAGTTTGAGCGAGAAGCGGTGGAAAAAGCAATGGTCATCATCAAAGAATTCGAAGAGAAGATGAAACTGGAGGCAGAGAGAACAAGTCTTGAGAAAATTAAAGACTTGGAAGAGCAAACTCGAAGAGAGCGAGACCGTAATGAAGAAGAGGCAAGAAAACGAAGAGAGTTTGAGCAAGAAGTAAAGAACAAATTTGAAAAGTACAAGGAGGATTACAAGAGAGCTCTCGATAAAGAATATGAAGACAAGAAAAGAGAAATGATTTTAGAATATAAGAGAAGAGAGGACGATCTCGAAAAGTTGAAACTAGAGCAGAAAGAGAAACTTCATAACGAAGAAAGAGAATTACTAAAAAAAGTGGATACCATCAAACATGAAAAGATACAGGAATCTATTAATCACATTGAGCAATTACGAGCAGAACTCTATGCACAATGGGAAAAAATTGCAAAAGAAGAAGGAAAAAGAGTTTTAGAGGAGAAAGACAAGCATCAACGTGAAATTGAGGATATGAGATTGAGATGTGAAGAAAATATAAACCAAGCCAAATTGACAGCTAAAAGAGAGGTTGCTGAAATGAAGAAAGCTCACCAAGAACTGGAGTCTAAGCTTAAAAGTGACTACGAAGAAAGAGTACAAAAGCTGAATGACGAAAAGAGATCTCTCGAAAAAGAGCTTCAAAACAAGCTGATAGATAAAAAGAATGAACTTGAACAACAATATAACAAAAAGCTTGAGGAGATTAAGAAAGGTATTGAAAGTAGTCTGGAAAAGAAAGAAAGTGACATTAAGCAAATGAAGGAAGAGATTGAATTTGATAAGCTAAGCTTTGAACGTAAAATAAGGGAGGATTACGAGAATAGAATTCGAGATATTACTCTTCAATTTGAAAAGAGGCAGAAAGAGTATCAAGATGCCGAAATTGAGTTGAGAAGAAAGCATGAACAAGAAAAACACGAACTTCAAAAATTGCTTGAAGAAGACAAAATGAAGTACCAAGATAGAGTGAGACAAGAAACAGACAAGATCATCAAAGAAAAGGAAAAACAAATCAGAGAAGAGAAAGAAAAAATTCTCAATCAAGCAGAAGATAGAGTTCAACAAATTAGAAAAGAAACCCAACATGACTTGCTATCTCAAGATTCAAAGATTGGTGAATTTGAAACCTCAATTAGAGAAAATTATCAAAAGATATTTAAAGAGAAAGAACAATATTACCTTCAACAGTTGGATTCCCTTAAACAGACCCTTAAAAATCAAAGAGAAGAGTACGAAAACAAACTTCACGAATCGGAGCTACTTCTTAGAAAAGAGAAAGATGACCTAGAAAAGATGATGGCAGACAAATATAACAGACTCATCGAGAAGGTCAATGAAGACTTTAAACGTGAGTCCCAAAAGAGAATGCAACAAGAGGTTGATTTTGAAAGCGACAAGCTCCAACATGAAATCAAATTGAAAAAGCAATTAGAAGAAGAACGGTCTAAATTGGAGCAGCGCATTCAAGAGAAATTCCTTTTAGCTGCTGAAGAAACAGAAAAACATTACAACGATATCATTCGAAGCCTCAAGGAGAGAATTGAAGAAGAGAAAAGGGTAGTTGAATCAATGGGAAAACGAGAAAAGGAATTACAGAAAGCGCACGAAGAAAAATGTTTAGAGCTGCAAAGGCAGGGAGAGCTCGCCAAAATGCAATTTGAAGAGGAGTCAAAACAACGATATAATCAATTATTGCATGAATACACGATCAAAGTAAGACAAGATTTACTCGAAAAAGAAAAGAAAGAAAGAGAATCTAGACAGAAAGAAGTTCAAGAATTAAATGAAAAGGTTGTAAGAATGGAAGAAGAGAAGAGAAAGTTCGAAAACGAAGCAAGAGATAGAGCCATGGAAATGGTGAAAAAAGTTGAAGGTGATTCCAAGAAAGAGAAACAAAAGCTTGAAACATATTACAATGATCTAATCAAAAAGTTGCAAGAGGAAAAAGTGGCATACAAGCAAGAACTTGACGAACAGCTAAGACAAAGGGAAAATGAAATCAGGAACAACTTCGACACTCTACGTATTAAATTAGAAAAAGCCACTGATATTCGAGTGCAAGAAGCGCAAGAGACTCTAGAAAAAGAACGAAACCGCTTATTAAAAGAGGCGAATGAAAGGCTTGTAAAGGAAAAAGAGGAAAGAATGCTATTTGAAAGACGTTTAAGGGAAGAAATGGAGAAGGAGTTGCAACAGCGAGTGCAACTAGCTAATAATTCTCTAAAATCTCAATCTGACGATCTTGACAAGCGAATGATGGAACTAGAGACTAATGAGAGAAACAGAATCAAGTTTTACGAGGAAAAGCAAAAAGCCTTTGAAGAAGAAATTCGCGCAAAGTATAACCTCATAATCAGTAATTACGAGCAAGATCATTTAAGGACTGTTGAGATTTTGAAGAAGGAGATTGAGGAAGAGCGTGAGTCTTTGGCAAAGAAAAATATGGAGATTCAAAAGCAATTTGAACTCAACTCTGTTGCATATGAAAAATCAATTCGAGAAAATTATGATAAGCTCAAACAAGAGCAAGAGCAACGCTATAAAGAGTTACTGAAAAATAAGGACACACAATATCAAACAGAAATTGAAGATTTACGAAGGATAAAATCAAAAGAATTGGATGTGTTAGAAAGAGAAAAGGTTGAGTACGAAGCAAGGTTGAGAGAAAAGTTTGCATTACTCGAGAGAGAACTTGAAGGAAAATATATGAGCATCATTGAAGAGCTTGAATCCAGAAATGCGAAGGAAAAGCAAAAGCTAGAATTGCAAGTTGATCAATTACGCAGTGATATAAAGATGATGGATGCACAACGGCTTGAATATGAGCAACAAACGAGAAGGAAGTATGAAGAGATGTTAGAAAAGGAGAGAAACGAAATATTAAAGGACAAAGCAGCAATGGAAAAGCAGTTCAAGAAGGAAATTGATACTCATACTGAAACTTTTAATGAAAAGCTGCGATTACTCGAAAAATCAAAGTTGGAACATGAAGAATCTATTCGTACTAAATACATGAGAATGGCTGATGAAAAAGAAAATCAACTACGTGCAGATCATGAGAACCAAAGATTGTTAGATCAAAAGAAATGGTCTGAGAAGCAAGAAGAATGGATTCAAAAAGAAAGAGAACTCGAAACTAAGATGATGCAGTACGAAGATCAAATAAGAAACAAATATGAATTATTGGTGGCAGATCATGTTAATAAGACTCAATCCGAAATGAGAAAGCTCAAGAATCAGTTGGACGAAGAGAAAGCTCTTATGTTGCAACAAACAGCAGAAAAGGAGAGAGACCTTAATGCCAGATACCAAAAATATGAGAGAGAATGCAAATCCAACTTTGAAAAAGAAAAGAGAGAGCTTTGGTTGCATTATGACAACATTATTAAGGAACTCAGGGAATCAATTGAAAAAGAAAGGGCAGAATTGCAAAAATCAGGTATTGAAAAGGAGGCAGAGCTTGAGTCTAAGCTAATTGCCCATGAGGATAACATCAGAAAGCAATACGAAGAAAGATATGTAGAGCTAGAAAAGGTATTACTTCAATCCATGTCTGTACGACAAAAGCACCTTGAAGAAGAGTGGAATTTACGGTTCCAGAAGGAACAGGAAAGATTGAATCTCAATGATTTCGCAAGAATTGAATTTGAGGATAAAACTCGTGAATTCTTCCAAAATCTATTCGACAACAAGCAAGCTGCTTTGGAGGTACAAATGAATAATGAGAAGGCCAAACTTGAAAAGGAAAGAGATCTTCTTAACCAAGCAATGTCGGACCGAATGCAAGAATTGAGGCAAGAAAATATGGCTTATGAAGCTGAAATCCGAGAGAAGTACAACAAACTTGTTGAAAAGGTTCAAGATGACATTTCTATAATGCTTAAAGAGCGAATTGAGGCTGAAAAAATTGAATGGCAAACTAGAGAACAAGCATTTGTTGAGAGGGAAGAAGAAATGCACAAACATAGAATGAAATCAGAGGAAGAAATGAGACAAAAATTCGAGCAGCTTCTTGACTTGGAGAAACAAAAATCTAGAGAGATTATGGAGGCCTTCGAGAATAAGATAAACGAAGAGAGATTCGCAGAAAAGCTGGAGTTATCAGAAAAAGAGAAACACCTGGAGCAACATAAGATTAACTATGAACAAGTGGTCAGAGAAAAGTACAACATGATAATAGAGAAGGCTCAAAATGATTACAAGAATATGATTGTAGAGGCTACCGATAAATTCAATTCGGAGCATGACAAACTTATTTCTGAGTTTATGAAGCGAAAGGAAGAACAAGATTCACATTTGTTGTTGCTACAGGAGCAGTACAGAAAGGAGAATGAGGATCAAATCGTAAAATTCCAAGCTATGCACCTGGAAGTGCTAAACCAAAAGGAAGAACAATTTAGAAATGAACTTCAAATTGTGAATGAAGCAATCAGAGAGAACATTCTTGCTGCAGATCTTTCCAGAATTGAGTACGAGGAGTATATGAAGGAAAGATTCGAGTTTTCTCTTAAGGAAGAGTTACAACGTATCAAGTTAATGGAAGACTCTATTAGGGAAAGAATGAGGCTTGACTTGGAGGATAGAGACAGGCTTCGTATTGAAGAGAAGAAAGCCCTAGACTCTGAAAAAGAACTTTTTGAACAAAGGACAAAGATTAAATACGATAAATTATTAGAAGACCAAGAAAAGAGACATATGGAACGCCTCTCGCAAATGCAAGTATTGGTAGAAGAAGAAAGAGAAAATTTAGACAAGAGAGAATTGGATCGAAAACAACATCTACGAGATCAAATGACAGAATTTGAGGATAAAACTAGAAAGATTTATGAAGATAAAATGAAAAGCCTGGTTGAGGATTATGAAGGCAAGCTCCGACAAAAAGATAAGGACCTGTCAGCAGAGAGGGACAAGCTCAATGACGAAATTCGAGAACACGAAACTCGTATTACCCAATTAGGACACGAGATTGAGGAACAAATGAAACAAAAGTATGCCAAGCTTCTTGACCAAACAGAACAAAATATTAGGCGAGAATATTCTATCACCGAAATGCAACTCAGGTCAGATATGAACAAGAAGTTTGATGATTTAGTAAGAGAGGCTGAAATGAACTCTAGAATTGAACGTCAAAAGTACGAAGAAGAGCTTCAGGTTAGATTTGAATCTAGACTGAATAGTATTGACGAGCGATGGAAGAACGAGATTAATATTCTCAAGAAGATGCATGAAGATGAAATCATAAAGATTCATAATGAGTGCCGAGATCAAAGGCTTGAGGAACAGAAACAAAGAAGTCAATATGAACTCTCTGTAAGAGATCAGTACCAAAAGCAACAAAAAGAATATTACGAAGAGCAGCAACTACTTATTGATTCTATTAGGAAAAGTGAAGAAGACCTGAGAAATCAATTACAACAACGTATGGAAATAGAAATTGAAAAAGTGAAGGATTCTATTCATGCCGAGAAGATTGATATTGAAAAGAGTTATGATAGAAAAGTAGATGCCATCAAGAAATCGTTTGAATTAGAAGTTGCTGACATCAAGAAACAATATCAAGAAAAGACGTCCAATATTGAACTTGGAAAATTGGAATATGAGCAAAAAGTTAAGACGAAATATGACAAGCTAATTGTAGAAATGCAAGCAGCACTAGATAAGAAACTCGAAGAAAGAAATAAGGAAATTGAAGAAATTAAGAAGCAAATACAGCAAGACAGAATTATTTATGAACTTGCTGTTAGGGAGAAATACAATGAATCTCTCAAAGAAAAAGAAAAACAAATGGAAGACTTATTAAAAGAAAGAGAAAAGTTACTTTTAGAGGATGACCAACGACGAAATCTCTCCTCTCTAGAAAAAGAGAGACGACTCGAACAAATGAGAATTGAAAAAGAAGAGGAAATTAGAATGAGATTCGAAAAGCAAACGGAAGAAATCAGAGAGTACTGCAAGCATCAAATCGAAGAAACAATCAAACAACTTGAAGTTGAACGGGCCAAAAAAGAAGAAACAGAAAAGGAAATTGTAAAACTGCAACAACTTTTATCCAGTATGCAACACAGTATGGACCTTTGGAAATTAGAATATCACAAAACAACTACCAACAAATTCAAAAAGCTAATGACAGAGGTGGAGCTAAAAGCAAAGAGAGAAATGGAAGAATTTGCTCGACAACAATTAGAGGATCAAGAAAGACTATTAGCTCAAGAACTCAGACAGAAAGAAGAAGAACTTCGTAAGCATAAACAAAAAGAAGAGGAACTGCAATTAATTGCCATGGAACACCAACAACACAAGATTCTAGAAGAACAAAAAGAAAAAGAGCTGTTGAAGGGCAAAGAAAAGCTCGAACAATACCGTCAACGTTTGTCAGAGCTTTGGGCTGCCCTAGAAACCGATCCTCAAGCAAAAGTCAATTTTTTATGGGAAGTTGAATGCAAGTCATCATTTTCTCAAGAAGTATTGATTGCCTTCAAAAACGAAATTAGCAAACTTACCGATCAATTGCCTCTCATGGAAACCATCAGTCGAAGAGAATTCGTGAAACAAAGACTCAAAGAGACAATCAAAGCCAAAGATTCCAGGTCCCATCAAGACCCCAATCGAATGATTAAGGAAGAAAAACAACGTCACGAGCTTGAAAAAGAGCTAAAGAGGATCAATGAAGTTCTTTTGCAAACACTCTCAGAATATGAGCGCAAGTACAACATTGAATTTACTTACAAAGGGAGAAATTACTTGGATCTCATGCAGAAAGAGCAGTAACCAGCAATTTAGTGTTCCTTTTGAATTATTCTCGGCCCATTATTATTTCCTCTCCAATACAAACATTGTAAACAATAGTAGATAAAATCACCCATAAAATATGTATTTCCATTTGATGTTTTTCCATTTCGATAGTATTTCCGATTTTGGAAGATAGCTGTCCAAGATAAAGAAGCTTTTAGAAGAACAAAACTCCACACACAACATACAAAAAATGTCTTGCAATCAGTATCAACGTTCCACAACTTTTATTGTCCCAACTTTATGTACCTTCCTTCTATTTCTGTGTTGTTGTTGTTTGATTTTCACTCGTGCATGTCTTCTTCTCTTTTTCAAACCCTTCAAAACTCTCAAAAATCCTTCTCAGCCAATCTTTTTCAATCTCTTTCACAACCACCTCCACCAACTGCATCCAATGCACAACAACAAGTGGTTGTGGCCACTCCTTCCAATGTGGTTTTTTCTCCCTTCTCCATCTTTACCGTTCTTTCCATGATGTTGGTCGGTGCTCAGGGTCACACTCTCACTGAACTGGCACATGCTTTAACTTTGGATTATTATTCCCAATTGGATGGAAGTGTTTCTTCAACAAGTTCTTCATCCTCGTTCAATTTCAGACCTCGTGGAGATTTTGCAACCTCCATGAATCAACTCATCCAACAATCGATCAATTCCAGTGAACTCTCCGTAGCGAATGGAATCTTTACAGAACAATCGTTTAAACTTGCTTCACTCTACACGGACACCATCATTCAAGATTTTCACTCGCAGTTGAGATCATGTGATTTTGCTCGAAATGCAGAACCTGAACGACAATCCATCAATCAATGGGTTTCAGACAAGACGAAAAATTTGATAAATGATCTCGTTCCAGTGGGCGCCATAACTGCTGACACAAAATTGGTGTTGGTCAATGCCATTTACTTTTTAGGTAAATGGAGAATTCCATTTGACAAGGAAGATTCATTTACAGGAACGTTTCGACAATTTAAAAAGACATCATCAGAATCTTCAGATTCCTCCACGAGTGCCTCTCTCACTTTGGAATCGGTCAATGTCAAGTACATGTCTCGTCGACAAGCTCGAGAATTATTTGGACAAAATGAAAATTACAAATGGTTGAGAAGACAATACAGTACTCTCGATTTTGACATGCTGTTCATTGTTCCGAAAATCAATGTGGCTCTTTCACAACAGAGTGAAAAGGAATTTGAAGAATGGGTTTCGAAACAAATATCCAAGAATGCAATTCCTGTCACTAATCAAGATGGTTCTCTCACTGTAAAAACTCTTTCACAAGCCTTTGAGACCAATTCACTCATGGTTCGACTCGTTCAAATTCCAAAATTCAAAATTGAATATGAAAATGAATTGTCCAATGCGTTGAAACAAGCTCCGTTTAACATGACCACATCCTTCGAAAAATTGAAAGCCAATTTTACCAACATGCTGTCAGAAGTCTCCATTTTACGTGACGATCGTTTATGGATTGATAAAATCTTTCATAAGGCATATTTGAAAGTCGACGAAGCTGGAACAGAGGCTGCTGCTGCAACTGCTGGAATTATTGTCGGTCGAACCACAAGTATTGATGTGGAACCTGAAATTGATTTTGTTTTGGATCGACCTTTTGTTTTTGTTTTGAGTCATGTTCCTACTCAGAGTATACTATTTATGGGAAAAGTGAATCATTTGGATGCTTCAAATTCGAATTAATGGATCGTATGACGTTATTCAGAAGGTAGTATATGTGAATATTGAGAGAAGATGAATAAATAATAGCTTAAAGGAATTTACAATGTGACAAGGTGTTTAATCAATTATTAAAAACAATTTCTAGCAAATCTGACAGCACGATTCACTCGGCCGAGTAGACTCTAAACGCGAAAGCATTTCTATAGCATCTTGAGATGTAATTCTTTTCGATGGATGTGCTTGCAACATGGAAGCAACTAATTGAGTAAAACGTGCTGAATACATTTGCCACTGGCTGTTATGCTCAATCAGAGCAGTCTTTAAAAATTGAGTCACATCTTTTTCAATCATGGATTTCACACCAACAAAAGTCTCACTATCCAACGTCATCAATTGATAAAACGTGACACCCAAAGCAAATATATCACTAGCAGGAGAAAACAACCTTCCATTTTCGGCATAGGTCTTGTCAAGTAATTCTGGAGCTAGAAAGGCTTGCGTTCCTGGTACAGTATTGTGTGTTAGGTCATTCATAGATTTTGCTAATCCAAAATCACACAACGCTACTTGAATGGTCTCCTGTTCCAAATTGAAATCCTTCACTAAAATATTTCCTGGCTTGATATCTCTATGAAGTAACTGTTTTTCAGTAATCCAACTCAGTGCTTCACATACTTGCTTGGCAATTTGTTGTAACATTTTCTCAGATAACATTACCTTCTTTGCTATGAACAATGAATACAAACTTCCCTTCATCAACTCCATTTCGATACAAATGGCTGACGTGTTTCCAGGGGTGAATGCATGATACATGGGAACAATATTAGGATGTGTCAATTTTGTCATGTTCAATGCTTCTTGAAATGCCAAATTGAAGCTTGAACTGTCTTGAATATGGATCACTTTGACTGCAAGTTCTTTTTGTTTCTGAAGATTAAACGCTTTGTACACCACTCCAAATCCACCTTTAGAAATATGTTCAATATGGGAATATTGTGCTGGGATTATTTCTTCAATGACTGAGACATTGGTTTTTAGCGAGATGCTATTCGAGGTCACAATTCCATCATTGTATGTAGTAACTATATTTCCTGCAAATGATATATTTGCCAATCTTGAATCTTGTTCAATATACATGTTTGACATTCTTGAATCTTGTTCAATATTAGGACGACTAAGAATTGTTATCACTTCTTGAGGTGAAATTCTCTCTGTTGGTTGTTCATGTACCATTTTAGTCACCAAGTCAATAAATTCTCTCGAATAGCCTCCTCCAAGATCTTTTAATTCACTGTTTGTGATATATTCACTGATGCTTTCTCCTATTGAATCAAACATGCCAAGACAAGAAGTGTGTATGGCCATGAATTGAACCAATTGTGCTCCAAGAGAAAACATATCACTCTCTACAGAGGAGACAGCTTTCAATTTGAGCTCTGGTGCGCAATATATTTGAGATGCAATGGCATCTGAACTGCTGCTTGTCTTTAAATTCTTTTCAACACATAATGCCACTTGAATGGTCTCATTCTGCAAATTATATTCTCGTACCAGTATATTAGAAGGATGAACAGATCTTCATTGGTTGTTGTTGTTGTTGTTTTGAACATGCATGGTGATCTACAAATTTCATAATAACATACCCATAAATCAACTTGTTGAACTGGTGTTGTTGTAAATACAATAATGCTGAACAAATTTGAAGAGTAATACTTTTCAACAAGTTCTCTGGTAATTTTACAAGGGAATCAAGAAACGAGGATTTTAAATTGTTCTTCATGGATTCCAATTCCAAACAAACTCGTGAAGACACTCCTGGCGCAAACGTAGGATGTATGCTCACAATATTGGGATGAGGCATCCATTGAAGACGCATATATTCCTGTAGTAGTACTACATTGGTCATTGGAGTTATTTTGAGAGTTTTGGGGAGTCTTGTGTTTTTGTCTATTGCTGAATACACTCCATAACCTTCAATTCCTATTAAAGTGATGGAATCATATTTGGAGTTTAAAAAAGAATGCATGGCTGTTGAATCGGGATCGTCATGGGCTTGTTGCTCTGAATTGAAACCCTGTATTTCGCCTTTGGCAAGCGAGACGAAATTCTGTGCTAGTTTCATGGACTCGGGAGCCAACTTGTGCGTATTTTTTTTTTAATGAGATTGGTTCATGTTTGGTGATTAGTCACTTGTCAAGGTTGGAAACTGAACGACAACATCAAATTCTTTGAAACATGGCACTCTTTGCGACAAGTTTCTTGCAGAGGATGAACAAACGCCCATGCCACTTGTTCTGAATGTCATTTAAATATTTGTGAATTGCATCTTCTGGTAATTCATACTCGATCGAGAAAAACAAAAAATCATTCAGAAAATTTTCTTATCATTTCTTATCACCAAAGTATGGTATTCAATACTTTCCTTACTCAATCTTCACGAAACTAATTTCACGTTCAACGCTCCTTCAGCCGTTGAAATTGATCCTTTGAACCGTTTACTCAATGTCTTGGATATCAAAAATTCAGAATCCAATACAGTTTTGTTTTGGAACATAATGTGTGAGAGGGTACGCGACCGAATTGGCACACGACTCGAAACACATAGCTTTGGTGTCTATTGGACCCAAGACGCATGTGTGAGTCATGATGGAAAAACTCGATACTGGCAATCCAAAGTAGAGGGTAAAGCCAAGTATGTAGGTGTGAATCCATTCGATGCAAATGTCTTTGTCAGGTCGAAAAAGCGATCAACGTTTTGAATAGGGACGATGGAACTTTGATTCGAGACAATGGTGAAGAACAGAATTATTGGAAATTATATCTTTCATTGTTTTTTCATTAAGGAAATTGAATATTCTCAAATGAATAACATTTTCGCGCTCAAAAAAAATGACTTCACGACGAAAAGTGAATCGAGGAAGTCTTGCTCCGCCAGCAACAACGTTGTCAGCGACATCCACAACAACACCATCAACAACGGAAGTAACATCACGTGAATTGGTAAATAATCATCCTGCTTTGGAAAAAGAATCTGCTTCTTCGGAACGTAAGAGTGTGGAAGAAGAGCCTCAAAAATTAGCGGTTAATTCTTCCACGCTTCAAGAGTCTGCTGAGAATTTTGAAACCAACAACTCCGATAAGAAAAAACATCATCGTTTTGTAAGACCAGGAGCATATTTAAGTAATGATAATAATTCATCATCAACGAATGAAAAAGAAGAACAGATTAGTGTAAATCTTAAATCGGACAACAAAGTCTCTTTGGAGAACAATCTTGGTAGCAATGATAGTAAAAGTAGTACAGATAATCATAATGGCAACAAGATGGATGAAACTAGTGATGTCTTGCCATCAAGCAGTAGCAGTGGGGATGGTTTAAAGATAATAATACCAAACAATCAAACCACACTTGCATCTTCCGAAATCACACAAGAACCATCTACTCAAGAGCTCTTACGTACACAACAAAACGATAGTAGTCATGATAATTCTGAATCAATCAGTACTCTTACACCTAAAGAAGAGTCAACCACACCCACACCTACAATCATCGAACCATCGAGTAGTGAATCCACCAACGAGCCCAAAGAACAGCAGCAACCAACACGGCGAGTGAGACGTTTTAACAAACATCGAAGTACCACTCAACCAGCATCTGCTGTTCGAGAAGAAAGTGACAAGACTTCATCTTTACCAAACAATGAGAAACCAGAACAAGTTGCAACCATAGAGCAAAGCACGCCCTCAAGTGACAATTCGTCCAATACAACAGAGAAAACAACAAAAAAATACACAGACAGCAAATCATCACCGGCCGATCACGACGAGGAAGAATCATCAAAAACATCAAGACGATCAAGAAGAACTCGTACAACAGAAATGCCTCCTGTTGATACGTCACAACAATCAAAGAAGGAGGCACCTTCGGAAACAACTATTGAACAAACGGCTTTATCAAAAAAAACGAAGCAGTCTCATACTAAACCACAACAAAGCGAAGATAAAAAAGGAGATGACAATGACAAGCCACAACTCATCAAGCAAATATTGGCTAGACACAGCAGCCAGAAAAATGCTAGTGACAGCAAACCATCAGCAAAAGATAATTCGTCTTTACAGCAGATGGACCTTTCCGATGATCATGAAGTCTCAGTTGCAGAAAAAAAGGACAAGTCAAAATCATCGAAATTAATAGAATCAACATCAATCCCTAAGAAAACCAAACCAATATCAGACGTAGAAGCCAAAAAATCATCAACAACAACAAAACGAGAATCTGTCATGCTATCGGCTTCCACAATACCGACAAAGTCAACAACAGAACCTCCTTCCTCATCATCTTCTAAATCTGACGAAAAGAAAAGAAAAATTGACTCTGTAAATACCTCGTCGACGAATACTTCAGAAATTAACGCCGATGTACAAAAATCTGCTTCCAGTAATAGTAGTACCACCACAGAACCTGGAACAAAAAAGAGTAAGCTTAATGATGTACAAAACGCTGAGACCTCTAGTATCCCTAAAAAACCGGAATCGAATGTAACAATCACACAAAAAGAAGACGATACTCGAAAGGAAGAAAAATCCACTTCTTCCATTTCTACAACAACACTTCACAACAATGAAGAAAAACCTAAGACATTCACGCGTGAAAAAGAGGAACACAGTACAATCTCCAGCTCTCAAGATAGGCCATCTTCCTCATCTTCAAAAGCTGCCAATGATGATATAACCAAAATTCCAAAGAAAAAGAAAGATGACAGTCATGCATCATCCACAGCTCCATCCAGGGATGAACGAGGAGAGCAACGACGAGACTCAAGAGATTACTATCACAATGACAGAGCATACTCTTCATCCAACAATAGAGATTATCATGGCCGAGAGAATGGAAGTCACTCATATCGTGACTACAAGGATCACAACTCATGGGACGATGTAACAGTGGATCAGCACAAACAGAATCACAGAGAAAAACGAGAACGACTATTGAGGCCAGCTCGAATTCGAATTGAAAATGAGGACTTTTTCTTTAACACACTTAAGGAATTTGCTTTGACGCAATATGGAACGAATAATCCACAACCTGTCACTTCATTTGCAGTGGCGAACAATTCAAAACCCAAAACGTCATCTTCCTCGTCCGTGTCCACTTCTGGTTCTGTTCCCTCCTATCCTCCTCTCCAAAAACAAATCTATGCCATTGTCTCTGTCAAAGTATTTTCCATGCTTGCTTCTAAAACATCCCTGACAGAGAGTCAGAAAATTGAAATTTGCAAAAAACTCGTTGACAAGATATCCCCTCGAGAAACTCTCGAAACAGTCGGGCTGGAAAGTCACAAGCAAAAAATTGAAGATTTTGTAGCTCAATATATTCAAGGAAAGTACCTGAAATAAATACTGATGTATCAAAAGTTGAGATTTTACTAAAGCGAGAGTGTAACACAACTACTGGTTGTCAAGTATCTTTCAAATGATATATTCCTACATCCTAGAAAATTTTAAAAACATTTAAATTCCGTAAACGTTTTTCGACTTTCCTTGTCTTTGTTTATGTCTTGGATTGTCGTCGCAAATGACGTAAATCTTCTTTTTACCTCGTTTAACAATTTGGCATTGTTTGCACATTTTCTGTTTGTTTTGAAAACATGTTTTTCATCAATATCATTGCATCCGATTTGTCATCATGATGATTCATCATGAATAATATTATTCGGATCCAAAAAGGACCAACAACCCAACAACAAATATCACCCATATTATTTTCATATTATTATCATAATGAGTTTATCAATAAATTAGACCAGGTATATACCAGAAAAACGCATCATCACTATGAGCCTTCCACAGGGGACGGGCATGAAACACTCACCTTCACAGCAGACACGACTCTCATTTTTGTTTCATTAAAAAAAAATGTTTTTGATTGGTTTTTTTTGAAAGCAAGAATTTCATGAGGTGGAAAGACCGAAACGACAGTGTTTCGAAAACGTCGAAAAGAAAATCAAGAACTTGCAGCCAGAATATTGAATTTGGATGATCACTTGCCTTAACATTATTAAACCTTAATATGTTATTATATTTATTCTCTGAAATTGTCAAAAGTGCAAACTTAGAAGCTGACGTATTGCATACCATCATAGAGCATGTGGAATGCAATATCTTTGTAAGATTCATCTACAAACTCATAGTCGTCCAATTGATGTCTAGTAACCCATGCGTGATCTGAAAATTCAGACATTTGTTTGAATGGTGGAACGCCTCCAATATAAATAACACGATAGAAGAAAGTTTTGTCTAGAGGGTTTGATGGATTCACATAGTGAGCTGTTGGTGAAAAACTGATGAAAAATCCATTAACACGGTTACGCATAGTTTTGGAAAAGAATTCTTGAGCTGCTGATCTCATGGTGTGAGGATTGGTTCGGATTGTGTCAGGGAATTTCCATTTGCCAGTCTCCTTATCCTTGAAAATGAGGTAGAGTCTGTTTTCTAATTGTCTGTTCAATGATTTTCTGTTATCATTAAAATCATCCTTGGTCCATCTTCGTTGAGGTTTCCAATTCTTCAACCAATAATCAGTTCCTTCAGTTGTGTACCCTTTACCTTGTGTTCTTTCATACTCCAGTCTTTGTTTTTCAGCCATTTCAACTGGGTCCGGAACTTTGATGTGAGCATCTGGACCTTCTTTCTTTGCGTTTTTGTTGTTCTGTTTCAACATGAATATATTGTTAATTTAATTTTGATGAAATTCAATGTTGTTGAATGATGATGAAAATATTATTCAAAAGTCAGGATGAAAGATGCCGAGTCGTATTTGCAGGCAAAATTGTTGTACGTTCCAATATCATGAACGTGGTATGTGCAGGTGATGAGTTTTGAAATCGCGAAACCATCGTATCAGCAGTGTTGTTATTGTTGTTAGAATAAATAGGGTTAAATTACAGCAACACGGATTCTGTACACTCTAATACTAACCTCTTGCTTCTTCTTTAATTTCATCCATTCCTCGAAATATTCAGTATAATCATGCCATTTGTGTCTGGCATAGTAATTGTTGTTGCTTCTTTGAAGTTCGCTCATTTCTCTATCAATTGGATGATCATCATTGTTCAATCTCGGTAACCTCTCCAAACAAAAAGCAACTCTCAAAGTCTCGGGACCATCATACGTAACACTCTTTGGAATGTCCTTCTCAGGAATTGGAGTCTTGTAGCC